ACACAACTTAATCAATAATTCATGACTTATAAAAGCAAGAGTGCAAGATCTGAGCAGATTATGATTATTCACAGCACTATCATCAGTATTGAAAAAGAAGAGACTTATAATTAAAAAGTCTCATGAAGTAAGAGAAATCATAGACACTTATAAACCAGATAATCTCACTTATTCTAATCTTTTCACAATTATAAGAAAAGAATGAGAAGAAATGAAGAAATCAGGTGAACATCACACTTTAATAAGTGATAAGACTGTAGTCAGTTGTATAATAACATGTCACAGATAGCAGATACAACATGACAAAGAGTAGTCTCAGAGCAGCAGACTTACATGTGAGTCAGATTACAGAAGAAAAAGAAATTCAGAGTTGAATTCAACTGTTTATATCAGTTCAATTACAGAGATCACAGAAGATGAACTATCTGAAACATCTGTGAACACATGAGATCAAGTCATCTCAACCCCTGAGAACACTCAGAGATCAGATGAGATTAGTTTTGATAAGCTGTTTACTGTAGTGATCTGAGTGAGTGAAGAGAGACAGTATAATGCATGAGACAGAATTACAAAAAGTTGAAAGCTGCTGAACCTAGTCACTGAACACTGTATTATATAGAGATTGTGTAAGAGTAGTGACTAGCAGATAGAGAAAAAGTGTAAGAAAAGAAATGATGAATTGATCATCAACTATAAGAGTTGACTGCAAAAGACAAATGTTATCATACACATCTCATTCATTTTCATACATCACATGTTTAATCTATTTCCAACGCCACCCGAAAAACGCTAAAAACAAAGGAAATCTTAAAACTCAAGGTCTGTGAGAAATTCAAGGACTGCAAGCTGCTCTCACAACAATGCTGTGCATGTCTCTGATTTCTCTATCACTCTGTATACAACATTAATGTCATTTATCACAAGATTGGCTGGAATGCTAATATAGGAATGCGCATGTGTATGTGTAGAGAAATTGAAGAAGAGCACAGAACCTGCAGAACCAGGAGTCAAGAGAGAAAGAGTGAAGACAGAGAAAATGAAAGAGAGAGGTGCAGAACCGGACGAATAATGAGAGCTATCCGGGGCTGAATGCTTACAATCCGGTGTGCGCACAACCTTCCCCACAGGAGAGAGAGAGGGAGAGGAAGCAACAGAAGAAGCTTGAGAGCAGGAGAGAGTAGTCTCAGTGATGTTATCATCTTTGATCAGAATGGCCTCTGATGCCGGAGCAACTAAGAACTATTGTTAGTATATGAAACTGCAGAATCAGAGATGAGAACAGTTACTGAATGAACACTCACTGGTCTTAGAATTGTACATGCAATTACAACATGCATGAGGCTTCTCAGAAAGAGAGAGAAGAACATGAGAAAATACAGAAAGCAGAACACAGTGTGCAAACAGCTCATTCTCACAACAACATCTCAGACAAGATGTACAAGTCTCACACTTATGAGTGTAAAAGAGAATGACATCTACATTCTTATTCTCAAAAACACAGATATCTTTTGTCTGCATCATGAAGTCAGATAACAGATATCAGAGAATAGACTGATACAGATCTATTATTCTGAAGAAATTCATCAGAGTGAATGTCTCAGTAATATTGAACTTTACAGTCATGAAAAGTTTCTTAGTATCTATGAATATCATGACTTCATACACAGCAAAACTTATAATAATTTTCTCTAAAGAACAGAAAAATCAGCATCAGATTAAAAAGATGAAAAGAAAAAGACTTACAATCTCAACACTGTTGAAGAGAGAGATGATTCTCTGATATGAATAGATAATTATCTTATCATGAATATTTAAAATGAATGTAATAATCAGTATTCATAACTGAGCTTCAGATAGTCATGTTATACACAGTCTTTATACAATAAATTATTCTGAGAGTCAGCAAGAAGAGTAAGAGTGTATATACTGAGAGACATGATTTATTAAGCCTATATAACATTTTCTTGAAACAGAGAGAGCTGATAACAAAAGCAGAGACAGTAAAACCAGAAGTAGCAGAAGTGAGAGTCACAGAAACAGAGATAGCAGAAGTGAAAGAATCAGACATAGAGATAGATATAGAAGATTGAGAGAGAGTAGTGAAGAAAGAAACAGAGAGAGTAGAGAAGAACATAGAAGACTCAGTTATACATAGTATAGACAATTTCTTCATTATTACATTCTTCAAGTTCTTGATCAATGATTCAACATTGAGTTCACTATTATTAACAGATGTAAATCTGTCAATATATGAAGATTCTATATGAATAAAAACAAATATATCAGCATCTGCATTCATGCAAAATCATGCTAGAAAACATGATCAGAAACTCACTGAGAGAGAAACAGTCAAGAGTGTATAAGAAGATGAAGAGAGTGTATAAGAAGATGAAGAAGATGTATCATTCATAGTAGTATGTTCTGACAATTATTAGAAGATAAACAAGTTCTGATCATATTTCATAACACATTACACTTACTGCTAATGAACTGCTCAGTATGAGTACTATGATAACACTTGTTATGAAAATGAGAGATCATTGCCAGAAATGCATATAATGTAATAGATGAACAGATAGAAAGAGTTGAACAGAAGAAGAGATAGAAATCTTGAATGATGATAATATTCAATGATAATAAAATAAAGAAGATGATTGAAGAATGAGAAAAGTTAGTGAATGAGTGATATAATATAGTGAAAGTTTCTTTGTGAGAATGTACACAGAATGCTAGCCAAATCAGGAATAGATCACACAATTGTGAAATGCTAGTGATGAGCTAATCCGCATGAAGCTAGGGCATATGACATGGTCACATGAGTGTGACCGAATCTGGTGAGGGAGGATGTGGTTTGGAAGAATGTATGACTGTCGGATAATACCACAGCCGCTTCCGAACTACTAGTGTACATGTATGAGTGTAAAGGGGCCATAGCAGCCGCTAATTAAATTAGCGTACGAGATTCAATATATAAGAAGCCGGCGTACACCTGTAATCGTACGCTGGCTTAAGCAACCTTTGAATCACACAGAGTTGATAAAAGAATGAAAAATTCCTCATAATTCTACAGTGTCAAAGAGCAATGATTTGTGAGAATGAATGAAAGATCAACTTACAAATGTTTCTCTTTAATGAGAATAATCTCATAGAGAGTAATTCATCTGTGAGATGAATCTGTGTAATAATCATACAAGAATCTTATGAAAATAATTGAGAGTTAACTGAAACTCTTCTGTATGAAAGATATGAGATGAATCTGTATGATAGTCAGAGAAGAATCTGTAGACTATAAAGAATTTTATAAAATAAGAAACTGAGTGACAGACTCTTTTCTCTTCATAATAACAAGAGATTTTTTCTCACTGAGATTTTTTATAGATGTGAAGAGTTTTTAATGAGTATCACTACAGTGCTGAGCTGACTATGAAGTCACTCAGTGAAAGGCTTCACAGATAAAGTCTTAGAGAGAGAGAGATATGTAAGAAATCTTACTTCTTACAGATTCTTTACTTCTATTTCTATCTCTTATGTAATTAATAGAGCTAGTAGCCCTTGACTACACACAACTATATAAACTGAAGTTCATAAATACTATTCACAACTCAGCTTAAATACTATTATACATTTAATCTCTATATTTTATCTTTCTACTGTGAACACTTCTAGTAGTTAACAGTATATATCATGCCAAGCTGCAAACATCTGAATAATCACCTGTGAGTACTTATTCTTACACTTACAGAGTTCTTTAACTTATTCTTTAAATAAATTTTAAAAACAGATTAGTAGAATCTTTTATAATTATTCTTTAAATAATTTAGTTAATTCTTAACTTTAGTATAGTAAAGATCTGTTATTATATAGATAACAGCTTCTTTATCTTTTATATTATATAACTGAACTTATAAGTCAATTTTAAATACAAACTTATAAAAGCTTTTATAAATTATAATTCAATAAGTAATCTTAAGTGATTATAATTTAAGAAAGTTTCTTTTCAGTTTATAAATATCTCTAAAGATTATATCTAAAGACTTAGTTTAAGAGTGTTTACAGATAGTAAGTATTTCTTATAAAAAGATAGCTTAATTCTATAAAAGATTCTCAAGAATGTTCTTCACTAAGATTGATTTATTTATAAATTTAAAGAGTTTCTCTGTTATAGATATAGAGAATAATATTCTATAAATAATTAATAAGTTCTCTAAGACTTCTTTTCTAAGAGTTATTTATAATTTAGATGACTGCTTCTAAGTGTCTGTAGTAGAATTTATAGAAATTAAAGTATATAAGTTTCTAGTTCTTTTAATTATAATAGATGATTACTGACTGACTGAGCTTGAAATATAAGAATAAATACTCACAGATAATTATTCAGATATTTACAGCTTGATATAATATATACTATTAACTACTAGAAGTATTCACAGTAGAAAGATAAAATGTAGAGATTAAATATATAATAGCATTCAAGCTGAGTTATAAATAGTATTTGTGAACTCCAGTCTATATAGTTGTGTGTAGCCAAGGGCTGCTAACCCTATTGGTTATGCAAGAGATAGGAATAGGGGTAAAGGATCCGCGAGGAGCGGGATTTCTTACAGCATGGCATGGTGATGGATTTACTATATTAAGCTTGCTAGCCCCCTTCTTCCATTTAGGAACTTGAATCAATCAGTTCCCTTCCCGTGGGGTTGTGGTGAATGATGATTACACTAGTTAACCAATAATGCGACAACCACGCCAGTTCATGACAGCGCAATTCTTCTATCTATCCCCCAGGTCTCTCTCATCCTCTCTCATCTTTACGGACACAATTGTTACCTGCGTCAATTCTTCCATGGATACAAAGTGCGCTGGTGGTGATTGAGCTCTTTTGCCCTAGTAGCCTACATCATTTAGGTTTGCTGTTCTGGATCGCTAGTTATTTATTTATAGTAGCGCCCGTTTTCAATTAAGTTAAGTTAGTTAAGTTAGAGATCAGCCAAGCCACCCCAGACGACGATCTCAGGGCGGGCAAGGGACAACACACACGATGTCAGATGCGCTTCTGTTGCCATGTCTTGCAACAATGAGCTGGGGCCTCGGGAAGGCCGACTCGTTTTCTTTTTTATATTTTGATTTTATTTTTTTTACTACCTCGCCAGGAGGCGATCGTGGCGGCAGCTACTACTGGGCAGTTTAACTGTAACTAACTAATAACTGCTGCCTCGTTCTGTTTACTCTCCCATCCATCTGTCCAAGCTAAGGTTCATAAAAAAATAATCCCTTCGCTTGTTGCTTCCTGTTGTCCGCGGCAACTTTTGCCTCACAACCTAACATATATTCGTTTCTCCTCTATTTCCTAATTTGGTGGCGAATATATATATACTTCAAAACCAATAATAGCTTCTTGTTTTCCCAAGATGCACCTGGTTTATGGCCGTCGCTTCAACCTTCCCAATCCTGGTGATCCAGAGTTTTCCTGGCTAGCATGACCTATGGTCTAGCATGTGGATACCCACTATTCTTGGTATTTTGCCATCATATCATATCATGGTCCGGGGCTATAAGAAAGGAAGAAGAAAGTAGCTAGTTTTTCATGGAACTGCCAAGTATATATTATACTTGTTTCAACGATCCTGCCTCCTGCCAACGGGTTGTTCATACTAACATTATCAGGATTCTGATGAACCTGTACACTCATTCAAAACATATACTCCTTTACGCTCATTTATACATCCTATTCCTGCACTCTCCACAGATAACATACACATACACATACACACCCGCAGACACATCCAAGCGGATAAACGAAGAACAAACATGACCACCCAATTGCAAACAGAATCACCCTTAACGACATCATCGTCCTGGATAGACGATGCAGAATTCCTCTGCTTCAGCCCGAACTTTGCTCACTACGAGCCCCCCTCCACGAGCCCGAAAGCCCATAAATGGCAGCGGGTCCCAATGCAATATGAGCACGAAATGTACCTCCAACTCACAGCGGGCGACGACGGCATCATTGAGAAAACGGCAAACCAGCTCTATCTGGAGGTAAATAGAATAATCCCTCTCTTCAACAGCCGCTTATCATACTATATACCCCATGCTCTTGCATGTCTTTTACATTTGCACATGTATATACATGTGCAAATAAATGAAGTCAAATCAACTTCCGGAATTCCCTCTCAGCCCGCCCACTATCTAGCCCTATTTACACCCCTTACTCACGGAGTTTCATGAATGAATCCAGGAACGACGACGCCGCCTACATTCTCGATCTCAAGACCCGGCCGTCTCCGGCCCGCAAGAAAACTCCCCGAGCCCTATAGACTTTGAATGTGCCGAGATGGAGCGGATACGAGCTGTTGAGCGCCAGCGTGGGGGGCCCGTGCGATCCGCTTCGACTGTACACCCGTCGTCGTCGACTACGACGACGACTACGACTACGACTACGACTACGACTACGACTGCGACTACGACTACGACTACGAGTACGAGTACGACTGAGCAAAGTAGTCCGCAGGACTCGTCGGAGCCGAGAACGATGGCGACGATGATGACGAGGGATGACTGGCTCTTTTGCATTTGAAGAGAAGGGGGCAATGTGCTCTTTTGTTTATTAACTGTGTTTTGCATGTATTATGATGAGATATGACAGACTTCTCTTGTGTTTTTATATGCTGAGAACTATTTTTTTGTGCTCTCCTGTTTTTAGCCTGGGTGTTGGGATATGTGGGATATTTAAATTTTGGTCAAATGGGCGTTGAATTGTCAATGGTGGGGGGGTTTTTGGTTTTTTTTTTTGCATACATCCATTTACATCAATTCGATGAAGAATTAGTTATGTAGCAAAAAATGGTTATTATTTTCTATTGCGGTTTGCGGGCAAATATCACCAAATATGAAATACGGATATTGCATCTAGCCTAAGTATGACCATAAAATACCTTAGCTAATTAAAAGTGATTAGTTAAGGTATAATAACATGGCAGCTCGGAAGGAAAATAAGAGGGAGAGAAGGGGAAGAAGGCATAAAAACCCTCTGAGCTGAGAGTGAATGGACATGAATCACTTCATGGCAAATAGGTAAAAAATATGAAAAACAAACAAGGCCTGAGAATCAATTAACACACAAGTATCCCATTTGCGATAAAACCACACATAATTAAAATGTGAAACAAGTAGGGAAGTGAATGCAGAAATACATCAATAATAAGCAATTCGTCCCATCCCATCCATCACACCCTAATCTCGTTAAATCATATTCAAAGAAAAGGGGGGGGGGGGGTTATAAAAAAAATAAAAAATAAAAAAAAATAAAAGGTATCATGAATGGCCCGTCCCAACAAGTCCACCTTCCACTCCTTTCCCATGCGGCTTATGACCATGGTAACTCTCCCCCCCCTCCATCTCCATCTCAACAATAAACCGCTCCCAAGTCGCTAGCACCCCCTGATAAAACTCCACATGCTTCTCCGCCAACGCTCCCAGCGTATCACGGAACTCCACGGCCTTAATGCGTTCAAAATCCGCCACTTCCCGGACGACCTCCTCATCGAACATCTCTGAGGTGGTCTTGGAACTTTCGACTTCCCGCGTTAGTTCGTCGATGCGTAATTCTAGTTTGCGGATGCGTTCGCGGCGGGATTGTTCGTGGTCGACGCCGCGCATGTCTTCCATTTTGGAACGGATGAAGGAGGCTGGGTTGCTGGTAAGTGGGTTGGGGGAGTAGTAAGAGGCCGGGTTGTTGGCTAGGGAGTCGCGATCGAAGACGGCTTTGTTCCTGTAGTCGACAAGGGCTTCAAAGTCTAATTGTTTCTGTTCGCGGGTTTTTAATAGGGATTTCAGGGAGAGGATATATGCTTCCATATCCCGTAGACTGCCCAGGTAATTTTGATCGGTGTGGTCTTTGAGATTCCTTATACCCCGTGCTGTCTCTTCTACTGACGCAGCAAAGATTTGCAAGGGTGCCTCGACGTCTGGCTCGAGCAAGACCAGCTTGCGAAACTGCGTGGCTAGTTCGTTGTAGTCGGTTTCTAGATCCGATTCTCTTCTGGATACCCTTGCCACTATCTTCTCGACGTGATTCAAGTCTTCATCTAGTTTATCGGCTTTCTCCCTCACCTCAATGAACCGCTTGTCAGGTTTATGCACCTTGGTGAAGGCGTTTACGAAAGTGTCTGCAAAATTATCGAAAATCCCGGTTGGTCCGCCGCCGCCATCAGACGTACTGGTGGAAGTACGTGATGGGCGAAGGCGCATATGCGCGTTCCAATCTGCTGATTCAAGGAATACAACGAGGATGGGAGCACGGCGGAGAACGGGGTGGAGAGATAGCCGCTTGAGGAATCTGTGGAGGGACCAGGCGCGACGGTTGGTAAAATCGGTGCCAAAACGATCCCCGCGCACGTATTCCATCTTGTGCTTGTCAGGAAGCGGAGGGACGGCGCATGCTGGATATTCGCGGAATAGTGTGTTGTACAGGAAATTGAAATCTGAATAGCGACGACGGACAGCGAAATCTGGCTTTTGGAAGGATTTGAAGTCGGTCTGGCAGAGTTACCGGAAAAAAGATATGTGTCAGCTCTGCGGGGGCTATGCGGGATATGTACTATTTTGTATGTGAGAGAGAAGCGGAGTGAACACCAACATGGGTCGTGATGAGATAAGATACATAGGCATCTTTCGTGCCACTGTTTTCCTTCAACGGCGAATCCACTGTGCATTCAAGTATGCCATCTGCAATTCCAGCAAGGTCACCTCCAGAGTGTGTAGAAAGCGGCGGCCCTTCCTCGCCGGTCGAGCTCATCCTCCGTTTTCCGTTGACATCATAGTCCGATCTCTCAGGTCCCTCAGCATCGGTTCCGGACGTGGTTGGCCTTGAGACATCGCTATCAGGCCCATTCCTCCAAGACACGCTGTCAAAGTCGCTATGGTCCATTGTGGTCCGACCTCTGAGGGAACCTGGGGTATGAGCTAGCGTCAGCAGGCGGAGTCGGGCAGCTGGGGATGGAGATTCTAGCTTCTAGTCGTGGTCATAAAATAAATCCGAACATCCAGGGAGCTACAGCACAAATAGGTCAGTCCAGATATCCGTCTAATGAATCCGCGCCAGTGTGTAGTGTGATAAGAGAAGCAGAGGCGGTGCTCAGGCAACTCCGTTTCGGGAAGCGGGATGGAAGTTGGTCTGCTTGGACAGTCATCAGTCACGTGACACCTCTTGAGCCAGAATCTCTTGGCGTCGTCATCGCCAAACCGCACTTTTCTTGTGGCTGAGTAAGTAGGTTCCATGATAGAAACATTCTTACAGCTTACAGAGCAGTGAGAACCTTTGCAGTTTCTGGAAAAAATGTTATTATGTCCCATTTGGGGCCAGATCATAATGTGATAATAATTGAATAAGCTGTTCTAAATAAATCTGGCTGTCCCTGCTTTCGAGTCCGGTAACCTTTTCGATCGTGTCCCGCCCCGCCCCGCCCCGCTCCACCCCCACCTGTCAGGGAATAAACATGCTCCACCCCCCCCCCTCGGTCCCTCGCACAATAGCGCTCTCCGCCTCAGCAGCTCGTCAATCAAACAACCAGAAAAAAACTAACACAGGACATTAAAACATATCTCTCCACCCCTTCAGACAAGCCTCATAGCCGCCCCCTTAACATGCGCGATCCTCAAACACAACGCATCCCTCCCCTGCCTCATCCTCAACAAAGACAGCGTAGCTTGCAAGTTATACTGATCGAGCGGCGACGATGGCGGGAACGCATTACCAGCCCCCGTCGTCTGGTCCCAGAGGATCTCCAAGCCCTCGAAGGTAAAGTCTTCCATCAGGTGCGGGCTGCGCGATTGGATCTCGTTCTGGATTAGGCGCAGGAGGGCGCCGTGGGTTATACAGGGGTCGATGAGAATTGGAGTGGAGAGGTGGGAAAAGCGGAGCATTACGGGGATTAGGGCGGGGGCTAGGGTCATTGTGGTGTGGTGAGTGGGTGATCGGAGGAGGATTCGAGGGGCTCGGTGAGTTGTATAGATAGTATGGATTTGATTAACGCCGTTGGTTTGAATGATGGGGGTTGATATTAGTATATATTTATATATATGCTTTGGCTGGCGAGATATCTAGGGCAGCAAGCTTTCCCCAACTCAATGGGATAGATATTTCGAAAATATTTCAGATATTTCTGCTGGCTTGTCGTTGTGAACCTCCCGTCCTCAAGACTCACATCAACGTTAATCTCAGGGTGTGGCGTATTTGTATTTTAACTCCCGTTCTCTGCAACCGTCGTACTTGCCGTTGACATACGTTACTCGTCAGATTATCATCATAAGTTACTCAATGTCGTGCATCTCGTAACATACATATATTGTGTGCGACGGTAGCAGCCCCGCAGCACCCGGTGTCCAACAAAGAATGGCTGACCGAATGCACGAATCGGCCATTCCAGCTTCCATGGCTTGCATATGCACATTAGCTTTATCAGGTATACCACTCCCCCTTCTCTCTCCTATTCAACCCCCCCCCCCCCTTCTTCATCTCAACCTTCCTCTCCCGATCCTCTGAAAACCCCTCCCACTCAACCCTCGTCCACCCCACCCCTCTCAACCCCAAACCATCCCGCCTTCTCCTTCAGAAAGATATGTTTCTGCGGTAACCCTTTCAACACCTCCGCAGTGTCAACCTGGCCAAAATTTCCATCAATGAAGCCGGCCGCCGGGCCCAAAACTTTCCGGCTCGACATCATACTGCATGGAAACTGTCGAACCGCACGATTCACAGAAGTCGCGCGAGGCTATTTAGCTGAGCGCCTTAGTGTGGGCGCTCCATTGTTGCTGCTGGTTGGGGTTTTGGGGGGGTTGTTTGTAGATGGGGTTGTGGAAGTTGCAGTGAGTTAGATGGAGATGGTATGTGGTGGAGGTGAAGGAGGTTTTGGGGCAGAGACAGCTGCCTTTAAGAATGGGTGGTAGAGGCATGGTTGGATATGTTTTCTAGCATCGGAGTTAGAAGTAGATAGGCTCGGGGTTTTGTTAATGTTTGATAACTCCCGGTTGCATGTGCTGGGTACCTATTAGGCTTATTTACAGATATCCAGAAATTTATCACACATGTGAATTTCTTATTGTCCTGGAGGGGTCTCTTGTTCTTGTATGACACCACCGATTTGGTCCCGTATATGCATAGCCTTTTACAACCTCTATAGTGCCTAACAGCCAGCTGTGTGAGTAACTCTGGCTTTGACAAGATGTACTACTGAACCGCTTACCGCATATTGTGTGGTGAAGGGAAAGGGAGCTTGGAATTAGCAGAAAATTGAGTAAAGAGGAAGAAGGAACATATAACAATGCCCAGATGAAGATATCTATTCTTCTCAATCCCTGTCAATATCCGATCTCCGTGATATAGACGTACACGTACAGTACATGCAAATGCATATATGGTTATGCCTCGAATCGATCCATGAAAAAGCGACGGACAGAAAGCTGATTGGATATATATGCCTGAACGCCAGATCGTAAAGACCTCTTGATAGGAACATCAACGCCTCCCAGAAGAGCTAGACAACATGGCAAAATGTAATGGTAACACATAAACAACCAAAAGCAGAAGCGCAGAGGCGCTTCGCTCTAATGCCGGGAATACCATATCTCCATAGAACAATCGAAGGACCAAGGCTTAATTAACTCCCTGAAATAGGTAGCAAGGGGCGAAGATGAACAGATAAAAATCAAACAACAAAAGGTAACAGGCATTCAGGGGTCGGAAAATATATATAGTTAAAAAGGGGGTGAAGTAAAAGAACTTTAAAGGGAACGCGCAAAAAAAAAAAAAAAAAAAAAAAAAAAAATCTAAAAAGCTCATCAAAAATGAACAAAAACACAAACCCGCTATGTCTTCTCACTTAATCCACCACTACCACCACTACCAGCAGAACCACCAACCCTCTTCTCATCATCCTCCTCATCTCGATACGGCCCATCACTCCCGGAGTCCGATAACTCCATCTCCCCAGTCCCATCATCGCTCAAAAGATCCTCATCACTCTCCCCCGCAAACGCATCATACAACTCCCCTCCCTTCTTCTTCCTCTGCTTCCGTCCCAGCCGACCAACACCACCAGCACCCATATGTCCCGCCCCATCGCCATCGTCATCCCCACCACCATTAAGCGGATCCGTGTCGTCGCTCCCATCAATCATCTCAAACTCATAATCATCACGCGGGTTGTTGCGGAGGCGTTTCCGGCGCTGGACGAGGAAGTAGACGCCCAGCGCGGCGCAGAAGATGAGGATGAGCGTGAGCGAGCCGTAGATCCAGACTTGGGTGCGTTTGGAGACGCCGAAGGTCGGGAAGAAGGAGGGGAGGAAGCTGTCGGGTTTGGATGGGTTGGCGCTGTCATGGTCGTCAGGACCTGAGGCCGAGGTAGAATCGGTGGGCTTCGCGTTGACGGGGCGGTCGACGCCGTCTGATGGGATGGAGGTGGGGGTGGGGCGGCTGGGTCCGCCGGGGGTGGTTATGGGGGTGGTTATGGGGGTGGTGGTTACGACGGCGGGTTCGGTGTCGTGGTCGTGGTCGTTTTCGGTTGGCAAGGGGTGGAGTTCTTGGATCTTGGGGTTGATGGCTTCGCCCCATAGGTTTAACTGCCAGTCGATGAAGGTGCCGTTGTGTTCGTTGACGATTGTGTCCTTGACAATTACGGTCCATTCGCCGATGCCGGATTCGCCCCTGATATGGTAGGAAAATGGTGTTAGGTTTTTGTTTTTTTAAGATCTAACTGGGGGTTTGAAGATATGATATATGATCGGGGCCCGAGGAGCTATTCCTTTCATCGGGTTTGCTACTTACCAATGAGCGACGGACATAAATGTCCAGTCAACATATCCAACAGCGTGATCATCATTTTTCCTTGTCGTACTTAGAAGGCTGACGACACCAGACGGGCTGTGAAGTTCAACACTTAAATCACCGCGGCGGGTATGGTTGACATTCATCGTGAGAGTAACATGTTCTATACGCTCGATGTTATTCATGTCCAACATCTTTTTGGTGACTTCGAAGGAGCTGGCAAGCCCTGTCTCTCCCTGGGGGATTGGATGGTTAACCTGCTGCCAGGGGGAATGCATCCAGGCTTGCGGTTTCACCAGCTTCCACTCCTTAGCTAGATGGACAGCAGAGTATGCGTCTACCTTCCCGTAGCCGAACTCATGGCTGAACTGCTTTCCGATACTAGTCTCCTGCCAGTCGCTATCGTTTAAATGGACCGGGATCGCAGTCTCTAGGAGGATATATTGGACATCACGCCAGGTCAACTCGGGGCGGACACTTAATGCAAGCGCCACAACGCCCGCAACCAGCGGGCCAGCAGCAGAGGTACCACCATGTCTTGTTGCACATGAATCCACTCCAACGTCAGTGGTGTGTATGGCCCCGTTGGCACCACTGCTATACGTTACCACGAGCTGCGCGGAGCACCACTCAGAATAATACGGGTGATTATCATCGCGATCGACAGCTCCTACGGTGACACTGTATATGCTGTTCGTGTAGCCATCAAAGTTGCAGTTGTCTTCATTTCCAGCACCGTTGCCCGCCGCGAACACGTATATCGAACCTCTCCCAGCTCTTCCCTTTTGGATTCCGTTGACAAGTGCCCGCCGGATGAGTATACCGGGGGCATCCATGGTGGCGCCATCGTCGATAGGGCCCCAGGAACAGGAGTATATCTGGTTGTGCTGATATTTGTAGTTGATCGAAGCGGCTTCATCCTCGTCTGTCACGGGTTTGGAGAGTATACGGATCCCAGAAACTTTGCTATCATAAGCCACTCCAACGCCACAGACATTATTTCGCACCGCTGCAATCTCTCCAGCGCACCGCGTACCATGTTTATCGTCAAATAGTCGGGGCTTGGGCACGGGCGACTTGTCATTGTAATCATAAGATCCCTCCGCAAAGTAGTTATCCATAAGATCATTGCTGTTCATATCCAACCCATCATCCACAATGGCGGAGATCACCCCCTCGCCAGTTATGCCTTCGAGCCAGAGGCCTGTCACGTTGAGATCATGGCCCACCTCAACGGTGTTAAACAGATGCCACTGATCGGCGAATATTGGGTCCTCAATTTCCAAAGTAGTTGCGATATGACGCAGTCTTTCCGTAGCGTTATAACCCTCATCTTCCTGAACTTGCGGCTTCGACTGGCGGGCCTTAGTTTTTGCTGTTGTCGGTGGTGGTGGTGGGGGCGCCCGTTTCACCATAGGAGGTCTCAAGGTCAACTTCTGCGACCACAGTATCCCGTCCAACACATCTGTCACCACGGGATCTTCCATACTCGAGTGCGATACATCCCGTTTCCTCCGCCTCCTCCGGAGCTTCAAGTCGTCTAATGTTTTGCCTAAATCCGAACCTGGCCGGCCCTTTGGTCTGGAAAATGTATGGTGGTCTGCCAATTCACCGACTTGGCCTTCATGTGTGGCTCCTAGTAGCTGCGCAATCTGGAGTGGCGAGACGGAGGGATCAAGATGGAGTGCAAAGTAATCGTTGGCATCGTGGTTACGAGGTAATATGGATGCGCGTGCGGTGTTGATCAAGAGTAGGGCAACGGCACCGGCGGCACCAATGAGTTTCATGCTGTGAATCTCCTACTTCCTTAACTTCTTGTTCCTTGCCGGTATCGAAGTTACGGGGTCGCTGTACACGGCGACACCGGCCAAACCGGCTCTGTCGCCGGGAAAGATGTGCAAAGAAGGGCGTGAAATGCTGATTGCCATCAACCATAACAACCGCGAACCTTACTCCAAGAGTTCTTTGTCACAAAAGCAGGGTGTTTGCGCGGAGGGTGGTTTTTTTGGGGGGGGAGGAGGAGGATGGGTAAAGGAGGGCGGAAAAAACGCTACGCAGCTAGCTCCCCGAGTATTCCTAGGCTATCGGCGAAGAGTTGATGGTGTTCTTCTTTTCCAGTGGTAGAAACCGACTTGAATACTAGTAACGGCTGGGTGAAGATAAGACCTTAAAGATAGGATAGGGGACAAGCTGCCTGGAGGAGAGATACGTAAACCGGTAGAACTAGACTCCCAAATGTAGACCAAACGGAAGGTTGGGAACAAACGAGGAGGAGAAATAGGTATGGAATAATAGAAGAGACGGTGAGTGTGGCTGTAGATAATAATAAATAGTATTGAATAGTTAGGGGACGTTGAAGATGCCAGCACGTATAATATTAAATAGCAAAAGATGCAACCGTTGCTTTGAGTACGGAGTACTCCGTAGTGATATTATTTAAAATAACTACGCAGTAGTTAACGTTAAATACACGCGGGTTGCCGCGCGGCGATCACTTGTACTGTAACTAACTACATACTTTGCTGGAGTTAAATATCTCGTCTCATCAACAATAAACATACCCAACTGTTCTAGTAACCGGGTCCTCTTCTGTATTATTATTAAATATTACTCTACATCTCCAATGATACCAAATTCGCATGCAAGCAAGGCTGGTTTTCTCTTCCTCCAGACTTCCTGTAGACTTCCTCTAGACACTAGGTTCTCGTATTATTGTTGTCTCCCCCGGATGGTTAGGTAGAAACCTTACCTTGGAGAAGTTATAACTATCACATGACATTGAATATCTAGTCAAAGTTTTTTTTTGTCCCATTTATTATTATTAAATTAATATTCCGACCATAGATTTCCAACGGTCGGCGCTTCAAAGTTTGGATTTCCTTTCTTTATGGGGAGCGCCAGAGGAGTTTGACAGTCCGGTCGTTGGTAGGCACAACCTGCGTTTCGAGTTCTCCGTAGTTATTATATTAAAATTAATATACAGACATGAACGGGGCTGAGGCTCGTATGTTATACCCTGCGGATGTCAATTCCTGACTACCGTTTTAACCAAGCACTGAACAATGCTTGGGGGGTTTACATCACGACTTACGCTTCAGATGATGTATCTATATATATGTGTGTGTGTGTGTGTGTGAGAGAGAACATATCGCATATGGTGGTGTACACATGTAGCCCGTATTTGTGACCGTGGTTAATAACTATCCAATGGGTATCAGAATTGCTACCTGAGTCCTCCTGTCAATGAAAGTATCCAAGAAACAAACCGCTGTCAATTGACCGGCCAGACCGCCCGTTTATATGCTTCGTCCAGCGCCTGTCCCGACTGAAGAGTAAAATAATTCTTGAAATACAGTTTGGAGCTTCCATCTTGCAACCAGGCAAAAAAACTTTCCGGTAAGTTATTATTATTTAGTATATATTATATATATATATACATCCATCTCGTGCAACTTCAGAATAGTTTCATAATAACCAATGCTCATTTTACATCCGTAACTTACTACTGTCGCTGATTGGTGTCGGCTCTCCAGCCACTTCTACCGCGACAAAGAAACAAAGATGGCTGGGGGGCGGCAGATCATTGTACGCTGTACGCTGTATTTCTCCCCGAAAGAACAACCAGCTCTCTTATCTCCACCTCACAGCCATCCTTTTTTCTTTCTCTCTATTTATTTTATTTTCATCTTTCTTGCTGGAGCTGGGTTAATAATACATATATACTCATTGCTCCATGGTCTATCACGTTGGTTTGCATTGCAGCGAGCCACACACACTCCTCCGTGTCTCGTCCGTTGTTGGCTGTCCAAGCTGCCCGCCAATCGTCTGCGACCAACACCGCGCTGGGGTCATTTCTTCCTATTTAACGATTTAACGGCCAACAAATACCGTCATAGGGCGGGCTTAGCTACCTTGTTCGTCTGCTTTGCCTTCGCCGCCGTTTTTTTCTCTTCTCTTTCTCAGCTTTAACAACCCCCTTCTACGGCTTTGTTCTGCGGTTCTGGCCTCTGAAGAATTATATACCCTATCTATTATCACCGTCTAAGCGAGTTTTTGATGTCTGGCCGTTGATCTTCGCCGCCCTACATACCCCGGAGCGCATTGCCTAGACATCATCAGAAAAGAACCTCCGAATCCGCTCGAGAAATGTGCGTTTGCGGCTTGCCTTCATAAGCTACGGCTCACGGGAGATATTTCTGAATACTCTTCTGTCCTGGCTTAGTATATAGAAACACCCCCCCCCCCAATTGGGTGCGCCTGAGGCTGCTCAGGTGTTGAAGCAAGCTGTGGCAGGGAGTTTGAGATTGATTGACTGGCAAAATGGCGACCATTTCATCATCCCGTAGACAGTCAGTGCCTGCTCCTGGCCGAAGACAAGCTTCTTATTCCGACCAGAAACCGATCAATGGTGTGGAGAACAATGCTCCATTCACAGACAACCGATATCCTGCCAAACGGGCTACCTCGTACAGCTATGCCAATCATGCTCCTGTCCTCCCTACAGCCCCAGATGTTCCGCGTCCCATTCCCTCTTCCTTCAGAAACTCTTTCAATGCTGGGCCGTCGCGTCGGTTCGGCGAAGAGCCAAAGCCATTCGCAGTGCGGGCTAAAGAACTACAAATAGAGGGAGCTCTGGATGGGCTGGATCACATTTCTCCAGCAAACAGTGCTTCTTGGGTAGAATCCCAACGACAACTGAATGAAGAAACAGGATCTCAAGGAGGCAGGATATCTCCTCATATCGACCTGCAAAACGTGACCATTCGCAAGCCGAGGAATAATAAACGGGCAAAAAACACTCCCCTTCCAGATTCCGCCCCGCCGCCTCAATCCAATTCATCGCTATCGCCGCAAAGTACAAGAAGCAATTCGCTGAATCACAGGAGGGACATACATATGCGACGTGATTGGGCTCCCGAGAAGTCTCCACTACAAAAGCTAGAATTCACGCTGAAAGATTTCAGTAAAGAGGAGAAACGTGCTAGGGTGGAGGAAGCTGAGATGCTTCTCAGGGAGGCAAAGGCCGGTCGTCGAAGTCGCCAAACCAGCCGCGATATAACGCCAACTTCGCAGGCAAGCACAGTCCGCAGACCAAAAAGCACCACAGACCCTTCAAACCTGGAGGAAACAGGCTTAGTCCGGAGTTTGAGTGCCAAGCAACGTGATAGATTGCAACATAGCGCTGTTATAGACTCAACAAAGCCTGATGCTAAGCGTTTCTCAAAGGACGGCCGTGGAGGCTTCGAATATGAAGAGTACCCGCTGCACGAGAATCAACAACAGCCACCACTAAGCCAAGAGCCGGTGCTCAATGAGCAGTATGATGTTCCACGAAATACTGAGCGACAGCGGGGTTGGGAACTTAGTGACACAAGAACGACAACAGCACGGACCGCAGATCAAAGAATGAACGATGCTGCTACGTTACAGAAAACCCAGATTCCATACAATCGCATCCCTGATGATCAAGAGGACGCGAACCACCTCTCCCAACAGACAGCCATACCTCAACCTCAACCCCAAAACTCCGGAACCGTGCAGCGCAGCAATAGCCGCAAGTTGCAGAAGCCGCTACCACGGAACCTCAATCCCCAATTACTAGTGGATCCTCGTGAGCAGAGGAGAGCATTCCCACCGGCTATCGCATCATCATCATCAGCTCCAGTCAACCAAGACATCCGACCGGCTACCAATCGCAACGTTTCGTCTAACAGCAAGGCAGGATCGGATAGGCTAGATGCTGGGAACAATAACACCCCTTCCAACGTGGGCCTTGGCCTGAGCAATACGACACCCCCTCAAACCTCTATGTCCGTAAACCACCCTCAGCCCACCAGGAATGGCAAGGGAAAACAGCACAGCGTCTCTTTTGCTGTGCCTCCCGCAACACCACCGCCAGTATCGGAGTGGAAGAATGCAGACGTTGGGAGGCTGCGTTTAGCAGATTTTGACCTTCGAGATATCGATGTCAAGAAGACTTGGTGGGAAGGTGGTGGGTCGGGCAGGCAACGAAGGGGCAATTCGGTTTCTGCTGGTCAACAACAACAGCACCCGTCGAAGTCGAAACTCAAAAGTAAGACTGATATTTATTTCCTTGGATATATGCTATTATGTTTTGCTATCTGCGAATACTAATCATGCTTGCTTTCATTTCGTAGACAACACGCCATTTAACCCACCCTTGTACCTAGAATGTGGGCCACTCCTCAGGTACACTGGGATGAAATGGGAGCAAAAAGATGGAGTTAATGGGCCTATTGAGCAGGAGGTATGGAGAGGGAGTATTATGATAGTCACTAAGGACTCTGCGTCGGACTACAAGGAACCCCCAACACTTCGGTTTTTCTCTCAGCCTATGAGCTTGCTTCCACCTCCGCCAACTGAGATTAGCGGGGAGAATGGTGAACTTGCGCCAGAGTATGTGGATCCAATTGCCGGCCTCACCAAGCTTGGACGAAATGGCAAGCTACTCTACGTGAAGCCCGTAGACCATCTTGAAGAAGCCAAAGACCTCTCCTTCATTGAAGACGACGACGGGCTCTTTGAAGTATCGCCTAGCCCTATCGACTATACCGCGAGCAATCAAGTTTCGCAACCCCCAAATGCGCGAATCAAAGAGAAAGATGGGGAGTCGGTAGGTAAATACAGAGAAATTAAGGGGGCACGTCTCTACGCAGATCCCGCGAGGGACGTGACGTTCTGGCGATTCAATCTCGAGATTGAGCTGGGCAACTGGCAACAGAGGATTGCGTATCGGATCAACCAGGGCTCCGCGGTTGGATTCTGGGTCCCTGCCAAGGGCCAGTCAATGAACATCATGTTCCACAGCGGCAACGGGTTCAGCGAATCAGCCGATCGCGACAAGTTCAGTGGGCCTGACCCCCTTTGGCGAGATGTTCTAAACACACACCAAACGCTCCCGTTCCATGTTATGGTAGGCGGAGGCGACCAGATATACAACGACTCGGCTCTGTTTGACACAGAACATTTCCGCTGTTGGATGGGCCTACGCGTCCCATATGAAGAACGGTATCATCCATTCAATCTTGACATCAAATCCGAAATGGAGAACTTTTATCTTCAGCAGTATCTGAAATGGTTCTCGCATGGGCTGTTCAGTATGGCCAATTCCCAGATCCCGATGGTGAATATGTGGAATGACCATGACATTGTACCCGGTTATGGCTCTTTTCCGGATCAGCTTATGAGATCACCCGTCATGTCTGGGGCGGGCGAGTTGGCATTTAAGTATTATCTGCTTTTCCAACATCAGAGTGTGCCCGAGGAGACAGATTTGGATGAACCGAGCTGGTTGTTCGGTGCAAATCCTGGTCCTTATATCGGGCAGCGGAGCAGGAGTGTTTTTATGAATATGGGCAAGCGAGTAGCGTTTTTGGGAGTTGATTGTCAAACTGAGCGCACGGTAAGTCAGCTCCCGGAATAGATATAATTTGTAGGCTTCTATTTTTTATTTTATTTTTTAACTGACATGGGTTATTGCAGAAAAACGAAGTGCTCATCGATGATTCTGCTGACCTCATATTCACTCGCTGTCATGACCAAATTATGAAGGGGGAAACAAAGCACTTGATCGTGCTTTTAAGCGTACCTATCGCGTATCCACGCCTGGTATTGTTGGATTCTTTTCCTAATACAATCACCGTAATTCACATGGATTGATTAGTACTGACAACAGAACTGCTAGGTGTGGCTTGAGAACGTTTTGTCCAGTCGGGCGAGCTATCCTGTAAAGGCACTTGGGCGGGCGGGAATATTTAGCAATTTACGAGATAGGTTCGATGTAGACACGGAAACGATTGATAGCCAGTGGACCTCGAAGGCGCATAAGCTTGAGCGCGGCTGGCTGATCGAGGATCTCCAAGAACTCGCTGCGGAGAAATCTGTGCGAATCACTATACTCGGGTATGTATGCCTGAGCTCCTCCTTCAAAATGATATATCTGGTGTTTATACGCAGGCTAATATTCCATCACAGAGGCGATGCTCAAGTCGCGGCAATCGGACAGTTCTACTCCAACCCAAAGCTGCAGATCCCCAAAGATAAAGACTACAGATACATGCCTAATGTGATATCTTCGTCGATTGTCAATGCGCCCGCCTCGGAGATGATGGCGGATGCTCTCAATAAACGTAACAAGCTTCACTTTTTAGATACGAAGACGGTCGAGGACATGCGAGCAATATTTGCGTTTGATGTTGATGGAAAGCCGCGAAACAACAAGCGCCTTCTTCCCAGAAGGAACTGGTGTTCTATTCGAGAATATGCTCCTGGTGAGTCTTCAAGCAAGAAATAACTTTATATAGAGTGACTAGTGACTATCATTCAAAATTCAACCCTGCTAATTGATAAATGTTCCCAGGGTCTACTCCGCCTCAGACACCGACGGAATCAGAACCGCCCACCCCGTCTGCGGGCCGTCCTGGAAAGTTGATGAGATCCCTATCCCTATCTAGAGGCGATGGAAGGCCTTCAGCTCTCCTTCGGAAACTATCTCAGCGCGGCGGTCCCCCACCGTCTCGCAGCCTCTCGTTGCGCGGACTGGAGAAGCGCCGCATGAGCTACGACGGGCTCCCCTCTACCGCAGCACAAGCAAAAGATAGTTACTTCCCGCCCCAACCCCAAAGGCCCATGACGGCTGGAAACCAACAACAAACCGACGATCCAGCACAGCATCCACGACCGGGGAGTAATTTCCTCCGCCGTCGCACCGACCTATCCGCCAAGGAGATTAAACGTGAAGCGAAGGGTGGAGCCTTCGTTTTGCAGAACTTCATAAACCTGGAGGGAGGGCTTGATATCACCTTGAACTGCGAGACGAATTCGCGGGACCCGGCGGGAATCACAAGTCCGTATCGAGTGCTGGTGCCTGCGCTATGGTTTGAGGGGCCATTTGAACCGAGTGAACCGCGGGAGAAGAAGCGTTGGTGGAAGATTGGCGGGAGGAAGAAGCAAGAGCAGGAGGAGCAGCAGGAACAGCAGGGGCAGGAGGATGGGGATGGCGGCGCGGCACCGGATATGGGGCAGCTGGGTTATGGCAATGGGCATGGGCATGGGCATGGGCCTAGTCATGGCCGGGGACTCGAGCAGGAGCCGGACCGGGAACAGGTACTCAGCCGTGCTGGGGAAGGTTATCAGAGACGACGGTATGATGATGATGGGTATGGGCAGGGGGAGGAGGAACCTCATCCCCACCAAGGTCAAGATAATGATGAATATGATGAATATGATGATGATGACGTCGGATTACCACCGCTCCCACCACCTCCCCAGCCGGGATACAGCGGGGTGGATGCGTATAAGCCGAGGAAGAAGTGGCTTGGGATCATTTAGCGGTTTTGTGGTCGTTTTGTTATCTTTCTTTTTCTTCTGCTTCTTCTTCTTCTTTCTATATTTATATTTATATTTTGTTTTCCTATTCTGGTTTGCTCTCTTCTGTGCTTTTGGTTTGATATGGAGGAATTTGAGGGTTACAAGACAACTAGTTCAGGTATTATTTTCTTTGCTTTTCTTTCATGCTGTACCTAACTTGTTAACTACTGGCTGGATACCAACACGCAAATTTTCGAATATACTCTTTTCAACTCAAGAGAGTGTTTTTATTTTATTTATTTTATTGCCTTGTCCTATGCCTATTCCCCAACACCAACCTCCTTTATACTAATATTCCAGGCACATTATCATATGTGCGAGTAAAAGCAATGATCATTGTATCACATATTCTGAATCTCCTTGAACACATCCGGCCATTCCATCCTGTCTAAATAGCTGATATCTCGGTATTTTTTTGACGCTTGGTAACATACAAAAGAGGCCTGGCCATGGCGAGGGGGAAGAGTCAACACAAACAGTGTTGAAGAGTCACTCACCCGCCCAGATTTTAATTTAGTTATTCTAAAAAAAAATTAAAAAAATAAAAAATCCCCCCCCCAAAAAATCCCCGCTAATTCTCTTTGTATAGGTTCAATTCAACTTGGATTAGCTACAGCAACAGTCCTGGTGCAATCTCCCGTCGGAAGGTTTTGATGCAGCTGTATCAATTCAAATGCAGAGTCAAGGGATTGGCTGCGGAGACGAGAGGCTAGATGGGATTCTACGCAAGACGAAGCAGGGACAAGCAAGATAAATATCAAGAACGGGAGAGACGAATGATGTGGAATCTAGCGTTGAGTGGGATGAGCCAGCTATGTAGCTGGCGGTGTTGTTATATATAATATTTAGTTTGTTCTGGTTAAAACAGTCATTCATAATGAATCTAGGAATATAAGTAGAATATTTGCAAAAGCATTTTGTCTGTTGAATCAGGGAGTGTCAGTGGTCTTGAAAGTCTTAAATATATATATAATAAACAGCAAATATATTTGTTATTTTAATACAGCTTGATCAGGCCATGAAGTTAAAAATCACGTATAATATTATAACTAAAGATTAATGATTATTAACTAACAACTAAGTTAGCAACCCCCCGCCACCAAAGCAACATCTTACAACACTGCAGACAGACATCCATAAATAAAACCCTCCAACAACACCATCTAGCATCCTCCTTCCCCCTTCTCAACTAGTATAGAAAGAAGATCATCAAGCTGTTTTCCTCAATTTTCCGCCGCGCTCCCTTCTCCCCCCTCCGATCCACCGTCGGTCTCTCTGTTGCGGCTGCGGCCTCGTTCCAGAACAGACCCTCCCCCTCCGGCGCTGCCCTCTCCCTTACCCCCACGACGCCATTGAGCGTCAAGACTGCCCATATCTCGTCCAGAATGGCGCACTCCAAAGTTGTCAGTGAGTACTTCAATTCTTCTGGACCCGATATAGTATCAAAACATCTGGAAGCTACCCCCTCCACCCGACCCCAATACACATCTTCTAACCATGAGGGGAGGGCAAAAAAAGTCATCGGCTCCGGCCCCGCTGCGCACACAGCAGCCATCTACCTCTCCCGCGCTGAGCTAAAGCCCGTCCTGTACGAAGGAATGATGGCCAACAACACCGCGCCCGGCGGACAGCTCACCACCACCACCGACGTCGAGAACTTCCCCGGCTTCCCCAACGGCATCAACGGCTCCGAACTCATGGACGGCATGCGCGCCCAATCCGTCCGCTTTGGCACACAGATCATCACCGAAACAGTCTCGCGCGTCGATCTCTCCTCGCGCCCCTTCAAAGTATGGAAGGAGTACTCCGATGGCCCCAACGATGCGGCCGCGCACACGGCCGATGCCCTCATCATTGCCACGGGCGCGAATGCCCGCCGACTCGATTTGCCCGGTGAGCAGCAGTATTGGCAAAACGGCATCAGTGCGTGCGCGGTGTGTGACGGGGCCGTTCCTATTTTCCGCAACAAGCCATTGTTCGTGATTGGCGGGGGCGATTCGGCCGCGGAGGAGGCTATGTTCCTGACCAAGTATGGAAGTAAAGTGACCGTGTTGGTGCGCAAGGATAAACTGCGCGCCAGCAAGACGATGGCGAAGAGACTGTTGGCAAATCCTAAGGTTGAGGTGAAGTTTAACACCGTTGCGCTCGAGGTGCTGGGCGAGCCGGAGCCAAGGGGCCTCATGACCCATTTGAAGATTAAGAATGTAGTATCTGGTAATGAGGAGGTAGTGCCTGCCAATGGGCTCTTTTACGCTGTAGGACACGATCCTGCGACGGCACTGGTTAAGGGGCAGGTCGAGACGGATGCGGAGGGTTATATTCTTACGAAGCCCGGGACGAGTTATACCAGTGTCCCTGGCGTGTTTGCTGCGGGTGATGTGCAGGATAAGAGATACAGACAAGCCATTACTAGTGCGGGTATGTATTATCATTATATTCCTTCCGTCTCTACTTTTTTCTTTTTTTTCTTTTTTCTTTTTTTTTTTTTTTTTTTTTTTTTTAGATGTCCACTGGACTCATATTATCTCTTTTGTGATTGGTATATAGGATCCGGTTGTATCGCTGCGCTTGAAGCTGAGAAATTCCTTGCCGAGTCGGAAGGGGCTGATGAACCTCCTGTCGTTACCTCGACGCTCGAACATTCTACCACTAACGAAGGAGGGAAAGGAGCTCCGTCATTGGAATATACGTCAAATCCTCTGCTGTAAGAAGAGATAGATAGGTAGCAGGAGGGTTTTCTAGATTAGCAGCGAAGAAAACGGGATTGGAGCCAGCACTGGCTTCCTGGTGCTCTTCGGAACAGGAGCAAGTGGTCGAAGGCGATTCTATTTCTTTTTGTTTTAGATTATTATTATACAATTTTTGCTTCCGTGCCCCAATAAAACTCCCATTTGATGGATGAGCATGGGGTTGGCCGGGGGTTAGACGACAATTATAGAAATATCTCTGTTTTCAAATTACCCTCTATGTTGATATATGGAATGGTTTGGCCCCTTAACTAGTTAAGTTACCAGTTAGCTTGGTGGTGGTTGATCGAGCTCTTCTGCCCCAGTGGCCTACACTGAACAGCTCCATGGATTTGCCTAGTGAGAAGGTTAGATGAATAGATTCCGCTAGCACGAGTATCACTCGTCGGCTCTCATTTTATTAACATTTCCTCCGTTTTAATAGAATTGGCATCTCATTATTTTGTTTTTCATCCTCTTTGCCTCTCTGGAGACGGACGGGAAGGGTGATGAAAGGGGAAAAGGAAAGCATAAAACGGTGTACAAACACAGTAATTATACATGCAGTACAATTGTGAATCAGAATCAATGAAAAAAGAAGAGAAAAAAAAGAAAAAAGAAAAAAGAAAAAAGATTTAGGAGAAATGCAAGAAAACTAAGAAGTAATGCGCCATGTAACGAATGGGAACACTGTGCCTCCCACATATGTCCATCAATGAGAAATTCCCTTAGTAGAAGAAGAAGAAGGGGAAATGACCGGAAGAACCAGACTCCACCCATCCCACGAACTGCCAAATGGACACCTTACCGACTGGATGCCTCTAACTAATGAAAATCAGAGTAGAAGACCAGTGTGATGCAAAATGAAAAATTACCGTACCTATAGAAAAAGGAACATGGCATGCTAACATAATAGCCCGTAATTTTTTGCAACAAGAAACACGAAAGAGAGGAAATAGAAAGCTCCCACGCCACTCAGCCAACCTTCCTAGTTTTTCTCCCTACCTCAAGTCCAAAACCCCCCTTCTGATCCAGGCCCTCAATGCTCTCCAAATGCTTCTTCGTAGCCTGGATCTCGAACGCATCAAACGGATTCGCCGCACACCACCGGTCCTTAACCTCATACGTCTTCCGCTCCCACTCAATGATCCTCTCCTTCCATTTCTCCAGCGACTCGTCGTTTTCACGGCGATGTACAGCGATTTGGTCAAGGTACGGTTGCCGGATGTCCGCAGGGGCATCACGCCACATCTGGCCCAGGGCCTGGCGGATCTCGTCCCGTGGCGCTTTGGCATTGGCGTTTCCTGTGCTGGCGCGTCGGGCGTCATCGCATTTCGATTTGCAGATGTGCCAGTAGTCCTTTTGGTAGAGGAGGAATGGATTGAGAGGTTTTTTTGCTGGCCGTGGCTCGGCGGGGCCGAGTTCGCCAATTATTGCTTCCCACATTGCTTTATCGTAGGCCTCGCGGAGGAAGGATGTTGATGGGAAGGAGTTATTTGCGCGGGGTGCAGCGGTGGGTTTCTCGGCGTGTATGGCATTTTTTGCCGGGTTTCCGGTTGGTGGTGGTTCCTTTCGTTTTCGTCCGTTGGATTGAGTACCATTAGAGGTGGTGCCATTCACCGTTGTGGTAGACATTGCGTTTGCTGTTTTGCTTCTGGTAGGAACAAGAGGCTTGCGGAAAGTGATTGGTCCAATAATGGACTCGAGGATTTCGGACGCAGCACGAAGCCCAGAGAGGTAGGCTCCATGCACAGTAGCCGGATGAGTGCCACAGGTAGCTTCACCAGCGAAGTGCAAATTCCCGATCGGTTTGGCCATAAGGTCATAATCCCCAGGCAGTGCATCTGTACCAACGTAGGAGTAACTGCCATTGGCAAACTTATCCTGACCCCAGCGTGTGACAATGGTTTCTAGGGGATCTGGCACGGCAACATGTTTGAAAATGTTGCGAAGTTGGGATGTAACTTCGCTGAGAATTTCAGAGTCAGTCATCCTCTCGGCCTGGTGAGCAGCGTTACCAGCCATGAGCGCAATCAATACTGGTAGCCCTGTAGTTTTGATACAGTTCCAGAATAAGTAAAATCTGCCGCGGTTTTGGCTGTAGTCTGATTGAGATAAGCTGTTCTGGATTGTAGGTTCCCGAAGAAGACCGAACATATCCCTCTCAGAATCCCAAAATGATTTCTCAAACACGAGAATAACCTTGTTCATGGTTCCAAAACCAAGTCTGTTCACGGGGCCTGTCTTCCATTCCGGCAGAGGTGGCTCGAATTGGACAGATCCCTTTTTGAGCACACCTAGAGGCGCAGTGAAAACGATTTTATCTGCCTGGATAGTTTCACCATCCTCGCAATGGACGAAAGTTTTATTGCTTGACACCCCTCGCGGATCGTAGGATATCTTCGTCACTATCTTACCGGTTCGAACATCCAGTTTATCTGGGAAAGACCAGAGTCCGCGCGGTACTTGCTGGTAGCCTCCCACCACCTGAGCATGCTCGCCTTCAAACTCATTGCCCATATCCTGATCCCAACCGGATAAGCTAAGCTTCCCAACGTTTGCAGCATTAGCATATTCTAGATTCGCAAAATGCCAGTTCAACAATCTCATATCCTGGGGTGTCAACGGTAGGAGTCTTTGGTATTGCCTAATTCCATCATCCAAAACCGTTCCTAGTGATTGTGTTTTGGATTTTCTCGCAATTGCATCTAAGGATATGGAATCATGACTAGTAACGCCATTCCTCAACTTCCATCCCATTGCTTGACATGCAATGGCTGCTGAATGGTTATTGGTCGCGCCAAGATCAGCGAGCGCAACTCCGGCTGAGGTTTTAACATTTGGAGTTTTGTGGCTAACACCCCTTCGAACACGCTTCGCGGGCAACAGCATTCCTATTGTCCCTGAGGCCGCCGCTTCTTCATATTGTCTAATGGTGAGCCCATCGTCGGCAGACGAGTCACGGCCCGAATCGATCAGTTCCCTGTCACCTTCGGCTACAGGAGCGATCACTGCCTTATGACGGTAAGCCCCGGAGCGGTCAAGAATATCATTGTAAAGTTTCTCCGCCATTGCATCCCTAAGCTCATCGACGGGCGTACCATCAATGTCGTAAATCGTTGAGATATCTCTTAATAGATGATATCGGAGAGCCAGCTGGGCGCGAATGATTGGATCCAGAGGGTTTCCATGGTCGAATCCCACAATAATTTGTGCTCCCATTTCAGCAGTAGATCGTAAGCCTGGTGCTAATTTATCTGATTGTAGAGATTTGAGAGGGTGCGAATATATTCGTCCACCTATCCGCTTACGACCTTCCAACAAAATCACTTTTGGTGGAGTGGTATTTTCCGGGAATTGATGAAAAAGTCCCTGTAACTGTCTAGCGCAACCTAAGCCTGCCATGCCTGCCCCTATTATAACTACTATTGGTCCATCCTTCCGCCGGCCTCTTTTCGAGGTCATTGGTGCTTTTGGAATATCGATACACCCGAAGTTGATATACCCATTACGAACAAGCCAGTCGTACGCCAAAGACGCTAGATTCATCCATCGATAGTCCTTGGCACAGCCAAGTGCTTCTTCTCTTGTAACGCTGACCATTGGATTTCTTGTCCACAGTCGAAGGATTCCATTCCGAATATTGAGATACACTGTCACGTGGAGATGACAGAGGTCATCCTGCAGCAAGGCCTGTTCGCCTTTGTGCAACGCGTACGGATTGAGTCGCGAGGCGTGAGCCGCAGCAATACATTGTTGAGCATATGTGGATGCCGAAAGTCGCGCGGGTATCGACGACCTGGGTCTATATTTACGATATTCTGAACCCGAATCTGCCGGTTGACTCTTTGGAGTAAGATCGGGGTTCATCTGTGTGCTGGGGGAGGCAGATTTAGGAGGAGGCAAAGGAGATACGAGAGACGCCGAGGTCATCGAACCATTCGGTGTTTCATGATGACTATCGGTGAAGGAATCTCGCTCCCGTGACGAACGATCTAAGCCTTGGGAACTATCCTCTAGAAAATCTGTAGATGAGGTAAGTTGTGAGTCTTTCGATAATAAATTAATTCTCGCATCATATTGGGTTTGCTGTTGGGGTAATTGACTATCAGGACTTGGTATCTGTGGTTTTGCGGCCTGGAGGGTTTTAATGGTGACGTCTGCGATAGTGTCGTTTACGGTTGAAGCATGGGCGTGGAATTCGCTGCCATGATGAATCTCTAGCATCTCCTGCAATGAATCTTTTTCACAAAGAGTGGTTTTGGTTAATTCCGCACGGTCGTGGGTCTCAGTAAGCAAGTTTCCAGCCATTCCGAACATGGCAAAATTTGAGAATATGGCTGAGAAAGCCGATGGGAACTCTGCGTCGAGGTTTCCAGTACCGATTCACCCCCTGTGTACCAACACTGGCAAGCACGGTTCAAAATAAAAAAAAAAAATAATGAGGAATATCGAATGGCGTCGGCAGTGTTCTTTAATATATTAACAGATATCATATGTCGACTTCTGCCATCCTCACGATGATATATTGGGCAAACGGCCGCCTCAGGGATCGACTATAGATGCGGGTGTATGAACCGATGGATCCTCCAGTATCTTCCAAGCCCTAGAAAGTACTGTCAGATAATGTTTTTGCTAATTTATATCATGAAATTGATACGTTTGACATGCGATATAGTATCGGACGCGGAGATATATGGCAGGGGAGAAATTTCATTTTTAGGATTTAAGTTACTTGCCCTTGACTCGAGATTCCAGACACATAGAAGTGTGAAAGGGGAGACTATAGTCTCCGTCAATGCAGACAATAGGCCATTCTAGACATCTGCGTGTTGAGGTTCTTTTTCAATATCTCCTATCAGAGGTGGGCATATATATGTATCAGGAGTCTTCCAGGCTGGGCGCTATTCCCGGCTGGAAGTATCCAAGTCATGTGACTCGCTTCGTGCCTTATGTAAACCTTGCTTCCACGACATCTTCCGTTGCGTACAACTGAGACCAAGGCCTGCGATCGGTATTTCCACGCACTGCCTAGACAGGATCACATGACCCCTCGATTTCCAGCAACGTTACCTAGGTACGAAGAAGTTGCGACAACAGCAGCGAATGTCGTGATACTTTATTAGTTAACTACTATGTTTAGCGACATCTCTAGACTTTCAGACATTTCCATCTTTTGATTCCCTACAACGATACTCAATACCGAAGGGTGGAACCATGAGGAATAGGAGGTCTTCGCCCAACTATCAATGGTAACTATCAATGGTGACGTGCTTGCCTCGAATCCGCCTGAATACTCCGTACTATGTACGTGATATAGGAGTCCTTTCTGATCGTGAATTTCTTCATTAGGAGATTAGTCCTATACGGCCTGAAGGATATCTCCATCGGCAGGTTCGCAGAATGCATGAGTTTCCTATCAAAGTGTCTTCAACAACAGCGGGGGGTTTCCAGGTTTGACAGCGAAAAAACTGCGGCCCTACAGCGTACAAAGTTCCCTATCTACGCCATCTTCGCATTCTGAGATATTTCGCTACTTGAAAACTCATAAAAGCAGGGGGTAAAAAAAAAGGGATATTGGTAAATAGGTAAACTCCCGCCCTGGTAAAATCCAGAGCCTACAGCCCGCATCAAAAGATATATCTAGTTTCCAACCTACAATTTTTCTGTGGACCCGCGGTTAAACCTCTATCATGTGGCCCATACTTCGCGCTACTGCGTGAGTGCGGTATTGTAGAGACTCAACTGGATCAGAAGATTTCAGTCAACATTTGAATGAATGAGGTCGGAGAATTGGAACGTTCTAATGCTGAGCTGGAGTTTTTGGCATCCGTCAGTAGAATGCCTGTATCCAGAAGATAGAGCCTCACACATGAGGGGAAGGGAAAATAATTCTGGAGTTCATCAGTACACCATTAATTCCTCTGCATAATACTCTCTGAACGGATAACTACCCGAGGCGTCTGACCAGTGAACTCTCACGGAGAGCTTGAAATGCCTTTTGTATGGGTTTTCGTAGCTTTTGTCAAATCCATCCTGTGGTTCTGTAATTGTATTTCTTCGCGGGCATGGATATCTCTTTCCAATAGTGTTCCGTTCATCGAGGAGTAGTTTTCTGAGTGTTCAAGGACCTTCAAGCCGCCATCTACTTTTGAAGGTTGTTGATACTGTGCTTTCGCAAAGAAAGGATGCAAGAATCCAAAGGATCAATTAGCATGAGAAGTAGAGGAAAGCCGAGTACGGAATAGTCTTGTTGCGTGATTCTTCGCTGGAGGGCCTCTGGCCGATCTAGAACACATAAATTGTATAAAACCAGTTAGTGCAGCTAGAAAATCGCTGAAGCTGCAAAACCCCAGTGTAGGTAAGACTTTGATGTGAGTGGCATTCCTGGGTTTCAAATGGAGATTGACGCTGAGTGACTGAATTCATTATTAATATTAACTAACTGATGGGTCCCACATTGAACCAACCAGTAAGGGCCAGTGGACGTTCTGTCGGCCCGAACCTTAACTAGACCAGCCCTGAGCAACAAAACCAACGCTCATTATTCACTATTATGGTCAGACAGATGGGGAGGAATAGCATTCCAAAAATACACTGATGAATGTATGTATATCTAGCCTTGAGAATAAGCCTTGAGAATAAGCCAATTCGAAATATGATCATACAGAACATACGCCACACCCTACCATATATATATATGTGTGTTTTAAACCTGAAGTCCAGCAGCAAAAATAAAAATGACTTAAAAAAGACAACCAGGAAGGAGAAATGACAAAGGCTGATCTAAAACTAAAAAAAAAAAAAAAAAAGACATACCTTACCACACGGAAGTATAAAAACCAAGAACAACAGGGCGTGAACCTGATTCTAAACAAGAACCTATTTCGAATCGAAATGTCGATGTAAGCTATACGACTCATTAACATCGCCCGCACCATCCCCATCCCCATCATCAAAAACATCAGAATCATTGTCCGTAAATTCATCATGGTATCCAACCGGGTCGATGGCAACGTGGTCATCATCAATGTCCGCGCTGATATCATACCCATGAGCAACACCATCCCGTCGGAAGCCAATGCGAGCTTCCTCGTCGAGCGCCTGTGCAGCGGCAATATCATCCGGGTCATCTGAGAAGACGTGTGGTGGCTGAGGATGGTGCGGGTCGTTGGATAGGGATCGTCGGATGCTGTTGTTAGCGCGCTCTTCGGCTTCGAGCTCTTTGGAGCGGGCGAGGGTACTATGCGGAAGATTTTCAATGTTGGTTTTGTTTTAATTTACGCTGGAGACAGGCATGATGCAATTTGGGCATGTCGAAAGTGAAACCCAATAAATAATAATAAAGAACAAATAAAAAATGAAGTAGCAAAAATCAGGGTTGTGGGATGAACTAGACAGATGACGTTGACGCTGTCAATTTTACGTACTTTCTATATATATACCACCCAGTGAAGATACCGACGGACATGCTGACCAAGATGCTGATAACATTGATGGCTTTTGAGCCTGCGCTCATCGTCTCGCCGCTCTGCGCTAGAATGCGCAGTCTGCTGCCGATGAAAGTCGGGACTAGGAGTTTTGGAGATATGATGGCAGTAGCAAGACCATACATGAGGGGGTGTACAGTAGGGAACGTCGATATTGCTCCGTTACATATCGAATATGGTAGTGGGCAAAGTCTGATCATACAAAGCAGTTGTAAACCGTCATATTTCAGGGTCAAGGCAAGGGCGGCAAAGCGTTTATCGTGTTGCATTAATCGATGTACGAAGGACGAAAAAAGGGTTCGAGAGGCGATGAAGGAACAGGTGGAACCAAGCACTGTTCCAATACCGTATAGAAGCCACCTAAAGATGAAAGTACCGGTTTCACTGTCAATATGATGCGTAAAAGGAAGGAGAATTTTCTTTCCCCCCCCAAAAGGTAAGCTTAATCCATCACTCTCCAAGGGAAGCAAGACGTACCCTTTCCAAACACCAAAAATAAAACCCGCTATAGTCCCGATGGTCGACCAACCAATAAGCGGAGGGAAGGAAACGGTAAACGTGCACAAAATCAAGATGAAGTATGCAAGCTTGGAGTTCTCCCAATCCTCCGCGACAGGCTCCAGCCATTTAAATATCTGGCCTGTAAGAATCATAAATCCTAGCCCCAACGTGATGACCGCAATTGTTGCCAACACGGAGCCAATTTTCTGTAGAAGAGTCATCCTCCCAAAAGTGCGGGAGACACGTTGGTAGGAAAGTTTCATATGGTTTATAGTTCTATCGCGCAAGGAAACTGGTGGGACAGCGAAGAGGGAGGAGCTCCTCCTCCCCGAAGAGCGGGAAAGGCTCGAGCGAGGCTGGCTCCATGGCGGGCGGATTGATTCGAAAGTAGGAGATATGCATTCATCCGGGTCTGGTAGAAGGGAAGGCGAGAGGGCGTTTACAGTTTGAGAGGGGTCTGTACTAGGCATCTCTCATAGATCCGGCGTGCGTATTCCCAGGAATGGATGGGAAGTGGTGAGATGAGGTGATGCTGGCTGCTCATCCGCGTATAAATAAGGGACAAAGCTATTTGCGTGCCATTCAGCAGCCTGGTGATGGTTGTATCATGTGTGAGAAAATTGTTGGTATCGCGAGAAAGAAGAAGGGCGGCAGTGATGATGCTTGATTGAGGCTGTGGAGACAACTTAAGTAATAATAGGAAGGACACGGGCCGGCGGCTAATTGAGCGGGAGAGAAGCGCGCAGGCAGACACGAAATCACCACAACTATTATATACTCCGTATTCCGTAACTTACTCTGGAGAAAATTGCAAAACTATTTGACCAGTTCAAATTCAAATAGAAGAAGCAAAAGAGGGATAACAAGTAGAAAACGGCAGGCCAACGCCTTTTCACCCCAGTTTCATGGAGTTTATATCTTACGGCTTAGTTCAACCTCCCTCCGGATTACGAATCAATAGCTTGAATCTGAGTCTGAACTAAACCTGCTAGCTTCCCATAAGCCTTTCAATGATTGTTAGCTACACTACACTTATACCCTACGTCAGGATCTCAATGAAGATTCAGGGAATTATCTATGTCTAAGTGAGGGTGAGGATTGAGGAGCTGTGTGGAAACTGTAGATCTAAACATGCAGTACATGAGCCTATTCATCTCATGCTGCCATGTATATAAAAATACTTTGCTTCGGTGCTCTGTATTTCTGTGTGCAGTTGGCTCAAGCATTGAGGAAGTTTTAGTTATGTTGGCTCTCAACTGCTTAGGGTCACGCCCCAACTTCCAAACTCCACGCGTTCCCCCAGCTTCAACTTCCTCCACCACCACGCCATTTACCACCACCTTTACCATCACTGCTACCCTCATTCTCCTATAATGCTGCTGTTCATTGGTTTATAGATATATATTCTGTTTGTTGCGCTATTCTGCTTCTTCCATTCTCCTTAATTGCCCCGTTGCCTTCCCTCTCTCCCTGCATTGTTGTAGGTGCCATGTAAGCACGTCTCTACGACGCAACCACCACTTCATCAGCCACCACCATCCCAAGTTTCCGCGTCATCACTGTCAGGGCCATTTCGTACAGAAACCATGTCCCATCTTCACTCTTGCTGACAGGCCTTGTCACATTCTTTATCGTCGGGGAACCCTATCCTTTGCGCCTGCGCCAGTGTCCTCAACGCTGCGCTTGACCTATAAGAACCCCACCCCCCCGAACTATCAACCCATCCTCTCGCCCCCCTCCGCCCCCGCGGCTGAGCAACAATGGTTCCTGAGGAAATATACGAGATTTGTCTGCCAATTCTCGAAGATGGCTCTGTCGAAGAGGAAGAAAAGGTTGAAAAGCTTGAACATCTCCTGCGCCAGAAAGCCGCCTTGTTAGGCAGCTCTCTAGAGAACGCGATATTGGATGTTCTGTGGCGTCATCGTAGCTCCACCAAGCCTGACACCTCCCCCCCTCTCCGTCATACAGTTATCCGCCGCGCCTCGCCTGCCCCTTGGCAGATCCCGCGCGCATCTACTCCTCTCTCACCCCCTTCAAATTCTGGAACGAGCCCCGCGGGTCCCCCAGGTTTCCCTGTTCCACGCGGAGGCTTTCCCCGGGCACCCCGGTCGCTAACCGCCTCCCCTTTTACATCACCTCGCCCATCCCCACGGCTTGCCCTGGCCCAGCCTATCCCCCACAGCCCAAGCCTCAGTACCTACGAATTTTCGGATTATACTTCTGGGCCCGAAATATACGGCGACTTCGGTAGTGATAATGTGGATTGGCTGGTAAATGATGATGCCAGGAGTGCTACTTCCTCAGCTGGCCTCAGCGGGGCTGCCCCAGAGTGGGCTGCGCCGCCTGATATGAGCCCCTATGATATTCTCAGGTCCGTTCTGGGGGATCGCAGGACTAATGAAGAAATTGAGCAAGCTCTCGAGGCCAATGGATATGATCTGGGCGCTACAATCGCTGCACTCACGAGTCAAGAAAACGAAAATGCGGTTGCCACCACTGAGGCCAGAATATTGGTGGGAAAATCCATGGCCATGGACCAAATGCGCCCCGTCACACCCTCTGGCCAAGCACGAAGCCCTGTAGTCTGCAAATACTGGTTATCGACAGGACAGTGCCTCAGGGCTGACTGTCGATTCAGCCATGATTTGACCAGCCATGTTTGCAAGTGAGTGTTGCTCCCAGCGCTCTACAACATGTTGATTTCTAATGCGACAATAGGTACTGGCTGCAGGGTAGCTGTCTTGCTGGTGATGGCTGCCCTTTCTCTCACGACCCCTCGGGTCTGGTTGGAGCGCTGTCGATAAGTGGCCACAATGGGGCTAACATGGGCGGTTTTATTGAAAACACTCAACAACAACAAGCATACCAATTGCAGGATAATTACGATTCTTTTCCCGCTCTACAACCTTCGAATATAGAAACCTGGTCCAATCCCAACCCTTACCAGCGCAACAAACATGTAGGCCAATACCATGGTACACCTTCCCCAAATTTTAGGAACAAAAATAGCGCCTTGGGTCAAGCAAGCCGCCCGCACTCGCGACCAACAAGTCGGCATCAGCATCGTGAACTAACCCCTGCAGCTCCATCAGTCGACGACCCCGAAGCTTTCCCCACTCTGTCCGCGGTAAAAGGGACAGGAAAGAAACACCATGGGAAGCGCGGCCATGGACACCACCGCGATCATTCTGGGCACAAAGAAAACAACCCTTCATCGCTCGCTGATGTTGTTCGCTTGTCTCCATCTCCAGCGCCGGGTCATCGAAAGGGTACCCCGAAATCTAATCGTACCTCTACTACCAGTCGCGAAAATAGTGCCGCAGCGCAAGCAATCCCTACTCCTAAACATATTCCCTGGCTTGAAACTGGACACCGTGCAAATCAACAGTATCTGAAACATCGCCATGATGCCATTACTCATGGCAACGTGCGGAATAAGTTTTTGCAAAGGTATGTCTTGGATTCTCTAGGTTTCAACTCGCAAAACCTAACAAAAATATTAAATTGTCGCAGCGCCGCACAAGCTTGGAATCGGAACGACGCTCGTGCAGCCAAAGCTCTGTCTCTCCGAGGACAAGCTGAAAACGAGGCTATGCGTCGTGCACATCGTGAGGCTGCTCGGCACCTTTATGAAGAACGAAACAAACATCTGGAGAACACCACTGATGACGAACTGTATGTCGACCTTCACGGCCTGCATCCCGGCGAGGCAATTGAATATCTAGAGAATATCCTTCTCGAGCACGCGAAGCTTGGCCGGCGAGTTCTCTACGCCATCACTGGCACTGGCCACCACAGTAAAAATGGCAAGGACAAAGTGGGCAAGGCGGTCAAAGCCTGGTTAAATGAATGGCGATATGTTTTTCGTGAGTTCAGTGTCCCCGGCGAGCGTGGTGGATATGTTGGAGGGGTCTTGGGGATCGATCCGACGAGCTATGACCGGAACGCGCTCTCAGCCAAATCCAATGGGGAAGGGGGTCCGTCTACGGAAGGTGGTAAAAACAACCAGGCTACGAGTGACGAGAATTCAGCGACTGCTAACTCCGGCCTAGTCCTCACCATGGGCAAGATCCAGTTATTAAAGAGAAAAGATTCTGTTCAGAAGGAAGAGTGATTTGTGATTTGTTTTTGTCTTTTTATTCCTTTTAACTACCGGTTTCGCCTATAGAAGAAGGGGTGCTTTGGGGGAATTACACTGTCGTCACTCCGCGTTCCGGATCGTTCGCTCATCCATACTTTCGGTACATACGAGACTGCGCTTGTTTCAACCACTCCGAATGCTGGATGCAGTTACTATTGCGATATCTGTATTTAGATCATCGAATGCCAATCCCCCCCAAATTGGCACCGACACCGGATCACGAATGCTGATGGGGTCGCACGTGGAGAAACGAACAAAGCAAGGGGGGGTTGGGGCTGGGAGGGTATCTGAGCCTGAGATACTGAACGCGATCCATATATGTACCCACCTCTATTAGGCGCGTGCCTGTGATATTTTTTCCGAGTCTGATAGTGTCTAGAGCTTAGCTTCGGGGTTTTGTTGAGCATGAGTGGCATTGCGCACCGTCACGGTGTCATAGATATAAGTTGAATATATATCGAGAAGAAGAACACGCAAAGTCGTATTTAATATTAGAGAGATAGCTTTTTGCAAAGGTGTAAAGTTTCTTTAAGCATAGTCCGCTTATAATTGTAGGAGTGGCGTGCTAAAGGTCCCCTGAGTGTCACCCAATGTTTCGGGCGTCACGCCGGGCCTTTTACAAGGCCCGGCACAAAGCCAGCCCCACTCTTTTAGCATCTTTCAGAGAACTCTGTCATGCCTGAGTTAAACACTCATCAAAACTTGAGGTTCAATTAATTAGGCCTCTGGCTAATATGATCCTATATGTAGCACTGAACTCAGGAATGCACAATTTCCAACTTCAGCACTCAGAAACTCAAGGGGAGCATATCACGTATAAAATATTTTTAATCTCATAATGTGTCAATACTCTAGAGGAAGTGTGAGCTAAGCTTGATTCTGCTGTCTCTTACCGCCCGCGGCTATTACACGCGCCCAAGACAGACAACATTGCTTCATTTCCAGTTCCAACAGAGCTCTCAACCACATCAACGAATATTCGATGTAAACCAGTCGCAGTAGTGATACTTCAACGAGATATATATATCTTTGGCCATGGACCAACGTTCGTCTGGGGAGCTCAACTGGCGCCTCAGCGCGCATCCCGTCACCTTGTTGGTCTTCCTAGGCTTCCGCATCGGTTCGTATACATGAATAGCTTTACAGCCTACGAAGCTAGATACTTGCTTACAGTCCATTAATTTAATAGGAAGCCTATTAATGTACCTATTTGGCCTTTTATTCATCAATAACTTGTTCGTCTGCGTTCATGTTCCCCTCAACCCGGGACCCAAATCAGCCATCCCCGTTCCAAGACTAACATAAACACCCATCAGCATTCTTGTCTTCATCCTAACACTCCTCCTTCTCTCCGCCGACTTCTACTACCTGAAAAACATTGCCGGCCGCCGCCTCGTCGGACTCCGCTGGTGGAACGAAGTCAACACCACCGACGGTGATTCTCACTGGGTCTTCGAAAGTTCAGACCCAAACACGCGGACGATCAATGCTACCGATAAACGGTTCTTCTGGCTCAGTCTTTACGCTACTCCGGCGCTATGGATTGGTCTTGCGATCCTTGCCATTATAAGATTGCAGAGTATCATCTGGTTAAGTTTAGTTGGTATGTTTTGTCTTTTCCTTTTATATCTATCTCAAGTTGGTGCCATGTTCAAAAAAGGGGAAAGAGAGCTAAACTTCTGTTTTTTTGTTTGTTCGTGTAGCAATTGCGCTTATCCTTACTATCACGAATACGGTGGCGTTTTCACGGTGTGATCGGTTCAGCCAAGCGTCCAATTTCGCAAGCAGTGCCTTGTCCGGTGGCATTGCGAGTAACTTTGCTTCGGGAATGATTGGGAGAATTTTCAGATAAGACAGCAAGCGGATGGGGGAGCTTCATGCCTTCGGTCAATGATCGGATCTATATGACTTACACACATACCCAACGACGTCTTAAAATATTTCCAAGGCCCCGGCCTACCAAGTCGGGCGTTTTCCACCTTTTTTGAAGTTCTTTTGACTGATACGATAACTGTGACTGTTATGCTCTCTGGGCCAGAGGTAACAGGTCCACAATGGCTTTTCCTATTTGGCGTTCGGTATTTTGAACGGAGCTTTGCATGTCTTATCCTATACTATACTACCATATTTCTACCTTATCATATGTTGTGTATATACTAGCTCGATTTACAGGCGTTTTTCTGTACCATTCCCAAGCGATTTAGACAATGACCGAATTTCCTTGAGCTACAACCACACCATCACCATCCCCCACATCTCCTCCAATCAGATCTTCGCCCCTTCCTTCTTCGCCGTGCGCTGCGCATGATACAAACTTTTTATTTCCTCCCTAACCGCCAAATCGCTCAGAATCTCCTCACTCCCGCCCCCGACCACATAAACCCTAACATCACGACTAATCTGCTCGATTCGTGCCCCCCGCCCGCTCTTATTATACCCCGCGCCGCCCAGGACTTGCTGCGCCTCGCGACACACTTTCTCCAGGCAGCGCGTGGACATCACTTTGAGCAGTGCAGTCATGCCACCGACATTAACCTCCTGGCCGTTCTTGGTGGCCACGTGGATGGTGTACGCCAGTTGCTCCAGGAAGGCCTGGCAGGGCTCGATAAGGCGGCCTAATTTGCTGAATTTTGCGCGGATTATTTGGTTCGTGATTAATGGCTGGCCGAATGTCTCGCGGTTTGTGGCGTAGTTGTAGGCATCCTCGACGCAGACACGCGAGAGGCGGATGCAGGAGATGGCTAGACCGAGACGTTCGGGATTGAAGTCTGGGTAATAATTTAGTTTCGGGTTGGAATGGAAATTGAAAGATGGATAGGACAGGAGGAAAAGTGGTCAAAGAGACGTGTGTAGGAGAGCGACTTACTCGACATGATATACCTGAATCCATCATTTTCAGTCCCGATGAGGTTTTCCACTGGGACTTCCACGTCGTCGAATTCAATGAAGGTCGAGCCACTGGCGTTAACGCCGGAGTTCTCCATTATTCTCCTCGTCACGCCCTTGGCTGCTAACGGGATGATCAGGAGAGAAATGCCCCTGCGCCCCTCTCCGCCTGTCCTGACCGCAGCCGTGCAATAATCGGCCCATATCCCGTTGGTGATCCATTTTTTGGCTCCGTTGACGATGTACTTGTTCCCCCTCCGTATGGCTGTGGTTCTAATGTTAGCGACGTCGGATCCCGCTAGAAATATTTATGTTAGCAAACTCCCATAAACTATGCAGATTATCGATGAATCGTATGCATACCATCCGGCTCAGTAATGCCCAAGCAGAACCGTATCTCTCCGCGAGAAATTTTGGGCAAATACTCGAGCTTTTGTGCCTCGTTTCCGAAATCCAGAATTGGAGGGCACCCAATATTATTTCCGCCAAAAAGACCCCAAAGTACGCCGGTATAGCCAACTCTAGTTTCACAACATAGCGTTCGTCAGTAATTGTTCGTCAGGCAAAGTTTTGAAATAAGCAATACAAAGCATAATAAATGAGACCAACCTATTCAACTCATCCGCCACCACGAGGTTATGAAATATATCCCACTCCTCCGGCTCAATGCCAGCGGGCAGGGACAGCCCACCCATATACTCCCTCTTGGTAGGCTTGATGATCGTGAACCCCTTTTCTACGTAGAGTTTAAGCGCCTACATAGTAGATATTTTAGATGGTGCCTTCCAGTGAGCCGTGCCAAAGAGTATTTTATAAATGCAGGGGCAAAATCAGGAATCCCAGTATAAGTTTCTATTATTTCATGAAATCTTACCTCTGGCGGAATAAAGCCTTGCTTTTCATACTCGTCTGCATAGGGCCTTAAATGGTTCTCAACGTAGTCGCGGACGAATAGGCGGAGATTCCTGTGAGACTCATTGTAGTATGGGGAGGTGTCGCGAGAGTGCCAGAACGGCTCTGCGTAGGGCGCAGTGGATCCGAGGAGGGCGGATGCCATTTGTATTTATTAAAGAATAATACAAAAGGCAAGGAAACTGGTTTGTTGGATAGATAGTTGAGTGTATTGTATGTAGTTAACGGAAATCTTGGATTCTTCTCCTGATACTATATTATATGGCGAGTAACCGTTAGGTATTCTGGGAAAATTGGAAAGCGAGGAACATCTGGTTATTGACGGTCTAGCTAACTACCCAACTTATTTACAGCTACCTAGGTATTGAAAGCCGATGTTTCTTTTTTTGCCGTGGCTGTGGTCCAAGGTCGAATTGCGGAGTCAATCCTAGCTGTGGCCGAGATCCGATGCGGGCGAGCCGAGAGTGTGAATTATTTGCTTTGAGATACGTCAGACAGGTAAAAAATCTACTGGAAATAAATCTCATGTTAAAATATAAATAGAATATTATATGTCCCGGAATACCGAATATCCAGCTGCAAGGAAAAGAATAACCACGCCTCTAAGTGCTGAGCGCATTATTTCTAGTATAATTAAAAATGGTAACTAAATGTATACACGAGACTTTACTTAGTTTTGAAAAAGAACTCTAGTTACAGCTTCGATGGCAGCCATTTCGGGAGCCTCTTCTCTTTAAATGCAAGCATTCCTTCCCGCGCATTTTCTCCAGACATCAGCTTCGCCGCGTAGGTCTCTCCCGTCAAGAATGTTGCGTGTTCCACGCTGCTTGTTTCCCATGCCTGCCGTATACCGGCCCTAGTGACAACGACACTATCAGGGCTCATGCTAGCAATGAGTTTCGCAACATCCACCGCCTCCCTAATCAGGTCATCAATGGGTACAATCTTTTGGACAAGGCCCCATTGCAGACCTTCTTGTGCCGTCAAGGTATGCGCCGTCAAACCGAGCCACATGGCTCTTTGAAGGCCAAACGTTCTGCACAGCCGTGGAAACGCACCAGCCATCGCTGCTGTTCCGCGCAATACATCCGGGAGTCGGAAATCCGCGTTCTCTGACGCGATCACGATGTCGCTGTTGAGGACGATTTCAAAACCTCCACCATGCGCATGCCCGTTGCAAGCCGCTATTATTGGTTTTCTACCCGTTCGTCGAGTGAGTCCGGCAAAACCAGTGGAGGGGTATGCGTTTAACCGTGCAGCGGAATCAAAATCAGATGCTGACAACGATTGCCGCTCTATAATCCTTGTAGACATACGGATAAGTCTAAATTTTGTATCTCTGGGCGGTGCAAGGGATGAGATGAAGGCATGAGATGAGGTAAATTGGAAACAGATTTTATGACTATACCTTTCAGATCCATCCCGGCCGAGAAAGCCTTCTTACCCGCCCCGGTGACAATTCCCACGCGCCTATTATAGAGTAGAGCTTTAATAGATAGAATCAAATGGAGCTTCGCAGGCCATACTCAATGCATTTGAATCGCGCGTTGCTCCAGACATATAGCTGCCAACTTACATCTCAGGCTCATTGTCGAACCATGTCCAAACTCGATGCATCTCCCACACTGCGTCGACTGGCAGAGAGTTCATTTGCTTCTCAAGGTTGATAGTAACAAGAAGAACATGAGGGGCAGGAAAGTCCAAGAGGACAAATCTCGCGGCCGGAGGAGGTGTTGTTGTCGCAGGCGCAGACATGGTATCCTGTATGTATGTATCCCTTGAAGTGGGTGAACAGTGACAAAAAGCGGAATATGGCACTTGGCTGTGCTGTCGCTATGTGACCATGTCCTATATTTTCCAGGTCTGGATAAACCCGTCATTCGACGTTTCTTCTTATCAGCATTTGTCCTGGTCGCATGTTGAATACCCTCGCCAGCTCGTTCGGCTTCGGCTTTGGGATGTTGAAGCCGGTTAACAGTAAGCTGTCGTCGTCGATTCGGCTAATTTCGATGCGCTAAACGCGCAACCTCGGCTGGCCTCGTACATGTAGTTAGTTAGGGTGACCCCGTCCAGGGCTGTATAAGTCTATACAGTGCCAGCTTGTACAGCCCTGGACAGCTCTGGCCAGGGTTATACATACTAACCTGGTCAGATAAGGTCTTCTGTTCAGTAGATTCTATATATAACTCTGTATAACTCATCAAATATATCAAACAATCTATACTATATATACTATATACTAGAACAAGTTGTGATATCTACTGATGTATTCAATGTAGTCATACAGCATTCAGAGATCTGTAAATATTATTAAAGATCAAGAATTATAATGAATAACTGTGATGATATAATCTGAGAGATAATATAATAGTAATCATATCATAGATAATAGTTAATAAAATTTACTGCTGCAGAAGTAATCAATTTAAAACTCATTAAAATTCATTTTTCATTGATATTTGATATGTAAAAATAGAACTATAGCAGAATTTTCAAACTGTTATATATCTGTTGAAATGACATGATAATTATTATTATAACAAAATCACTTATAAGGAGAATTTCGATTTGCATGTTCGGGGTCTGGCATGTCCGATTTCGGTTTGGCGCCGCCTGTTCGGGGATGGCGCGCGCTTGCTCTTGCTGCTGTGGCCTGTGGCCCGTTATCGACGTCACCCATCGCAACTATATAAGATGCTCCCCTTTCCCTCTCTTGTGCACGCACTTTCTACCTCGTTTTCCTTTCCAATGTCAGCCTTCCCTTGTTCCCCCCTCTTCATCGGCGATCGCCGAACCCTGACGCCTGTATCCCTCCTCCTCTTGACAAACGGTGGGCCGGCTCACCGCCACCTGCATCCCTTATCCCCTGCAAGGGCGACGACATATTCAATTTCCTTGCTGGAGGCGAAGCTTAAGCTTGGATGATGAGGTGTTAGCGGGCTGCGCAAGCTGGATGGTATCGGCTGGTATGCCTTGCAACATCGACCCCTGCTGGTTATCCTCACCACAGAACTCACATGTAATTTAGTCATGTTCCTATATCTGCAGTGAAATGGATTGTTGTAGCCAATCTAGGCATCATTTGGGGTTTCTTAATAGATTATGATCATCCTGGCGCTGCCTTCTTCTTGCTCAGGTTGCATTAGGGAGTTACATATGCCGTTCGCAGTGTGAGAGGCTGCTAAGATGGGCTCGCCGTGCTTTTCGAATGTGGTTGGGGAGACGGTTCTTGGTCGGCTTAGCTCATGCCATGCGCTGGTTTGGGTCAGAAAATGGCACCCGCTCCTTTGGCACAGTGAAGCTCAAGCCATCTTGCTCTGCATTGAGCCAGTGAGTGCCGCACTTCTGAACCTGCTATATAGATGGCCTTCTTCCTCCCGCAAAATTGTGAACCTCACCAGCGAGATTGAACCAAACAGCCCGTGAGACCATTTCAGAGCAGGTGAATATCATTTGGCCCCCATGGAGTTCATCAACTATACCCCCTCTCAGCCAGAACGTAAAACCTTTCAAGCCCATCCCGATCACTTTCGCCCTCCATGCTCTACACCCACAACACTCCCTCTCAAACCCCCCAGGCCTCTCCATCCCCTCTCCCTCTTCCCCTTCTGCCTACCTGGCCGTCCTAATGTCGCCAACCCCCCTCCATACTCTACATCTGTATCTCTCCAGACTCAGCCCATGCACCCTGTATCACTGAAACCACATCCCCTACCCAGCCGTCCCCCTTCCAGTGTCCCACCGTGCGCCCCACTTCAAGGCGGCCGCAACGGCCAAGATCTGGCACAGGCTATTGTGCTGAACGATTTCGATAAGGCCTTTATAGAGAATGGAATTGCCGAAGGCCTCGACAGCAAGAGCTTTGTGGACTTGACCACTGACATCACTTCTTGTGGCGACATCATCACTCTAGATTCGCGGCCGCACCCGTACGATGCAAGACATGATCCCATAGGTAGGCTTATTGGTTTCTTCGTTGTCCCTTCTTCTCTTCCAAGGGCGTCGAACGTTCTGGGCTTCTTGCATCTCTAATCCAGATCTCCTTCCAGATTTTCACAAGAGGAATGAGGATCGATGCCAGGAGAAGACGAATGAAGCCTCACCTAGTCTGGAGTTGTTCCTGGGCTCCATTACGACCCAATCCGCTTCGTTGGCGGAACCACTCACCAGAAACGGTAAATCGAATCCTCTGTCGGCATCAGAGGAGCAACCTCACTTGTTGGAGTTGAATAGGGAGCAAGATGAAACACTCAATCAAGAATCCCCACATGGCAGCCAAGGTGAGTCTGCACCGCATTCCTTTAATTACAGGCCTATGTTCCTCACACATGTTTGTAGAAACAGACATCAGTACTAAGAGTAGCACTACAGCACAGTGGGGCTCCGCATCCTCAGATGAGAATGCAGATTCTACTTCTGCCATGTTGGTGGCTCACTCTGTGAAACTGGATCAACATAAGGGCAAGACTGACGCTGACGCCTACGCCTGCAACACTGGGCAATGCCAATCTCCCTTCACGGGACGGTACCGCCGATCCGATGTCGGGTCAATGGAGTCTATGGAGTCTATGGTCGCGGTTGTGATTCCATCCATCTCCCATTGCCATCGAGAAGACCCGGAAAAAATCAAGGGGAACGAAAGTGCACAGCATGACCCCGGGACCCACCAACGGAACACCCGGTCAAAATCAAAGCGTAAAATTTTGATTGAGGACCGTCATCTTCCCGGTAGCCCCACACAGCCTACAGATGACAACTGGGGGAAGTGGGACATAACCGGCACGACTGATCCCTCTGATGATTCGGACGGAGATTACACCGCGAGTAGCGACGGCGGTGATTCAGTGAAGCAGCAATCAAAGCGGCGCAAGATTTCCTCACGGTCAGCCGCTACCACATCATGTCGACCACAATCTCGATCTCGGGGTGCGCGAGCCGTTGGGCATCATCAAGAGGTCAAGCGGGCGCCTCGCAGCGGGCGATCAGTGGCTGCCACGGAGCACTCTATAAGCTCCACACGCGTGGATCACGAATGGTGCACACGCTGCGGTCCGGTGGCACCCGCCGGTGGCACCCGCCGGCGGCTCCGAGCATACTTTTAGCCCGCGGCTGTTATCCCCAGAGGACATTTCCGCGCTGGTGTCTGCCTTTGCTCAAAGGCTCCTCGACCTCCGTAGGAATCCTTCAACGGACGCCGAGCGTGCCATGGATGGTGAGGTAGCTGAGGTCGACACCGAAAGTGTGGACAAGGATCCAGGGACCGCGGAGCTGGACAAGAAGAGATCTCGGTGGACCCAGGGTGAAGATGAGCGACTAAAGGATCTGAAGACGCGCGGCTGGCGTTGGTGGGAGATCAAGCAGCAGTTTCCACACCGAAAATTAAACGCCCTGCAGCAGCGATGGTCCTCAAAACTCCGGGAAAGGGGAGCATCGCCGATGACTGACACATGGAAGTGGAAGAGAAAGTGCAAGCCAATCATCGTGACTACACCATAGTTCCAACGGGGCCTCGATCCCGCCTATGGCGTTAATGTTGGACGCAAAAGGGTGCTAAACATGCTTCATGCTGGCTGCGGGAAGTCAGCGAAGTTTTGGCACTCACAGTATCTCTGCTCAGTGGGGTCTGATCCGGGGCGCCGACAGCTAGATTGTCACTTAGCAACCATCCATAGCATATTATAGAATTAAATTAATACATGATGAGCCTCAGCTGCTTCAACAGTGAAAGAGGAGCTGACTCGTTTTTCTTCATCTCTAATGGTAATTTATTAAGCGAGAAGAAACCAGGGTCGAATAACAAACTTTCACCTGAGCATATGATTAGACAGTAGCAATACAATAAAGCTGACTAGACTCCCATTCTGTCCTGTATCTCAAATCTCTGTCCGGCTTCTCATAAGTCAGGCCTGGCTGCTTTGTAGAAAGCTCAATGTAGGACAAGAAATATCAGCGAGACAGCCACAACTGCAACCACAGGGACGAAACAAAGATGAAATAAATGAGGGCAAAACCGGCTCTTCACCGTCAACATAGATTGCAAAGAGCAGTGTACGGAGTTGCTTCCTGCCATAGTTCTTAAGACTAAACCCGAGAGATCGCGGTCTGAGAGCTCAGAGAGTGCGCTACAGACATCTTCCATCCTCCGATACCCGTCCTGATCCCAACAGTCCCGGATTACATTGCCCATGAATACGCCCACTGTGTTAGGAAGCTCTCCATGTATGCCTTTATCTATTTGTCGTGGAATTGTGTAGTCCCTAGTTTCAGAAACTGCTGCATCCTCACCACAACCCTGCACACTAGAATTGGATAGTTGACAGATGGGAACTTCGAACTTCCTTCCTGTAACAATGTTGTAGATTAGGGAACCGAAACAGGCTATGTCATACTTGACTGATAGACCGTCCTCATTGATTTTGTCAATATTTAGATATTTAGGAACGATGCGAGAGTTTGCAAAGTGGCATAATTTGAGTGTTTGCCTATCTGCAATTAGGAAACTTCGTGCGGCAAAACCACCAATAAGGACATGCTTTGAATGTGCATATGAGACAGCAGCAGCAGCTTCCCGCGCCCAGTTCAGTTGCTGAGTCTGATTTAATTTCTCATGTGATAAATATTTGTCAAGCATCCTCGCCTGTGGAAGCGAGAGATGGGGCCGTATCTCAAACATGTTGACATGGAACCCTAAATGTTCATGTATCCTCTTTTCATGTTCGGGTGGACAATCTAGAGAGACTAACTCTAGTGCAGCCAGTAGACTTGTCGCATTCTGGAATGCACCTTTAGTCCAACACTTTTCAATGATTGAACCAAGCCAAACATTCTTGGTGGAAGGGAGAATCTCCCGCCGCGGCCAGGCTGCGCAGGCAGGCCCCGATGGCTGATCCCTAAACAGATCAAATTCGCAATGCTGCCCGGTTATAACCTCATATATCACAGCACCCAATTGGCCAATGTCCGTGTAAATTGAGTAACCATGGTCGTCGGCGCGCTCCATGTCAGAACCAAGGGGCAGAATAGAGGACTCAGTGAAGTCACAGGATTTAATGGAGAGGTCGGCGTTGAGAACGAAATTTTTTGTAGCAATATCTGCCACTATAACACAACGGTTGTGTATGTGAACAAGTGTATGAGCCATTTGCCGAAACCATGAGAGCTGAAGGGACTGCACCGGGCGTTGTCTCTTCAGATATGTAGCAAGATCTCCATTTTCCATCAACTCCATTTGAATGCAATATCCAGGGAAGCCGAAGCAACGCACAACACCATCACAATCCTGTAGCCGTCGATACACATCTTCTTCATGTTTGATGACAAGACAGTTCGCTTGGGTATCATCGTCGTTATCACCAATATACCTCAATGGCAGCTTGACGGCGATGTCACCTCGTCGAACGACGACTCCTGTTCCGCCGTGGCCAAGAACGGGATCACAGAGAGGAGTTCCATCTAGGTTCAAGAAGGGAGAGGACATTCCAAGGAGAGAAAGATATGTTAACTGTTCAGCGAGACTACACTTCTTAGCACATAAAGCAAGGTACTCACTTTGAAGGAAAAAGACTCAAGAATGATGGGAGGAGTAAGATGTTTTGGTTTGGCCCGATGTCTCATTTCTTTTTTCTCAGCAGAAAACAAAAGCTATTGATTGGCTACATTTGAGGTTCTTGGAGGAATAACGTTGTTGTATGTGTAATCTATCTACGCGAGTTAGTTAAAAGGGCCTCGACTTCTGAGAGAGTCGAATGACCTTTGCTAACCTTTTTTTTTTTTTTTTTTTTGCTCTTTTGCTTTTTTCCTTTAAGCTATTGAAGGGGAAAAATTCTTCGCGCCGCTCAGTGGACAGAGAGGCTGTATCTTTTTTTTTTTTTTTTTTTGGCTTAAATAGTGAATTTTCTCTTTGTGCTCACTGCACTTTTCGTCTATCCATGACTACTCTGGTTTGCCTGCGCTTAGTTGTTGGACATTCAATCATTATCAGCTGAAATGTGAGCTGCGAACAAAAAGTACTCATGGGTACATTCAATGACACTGCTTGTTGAATCAACGTGCTGAGGAGATTCCATCCAGCCTCTCTCTGGCTATCAAGTACAAAATATCTTTCTCCTGTACTCTCTGTTTTCTTTCCACTACTGATTATCTGCTTTCTCCCGTCTTCCACTGCTGCTTCCATTGTGTTTATTTTGCCTCTCCTTATGCCATCGCTACATGTAGTTCTGAAACTTGGACATCGCCCCGCGACTCTACAGGTCTTACGAGCAATGCGAAATTCGTCTGATTCTCCAGATCATCCTGTTCCTGGAGGGCGTCTAGGAGATTTGTGGACTATAGAACAGGACCAAAGTTTGCTAAAACTCCGCGAGGAGCATGATTATATGAACTTAGAGGATTTTCAAAAGGTCGGCGCTCATTGCCAGAAAATACGAGTTGCTGTTGACACCGCCTAAACTATGCCAAATCGTTAGGCATTCTTCCCTGACCGTTCTCGTTACGCGGTATCCAAGCGGTTGTCAGTGCTGAAGCGAGCAGGACAACAGGTGATTGATTCTGGACAACAATATGCATGCAGCGCGCTAATGACATGGGCAGAAGGCTTCTCTTGGCAATTCACCGTTGGCTGGTGGATCGAACAGCCCTCGCCGTCAACCAAGTACCATCGAATACATATACTCTGGCGATGAGTCCCAAGCCATGTCTCTCGATAGTCGATTAGAGGCTGAGGAAGTTGGCGGAGAGTGTACATCAGAGCAAAGAACTTCTTCCCAGGCAAGTTAGAATCTTGGTATCTTGCTACTATCCCGCAGAGCATACTAACTTGTGGGTTGTTCTGCATATCCAGACGGACGACGTTTCTAATCCAGTCTTGAGTAATACACTCAAAAGGAAACCTTCAGTTGACAATGGCGCATCTCGCCCAAGTCCTTCAAAACTCTCCAGGGTTCCAACGGTGCCCATCTTCGCGTCGACGGAGCTATGCAGCACAGCGTTTCCATACCTGAATACGCCAACGACAAGCAATGCTAATACAGTTGTGGATGTCACTGATAATCCTAACAATCATAATCATAGGAATAATACCCAAGTATCCATCTTCAATTCCAGATCCACCTGGATGGACCTCAGAGATGAAGACATACTACATATGTACCACCAAGCCAAGAAGTGTACAGAGGAAACGAGGCGCGCAGAAGCGCTAGAATTAAAACTATCGAGTTCAAACGACATTCTAACCCGTTGTCGCGATGAGAACAGGGCACTCCTGGACCTACAAAAGCAGCATGATGATGAACTTGAGGAAACCATGGGAAACCTTCTCAAGGAACGGAAAGCGGAACAAAAGCAGCTGAAAGCGGATAATGAAGCCAAGCTGAAGCTGTTGGAGCAGATGGATCAGCTCAAGACAGAATTCAACAAGATTAAAGTTGGCGCTTCAAAAGTCATACACCCTGGCATGTGGAAGTCTGGTGGGATGGATGCCGCAGCTGCTCAAGTGATAAAACTTGCAGCGCAAATTGAGGAGACGCTAAAGGTCATAGTATCTTCAGAAACCAGATCGCCATCGCAAGTTCCTTCAGGAGATCACATGTTTCTAGGTACTCCGTACTTAGAACCTAGGCCTTTTCTAGAGGGAAATGGAATGAGCGGGTAAAATAAATATTGAGTACAAAGAGCTTGTGAGTTGAATGTGGGATGGTTGGTTGCAAAATGTCTCTTTTCTGCTTCTTTTATCTTATTTTTCTATTTTTAATTTGCAGTTATTTTCCCTTAATTTTTGATTACTTGTTAAATAAAAGCAATAGAATCTCACTCAGTGAGTAAATATTAAAATTTCTGTATAAAGTAATAGAGGGGGAAAAGTTTCTGATTGTAAACTGAGGAATCAAGAATCTGCTGTCACAGAAATTGAGAGATATTCCTACTTTGTGATCTCTCCCCCTATACAAATTTTTGCTTTTTCTTTCCTTCTTTGATAAAATGATAGAATGAGCTAAACTGGGATCTTGCCTTGCTAGTGTGTTTTATGAACTCTGAAAAACACATATGCTGTAGAGTACATATCTAGATACATAGTATTACATGTGTTACTTATCTTCATAAGCCTTTCCTGTGTTCTAGAGTTCAGAACTAAAATAACCTGTAGGAGAGTATTGACTTAACTATTTAAAGAGAGAGTGAAATACTCAACAGAATGAATGTATACAGTAAAGCTGCCATATTATATAGGTGTGGAGATAGTAGATACAATGTAAATTCCGGTTGATGCTGAGAAACCTCTTGAAACAAAACTATGAGAGAAAGAAAGTTCACCAATGAGACAAATCTCCTGATTTGAGTAAATATAAAGAATGATCAGTTGTCTATGTGATTCTGGTTGCTATGAAAGCAACAAAGCCTGTGTTGTTCCATCACAGATATAAAATCAAGCCCCCTTTTCTTCTTCTTCATCTTCTCTTCTCCATTTCCTATCAACCCTTTCTCTCTAATCCTCTCCCACAACACCCATAAGGACATCTCGAAGCTACAAAGCTCTTAACTTTCAAGGGGAAAATAATAAATAGCTGGTGAGTAACTCATATGGTTTTCTTTAATTCTCTCTCTCTTTTCATTTTGTTACTTTCGATGCCTTTTGAGGGCTGATCGCTCTCCCGATCCATGTCACATACCTGTTCACTCCTCCCCCACAACACCACACCTACCTAGGGCCACACAAAGGTGTTTCCTCTAGACTCTATTGTATGCTGATCAGCCTAACAGTGATCTGTGACCAAGGCTCTCTCTCTCTAAGGTCGTGCAAGTCAAGAAATCATGAGTTGGAACGCGGGAGGCGTCGATGGTAAGTCGAACAATGCCCCTGGTTGCCTCAGCAAAACCCCGTATCATACCACACAATCCACAAACCAGAGGGATTCTTTAGCTTGCTGTTTTGTAGACGAGACCTGGAAACTGGATACTAAACATGGTCAATGTGTTAGATGCCCACTGGAACGAGGGGGGTGAAACATGGAACGGTACGGTGGAACAGATTGGATATGATGTCGGTGACTTTGGTGAAAATGAGGTTGGAGGCAAAGATGATGCTTGCCGCAAGTAAGCAGAACCTAGAATCTAACATCAGAAGAGTGCCTAATAACAAAATTTTCTACCAGTTGTGGTCAGTCTGGCCATTTCGCCCGCGACTGCACTGAGCCTCGCAAAGCCACCGGAGCGTGTTTCAACTGTGGTGAAGAAGGGTAAGTCATGGATTCTATTTTGGCAAGAATGGAGATTTGATTATTGATATCTGCTCCTTAGCCACAACAAGGCGGAATGCACGAAGCCTCGTGTTTTCAAGGGGCACTGTCGAATATGTGAGAAGGAAGGCCATCCTGCCTCTGAGTGCCCCGAAAAACCGGCGGATGTCTGCAAGAACTGCAAGGAGGAAGGTAAATTTTGTCACCCTAGCTGACTGCGAGCAAGAAGTTATGCAACTGTTAATTTCACCCTCAATCGGAAATAGGCCATAAAACTATGGAATGCACCCAGAATCGCAAGTTCGACCAGCACCATATTCCAGATAAACTCCCGGAACAGGCATGGGCGATTCTCAAGAAAGCTAGCGACGAAAAGGATCTTGAGGACTTTCGTGAGGTAAAATATTTAATACCTCTATTGCTAATCCCGCTTCTTCATTTCTGATATATCGGCCCAATAGGGTATGAAAGTATACTCCAAGGCAGTTCCGCTGGCGACGTTCGACCAAATTGAGAAGAAGATGAGAGAAGAGAACTTCAAAGTGTATCTCATTGGCCTCGTAAGATTGCCCACACAATCCTACGGGTTATTTGAAATATGAAAATGTTAATAACTGTGTCCTGTATAGGAGAAGGAGATCACCGACTGTCACACTCTGATTAATCTTCAGGGAAAGTTGAACTGCAAATACGTTGTCGGTTACTACTTCAGTGATAAACCCCAACGTCCCAGCCTCAAAGAGCGCTGGCCAGAGTCACCCGAAGAGAATCTAAAGCGCCTTGTCGATGCTGGCATCCCGCTTGACCGCCAGATTCCTAAATGTGGCAACTGTGGACGTAAGTTCTCCGTCAATCCAGGTTAATCCAACAGGGTATCAAGCTGACTGTGCATTTTTCTAGAAATGGGACATGGACCGCGCGCATGCCCAGACGAGCGTTCAGTCGTCGAGAAGGTCGAGGTTAAGTGTGTTAATTGTAACGGAATAGGACATCGTGTTCGTGATTGCACGGAGAAACGCGTTGACAAGTTTAGCTGCCGTAACTGCGGGTGAGGGACCTGGTTTTGCGCTTCACAGGGAACTCGCTGATCGCTAACCGATCCTCTCCTAGTCAACCCGGTCATCGTTCGTCTGAATGTACCGAGCCCCGTTCAGCTGAAGGAGTGGAATGCAAAAAATGCAACGAAGGCAAGCCTGATGATGCCCTCCGATGCACCTGGGGGAAGCTTCTGACATTCTCGATAGTTGGCCATTTCGCTAAGGACTGCCCTCAGGGCGGCTCCAGAGCCTGTCGCAATTGCGGGTTGGTTTAGTCCCCAAAAATACCTTGCCCTAAGATAGAGACAAGACCGCTGACTAAAATACGGTTCTGCAGCGAGGAGGGTCACATTTCCAAGGAGTGTGACAAACCTCGCAATCCGGATACAGTTACCTGCCGTAACTGCGAAGAAGGTGAGGAAAATCGTCCCTACCACTTTAAATAGTATATGAAAATATCCAGTGTGGTCGTATCTAACAAATCATTCTCCCCGCAGTTGGTCATTTCAGTCGCGACTGCACCAAGAAGAAGGACTGGTCTAAGGTTCAGTGCAACAACTGCAAAGAGAGTAAGTACCCATCAACCGCAAGACATGTTCCCTCATTTTAGCAATACATCCCACTGATGAAGCTCGACCTGTTAACCTCATGATGATAGTGGGCCATACGATCCGGCGCTGCCCCAAACAAGCAGAAGAAGGCGATGGCTACGGCGACGGCGGCTTCGCCAACAACCCAGTGGACGACATGGGCTCAACCTGGCAAGATGATGATGGGGTCCAAGATAACACACCTAGCTGGATGAATGCCGGCGATGGCGGCACGACTGTCCCCGCCTGGTAGATCGGCTCAAACGGGCCGTTCCATTAGCGCGGCAAATTGAGCTGAGCAACTGCCTTTTGCTCTGATGGTGGAGGTTGGCAAGCCTGGCTAGAACCGAAGGGCCAGTGTACTTTGCTAGGGCTAATTAGAATGATGATGAAGGACAGGGAGGAGGGAGCGAGTACTGAGAGGCCTCGGAAATGTGGTTGGTGGTTAACACGAGAAAAAGAAAAAAAGAAAGAAAAAGAAAAGAAAAGAAAACAAAAAAGAAAAAGAAATTCACAGAAAAAAGCAATGAAAAGTTCAGGGGGGAAAAAAGAAAAAGGAGAAGAGAGTGAGAGGGGAAAAACATGCTGGGAATATATGGCTGGGTTAGTCTGACCATCTTCCAATAGAGCAATGAAAATGATTCCCTGGTCTGGAAGTGTCGCAGCACCTTCACCCATCCCCGCAATCGGCTGGGAGAGCGCGCAATTCGGCTTCAAGGCAGGGGGGGTGTGCGTTTTGAAACCGAGCTTCTCGGAAGCCATGTCCAACAATGATTCATTGATCGCTGGTTCACATTCTTCGAGAAGAACAAGTTGTTCTCCGAAGAATACCGGGAGAGCGAAATACAAAAGCTGACCACATCGTAGAAAAATGATTGGCCGTCGTCCATAGCCGTGGCCGTGTTTCAAGTCGAAGCTCAGAACAGCAGCCAGCAAATAAAAATGTTTATTAGACTTCATTTCCCCCGCAGCTCATGCATGGATGGGCATGGCTTGAGAGTGAAGAATTGTGAATATTAACTTAACTTTTTCACTAGCTAGGATCTGGCGCCGTTAGAGTTTTTTCTTTCTTTTTTTCTGCACCGCCGAAAAAGCATATATCAATCCCGAAAGGGCTTGGGAGGATTGGCTTCTGGCAAATATATCTCAGCTCGCTAGTTGACGCTACGCTCAGCAACCATTTCTGGCTTCTCTACTCCGTACTGTGTATGTATGTTGTATCAGGTCTAATGGAACAGACAGAGTTCATCAGGACATTTGATAAATAAATAGGAGCTAAATAATGGTGCTTGGCTTATGCTAGACGCGCGCGCTGCTTGCCACCGCAGTTTTATTCTCCCGCCATACGGGCCCATTTCCACCGCTTGGAATCTCCTCGCAGTGAGATCAATTCAAGTTCGTCGTCGAGCTAATCCGCTAGTGTCATAAATTAGTTATATCTGCTCTGCCGAATAAATGGCTGGACCTTCTCGGCGACATTTTTAAGTAAAGAGGCTCGCCCGAAATGGTCAGTTGCAGGGACATGGGCAAAGAAAGTTAACATTTATTCAATAATGCTGACATCTCCGCGACCTTTTCTGAAATCCGAATAGCATTGACAGAGTGCGAGACGTGAGGCAGAGAAGTCGCATGTTTTGCAGAGAGAAAAGCAATTGCTCTCCAACGCGATGATAACCTATCATTTAAGTGTTTTCATTTATCATCGTCGTTTAACACGTTATCTTTACTCGTGCTGTGACAGGCAAGCTGCCCGCGGCCCAGCCACGGTGACTCCTCGATAGTCTTGTTGAAGCGGTTCGACAATTCAATTAATTGGACACACAAAACACGAATAACGCATCTAGTCAATGCAAAGTGAGTAGCGGATATATATTGGCAGAAGAAATAGCTGTACCCAGACATACATCAATTGTTCGCAAAGGAAGCAAAGCAATCCAGTCGCAGAACAAACCAATTGATCAAGCTCCTACAATATTAAACCACCATGCTATTTTCTGCGTCAATGTTGCTAATTCATTGCGCAGGCTTCAATTATCTATAATACTTCCCAAAGCACGAAGAAGTAAGTATACTGGGCACCCTTTCTCTTGTGGACTGGCAGAGAGGAAGAAGACCTTAGTGTCGCGATTTGATTTGGATCTCTAGATTTATCGGCTTAATCAAATCGTGGTGACTCCTGTGCCTGAAAAGAAGAAGCAACTCAATTCTGTCAACTGGCCAAATCTGTCTGCCGTTCGGTGCTAGACAGTACAATTGGAAAATCTAGAATCTGCCGTCTATCGCTTTTTTCCGCAGCTCAATTGCCGGGCGCGGTGAGAAGCAACTGTGAACGGTGAATCCTGGTTAAGGGACATTCCTATCGGCCACTACTGTGTAACGATGGACAAAGTCACGCCTGAAAGGGGGGTCCACGACGACCAGGGAGAAGGAAATGTCAAAGACGACAATTCGACCAACCTACATGATGTCGAACAAGGGGATGAAGTCGATACAGAGACAATCGATCGCATCTATAAGTATGTAAATGCTCGTTCTCCTGAATCCTGATAATACACCAAACACATACTCGATGGGGATGAATGGAATGCTCTCTTGGTGGAAGGCGAGACAATAAATGCCAAAGGGGGGAAAAGAAATAATGACAGCTAACAGTACTTTCTACCTAGAAAAATTGATTGGCGAATCATCCCGCCATTTTGGACTTTGTATTTCCTTTGCGCAGCGATCCGTTCAAATATCGGGCTAGCCCAGACCATGAACATTGAACAAAAACACGACCTTGGCAACGAACTCAACATATCTCCGCAACAAGTCTCAACTAGTTTGGCTCTGTTCTATGTCTGCTACGTGCTTTTTGATCTGCCGTCTAATCTGATTATGACGAGGCTAAGCCCTCGGGTCTGGATGAGTCGCATTGTTATCAGCGTTGGTATCATTGGATGCTGCTTTGCTGCGGTCAAAGCTGCGTGGAGTTTATAGTAACTATCCCTTCCCTTTATATGCTTGCCATATTGCACATGCTATACTGTAATGGAGCGTCCCAAAGTAATTCAATTTCCCTAGTTTACTTCGGCTCCTCCTTGGAATTGTCATTGCCGGCATGTGGCCAGGAATGGCCTATTATCTCACTCTCTTCTACCCGCCCTCCCGCACCGGAAAACGGATAGGCCAATACTTCACCGCAGCGCAGGTATCTGCCGCAGTTGTCGGTCTCGTCTCTGCAGGCTTCCAGGAAATGGACGGCTTGAAGGGCCTTGTCGGATTCCAGTGGATGTTTCTTCTATACGGCATCGCAGGCACTCTCACCGGAATCAGTCTTCTCTGGTGGCTTCCAGAACGGCCCCTGCCCCCTGGACAAAAATTGCCTCCAAGACGACGATATTTAAGATGGATACCTCAAACGCGTCCGGTACTTAAGGGACGAGATGCGGAGATACATTACCGTGATTTGAAACGTGTTTACCACAGCACCCAATGGACCATGCGAGATCTTGCTGGCGTGTTGATGGACTGGCGGCTGTGGCCTCTTACGCTCATGTACTTTGGCGTCGTTGGCGTGGGAATCGGCGTGCAGAATTACGGAACCGTTATTATTAGAGGGGCCAATCCGTCACTTACGGGGGTTCAACTAAGTTTACTATTCGCTCCAATTTGGATTGTACGAAGAATCCTTTTTCTTTTTTCCTTTTCCTTTTCCTCTTCCTCCTTAGCTTTGCTCGACCCCGTATCTCCAAACCCAATTAAAAAACACAAGAAAAATCCAAACCCATGAATAAGAACCATGAACAGCTGCTAACGCCATGAACAGATGGACCTCATCGCCATCGTCCTCGTAACCCCTTTCTCCGACCGCTTCCACCACCACCGCGGCATCTTCTTCATCGTCCCCGTCCTCTTCCAAATCCTCGGCTTACTCCTGACAACCTATGCCGGCTCCGTCACGAACGCCTGGCCCCGCTACGGCGGCCTGCTGATCGTCGGCTTCGGCCTCGGCCCTACCGTGCCCATAACCATGACATGGACGAACGAGCTCTTCCAACCACGCCACGGCGAGGTGGGCGTCGCCGCGGCATCCGCTCTGGTCTCCGGCCTGGGCAACCTGGGGAGTATCCTCACCACGTACGCGCTGTATACTGGCTGGGACAGCGACCGCCAGGCGACGGGGATGAAGAAGTATCGGAAGAGTAATTTGGTTATGATTGGGATTCTCTGTAGTAGTGTTGTGGCCGCGATTACGTTGGAGGTGTTGTTGAGGATATTTGGAGGGAAGAAAACAGGGGCGGGTGGGGATGTGGATGGAGTGAATGGCGATGGTGCAGCTAAGAGAGAGGTGGAGCAGAGAGGACTGAAGGGATTATGGCTTCTGAAGCTGTTCGGGAAGTAGGTGCATTTTTTTTTTTTTTGTTTTGAGATCTGAAGGTATTTAAAAATAAAAATAAAAGGAGGATTGTTTGATCGATCAGAATGGCATTTTGGAACTAGGAGAAACGAACAACATTAACTATTTTGTTATTAAATTATTCAACGTAGCCAGCTTCGTTTAGTGAAAATTGTACTTATTTTTTGTACTACAGGGTATGACTGACTATATGCAATTTCGATTTCCCCGAGTGTCTTTTATCAAGCGGGCAATCATCATCTCCTTCCAACGCTCGTATCCACCACACACATACGGATAATTGCCGCGCGCTAAAGCCAACAAGTCAGTCCAAGCTGCATCCCACATTCACTCCAGAACCTCACGGGGAGATGCTGATCATGCCAATTCCAAATAATAGGATCCATATTCAAGATCTAGCTACTAGTTTTCTACATCTTTACGTCGTTTTGATCAGTTTTCCACACACATATTGCGATGCTGGCGCGCGCGTTTAAAATTGTCTCCCGTGGATGTCTGCGATAGCCTCAAAAAGTGGCCAAGACTGATATCTACATCAGGAAAAACAGCAACATGCAAAATCGGGGCATCTATATCCCTTATAACTAACCCAATCAACTTGCCCTACCCATCTCAAGAAAAGAAAAAACGAAAAGAAAAGGGTTAAACCCAACAAAAATCAAAAATGGACCGCCTACCCACTCACTATCTCAACATGCTCAGAACTCCTCTTGTTCTTCTCATCATCGCTCACTGCAGCAGCAGAAGCAGCAGCAGAAGCAACAGCATCCGGACCTTTCCGACTACTCTTCTCAGCCGACCACTTCAAGAAATCCCTCGTGGGGACATTATGCTCAAAAAGCAGATCCAATTCCGCGGGAGACCTTCCGCCCATCTCTGGCACAAGCATCCAAATCAAACCGCAGCTCAGGACAGATAGACCAAAAAATACAAACCCGGTTTTAGCTCCAAGATTACCTTTGTCGGTGTTGTAAATGTATGGCAATACAACTGCAAAGATGCATGCATATATGCCGTGCATGGCCCAGCCGACAGCTTGCGTCCGACCACGGAGTCGAAGGGAGGATGTCTCTGCCGTGGCAAGGACAGAGACGGGCCAGATTCCGTTTCCACAGACAAAAATGATGACGATCATACCTGCGGCAGTGATCCTAGGAAATCAAAAACAAAAAAAAGAAAATTCAGAGATCAGCATGCCATATCTTCAACTTTCAGGAAACGAGGGGAAAAGGAGACGATTGGCAGTTTCAACGCGGCGCGCATGATACATGAATTGCCAAAGGAGTGGAATGAAAAAGCAAAAAACGTACCATTTCGTCACCGGGCTATCAAAACATCCCGAAATCCCTATTGCGCCCCAAAACAACCCAGTGAGACCAAGCGTCCACAGCATAAGCGGCCTCCGCTTCGCAACAGATAATGTCCACACAGATATGATATTCGCGACCAGGCCCACCGCAATACCAATCTCCAACAACAGAACACTCAAGAAAGGGGGGATGCCAACAGTCTGCGCAAAGTAGCTGGCAGTCGAGAGCAAGCCCAGTCCGAAGTTCTGCGGCATCATATGGCACACCAGCACAATAATGGTTCTCCGCAGATCAATCCCTCTAAAGCAATCGATGAACCGCACCTGCGAACCCAGCCTCTTCATCATCTCCCGCTCCTGCTCCAAAATCTCAACAAGCTTATCCACCATCTTATCTGTATCAACTTCTTTCCGATGAAGACGTCGCTGCGCCTTGCGCGCTTGATCTATCTTACCCACACGGATAAGATGCGGCGGGCTCTCAGGAATGAAAATCGTAATAAAAAGCAATATTACAGAAAACAACCACTGCGACGCCACGGCAATCAAATACCCGTCCCGCCCCTTGACAGACAAGCAAGCAAACACAACCAACGCCCCGATAAGTTGCCCCGTCATCGTCATCACGGGTAGCAGCGCCTGACTGGAACCCCGCAGCGCTCGCGTCACGATTTCAGAGGTGTATATCTGCACGGTACAGACCACCTGTCCCGCCGCGAAGCCCTCCACAAGCTTGCCCACCAAGAATATGCCCCGACGGGCGTCGATGCCGGCCGCGAAGGCGGATGCAAAACAAATGGCGATGCCAATGGCGGATATCAGGGCGCCCAGCATGAGCGAAAAACGGCGGCCGAAGCGATCGCATACCCAGCCGGCGACGGCTGCGCCAGCAATGTTGCCTATGGATGGTGCGGCGGTCCATACTCCCAACCATGCGGAGGGGATAATGGGCTTTCCTCGGAGTACTTCACCAAAGTCGCGTCTGTTGTGAAGAGAAGGGAGAAAGGGAGAAAGGGAGAAAGTTGGCTTTTGATCGAGACACGGATAGTTTTGAGAGGAGTTTTGTGCGTTTGTTGAGCTAAAGGGGGATGGATGGCAATAGGAAAAGAAAGAGGGGGTGGTGGTGAAGAAGAATACCAAACTACTCACTGGAACTCAGGCATTGCAGTCAGAGTGCTGACGATGACCATGTCGAATCCATATAGCAATATACCAGGGCATGCGGCAAAGACATATCCGACGACTCTAGGGAATCGTTTGATAGACTGCAGCAAGGTCAGTTCGGCAGGATCGGCATTGTCGACCTCGTAAACGCCATCGTTGCCGTCGTCGCTGGTATCATTGATATTGGTGAGACTATTATTGCTAACGATAATACCATCATTACTATCACCTGTCGCTACCAGCACCGTCGTCGCCGTCGTCTTAGCGGGGACCTTTTCCTCGTCCACAGCCATGTGTCGGTTGTCGGTTGATAGACTACCAGGATCGAGGCACAGTGTGTTCTGCTGCTGACGGGAGCAGGAACTAAAGCTGGGAGGCGGCAGGGGATGGATCGCGCTTGCTCAATCAATTCTTCTCAGGCTTATAGTACCACTCAGGTAAGGAAGGTTCAACGGGGTATATGTGTAATACAAGCGACTGACGACTGCGCAAAAAAGCAACGGAGTAGGTCCCGGATATATATAAAAACAACACCGAGTCTATACGCTATGTATATATTTTTTTTAAAAAAAAAGGAAGAGTGGATTCGATTTCAAAATTCAATTCCAATTCCAACCCCGCATATTCCCTCGTTATAAACAACGACGACCGGGAACAACCTACGGCCCTCAGTCCTTTCAATAAATGAGAGGAGGAGGAGGAAGAAGTGGAGGAGAAGTAGGCGTAGGTCACAAGCTCCCACAAGCTGCTCTCTACCAGTAATATATATATATATATAAAAACGAGAGAGAAGAGAAAGCAAACCCTTTCCTTTCCTCCCCAAGCAAGATCTAAAAGGGCCGGCACAGGCGATCTATTTATTAAATACTCGGACAAATAGTTAACCTGCAGAGGAAGAAAAAAGAAAGAAAAAAAAAGGAAAACCGGCGGTAGGGGTAAGGTAGGGGACCGGACCACCACCCTTTCCCTTGAGCAGTCTAGTCTAAGCAAGGGTCGCCCCGAAGAAAGGGCCTACGCAGTTAATAACCACTGCACTAATAATTGCCGGGGCTGTCGTCCTTATTATTCAGGGTCTGCGATCCCTAAACCAAACCGACAGCGCATTCCCCGCTAGCAGCAAAATTAACCTTTTTGTGGCTGGCCGGCGTAGGGCGCTCTGAACGTTGTTGGCCTTGCAATGGGACCCCCCCTTTTTTTTTTCCTGTCGCGTCGCCGTTCAGGACCGGGCCAGAGGTTCGACGCACCGCCTGCATATAAAGCGGAAAAAGAAAAAAAAAAGCAAAGGCATGTTCCGCCGCGCGGCATATGCGTAGAAATCACAAAGAAATAAAGAGGTCAGGAAAGGGAGAAAAGTCTTGTTCAGCTACGACTCTCCTTGGAAAGATCTTAGTTAGGGGGGCCAAAACATCCCTTTGGAAAGGTGGGTTTATTTTAATTTTTCTTCACCTTTTGTTTGGCGTTGTTATGTAACTAGTTAGTTACAGTTTGGCGGCGGAATTAGATTAGATTCCTCTAGAATTCGTCAGGCTGTGGCATGGCATGAAATAACAATAGTAGTTCAAGACTATCTCTCGACGATTGCTAACTTAAATAATTATTCTTAATCCCCATGAGGCCAATTTGGGCCCCGCTGAGGAGTCAGGACAAAGTTGTTCAAAACTTTTCATACTTGCGCGCGAGATGCACGCCGCTGACAACTCCCTGAAAGGCTGATGATAGATAGTGCTGACAACATACAAGGGGGTGTTTTATGTTGGACGTCTGAGTGATTGTATTGTTGGTAGCTATCTAGTGAGCGATATATGCTTGGTGCGGGGCGCTAGTCCGTACTAGGAAGCCTAGGGCTCCCACACCCCCCCTCGGACTAGCTACCGTGCAGCTATCCTATCTATCTTTCTCAAATCATTCAAATCCGCAATAATAATTAATTACAAAAAGCAGCACCTAGTTTCCTCATTAGGACTAGGTCTGATACATGAAATCAAATCCATCTTATTCATCTGTCATATTCATCATATCCTTATCCATCTTGCTTGCAGGTGTATCCAACAATCCTGCAGTAGCTCGCGTTCTTGGAGGCATTTGTTTACCCCCCCTTTGAATCAATCTTTTCCCGCGATCAAAGCTTTCAAAACAGTTGCTTTTCGTCAGGTTCCTTCTGCAGTTCAGCGATGCAGCTCGCGAGACGTTTTATACCTCAGATAAGAGAAAAAGTAGTGATTGCGGAAGTTTTAATGAAAAAAAAAAAAAAAAAAACAAGCTATCCGGGCTATAACCTGTTGGACGTCTGAGTGATTGTATTGTTGGTAGCTATCTAGTGAGCGATATATGCTTGGTGCGGGGCGCTAGTCCGTACTAGGAAGCCTAGGGCTCCCACATTTTAAGCTTATTAATATGAGGTCGGTGACTTTTTGTTTTATATATTTTAGTTACACATCAGTTTAACTATATAACTATAACTACAGAGTATAGCTGACTGTAAAGAATCAAAGCCAAACCTCCTCCCTCTGGTAGGTTCGGTACTTTGACATCATCCCATTTCATTCCACGGCCCTCTTTTTTCACATGGAATCCTCGTTTCCCGTTTCCCCCCTCCTCCCGGCCCCCCCGGCAATTGTTTATTTAGTAGTGATCACTGACTCCGTACTTGATTGAGAAATGCGGAGAAGTTGAGCTTTTTAAACGGGTCAAAATGGACCCATCGATTCACGCGGCCACCTGCCGAAATATGCCAACCTGCCCGACGACTTGCACAGTAGAGTAGCCTGTCCTGTCCCTAATCTGAATCCTTTCTGCTAGGTTGGTTAGTTGGATGCTGGGGTAGTTAAACGAGTTAGCTACTATAAGTTACTAGTTAAGTTAGTTACTGGGCCCGCGTGTCGCTTAACTTCAGAGCTTTCGTAGCTTCGTCGTTTGTTTGAACCTGGGGCTCCCATCCCATCCCATCCCACATCCGGTGGCGGGCAGCGGCGGGGGGCTTGAATGAATTCGGAAGTTATGTATGTCATGGTCATGGTGGTCATGATTCGATTCGCTTCGGCATAAAAAAAAAAAAAAAAAAAACGAGGGGCGGATGTTCCGTGTCCCCTTCTTTCTTTTACCGAGGGCGAGAATAAATCGTCTCAATCACAGAGCCAAAACCTGCTCTGCTCTGCTCTGTTTTGCTCAGCTGCGCGCCCTTTTTACTCCCTTCAAAGGTTGATGCTGGATGGAAACCTCACCACATGCCTCTTGTGCTAGCAGCAGCCCGCTTTCCCTCCCCTCTCTCCCCTCTCTCCCCTCTTTCAACCTCATGCCGAAATCCCGGATGGATATAGAACATCTATCTTCCTTTGCCTAGGCACATAAACCCGCCGACGGGCGCTGGACCGCTGCTTGGACGATGTGGGATGATGCGCGAGCGGAGATGGTGCGGGGCAAGAAAACACCGCTATACATCCATCCATCCATCCATCCATACATACATACATACGTACCATACGTGGGATGGACACGAGAGACGCGGAGGCGGGAGGGGGATGTTTTGATTGCTTGTGCTGATTTTGGATGACGGAAGCGGGATTGGCCTGTCTAAGCTAAGGTAGTGAGTGAGTGAGTTGGTCTGTCTGGGTAGGGTAACTAGGTTAACCAGGCAGTCAGTCATTCGTCACTCCGGCTCTTAATAAATGACTAATAACTAGTTAACTAAGTTGGTTTGGTTTGGTTTGGTTAGTTAAATCCTGACTCATTTTGCGGGGGAATATGGCTTCGGTGGAAGTGGATTGGATTGGATTCAATGGCGATGTTCTATCTGTCGGTCCCCGCAAGTTTCTGAGCTGAGACAGCTGTGACGGTGCAAGCGAGGAGGGGAGGGGAGGGGAGGGGAGGATTGGATAATAGATAGATAGACAACAGAACTCCTACTGTACTAATAATGCCTACAAGAACTCTTGATTTACACACACACCTCTCTATACAGTACATACTTCTCTCCATCATCCTCTATGCGTCTTGTATACATGTACAAAATATAGACATTTACATTCACACCTATTTAAAAACAAAGCGGACCCAACCGAAGAGAATACACACACACCACAAAGACCGAGAGAACGAGGTTTAACAGTCCACCAAAACGAAAGGTCCCATTCTGTATCTAATTTTCAATTCGTGCCTCCTTTCTCCCAGTATTTTTTTTTTTTTATCCGTCATGGGCCAACGCAAAACATATTTGACACCATTATCTATCCCCGTAGAACAATTTAATTAAAAAGAAAAAGAAGAAAAGAAAAAGATAGGAAGGCCCGAGCCCCATCATATCCCATTCTTAATAACATCCATTATAAACAGTGAAAAGAGGGAACAAAGTCTGCCATCAACATCGGCGGAAAGCAAAAGGAAGGGGGAGGGAAAAAAGAGAAAAAAGAGAACAGGACATTCTAAAACTGAAAACCAGAGAAACGGCGCCGGAGACAACAGCAACCTATTAAATAGAATCTGTGACATTATCCAACAGTTTGGAAAAGGGCAAAAGAAAGAAAAAAAACGACCAACACCGGGCCCACTGACTTCTAGTTACGTATTGATATAGTGGGATGAAAAGAAAAGAAGACAAATGAACCCAAACGAGAACCAAAAAGAGGGTAGGAATGAAAACCCCAAAACACGGAACAAACAAGACCATGCCTCATTACATATATTAATGACGGAAAAAAAAAAAAAAAAAAAAAAAAAAAACCAAAATTAACATAGAACGAAAAGAAGGCGATTACGATGCGAAACTTTGGTGTGCGGTGCAAGGTGTGGACGGGACGGGTTGCTTGGGTTGCTGGGCTGGTGGGTGGCGCGTGCGGACAAGGATGACTTAAGACGACACTGACGGCTTCAAATCATATACAAAAAAAAAAATAGTTTTCCCCTGACGCGATTGTGGGAAAAACGACTGGGAAGCTCTCTCTCTCTCTCTCTTGTCTATCTTGCATCCTCTCCAAGTCCCAGTTAATTTTTTTTTCCTGTTTCATCGACATCCACACACACCACCACACCACCCACTCAGACGGTTCGTCGCCCGAAGGGTATAAATAAAATATTGCGGGAAAACAACAAAGTAAATTCATCGATTTCACTTCTTCCGGCATCCTCAGACTGTTCCCAACTATGAAGCGCCGCAAAGCTATTGAGAGAATATTCGGTTAGTACTTGTTTCCCCAAACACACAGAGCCTTGGAACTGAAAACCACAAAACTTACAGTCTCAACAATAATACCCGTAATTTGATACGGGTCAGCGTTGGAAGCCGGTCTTCGGTCCTCGAAGTAGCCCTTGCCATCCTTCGCGACCTGGCGGGGGATACGGACGCTTCCGCCGCGGTCAGCGACACCATAGCTGAAGGTGTCGATGCTGCCGGTCTCGAGGCGGCCGGTGAGACGGTCCTCGTTACCCTCGCCGTAGACGGCAATGTGTTCTGAGTGGCGGGCTTCGAGTTTCTTCATGGCAGCCTCGATGACCTTCATGCCACCCTCGGAACGCATGGCCTCGGTCGAGACATTGGTGTGGAGGCCAGCACCGTTCCATTCGCCGGGGATTGGCTTGGGGGCGAAGGATATTATGGCGCCGAATTCTTCAGCGACGCGGGCAAGGAGGAATCGAGACATCCAGAGCTGGTCACCGACTGTTGTTCGAGGATGGGTTAGTCCATCCGACACAATTCAAAAAAGGGGGGGGGGGGTTGGATAACATACGGCTAATGCCCTCACAGGGTCCAACTTGGTACTCCCACTGAGCAGGCATAACCTCAGCGTTGATGCCAGAGATGTTGATGCCAGCATACAAACAAGCCTTGTAGTGGGCCTCGACGATATCACGGCAGTGGACCTTGCCAGTTCCGACACCGCAGTAGTACGGGCCCTGAGCACCTGGGAAGCCACCCTTGGGCCAGCCATATGGCCATCCATCAGCGCCGAGGAGGGTGTACTCCTGTTCTAGACCGAACCAAAAGTGTTCGTCTTCGTGTGCGCGCATGAGCCTGGCAGCCTCATGGCGGTAGTTGAACTTGTTGGGCGATCCATCTGAGTCCCAGGTTTCGCAGAGGACGAGGATGTTGTCACCACGGCGGAAGGGGTCTGGGAACATGGCGATGGGGCGAAGGTAGACGTCCGAGTTCTCGCCAGGGGCTTGGCCTGTTGATGAGCCGTCGAAGTTCCATTCTGGAAGCTCCTCGACTGACTTGACGGGTCCCTTGAGTGTCTGTTGTCATGAGAAAGATTGTTAGTACGTTGTTCCTACGTTGGAAATCATCTCCATTCATTGTGGCATTGTGGTGTGGTGTGCAGACATAAGGACATACCTTCGTTTTCGATCGGACACCACTCGAGGCATCAATCCAGACATACTCTGCCATAACATGACCCCGCTGGTCAAGACTCATATACTTCATGAGCTATACAATGGCAAAAGAAAAAAAAAAAAAAAAAAAAAGCTATCAGTCAGCTTTCTGTGGTTGTTCTCAAAATGCCATCTCAGCTGTTTATCGAGCGAAGTGGCAAGAAAAAAAGAAGGGTTCACAGCAACAATAACAAAAAACGTACATTCTCCGTATTGGAGAGATGTGTCGAAGGGAAAGGGTACGCCTGTTCCAAACGCAGCAGGAGCCATCGTGTTAGCCTCGATATAGCTATTAACATCGATGGCGGGTGGGAATTGAGACTGTTCGGGCTTACCATGACTGTTGATGTGTGAGTGATCTTTTGTTGTGTGTGGGATGAAAAAAATATCAAAGTGGCGAACGAAGAGCAAATCGACTAGCTTCGAGAGTAGAAAAGCGAGTGAGTGATGGTGATGGTGATGGTGATGGGATGGATACAGCACCGACTTGGGAGTCAATGAATGAGGATAGAAGAGGATGAGGATAGAAGGGAGAAGGGAGAAGGGAGAAGGGAGATTGAGAAACGGGAGAAGGGAAGAGATAACGTATATAAGAAGAAGAGGAAGCAGAAAAAAGGCTGGAACGAGGAAGAAGAGCAGTAATAATAATATACCGCTGTACCGGGCGCCGGGCCCGGGGGTGGTCCTGCTGTATCGTCACGTCACGTCACCAGCGCCGTATTGTTCCGTCTGTTTTGCCGTATCGACGAGCCACACGCTTGAGTTTTTCGCATGGGGCGGTGCAAAAAACAGGTTTTCTTGTTTCTTGTTGCCTCAATAATAATAGTAGACTGGGGGATTTTTTTTTTTTTGGTGGTAAAACTCGATCAAAAGTAACTCCCTTTTTTATTCTAACTACAACAACAGCTGTAGAGGTTTACTGTTTATTTTACTGATTTTATTATTCCCCTCGGTTGATTTTGTTGAAATCACATCGTGTGTGTGTTCTGCTGTCGAACAAGGGATTGGATGCAGTGCAGTACGTACAGTACGTGGTAAGGTTTTAGATACGTGTACTGCAGCGTATATAAAACAACCGCACAGTAAAAATAAATAAGCTCTTTTCTCTTATTATCCATCTCATCTTGTTTGCGACAAAAACCTCAGACTTCCTGACGTTCCCCCCCCGCGTGGGGGAATTGGAATTGCTGCAATCAATCAGGAATTATTATGTTTGATGAAGATATTTACTTCATCTGCATGTGAGGAACAACAATCCGATTGAAACCGGGGTAAAATGTCGATATTCTCTTTTTCCTCTTTATTATATTTTAGTGTTTTTTGTTGAGCAGCTGAAGATTTTTTTTTTTCCTCCCCGATGATAGGCCAGGGTTCTGCTCGTATCGTACTAATCCAATGCAAGGGGGAGGGGAGGACAAGCCCCCAAGGGAGCAAGAGAGAAGAGAGAGAGAGAGAGAGAGAGAGAGCTTGCTTGTTCCTGGTTCGGATCCTTGACATTGTCATCTCGCCCCAGCTAGCTCTACATACACATATAGACCTCCCCCCGGGTCCCCTGCTAATTCAAACATAATAATAAGCCCGTCGTCCCGCGATTCATGCGAATTATTACTGTCATTATTTCTCATCAAACATGATTATTGCGAAGGACTTTCCCGCCCAAGTTCGTTCCTGCTAAGTACGGTGACAGTGACAGGCGCGCCGGCTCTGCACCACACACCCCGCTATGCTCGGGTGGAGTCGGGATAGAAGATAAGGGCCCGAAACAGCGGTGGCCGAGTAATCGGCGGGCTGTGGCAATTAGTAGCCACCCCCCACCTCAACCACCACCTTGTTTTCAAAGCTGGGTGCCTCTGCGTGCGGCTTCACCCAGGTATGATGTCATAATCAGAGGGAACAAGTTTTTATTATTATTTGTCTGCCTGTCTGCGGCCATTCTTCCGTAGATTTTTATTTATTATTATTATGTGATTTTATACAGAGTCAAGTCCGATGTAATCAGCTGCTTTCAAGGCCTTGATTTTTTTTTTTTTTTTAAAGCTTGTAAACTGTTTCAACAGGTGAAATAATCCAGAGCCAGACTGATACTAACCTACTCAATATTAAATAACCTCTCTATATAACCTTGGAACCTACCTAATTCCCCCACGTCACGTGGAACTTAGGCTTACTTCCACTGCCCACCGCCCACCGCCCACCGCCCTTCTGCCCAGAAACCAGGTTCTGGCAGGTTCTATCCGCCAGCTGCAGGATAGAACAGTATAGTATGTATGTATATATGTATGTATATATGTATGATATCGGCCAATTGCAGCCGTTGAAAATGTCAAACACATTGCAGAAATACTCTGTATATGTAGTATAATAATACCACTTGTGCAATCTGCAAATCAATAAAAGAAGGGAAATGGGATGTGGCATTTTTAGATTGACGGTTTTGGAAATTGGATGAATCTATTTTGAAAATGCTGTTTCTCTCTTTATACTATTATTCTATCAGATATTGATGTGGTGATATTTTCTCTAACTCACTCTCCTGCTAGAATATTTACTCAGAGCCGTTTGTTCGTTTCGTCAACTGGAGGAGAATAGTAAGCTAAACTACTCAAGCTCCACCCCCCCAGCAAGCCAAAAAAAAAAAAAAAAAATAAAAGGGAAGGAGAGGGGGTTTGATTGAATGTGCAAAAATAACTCACTAGTACTGTTAAAAATCCCTCATCTCATATCAACGACAACGACGATTTCTATGAAACCATTCTCCTCCTTCTTCTTCTTCTTCTTCTTCTTCTTCTTCTTATCTGGGAGAAGGGAATGAATCATCCCTTTTTTCAACTGATTATTACGATAATGAAAACAAATTGTGTGTGTTAGAGTTGTTCACGGTTGTTTTTGATTATTGAGCAGAAAACTCTAGTTACATGTAAGTTAGAGCAGAGCTTGCATTTTCCCGCCGGCTAATAATCAATTCCATTGGGGGCGGACAAGGCGGTGGACGCTAGGTTAGACCAACTTGGCTATTCCATCCTACCCTACCATTGATAATTTTTATATCAATAGCAATATATATCTGATATTCATAATCCATCATAATCCATAATAATATTAATCTACCATCCGAGTGTAGCAGCGAAATACTACAGTGCCTGTCACGGCCGACGAACGACCAAGGGGCTTGAAAAGATATAAAACTCTTCTTTTTTCCCAGCACACAAGAAAGTGACAAGCCACAACACAACTTAACCCTAACTCCTGCAGGTTTATTATCTTCATGTATTTATTTATTTATGTACATGTATGTACATACATACATTACTATACGGAGTATCTTATTATTCTTTAATATCTCCCCCCCCCCCCCCCCAAAAAAAAAAGAAAAAAAAGAAAGCAAACGCACGCAAAAGAAACAATTTATATTTAGCTAACAAACTCCCCATCCATCCCCTTTCCATCCTGTCTCATCATCCATCTTCAGCTGCTGTTTCACACACACACCGCCGCCAGCCGCCAAGTCAGTTCCTCCCATTCGTACATAAATACCATACTTACATACCGTACAATACATACCGTACCATACTATACCAAAAATGGCCCCCCCTCCCCGCCCGAAGAACGAACTTCCAAGGTTTGGCCTGGGCTTCCTTCTCCCCTGTTTTTTTTCGTTACTGCCTGGTTTAGGTCAGGTTAGGTAACTTTAGGTCTCCACTTTTGTTTCTTTTTTTAGGGTTCGGTTATCTGTCGCCTTATCGGGCGGCTGTTATTGGCTGGTTGATTACGGAGTACTGGAGAACAAACAAGTGTAAACACAAAAATGATGTGGGAGTAATGGTATTGGTTGGGTATGGATGGATGGGTATTGGGTAGGTATGGGGGGGGGGGGGGAAGGCAAGGGAAGGGAAATTGTGGGGTTAAATAATGATATATATCTCTCCTTCCATGGGATAGATAGTTGTTGAAACACGCCTCCTTTCCCTCCCATCGGACAAAGAAATCGTGCGCTGCTTGAGGGAGTTATGATAGATAGATTAGACATATTGGAATAATGTAATAGTACAGTACAAGTAACATCTATCTTCGGCTTTCCAAAAAAAAAAAGGCCCCCTTCCTTCGCACGGCCACCTGGGGCTGCCTACCTAGATCTTCGCGTCCGCATTATTCACGGCAAGTTTCATCGAATTCGGGGACCCCGGATTCTCTCAACCCCAACCCCAACCCCACTGTTTCAGAGAAATCAAGAGCGGGTGACGCGGCTACCTCTCACTTGAGGATTGATTGCCGTTTTCGACACCAGACTAGACTGCGCGGATCCGGGAAAGTATGGGCAACAAACAAGCGTTTCATCTGCGGTTTCATCTGGGTCATAGATTCATTCATACGCCTGGCAGCAGGTGAAGGGGGGGGGGGGGAAGGGGGGGTTCGCGCGTAGTTCCAGGACATCACTGTTTTGCCGATTGTGGATAGGCGGCTGCTGCCCTGTGGAATGAAGGATGAAGGAATGAGATGTGCTTGGGATAGGGATACCATAGTTACTAGACAGGCATACGCCACATCTTAATCAAAAAAAAAAAATAAAATAAAATAAAATAAAATTGAAAATTAAAAATAAAATATAAAATAAAATAAAAAAATTACGACTTCCGCTTCCGCATCCACTTCAAGACCCATTCCACCAGCATTCCAAGATCCTCAGAAGTCTGTAGCACTCTTGCGAGTTTTCTGCTGAGGTCCCGCGGTCCTGCTCCGGGGGCGTCGTCTGTGAGGCCCCCTCCGCTGTTGCTACGATCATCGCACATCCCGGCAACCCGCGAGACCGTGATGTTGCCGTTGAGTCCGATATCTACATTGATTGTGATTGTTGTCGGGTTTTCCATGGAGATATTTGGGTTTCCGTTGGGCGCGTTGAATAATAGCAACAAGGAAGGTGGTCCTGATATTGGAGTTCGCAGAGATATGTCCACTCTCCGATCATCATTTGATGGCGAAGGGGTGGAAGATGATACGGCAAATTGAGCGTCAAAGCCGCTCCTTTTATCGTTCCTGGGTTTGGGATCGCTGGAAAGCATCGAGTTAAGTTTGGATACTACAGGCTTGATGTTGGTGATGAATGTGACGTCAGGCTTAGATGTCTGTTTTGACGTAGTCGAGCCCATCGGGTTAGGCGGGAAAGACTTGTTGCTTGACCCGACAGTTTTGTTGTCTTGATTGGCAAATACTCTGTCAAGAAGGCTAGACAACAATGCGTATTGGCGTAAGATCTAGAAATAATCGTTAATAATAATTACTCTTGGAGTATACACAAGAACAAAGGAAAGAACGTGGAAAGGGGCAAAAAATCTATGCACTCACAGGTAGAATATCAGCTAGCTGTCGTGGGTGAGAAAAGGGGAGGTCACGAATGGTGCGTCCGACAATATGCTCAAAGGGATGGAAAGTATAAATATGCCGGTGTTGTTTCGGTTGGTTATCGTCATCAAAGCTATACACGACCCTTTCTTGAACTCTTCCGTTAGATGGTGAGGAGCTATTCTCATCTTGGCCGTCTCCTGTCGAAACAACATTGGGTAGTGGAACTACAAGCCCGTCATATGTAACCGTTTTCGGCTCCGGGGGCATGTTCAACCCAAGCACCCTGTATACCTCCGCTGCTGCAATTATAGGTATATGGATGGGGGGTTCCAGGCGCGCAACAAAGCGCCGATTTGGTGTTGTGGTGCCCAAGGCGGTAGAATCAAGTGTAACGTCATTTGGGCTGGTGACGAGGGTGGCAGGAGGGTCCAGCCAGTTGATCAACAGAATCTCAGAGTCGTTTCCATTAGCAGCTGAAGACGACCCTCCAGTGTTCATAGTCGTAAATGGTTCAGCCGCGACCCATTCGTTCGACACGCGTAATGATGGGTAGCCTTCTTCACACTCGATCGCTGCGCTCCATATTTTATGCTTATTGACAGGGGTTGAATTTTGATCGTCTGGAGTGGGTTGGTCGATACTCATGGCATTCGGAATGACCTTATGGTTTGAATCCAAATTCCGTCTCTGCTCAACCCAATACTGAAGACTCAAACCGATTCTTTTGTTTTGGTGTAGACCAGGTTGGCCTACCTGACTTGTGCAAACATGTTCCCAATGGCTCTTCTCTGGATGCCGGCTTAATTCGCCTTCCCATACTCGTTTTAAACTCTCATACACCCCTGTCACTGCTTCGAAGCAGTTGACATCACGACTGAGCTGATCCAATTTGGCTAGTCTATGCAAATTTGAATGAAACGCATCGAGGCTCTTCCAAGGCATCTCGTCATGCTCTCCAGTAGACTGCATAAGATCCTGTTTTAGAACCGCAGTGGCCTCCACTCTCCTTTCTCCCTCCACGGTGCTTGGAGTAGTATACTTTAAGCTGACATCCTTAACGTTCTCTGCGCCGTCTTCGAACTGGATCTCCAGATCCACAAAGTTCCCGGCAATGCTTAGGTCATTTTCTTGCCACAAACACTCGAATCCCTCAAACCTCCCTAGCCTCTCCATACCCTCGCGGCATACGCCTCTTCCAGAAACACGGGTTCTGAGTAGTCGGATAACTTCCTCCATTCGGCGAGTTTTCTCTTCATCAGTGTCCCGTGCGCCACTCATGCCTAGGGTCGACATCCCCATTGAATGGATGCCATTATCGTTGATCCCTGGTCCAGCTAGAGCATCGTTTGCTGCTGGAGATGGCGTGATACCGCCTAAACCAAGAGCCAACAGCGCTGATGGTGAGCTGAATGCGATAGTATCCTCCACGGAGGCAGGGACAGCCATGGGGGTCGGATACTGATGCGAAGAAACACTGGGATGATGTCCATGGCCAGAAGCAGAAGGCGTCCGAATAGAAGGGGACTTGTGGGAAAGCGGACGACCCATAGGCACAGCTGATGGGTGAGGGGGTGAGGTTGGGTGAGGTGTTTGCCCAGGGTTGTGCTTGGATGAGGGGGTAGCCATGATGATAGATTCGATGCCAACAAGTAGATTTCAAAGAACGACAAATGATAGAAGTCAGTGCGACACAACAACGAACTGGTTTGAGAATATCTAGTCGCATAAAAGGGCCATAAAAGGGCCTTTTATACAGCAGCAGAAGCTGCCACGGCAAGTCACAGCTTCGATTGTGAGGTACAGCTCAATCGTAACCAGAGTCGAGACAACCCTATGCAATCATTTTTCTTTACAAAACTAACGTCGCTCAAAAATGTGAGCGCCAAAATATCCGGTTTGGATAAGCCTTTGGATTTTGCAGTTCCATCTTGAGCTATTATTGGGGTGAATACAGATTAGTATGAAGTTGAGTGAAGCCTCAGGCTTCAGCTTTGGGCGTTGAACGCGAAGTCATGTGATTTGTGATCAAACCTACAAGTGACATATAATCTACGGAGTACTAACTTCACACTTTTATTAAACGCCTTTTACTCCAATTGCACAATTATCGAGCTAGCAGAAGTATATATATATCTCTCTATCTGATGGCAACAATTATCTGTAGCGCGCGCCGCGCTATTTTCAACCCAACGCGATTTTACTTTAGATCTTTGACTACCTTGCAGGGCAACTCACATATCGTATGCTTGATATAAGCCCTTCAATTCCAGTTACGCATTAGAAGAACAATTGTGGAAAAAGTGCTGATACTGATTATTCCCACAGTTCGTTTTCCCAAATCCCCAAACCCCGAATAGCTATATACTCTCTCTTTTACCTACAGATCCTCCGAAACCCAACCTTGCGATCGGAGTGACGTCCAAACTTCCTCCAACCACTAACTCTTTGAAAGAAAATCCGGCGTTTCTAAACACGCTCCAGTCAGTCATTGCAGAGCATGCACATGAGGATCCTGAGGTAGTGTCGCAGGCGCAAGTAATGGCTTACACGAGTGGGGTAAATCTTGCTACTGGTGGCCGGGGGCAAAGGCAGCGGAGACGTGGCGCTACCAGTTCAAATGAAGGCTTTAAGGATAGCACAAATTCCACTAAGAGAGGTGGATGGATTCATATTTTCGATACGAGGAATCCCCCGGAGTTTGCTAGGATCGCATGGTAAGATTTCAATCTCGTAGCTCATGTCACCCTAAGACATTAATTTTTTCTCCCTCCCGCAGGCCAGAAGATATATTCGGCAGCCTGGAAGTTGATGGGAACGGAAATATTGAAGGGAATTACCAGCCCAGTGGTAAGTCTATAAAGCGTACCCGGTGTTCGCCCGTCGCTTTTAGTAGGACTTGCTGGTTAAAACAGTGGAATGCTAGGTACCTACCGGGTCATCACCTCGAATGGAATGTACGTGCTAATCCCTCCTACGAGATAATGTTCACCACTAACAAGCATATGCAGCCTTGGTCTCAGTCCATTTTTGCGAGAGAAGCTTGTTCAGCGCCTTCGATCAGAGGAGAATAATTAGCGCAGCTAGAGGCTAGAAATTTGCATTTAGGCAAACCACTCCACTCCTAATATATGAACCCCCATGGTGTGAAACATGGGATTGCCGAATCATTTATGGCAGGCCACTGCGGCACCACGAAGGTTTAGTGCTCTGCATATTTGGCTGCTCAATTGAAACACCTTTGCGTGGACCCTTATAAGGATCATTCTCTTATACCCTCGTTGTGTTAACAGTTGTGCCATTTTTGCCTGGATTCCTTCAATATTCATGATGGGATTGCCTGTGCATATACCGCGACAGCATCATAGGAGCAACATATAGTTTATGTCTTATAGGCTTGCATGCACAGCGCGGGAATATATCAAATATTTCTCGAATCGTGGCTCGGCTTACAAAACCTGCCAACACTGTATTGTGGACAAACCATAGCACGGTCGTATCTCGTTATGGCCCTTCTTTAAACAAGTGGCAATTGAGACAATGCACTCAATTCGCTTGTCCTTTATCCTTTCCAACACTCATCCCATGGGGAATCAATCATATCTGTGAGAAAATGTTTACATGTGAAAGGAAGGAAGAATAGCAGCTACAAAAATGACCTGTGATGTCTTTGTCAACCCACTGACAGAATGGGCCAGAGTGCAACCTGTTTAGACTACTATATAACCACTTAAGCTGCTGCTTTTGGTGGGCGCAGGCGACGAGTGGCTCAATTAGTGGATTTCTTTCATGAAACCCAGAACATAGCACGTTACCAACATCAATAAAGATCATTAGAGAATTCGTGAAGAAACAAATATCCAGCGTACACATGTGAAAATGACAGCAGCGGGGGCGGGTACAAGACAACAAAGCTTAAAATCAAACGCGGGCATAAACCTGTCAACCAAGGCTAGCTCTCCTGTGTGTATTCAGCCCCTCTTCCTCCAGTGTTAGCTGGTGGTGGTTGAGCTCTTTTGCCCCAGTAGCTGACAAAACCAGGTTCTTTGCGGCAACTTTGGTCTTCTCTTCTTCCGCCATAGTGGGCAGCTATGTACGGTTTAGTCCCTGTTCCGGTTCCGCCCTTCACTTCACATATTCCGGTGATGAGAACACGCTAAAGAAGCATCCCTTTCTGCGCCATCTCCAAAAGTCCACAACTTTTATACTGAGGCTTTATGTATGTGCATTTAGAGTCAAATATCCCACGATGTCAATAAGAAAGAACTCCATCGAAGCAAATATTTGTAAAAATTTCATTGAAGTTGAAAAGAATCAGCAATATGTTGACATTAATATATGTAATTGATCCGTAGGCAGTAGAGACAAATGTACAAGGTTCCAAATGGTATCATAGTAAACAAAGCGAATGAAGAAGACAACTGAGAATGCGGCCGGCCCTTTCCAGCATCGTTATTTTTTGAAGAAACTAGTAATTCGTTGCGTCCCGCTTGTCGTCCTTTTGGCACCCCCCTGCTTAGGAGTTGACCCGTTGCTAGTGGCACTCCTCATTTTTCTACCAATGGGCTTTGTGGGGGAGTGGATAACATCTTTCTTAGGAGATGGCTGCACAGAGTCTGATTGCGTTATCTTGGGGAGTTTGGTAGTCACATCAGTGTCCTCAGCAGCCTTCGGAGATCCCCGTTTTCGTTTGACCGCCGAGGTTTGCGAAGCGGATGGGGCATCGGAATCTGACTTGAACGAAGTCAAATATATTGCATCTTTGTTACCCTCTTCTTCTACTTTCTTTACTTTGCTCTCTTGATCAAGCGCTGAAACATTCTTTGCTCCTGGTTTTTCACCGCTAGATTTGCTGATATCGCGAACTTGGGCTTTCTGTCCAGGCTTGCCTTTGCTCCCAGCACTGGCGAAAAAGTTCGCAATGTTGCTTTTATTCTCCTTGCTGTTTACTGGGATAATGAAATCTGGAGAATTGTTTCCTACTTTCCCTACTTCTTTGCTGACGGGGTAGCACTCGAGCTCCCCTTCGTACGGTTTGAGGATGGATTGGAGTTCCTTTGACCAAGTCACGCGATGGGGATCCAGCCATGTAGCCATTTCAGGGCTACCTTGATCGAGAATGACAGGCATTCGATCATGAAGAAACTTAAGATAGGGATTCGAATCAGTGGTAATTATAGTGTACGTGTAGAGTTTCTCATCAGAGCCTATGCTTGGTTGTCAGAAAGTGGCTTCTGAGTGCTATTGTATTTGAGACGCCGGAACACTGCAGAATTTAGAATGGAACCCATACCTTCATACTGAACACAGTCCCACAGACCCGCGAAACACATCAAATCGCCGTCCTTTCGTCGGACATAGTGGGGAACTTTATCTTTCCCACCGGGTCCCTTTTTCAGCCATTCGTAAAAGCCTTGACAGACTACAACACAGCGCTTCTTTTTCTTCATTGACGTCCACATTCCCCTATCCTCGATTAAAGAATCGTCGCGACAGTTGATTGTTTTCAGCATGGAGCCGTAATCAGGGGACCTTTTGGTCCAAAATGGTATTAAACCCCATTTCATGCTTTGAAGTTTATAATGAGTTCTGCGCTCTGTTGTCTTCGTAGAGCCATCATTTGCCCCTTGATCTTCCACTTGCTCATTGCTGCCGGTGTCATCGTCCTGGGAACCAACAGCGCCACCGTGATCAGAAGCGTCTGCGCGATAGACCGCGCCGTAACTCCCAGGGGCAAAGTTGTAAGTTTGCCTCACGTCATCGTCATCTGCGGCCTCATCCACAGGATGGCCACGTTGTTGTAATTGGTTTCGGATGAACGCGAGGCGCTACACAAAAAGGATCATCATTAGACGGCCAGAAAGAGCCTGAAGGGAGGTAGAATGACTTGACACTCCGTAAAGGTGGCGGGTTACATACAATACCCATGGCATACCGGCCACACATCTTGAATGTAGTTTTCCTTATATACCAATGTGCGTAGTATATATAAAAAAGCTGGAAACGGTCTTGAGGTTTTGCACTGGAAATAGCAGTTGCCGTTGAGACATGATATTGCCAAGACGTCATTGCCTTGGGGTGGAGCGGAGTGGAAGGGAGCTCGGACCATTATGCCAAGAACGGACAAACAGAGCAAACAGACCTGATATCAATCTATTTTCCCGCAGCTCTTCCACCCTGAATTCTTCAAAAAAAAGCTTCGATGCATCTGGCGAGTTATTTCCGTTGAGCCCTGCCATTGATGCTGCATTCTGCGTATGGAAACACATCTGCGTCGTCTATGCTGAATGGTTTCAAGAAATTCGTCTTAAAAATTCAATTTACAGTGCGCAGCCTATCGGCCATGTTCCGGCTGATACCAAAGCGCATCAGCGCCTCTCCGCCCCTCCGCCAACCACAAACCCTCCCCTCCGCCGTACGATTCCTCTCCACCACACCTCGATCTCATCCTAGGCCTCAAATAGCCCCGTTACCGAAATATCGACTGATTTCCAACCCGCCGATACAAGTCCGGTTCAACAGCACCTCGCGCTTCCAAAAATTCAGGCAAGATTACAAGGAAGCGTGGGGTAAAATATGGCAAACAAACCCAATTGGCTTCCCGCTCACTCTATTATTCGTGGCGGTGAATGCGGGGTTACTTGTATACATCATATACGACCGGGTTACTCGGGTAGACCCATACCTTAACAGATTTCCGCCAGAGGTGGCTGCACCCCTTCGCAAAGCGCTTCACCATTCTGAAATCCGACCAGATCCTATCTTGGCACTGCAGCTGTTTAGGGAGGCACTTGTTGTTGCCGAACATGTTCAGATGCACCCATTCTCTGACGAAGTCCTGGGTATAAGAATCGCAGCCGCTGAAATGTTGGAGAAAAATGGGCTGGTCAAAGCATCCATTGACATGCTTGAGAAGACTCTAGCAGACTGCAAAGAGTGGGTAACCAATGGGAGGAGAAGGCAAATGATAATTGATAAACAAAGAGTCCACAATCCCCCCGTTGTACCTGTTGACCCTGAAGCTGCGGAAGCAGCAAAAAAGGCACTAGAAAAGGAAGGAATGGAGGCGAAGCTTCGTGACCAAGTTATGAAAAAGGTCATTGGCATTAAAATTAAACTAGCAGATTTATACTCGAGTAATTCCGTGCAGGATATGGACAAAGCGGAGAATTCCCTCATTGGTGCGGTTAACGAGAGTGCTGGGGAGGTCCGAAGGCGCAGAGAATTGAATCTGCCGGTTTCGCGCGACGATGGAGATGACTATGTTAACCTCACTGAGATTGCTGCGTCGTGCAATGACCTGGCTGATTTATATGCCAAAAAGGGCAAACACCACCTCGCTGCGACCTTATACATACAGAGTCTAGGTTTGATCAAAGAAGAGGAGGGCCAGTCGACGACGTGCGCGCAGGTTGTTCTCCTTAACAACATCTCTTCCCAGATGGCAGAGGAAGCTCAAAGGGCAACTGGAAAATCAGCATCGATACCGAGGTCAGACGGCTCCCCGATATCTAAACCGGAGCTATTAGATGCTGCCGCACAGTGGGCAAAGAAGGCTTTGGATGTTGCAGCACATATCAAACCGCCAGTCCGGAACGAAGATTGCGATCAATCGTGTCTGGCTGCGCTGTATAATTTGGGCGAGATTTCGGAGATGCAGAAGAAATTCGCAGAAGCCCGTGGTTACTATGAGAAGGGCAGGCAATTGGCCTCTGAGCTACAGTTTGAGGAGGGAATTAAGGTATCAGATGATGCTATAAGGAGACTTAACAAATTGAAATAGGCCTGTTTACTTCTATGGAAAATTTTTTGTCTTACTTTTTGTACTATATATTTATACAATGATACCCTGCTACATTGCTAGATTGGTCTTCGATGAAAATACTATGCCACCTCTATTTACTTTTAATCAACAGTGACAGGGGAACAATGCAAATATGACACAGCTGAAGATGGAATCGTTTCTAGCTTCACATGTCCTCTTAGTAGGTCAAGCACTGGACTCAGGCTTCTGCGTGAGTCTGATTGACCTGGAGGATTTCTGGGACTATGATGGTGGAGAAAACTGGTTGATTCATTCTAAGATGTGAAGTAGAGATTTAGTAAAAGTCAAACCAAAATCGAGCAACGTTAATAAACCAAAGCCAAGGCGTTGTTGTGAAGCATGGGGAAATGTAAGTCTACATCTATCACTAGAAAGAAAATCGACACGGGAGCAGCGTGGCGCCGAGAGCACGACCATCCATCTTCTGGTTAATAGGCACTTTGGTTAGATCTTGGATTTCTTTCCGGCCAAACTTAATGAAGTCTACTGTGACTCGATAAAATAATCCAGCAGTAACAGCGAGTCTTCCGGCACTAATAGAAGAAGCGACGGTTCGAGAGACACAGCGAAATAGGCCTTTGGAACTCAAGTGTTTTCGCGGGATATTAAGGTGATGGTTAACAAGAGTTGAAGGAAAATATTGTGGGAGAAAGCTCTTCCCGATGTACAGCAGTGACCAAAGCTGGTAGACGCATGGAGGATTCTCTCAAAAAAGATATGTATCTACGATCATAGAAAAAAAGTCGACCATAATTCGAGGAGGAATTTAAGAACATAGAAAAATTAGTTGGTATTTTTTTTTTTTTTGTTCGGCTTTGCATTTCGCATTCCTTGCTTCTAGATTAGTAAGGGCATGCACGGTATGGAAATCATGTTTTGATTCGAAACAGTGGCATGAGACAATTTCTTCCTCAGCGTGGAAGGGATTTGTTTTTTTCGACAGAACTTAACTTTCTTTCTTTGGTCCTCTTTTTATCTCGATAAAAGGGTGGGAAAAAAAGGCAAGTCAACTCTATCAAAAAACACAGAAAACTCCCGTTCCAGTCCACCGAAGAAAGAAAATGGGAGAGAGAGAGATATAATAAAGAAAAGGGGTAGGTGGTTTTTGTCATTTGCTCATTGCTCATCCATCGCAACCCAGCCATCCAGCCTGTAATTTCCACAACAGCTCCGTTTTTCTATTTGCTTCCGCCCCAGAGACAAACATATTACACATAAACGGGCACACACAGAGATCCCTCCTACGTTCTCGACATAACACCCCAGGCTCGGATCTTATTATCAGTGTATCCAGCAAACAGAGTCTGGCCATCAGCGCTCCAAGCCAAGCTTATGCACTCAGGCTCACGGCTCTTCTTTCCCTTCTCAACGAATTCAGGCTTGAGCTCGTCGACCTTGCTCTTCTTCTCCAGATCGAAAATGGTGATGCTGCTGGAGGTGGCAGCGCAGAGCCAGTAGCGGTTGGGGGAGAAGACGAGGGCGTGGATCTCGTCACCGGCTTGGAGGGAGTAGAGGTGCTTGGACTCGTTAAGATCCCAGAGCATGGTGGTGCCATCCTTGCCACCGGAGGCACAGAGGGATCCGTCGGGGGAGATGGTGACGGTGTTGATGTAGCCAGTGTGGCCGATGTGGTCGGTTTGGATACGGCAGGATGAGAGTTCCCAGACCTTTTTCAAGTTTCGTGATATTAGCCAAAACGAAATCTACTGGAAATATGGTATTCATTTGTGCCTTCTTTTTCAACCGTATGAAAAATTGTAAGGGTTTTCCATCAGGGCAATTGGTGAAGTTTGTCTCATGGCCTCTTAAGGGCTCTGAAGTAGCAAATACGTAAATGCAAAACATCATTTGGGCATATATAATCGTAAATCCGACACATATGCAACTGGGGGGGGTTGGGGGGTCGCAATTGAGCGATATGTCAAATATTTATTTCGTACCTTGACGAGTTTGTCCCAGCCAGCAGAAACGATGACGGGGTTCTGGGGGTTGGGGCTGAAACGAACGCAGGAGACCCATTCGGTGTGTCCCTTGTCGGTGATGGTGAACTTGCAGTCACCCAGGGTGTTCCACAGCTTGATGGTCCGGTCGCGGGATCCGGACACGATCTGGCGGTTGTCGGCAGAGAAGGAGACGGACAAAACATCATTGGTGTGGCCAACGAAAGTTCTGGTGGTGTTGCCAGTAGCCAATTCCCAGAGACGAAGGGTTTTATCCCACGAAGAAGAAAGCGCGTAAGCACCGTCGGACGAGATCACCTAATTCACGAGAAGAGGGAAAAAGCAATGCACAAGAATCAGCCGATATTGCTCCCTCAGAAGACCCTTTTTAACAACTCCTTTTTGTTTTTTCAAAGCTTCTGGGATGGTATTCTTTTTTGCATACACAGTCGGAGACAATGTGCGAGTGGCCATGAAGGCTCCGCTTGGGATATCCGTATGCGGTATCATCACGAGTCAAGTTCCAGATGATCAGGGTCTTATCGCGACTGGCGGAAAGGAGCATATCGGGGCTAACATAGTGATTTTGCCAGTCAGAATTCCACTGTGTTCTTTTTGGCAAGCTTCGAGATATATTTATATAAGAAAAAAAAATTGGTTGTAGCTTACTTCTCCAACGAAGTGGCCAGGGAGGTGACCCAGCCATTGTGGCCTTCGAGGGTCCCGCGGTGGACAAGCTGCTCAGCCATAGTGTGCAGGCTCTCGGTCGAAGTCTGAGAATATCAGGGAAATCCTCGTGGGGGGGGAGGGTTGGAAGGAGGAGGATGGATGGCGAGCAAAGCAATGTCTGTCGTTGAGCTGGTGGTTCTTCGTCGTCGTCTCTTCTCCCAGATGGAGCGAGGTTCCGGCGCCCAGACGAGCCCTAAGCGCAATTTGGTGGCCGGCTTTTTTGTGTGTGCGCCAGAGCCCTAGCGGACCTAAGCGAGGGGGGTGGGGGTCACGTGGATCTACACGCCGTATCAGACATACAAAAAAACACAAGGGTGAAATGATCTAGCTACAAGGAGTATATATACACGTTTTACATTAAAGCAAGGCAAATGACAGCGCCAAGAACAAATCTCATGCGTTGACTCTATGCAGGTCAGGCATCTGTCCTAACCCTCCTCCACTCCGGCTCTGCCCCTTCGCCCCCTTTACTCCAAGAGCACTCTTCTCATGCACATGCTGTCTCAATTGAGCAAGGATCTCAGAGTCCTTCCACCGCTGCGGAACAGGTCTATATGCAGGTTTGAATGCCCCTACAGTCTGCGCCCATTCTCCACTCTTTGCAGCGCCGCTTTTCCACGTCTCTGTCGGGGTATCCTGGGCTTGATTGTCGGATATGTTTGTTGCGGAAGGCGAATTGGCGCCATCTGTCACGGATGGGTCCTCTGCCTCTTGAGTCGCCCAGTAGTAGATATCCCAATCATTCTCATCCAGGAATTTGTCGTATTCTTGCAGTTGTCGTTCTGTCATCGTCGGGAGATGCTGGGATGCAAACGTCGAGAGGAGAAGGTCGGATTCTAGGATGCCTCGCTTTCGGCTTTGATCTACTTTTCTATTAGTTTGGCTTTCTGTAATAAGGGGATTATGCCACTATAAGTATAATGGTATGGGTGTGGTAAAACACGTACACAGCAACCTAGCCCTCATCGTCGTAATATCTTCCCCTTGCCGCCTCAAAGGCTCAACCTTAAAAGTAATCCCCTCCATCTCCCCAACGCCCAACTCAGGTTTCCTCCCCCCGTCCGTTTTCATACTTGTGCCTGTCATATGCTCCATCTTACCCGGGACCGCATTGCGCGGCTGGTAGTCGGGATCCGCTCCTGTGATCAAGTCTGGGGGCGGTGATTTCGCGCCAACTTTGGGAAAGTCATCGGTGCTTGTCGGCGTGGTATTTGTCAGATGTGGGTTCAGAGGCTTAGACTTCTGGGTTTCGCGGTGTAAGGGAGCAGTCGAGTGGCCGCGTTCATTCAGGTTGCTGGCTCGGAATGTTGTTGAGCTCAGCGATCGATGGGATGCGGCTCCGGCTTGGCGTTGGAAAAATGAAGACACTGCTCTGGCATTGGAAGGGCGCAGAGCGCGCATGAAGAATTGTGGAGTACCTAGAGTTGACATTCTGTAACAGCCCAAGCGCGCTATTAAGGATGAATGAATCGATAGTAAACAAAGGTGTACGGAGTGTAGGAGGATGAATTTATATCGGGACAGGATTACCGAGCTTCCTAGGTTGACATCATCCCGGTGGTCTGTTTGCCGTGTTTGCATTCAGAAACAGGATTCGCGAAACCGGGCCCCTGAGCCGATCAGGGCGCTGAAGTCCCCTCTATATATATTTACAAGATATGGGCTAAAGTCAATCGGGATTTCCTTTTAGCAGGTTCATTTACCTCTGGACGTCATCTGCTAAATCCACACATCCTCATTACCCTTAACATAGTTACTGGGCGGGTGATTGAGTAGCAGGGGATACTGCGCTAAACAATACAAGAGATAGATTCGGTATTTCATAATAACAACAATTACGGAAAAATCTGGAAAGCTCTGCCAAAAAGAAATAATAATGCATATGTTCTCCATCATCCTTCATTACAGATGCCATTGAAAATCCCAATGTAAGACGTCTGCAGAGGGAAATAAAGCAGTGCGCAGGTAAAATTAAATCGTCACGCCTTTAGATAAGATGCTTCGACCTGGTAGAATTTAAAACAAAAATCATTAACCCATAAAGCTCCTGACATACAAACAGAGAATGCTGATAAGGAGAAGGGAAAGAAGGGGAATCCCTCTTCCAGTCCCGAAGGATCGGAATTTATCAGAGCAAATAAAAAAAAAGGGGGGGAGGAAAAAAACACACCTGAAATACGCTCTCAGATAAACAACCTGCCACGCGCCCAATCCTATCAGCATACCAATAGTCCCAAAGGCAAACCATTTAACTCGTTCGTTCGTGCTCTCATTCGTATCTCTCAATTTCTGCTCGCGAGTCCGCATGTATTCCATCTCTGTCACGATCTCGGCGACCATCGCTTCAATACGGCGCAGATCAGCCTCGACCGGTCGTAGCTTCTCTTGTACCTGAATGGCCGACCAGTCGCGGGCGTCGGCTCCAATATCAATGTCAAGTTCGACGGAGCGGGAAAGGGCGCCAGTAGCTATTCAGTTTGAAGATGCAGCGTTAGGTTACTTTGAATCGTAGCACGGGGTAGAGTATGAGCTGGGGAAGTAGGAACGGTCAAATGTTTTCACTTACGTCGGCCAACGAGGATGTTCTCAAAGCACACGTCGAATGCAGTATCTGCCCCGGAGGTAAACGCTTGTCGTTTCTCGCCGACGACGTCCTTGGGCCTGCCGTAATCATTACCCATCGAGTCTTTAATCTATATTCCCCCAGACAAACCGACCTGTTAGTTAAATGGCAGACTGGAAATTGAATACAAATAATGTGGACTTTGCAAAACCATTTTGTCCCGGAGCACGAGAAAAATAAAAAAGCTCCAGGTGAACCCAAAGAAGACAAAAAAAGGGCTTCCAGGAGCCTAGAAAAACATACATGCATGTTAACAATCTGTCCATCACCTTTGGATCCACCCACAATCGCCGTCACAACAACCAGCTGATCCTTATTCACAAAGTTTCGTATACATCTCTCCTGATTTGTGTTGGCAGGGAGATCGAATTTCAGGGCCGTGGAGAGCTGGGTTATGCAGAGGAGGAGGAGCATGAGAGGCCGCAGGAGCCCAGTTAAGGGCGACGGACACGAGCTGCCCATTTTGTGTATCCCCCCCTTTTTCTTCTTTCTATTTTCTGAAGCAATGTGCGGGTGAGCCCGTTCTACCGACCACGGCCAAAGGGGAAAGGAAAAGTCAATGGAATGGTGTTGTATTGCTTCTTTTGCATATAGCAGAGCAAAATAGCTGAGGCCAGGGAGGTGTTGCGGAATGCCACGATTTAGTTAGAGTTGGCTCGGACACGGAAAAACATTTCTGCGCGGCGATATACTCCAACTTCGGGAAGCTTCATGCACGAATACTTGAGAGACAACGGAAATTCTGGCGTTACTAGAGGTGTATATTGCAGCAAGATTAGAGGGTAGAGGCCTTCGAGATTTTGCCCTCTGGCAATGTTCATATATCGTTTCTACAACAAATAGAATATGGAAACAATCTACACCATATACCCTCTGAATGGACAGAAATAGATAATAAAAGACTAAATTAAATAAATACTAAGATTACTCTCCACGTAGTAACCGTACAGATCACTAGCTAAATAAGTAGTCCATCGTGTTACGGAATGGGATATCGCAGTGGTTTCTAGGACGGACTAAAAGAAGGGATCAAAAGGGATATTGAGCAGTAGAGCACCGGTTAATACAGAAGAAATTTGCACATTAAATCATATTACCACCTAGAGGAAGGAAAATCATTTAGAGTACGAGTACACAATTGAGCAAGTGACGCGACGCGGAAAAAAGAGAGAAAAAAAAAGAAAAAAAAGGAGGGACACGGTATCGTACGGGGCAAATAGGTTAAAGAGACATAAGCGAAAAGCGGGGAATACATACAACGTACATTCAAACCGCCGGAGAAGTAATTTCCGAAGGAATCAGAGAAGTAAGAAAGATGACAAAGGAAAAGTTAAAACGTACAAATGGGTTGGTGGGTGAAGATAGCTCTAGAGAAGCGCGGCTAACAAGTAAACGCCAATACTCGTCGTCTCCGCAAAGAGGAAAGGGGAGATCTTAGGATTGAAATACACCAAGATGTCCTGAGACGAACATGGGCATGGAAAATGGAACAAACGATCACACATAGTGGCCACATGAGAGTGCCAAGTAGAAGAGTAACACGGGAAAGGTACAGAAGGCATTATTAGGAAATGTATCATCATCCTCGCTGAAAAGCGGACCGTTTTGAGGTGCTCAAAACCATAGTCGTCTCGTAAAAAGCAGGCAGAGGTAGGTAGGGACAATTGGGGTAAAAAGCGTGGATATCCAAATATACAAAAAAAGAAAGAGAAAGAAGCTGACCAACATAAATAATAGCTATACATAAAAGGCATTTAAATGGGGCCGAATAATCCAACTCTTTAGTAATGAAGAAGAAAATTGGGGACAGGTAGATCATAGGAAAGCAAGAACAGGTTTAAACCGCCTGTTTCTTTATCCGCGAGAACATCCTGCTAAAGGAGCTGCCGTTCCCTTTCTCTCTTTCCGCGCCAAAGGATGCCCCTGAAGCCGGGCGAGTAATGGGCTCGGGCGGTCCAGTGCTCTTTAAAAAGTCTGCAAGCTCCGCAGTCGAACTTTGATAAGCCGTCGGCTGACTTTGCTGCGGGCGTTGAGCCCCATTGGCTCTACCATCAGAGTTGCTCTCTACGTAAGCTCTGTAAGATGAAGGGGGTGAATAGCTCCTATTGATATGAGAATTTGAGCGAGAGAGTTTGAGTCGAGTTGTCTCCAGAGTCGGGGCTGTAGGGCCTGGTGGGGACGAAACGGTGGTGGTATTTGACTTATAGGAACGAAGAGATGATCGTGACAGCTTAGTCGACGGTACTTTGTCCACGGATGTAGCGCGCATTAGCCGGGTCCTCATGGAGGCAGTACTCTTCATTCTCGCTTTACTTGCCGCATTCATATTGACAGATAGAAGCTGGGGAGGTTGGTCTAATTCGGGAGGTGGAGGAGCATGGCGTAAAAAGTCAGCCAAGCTCTCTTCCTCTTCTTTATGGGCCTTGAGGCCTCCAAAGGAGATCCCGATCTCAAACTCATCGTTGTCACTATCAAAATCGATGGCATAGGGATCTTTCACTCGCCGCTGTTTTCTGGCTGGCATAGAACTTTCGGATGTGTCAGTGGCGTTACCAGAAGCGGACGGACCAGGCTGTGTTCGAATATTGGCGCGGTTTGGGGAATCGAGCAAGCCGGTACGCGAGTTGAATGAGGAAGGGACGGATTTCGTCGTGGTTGAGTCGGCATGTGAGCTCGGAGTGTAGCTCTGTCGTCCAGAATCTCGATGAACACCCCTAGGACTTAGCAGGAATTCATCCGAATCCATCGTTGTACGGAACGGGGCGACCGTCCTTGGAATTCGATGGGAGCCGTCTGGGGGCCCTTCTCTTATGAAGTCGATGAGATCCGACGTGCCATTGTCCTTTGGTGCCACCGCTGGCCTGGCTTCTAGGCGCGGAGCTGACTTTTTTGGTAGTTCTTTGGTAAGAACGTGTGAGGGGCGAGACGATGTTACTGATGAAGTCCCGCTGCTAGTCAAACTCAGCTTCCGGTTGCCCGAGCCACTGCTCCCGTTGACAAAACTGGTCGTGCGACGCCGGTGATTCATTGGAGCTGCTGTAGTTTGCTCGGGACCGGTAGATCTAATGAATTCGGCAAAGTCTCTCAGTGACTCTCTTTCTACCCTCGCATCCCGTGCTTGTGGTGTAGCTGTCTTGTGTACTGATGACTGGGGGCGGCTAGAATGGGCAAGCGAAGCCTCTACAAACTTGGACTTGTTCGGCGAAGCAGTGGACGGAGTGTGTATGCGCATCGCATTTAGTCTGGAGGAAGCCACACTTGGTCTCCTACCTTCCGATGTCTCTCCTGCGGGGCTGGTAGTTTTCAACGGCTCGTCCATGTCAGCTATCTCGTTTCGCGTGGCTCCCCATCGAGGGGAATTGGAATCCTATAAAGTAGATTAACATCAAGCTCGGGGTACAGGCCGAAGCTAAAACTTACCTCCATCTCTCTCATGTTCCGCGGTGTCAGTGTGAAATGGATAGTTTCATCGCTTTGAATCAGTTGGTCCAAGTCCGTAGGGTCCGGAACGGCTTCCACGAATTTAGACAGAGTTGAGTTTGTTTCAGTGGAAGTGCGTATTGGAAAAGGAATCCTGGAATCATGGTCACTAGGTTGTCGTCCTACCAGGCCCTTTAACAATTTGTTAGAAACCTGTGAGGTAGTGGATCCTGACGTTATCGGCCGCTTATCCCGATGGCTGCCGATACTCAGGGACCGACGAGGTTTTGAACCTGTATCACGAGGGGTCGCAGGCGGCGGAGGAGAAACTCGTTGAACTGCAGCACGCTCAGATCCAACCGAAACAGAGGAACTCGGTGGATACCGGGGAGTTGTATTCCCGCCGTTAGAGGCTTTCATATGTTTCCGCGAATTACTCCGGGAGACAGATTGTCCACTTTGGGTGGTACAAGTCGACTGGGCACCGAAAAACGAATGTGGAGAATCTCGGTCAGGGATGCCACTAGAAACGTTATCAACCTCCTGATGTGGACTGAGCCGAGTAGACTGGAACGGAGCTCTGTTTGATTCGGTAACAAAAGATGTCTCCACGATTGAATCTTGAGAAGATGCGTACTGTGCATGAGCCTGTTGGATATTAGATTGGTCCGAATGCCTGGAGGCACCATCTTCACCAACGGTACATTCCGGAGAATGTTTCTGAACGGTTGTAACGACACGTGCCCTATATTGATATTTGGGTTCCCGGTTATCTTGAATATTTTCATTGTTCATACGCTCGCGGTGGGCCCTGGGGACTTCAGACGGTTGGTTATTTTCTTGTTTAGGGCCTTGGGTTTGGGGGATGGGCTTTTCTTGGCTCCTTTGCGAATGAAGCTCCGCATGGTGGAGTATTCCATTCGAAAACTTTGGACTATGCAACTGAGTCGTAGGCGCAGAGCTTAGGATTTCAGAATGGCCACTGCTCTCAGCATCGTCTTCAGTATCTGCAGGTTCTTGACGTTGTTTGCTACGAGGAGGAATTTCAGGTGGGCTAGATCTAACTCCCGACAATCTGTCCGAGAGCTCGTCGTCTTCAATCATAGTCTCGAGGTGATTCTGTTCATCTCTCGCTGAATGAGTGGCCGAATTGGGGCCAAAATAGAAACACCCGTTTGGCTGCAGCGGCCAGCTTGGTGAGGAAGGCAACGACTGGGAACGAGAATGAATACCCTGAGGATCATTCATACCGCTTCGCAGCCTCGCGGAGTGTGAAGCAGATCGATCCCATGTTGGGGAGGCGGAATCAGATCCGGATAGGAGGAGGCTTCGAGGGCGTAATGATCGTGCTTGAACGGCAATGGAAAGTTTGGTTGTAAATCCAGGGACCTCGATTTCATCCACGTCATTTTCAGATACTGGGATTGGTATATCCGCCGGATTTATATCTTCCTCCAACGAAGCCTTAGTGGATTTCTGCAATGTTTCACTTGCGGATGGCTCTTCTATTGTCCCGATACTGCTTGCTCTACTGGTGCCTCTCAAAGGGAAGAGGCCCCGCCGTATCATTGACTCTCTGGAAAGTGTTCTGGAGAGCATGGGAGTCCTCACGTTTCTTCTCCACATGCGCCACAGCCGCCCAAGGGTTGGGTTTAGTGCTAGCTTCTCCATGTCCATATCTTCGACTACTAATATCTCGACATCTGGTGTATCAGAATGCTCGTCCCGTGCCCTGCTAGACCTGCCCGATCCCACCCGAGTAGAAGCTGCCTCGCCGGCGATGATTAGGGAGTGTTCACCAATATATTCCAAAATTGAGGTAAGAAATATGGCAGCGGCGGGTGTAATGTGGCCAATACAATTGGAAAAGCGAGCGGGACCAACATCCGTTTCATTTAGCCCCTCTCGAAATAGATGTTCTTCCTCATCCTCCTCCTCCATGTCGCCCAATCGCGTATAAACCATGCATCGTAAGCGGGTAAGTTTCCATGATCGCTCGAGCTCAAATTGCCCAGCAGGCTCGCGGCCACCACGAAAGTCAGATAGCTCCTCATCTTCTCCGCCACCCATATATTCACTCAGTTCCTCATCCGCCGCAGAAACAACCTCCTTAGCAAGTCTTGGTTTCAGTACTTCAGCTAATGCTGGTCTGATGGCATTCAATTTCGTAGATTTAGCGGTCATAAGGATGTTGAACAGTAGGTTGTCCAGAAAACGGTTAAGGAGAGTAAGGGACGACCGAGTGACGGAGGCACCAATGGTGCCAGCTGCTGGATTTGCACCATTGAGATTTTGGTCTGCGGACACGATCTGGGCTGCAGCTGTGGCCGCGATGAATTGAGGCTCTGGGTTAACCGGGGGCGGTGACAGCATGCTTTGCGACGGCAAGGGAGTGTCGCCAGACAGGCTCACGCTACGGCCGTGGCGGCCAGAGACTGCACCGAACGAGTCGGTCAAGGGATCGCACTGCATTGTGCCAGGAAATTCTCACATCAATCCTACATGAACATCCGCCTGAGGGGGGAGGGATTGAAAGATGGATGGAGGGTGAAGGAGGGAAAGCCGAAAGGTCGAAGGGAGGGAGTTTGTTAACAAGCGAACCTGGACAAGACCTATTGTAAAGCCGACAACGGGCAGAGCTCCAAAAATTTCAAATCACAAAACAATGAGAATCTGCAAAAGAGAGACAAATGGGAGAGAGGTCAGCATACAGAACTGCAATGAGTTTCATGTGAGGATTTATTTTTATTTTTTCTTTCCCCTGCAGCTCTTGATGGCACTAACTCCCAGTTACGTTTCGCTGGGAGGCCAAAAAGGCAGAATGTGGACCAGGAATGGGGCCGGAAAGGAGAACAGGTCAGAGAAAACAGGAGCAGCGCCAGAACAACGACTCCAAGCAGTCCAAGGAAGAATGGGGCGGCGGTGGTGGGAGGAATGGGGCTGTTTGCCTGTCAACGCGGAGAGGAGAGGCTGCGAATGACGACAAGTGGGTTTGACAAAAAAGCAATTCAGCCCGCTAGACGAACACAAGAGCGAGCTGGGCTAACGAAGGGATTCCCATTATTGGTATTGATTGGAGAGGGAAACCTACTTTTAAACAAAACATGTGCCCTCGTCTGAGGCGCAAGAACTTGGGCTGGCGAGATGGGCCTTACGGGAGAGGTGGATGAAGAATGGCGGCGACTGGAGAGAGGAGAGAGACAAAGCTGACCAAGACGCAAGCCATCCAATGGGCGCGGATGGATAAATTGGCAAAATGAAGAAGAGGAGAGTAGTGTGGAGACGGCGAGCCTGGTAGCACTTGAAACTGGGGAGGAGTCAGTCTAGTCTGGTTGTCTAGTAGTGCTGTTTAGCTCTATGAAGAGGTTTGGACCAGCGATTCAGCGACAGCCGTTGATTGAAGTTCCAGGACTCAGGAGGCGAAGAAAGATTTCGGGGCTAAATTAGTCGGCCACACGAAGTACGAAAAACACAGGGGGCGTACAAACGACGGACAGCCTACGGAGTACAGGACAAGGACCAGACAGACGCCAGGCTCAACGTAAGCAGCCCAAGGAAACTGAGCAGCGGAAATCATAAGCAGTAACTAGTTAACCATCAGTCGGCGTAGGACGCTAGAGCTCAGGAGAAGTGGAGAGCACTAAATAATAACTAGCAGCAACACCACACCGGTTTGCAGACTAGTGGCAAGCGGGGAGAGGAGAGAGATGGATGGATGAAAGAGAATAATAATAACGAAGAAGCAGCACCAGGCATTCGGAGACATTTTTGACACTCTCAATCATGCAGCGAGAGGAAGAGGTCAATTCAGCCGAACGATTAAAGGGCTTCTTGGATGGGCAAAAGACAAAGCTTCCCGGCCAGACAGAGTATTAGCATTCAAGGTGCAGACCACCCACCCCAGACCAAGCAATCGGTGATCCCAGCCATTATTCGAGCTGGGTATTCTTTTATTATTATTGTTATCATCCAGGCCGTGTTTTGTTTTCGCATGTTATTATATTATATTATTAGTGTTATAGACGGAGAAAAGGCTGCCATCTCAAGCCCGGCTGCGGCATACCGTGTGCTTCTCTGCCCTGCCATGGCATGACTTTTTCGCTTCAAGGGGCGTGGGCGCCATCACCCACGCCAATCAGTCTCTTTGACCTATTTATTATTGGCGTCCAGAGCTCAACTATCGCCCAGCTGATGAAACCAAAAAAAAAAAAAAAAGAAAAAAGAAAAAAAGAAAGAAAAAAGAAAAAAGAATCCAGAAAGAAGGAATTATCATTCAAACGGCGGAGAAGCACGTAATAATTTAGTAGTAAAATGCCTCTGATCCGCAACCCCCGCAGTTGGGACAAAATAACTTAGACAAACGCCATCGATTATTTAAGTTTTATTATTCATTATTTGGTGGCAACTGTGTCAGAGTCAGAGGTTGTGTCCGTCCATAACTACACCATGGAAAGTTAACAAAAAAAGTTGAAGCCAAAGGACAAGGGAAAAAAAAAAAAAAAAAAAAAAAAGCAAAAATGTGAGCAGCAAAAAGCAAATACTCCAACAGAAACAGGGCTCGCTAGAATGTTCGTCGAATGACCGTGGAAGGGGCAGAATAATAATAAATAGTTCTCTACAAGGCATGGATGGAGATATATCATCTTATGGCTGGCTAGGATAAATGATCCCGACACGTAACGCTAGGCAGATTCAGGCTAACCAGATAATTAATCGCTCAAAACCTCATGCATGTGGCTGGCCAGCCAGACCCGTAACTACTCTACCTACTGTGTTCTCGTTCTGCTAGATGTTTTTCTATTATTTGGGGTTTTTTTCCTCAACCTAGCTTCGAGACTTGGCCACTCGAGAAAAAATAAAAAAAATAAAAAGGGCAAAAAAAAAAAAAAAGGCAGACGAAGAATATCACTTGCAATGTAACAGCGTGGAACATCTCGACTTCTGAGGCCTGATAAAATCCATTCAAATCAAACCTGATACAAACTATCAAGAATATATAATATGCTTCTGGAACCACTATAACTAGTTATATAACAAATCCATGTGAATATTGTTGGCAGTTGCTCCGGCTACTGAAGTCACGTGTCTTACATTCTACTGGGCAAGGTTGGAGAACATCACTCAGTAAACAGCTTTATTCTTTATTTCAGATATGAGATATATGTTCTTCTTTATGTTCTCATTATCTTCATTATCTTCATTATTTCCTCACATCATTCCATAACCTTGATTACATTCCACTTTGAAGGGAGCGACGAATAACAAGGGGGTTGGCCACCCGCATAAAAAAGCAACCTCATACTTCAACTAAATCATTCAATCTGACGGGCCAAGAAGCTAGCCCCTCAACGAACTCCATGATGATTGCAAAGAAAATTAAATTTCGTAGCAGTGGCATAGACTCATTATTATTGCAAAGCGTCTCGCAACTGTTGAGCAGCGATTTCGTTCGTTCCTCTCTACGCTGTGTAGTAACATCTACGGAGTACTCCTGTCTCGATGATGAAGACCCTCAGCTGAGCTCTTCATCATCCATCTCCCTCCATTCAAGAAATGGCTTCTCTATCAGAAGCCGATTGTGAGGTTATTAAGAACCATCCCTTGGATGATTGTCTCGACCGGCTACAAAAGTCGGAGCGTTTGTATTCCACAGTCAGTTCTCTTGATGGGGCTGATGACAAGATCTGAAAAACTCCCAAGACACGGTATCACATCTTCTAATCACCTTAATGGGGACAAAAGCTGTCTTCAGTCTTCGTTCAAGGCCTCCGAGTTAGCAAATTGCTTCGCACGTATTCGACAGGGAGACTTCAGGTACATTGTGAAGATCACGACATCTGGAACGCGATTCTCGATCTAGTAACGCCAATCCCACAGACAGGCGTTTCCTCCGCATTTGACAGGACACCGGTCACGCATTCCTCCGCATCACACCAAGGCAGTGAACAGACTCGACAGCTGATTGAGGCAAGAATTTTTGAAGAGATCGAACCTGCACGTATCAGGATGTACAGGGTTTCTTTGAGAAATACTTTGAGGGAAGAGACTGGACAGACCATGCTCAGGACGTCTACGTGTCAATAAAAGACCAATAGGTTGATTGCGAATGAGCCAATCTTCGTGGTCTGCCCACCCAAGACAAAGTGCTGAGCTGGTTGTTCCGGCTCCAAGATGATTTTCTCTCAAAAGAGCAACAACACTACTACACAATAAATGTCCCAAAAGAGCTATTTATCAGCAGTGAGGCTCAGCAGCAAGTCGATCTGATTTCTCAAACAAAAGAGTGGAATGACATCAGACACTGAGCATGACTGGAGAGACATTGAGGTGATAGGTGAACTCAAGGCATCTGACAACAGTGTGAAGGGGCTATTGATTCAGCTTGCCAGATATGTGTGAGATGTGTTCGCCTGGCAGCTGACACACTACTACCTTCATGTGTTTACTATCTGTGGATCTTCTATGACATTGTGGGTCTTTGACCGGTCAGGATGCTACAGCTCAGGTTCATTTGATATTCACAAAGAACCAGAACAGTTCATACAGGTCCTTGCCAGCTATACAATGATGAATGATGATGAACTGAGTTTGGACACATTCACAGAGCTGGACAGTGACTGCTGCTTTATACATGTTGAGCATGAGAAAACTGAATGAAGCTGCTGCTGATGTCAGAACCTCTCACTCATCAATAAGCAATTGTCTGCTGTGGAACATCCTGCTATCTGACAAAGACTCCAGACTCAGATGAAGATTGGAGTCATGTCATCAAGTTCTCTTGAACATCTCACAGACAGAAGTCTGAAGCTGAGCTTCTCAGATTGATTAATAGAGAGAAGTTAAAGACATTGCAAGACTGATTGATCATCACACTATCACAAGTATCAAAGAAATGCACATCAACATAACATCTACAAATCCCTACTCTTTTCATGGTGATCTCAGTGTGATGTCATTCTCTTCACAGTCACAACTGCCCAGTGCTCTTTCATCATCATTTAGTGATATTCATGGCCTATCTATTGCAGAAACTATAGGAGACAAATTAGCTGATGCTGGCACAAAATCATCAAAGTGATCCAGGTCTGCCAGTAACCAGTCAAACCCTTTATGGAACGAGGTTACATACGATGTGGATGAAGCCCGGGTCAGTCTTCTTGTTCCCAGCAGCAGCCTATATGATAACCGCATTCTTCGCTGTCTTGTTATATTTCCTGCCGGCCTGCCAATTCATCAATACAGTTCACTTCTGGAGCTGTTGGAAGCGCTCTGCGACGCCATCAAGGCACACAGATCCTTTTATATTGAGAGACACATTCTTCGTCGAGATATATCTAAGAACAACATAATCATCACCGATTTAAACTGGCTTCACTGGGATGTTGATTGACATGGACCTTGCGAAGGAGCGCACATTGTCACACTGGAATCATGGAGTTCATGGCCATTGAGGTGTTGCTCAACATTGACCATACATATCAGCATGATCTCAAGTCATTCTTTTATGTTCTTCTCTGGAAGTGTGGTCATCACGGCTGGGTGTTTGTCTGCAATTCAAAGAGACAACGTATACTGAGTCTGCTGACAAAGTGGTACACTGGAAGTTATGAAGAGATTGCCACTGCAAAAGAAGGTGTCATTGGCGCTAATAGATTTGAGCTCATTTTGGCGGAGTTTCCATGTGAGTTTGACTGTGTCAAACCACTTTGCAGGGAGTTGCGCGGAATCTTGATTCCAATACAGGGAAATGCAATTTTTACTGGAACACTCACAGATCCGGAGATTCTCTATGAGCCGGTCATCAAGGCTTTTGACAAGGCCATTGACAGCGTCATAGCTACATAATTCCTTTGGTTTACTACTTCTTAGATACCCCATGTCGCATTATATTCATTTAATGCTAGTATTAACATAATCGGTAAGCGAAACGCGCATGTAAGCCTGCCGCGCACCCAACTCAAAACGCGTCCATGAATTAGCACTTAATTCATTCAACCACCTACCATGCCACCAATTCGCGCCCGAAGCTGTAGAAATTCAGCGGAGCAAGAGGGTAGGATCTTATTAGCTCTCCAAGCTATTAAAATCCAAGAAATATTTTTTTTTTTTCGCAAAGCACCGCGTATTTCCAATAATGTGCCTGAAACCACGCTTCGCGAACGTCGTCACAGCATCATAAACCACGCGATTTCTCGCGCCAATTCCCATAAATTAACAGAAATCGAATAACAAACGCAATGCGGTGAGACAACATTTCGTACACCAAGAGTTGCTTGTATCACATCCGACTAGAAAGCGGGAAGCACAGGCACACAAAGAATAACTCTTGTTGATTACACCGGAGCCCAAAACGCCGTGGAGACCGGTGGGAGATCAAGGATAAGTCCCAACGGTTCCCGCTTCCCGCTAACCCAACGGCCCACTCGGCGGTGCTAATCGCCATTCGTCATCGGGATATGGAGGAGAACGGAAGTGCAGAATCAAAATTATTAATTCTAACTAACCTTTAGAAATATAATACGGGGCCGTTTGAAGAACTAGTTAACTCCCTGTTCCGTGTTTCGAGATTGCTTATTTCAGGATTGCGCGTCGAGCTCCAAAATGATGTTCGTTGGCTGCGAAAGTTACCAATGATCCATGGAGATATCAGATTCATGTTTTTGTTGGCCGCTGGTTTGCGTCAGACTTTCAGCTCCGGCTGAGGTTCATTTTGATACTTATTTGGGAAATATTTTGAGTTGGGAGCAACCGTTTTCTCTGCAGACGTCCGTGGGCTCATGAGGACCAAGATAGTCTGAGTTCATACCAAGTCGTTTGCGCTCTTGAGTCAAATATGGGTGGCTGGGTACCATCAATACCTTCAGTCTTATTCCAGGTGTTCTCCCTCATCTCTTTTCTTAATTGAAATGTATTTTTTCCTGATCCCTCATACCTCTTCGAATTATTACCTTTTTAGCAGGAACCTGACTTTTACTACTTTTTTTGAGGATCATCAGGATTCTCAGAGGGCAGTATTACATGTCTTTCTCTCCTATTTTTCATGCGAATATCCAAGAAGATATATACCTTCTCAAGTTCATTTAAGTTAGAAATGTCTTATCGAATCGATCAATTTTTGTTGGGATCTGATAACATTCGTTGCTCGCTACTCAAAAGGCGAACGATTTGAATAATAATATATATGATAAGACGAGTGAAAAACTAGTGGCAGACGGCGATGAAAAACAAACTATCACGGAAACCTTGCAAAGCAAGAGAAAACTTGGACATCCCAAGTGGATTATCGGTGCAGTGTTTCAAACGTTAACAGTCAATTGCTATAGAGGCTATCACAGCTCCAGGCTTGGGCTTCGGAACCGTTACTCTTATAGCCTCTCACTCAACTCCTATACCCATCAGGATGAAATGTAACTGTAGGTGGGTGCCGGGCGCGACTGGATAGGAACCAGCCGTTTTATGGTCTGTTTGGCCTAGTGGTTAGGGGCGAGGGCCCGGCAGCTCTATTCTATAACCATGACAATTCAGCCTTGCACTTGAGCTGCATGTGCATGTGTTGTCGCTAAAAGGCACACTGACTGCAATCAGGGACAACGGTACTGCATTCCCGAGGGCAAAATTCTGCAGTAGCTGGATATGATGAGAGCCCGCGATTTACGATTTGAAAAATTGATTGCGTACCATATCGGTCAAGTCATGATTCCCCTATATACAGTGCACATTTCAGAGGGTACTTCTCGTCACCTGCTTGAGCCTCCATTACTCCAAAAGCTTCATCGTTGAATGAATGGTATTGGAAAGAAGCCCTGAGTAGCCCACATGGTGCGTGGATGATCCTTGGAGTGTGGTATAGCTCCAAATGCAACATAGAAGAAAGAGGAGATAGATGCTTGTCCTTTTAAAAGGATGGGTTTATACAGGCGTACTCTGTCATCTACCTCCCAATGTGCCAGCCATATACGACAGATCCACCAAGTGTCAATCCCTCCTTGTGATCGCTGAGGAGGTTTTGTCATTCGTCAGGTAGGTTTTGACGAGCACTTGTGGACATTAGTTATGTGTCTCATCGAGGCAAATGGTAAAATTTGAACCTCTTAAGATCCACAAACTTTATCTCGCTGAGAGCGGTTCAAGTTGATACACACAATATGTGGTCTAAGGGGTTAAGAGATCCACCGCTAATTGGTTAAACACCAAGGGCGCTCCTTGTCTGCTTTAGCTGCGAGAAAATATGAATGGGGGCCGGGAAAGAAGATATATGGCCATATGGTCCAATGCGAATGTGGCAATGAGAGGATGGCTATACAATAACTACTCAAGACCTACTTACTCTCTGATCGCATTGTCAACACCTGTTCCGCGGCCGAGCTTCTCATTTCTTTTCAGATGTCTCTGTTCGCAAGCTTGGCTGACGCCAGAGGCCGGACGGTATACAGCACTGAAGATGACCAATTTAAACTCTGGATAAGATATGATAACTATTATGTATGACTTTGCTAATCTGTCCGGAGTTAACGGTCCGCCTTGCTTATATGCGAGTTTGAGCTCGAAGTTACTTGGGCGGTTTTGGGCGCTAACAATATTTTTCCGCGGGGCCATCCTTAAGATCTGATACTGACTTTTAAAGTATACTACCCAAGGGGGAAGTTTTACTCCTTCAAGGGGTAAGGTGATTGTGTTTGTTATCCTGCTACTAGTGAAGGATGATGATGGTGATATGTGCATTAAAGGTTCAACTGGACCTTGTTCATTTCACTTGCTAATTTGGTGCTATAGCCCTGACGCGAAACTCCAAGATGAGAGAACACGTCTGGTCAGGGGCCTGCGGGAAGATGATGAAGGGTGATACTGGTCTTGAAGAGCGCATAGGGATTAGGGATAGGATAGTTAAGTATAGTTCACCGCTAAATTCGACGTCCAGGAACCCTTCCCCAAAACTTCCATTGCTCTGATATATCTGATATCTTAGAGACACCATCTACGCAGCGTACTTAGAATGCGATTCTTTTGCTACTACTAACCAGACCTGGACGACCTTACTGTGCCACAGACAGTATACAACGGTTGACTATCCCTGAGTTCACTCCATCTACTCTATGTAGCGTCTGCGGGAGAGAGGGGGAAACCATGTTGTTCTTCTTGCTTCAATAGGGTGCAACCAACTGGAGCTAAAAGCTGACAGAAAGAAGCATTCACACCATGGACACGAGGAATGTCCTGTCAGTAGTCATCCATGCGCATTGGCTCGAAGGGACACAAAACCTTATCGAGGCCGATCCGAGACCAGCGCGAACTTAAAAGCTGCTGCTGAAGCTGGCCAGTTTCCGTACTGCAACAGGTTCTGATTTGCAGGTCCGGTCAGCTCCGTTCGTGTTTGCCTTTGCCTGTTGGCGATCGTTTTTTCGTTCAATCTGGAGTTGAAAGTCTCAGCCCCGCTTCGCGGTCAAGCTGCGATACACTCCTGATCGCAGCCTCCAAGGAAACAAAACTCCTGGGAAATGCCATATAGTTAAGTCAATGACAGCTAGAGCAAGGGACGAAGCCGAAGCTGCACTGTCTGACATTTCACGCCAGAGCTCGGAAGCATTACCATGCCCGAATTGAACAAGAAGTTCTTCAGGCAGATATATCTATCCTTTTAATTTGATTTATTTTCCTGAGATTGAAACCCGATGCTGCAGGTAATGGAATGGCCTTTTCGGAAACCCTGGAGCCACAAATGGGATTCGGTCTCGGAAAACGAGGCGCGAGTCAGCTTGAGAGAGGATTTGCATCAGTTGTATTTTGATGAAATCTAGCTACCAAGCGGGAAGAAACACGGCACTCTACTAGGAGTAAAACCAAAGGTCCAACATTCTCCGGCATGCTCATGCAAGTGCGCTCTCTGGAAACTTGGATTGCCCTGGGGAGGAGTTTTTGGGGGGGGAGGGGGGGGGAGGGGGGTGATTGGTAACAGCCCATCCCAACACCCCTCGCCCTTGATAATTCTTCCCTCCACTCCTTTCAAAACGAGAGAGTTTAAATTAAACGGTACCTGGGCCACAAAATGAATGGGCGAAAATCCATAGTCGCAAGGCAGGGGTGATGTGATGGGTGCGTTGAAACGAATATGTGAAGTGTGAATAAAATACCGTGAGGAACATTAGAAGAGTCTAGCTATCGACATGGAGGATTAAAGCCATGATCAGATCTCAGAACCAAGGAACGACTGGAGTATGCTGCAGGTAAGTCCGAAAAGAACACGCCGGCGGGGATTTTGAAAGACAGCGCAAAGAACAGCATTGAGTGACGTCTCCCCTGTGCTAAATAGGGCCCCGGACTGCGCTATCGCGTCGCGCATAACAGATATCGTCAAGATCGAATTAGGCATGCTGGCCGAGAGGACAGGAAAGAAGGTAGAAAGAGGGGGTTTTCATTCTGTTCTGGCAGATTTGGACGGCAGTTGGAGAACAAGGTAGGCATTATAAGTTGAAAGAAACAAAAGCCAAAAGAGCTATCTGGACAAAGACAATAATCATATCAACGCATGTAAAATAGACGGGACATTCTGGGTATTCATTCGGATTTGGGAAAATGCCCGTTAATCACCACCATCATCCACGGCCGGTTGGGGATTTGGTCCCCCTGGAGATACTCTATCAAACTGTGGTACTGGTGCGGGCAAAGTTCTTGAGAGGGCAACGCCTTGGACATGTCGCGGAAAACGCCATATTCGGTCAGGCATACTTTGGGGTCGAGCCTTCGCACAAGGGTAAGCAGGGTCCATGAGATATCGGTGCGTGGAAAGTCAATGGTTCATCTGTCAATGGGGCCGTGAGCCTCAACTTCTCCTCCACCAGTGGTAACTTGGGGGCCAGAATCTAGAGGATATATGTAGAGTAAATAGATTTACACGCAACTGAAAGAAGCCCCCGCATGACTTGAGCCAAAGCAAGAAGATACCACGTACTTGAAGGGACGAACCTGGTTGAAATCATGTCTTTTATCGATTGTCTCTCCTGTCTCCCCCTTCATTTCTGCCCTCTTTCTCCCCCATGTTACTTTGATTATTGTTCATATTCATATTCCTTTTATGGCAGCTGCATAGATCAGGACACCAGAACCAGAAAAAGGCGGGCGGCCATGGGTTCTCCCTGTTTTGCAACAAGCATGTCCTAAAGCAGGGGGTCGCTGTATGGCCTTGCGAGGTCCTTCACCTCCCACGTTTCGGTGCATTTTCCGCCATGAATATAGGGTATGTATACTCGGTACTGGCTTCTTTGTTTGTTTCATAACTGTCCATCACCGGGGTTTGATCGACCAGTTTGCCTGTTGATAGAGTGGTTTTTGGACAATGTGGGGCTCTGTAATCCTGCCATAGGCTCTAGATATATAGGGACACGGACTTTACATGTACAGTACATGAGGAAAATGCGAGCTGGCGTCAATGTTTGGGGGTCGGGGAGGTTGAGTTTGGGTTTGGGTTTCTGGCTGCAATGAATGCTTGCAATCGTGCAGGCGATGACGACTTGTGCATGAAGTATTCGAGCTCCCATTCAATGTACTCCGTACTGGAGTAGTAGAATAACTACGCCAAGGCATTTAAGGCTCTAACAGAAGGATACAGGGATTCTGGATTCAAAAATATGCAAGGACGGCAGTCCACGGCATTAGTACTACCGATTGGCAGTTGAAGATCAATAATGAAAACAAACAAGAATCTACATTCAGGCCATGGTCCGAACCGAACCATAGGGGAAAATGCGTGAGAAAAATGGCTGGAAGCTGACTGATGAGAGTTCTAACTATCTAGTATGAAACACGGCGGCCTTTCTAATATGTAATATGACTTTTAATCTCGAGGTCCCGAAAACGCTCTCTGGGAATTTTGTCTATCCTTTGAAACATGGTATCCATCTCTTTTTCGTGGCCCCCTCCCTCGAAACACCCTTACAAGAAACCATTAGAAAGGAGGAAATTTGGAAAAGCACACACGCAGACAGAGGACGAAAAGAAAGAACTGAGTGAATGGGGGAAAAAAAGGACAATGACAAGGCACAGAAAACTGCGTCAAGGGAACAGCAAATAAAATTAGATACATCCAGAATCCACGATGCTACCCCCAACGGAATGACGCGCGGCGACCGAGGGGCTCGATGAGTTCTCCAGCAACCCAGTCGAGAATATTGTTATCGATTATCACGGCGGTATCAGTCAGTTTTCTCGCTAATTGGCGCGTGATTGCTTGCTGGAACAGGCCAGAATCTGGTTCATAAAGGACGTTGTTGTGATCATCGAAGGAAGTAACAACCTCGGCGATATCCAGTAAGCGGTTATACTCATCTTTTTCAAATAGATATGGGAAGAACCCGAGAAGTGATTCGACGACGCGGTCAAGGTATGCATTCACTTGATGTTCCGTGACTGGCAAAACCGCAATGTCACACGGAGTAGCATTCAGTGTGCGCGAAAGGACAACAGGCTGATAGTCCTCCGCATTCATGTTACGAATACCATTGACATAGGCCATGAAAAGTTGTTTGTCAAGATCGATAACGTCATGGCTATGTTCATCAGGGTCATAGTCTTTTTTGTTGACGCTGTATGGTTCGAACGATACGCGTTTAGAGCTTTGCATACGAAGGGCTTGTTCGTGAAACGTCATTTCACTTTCTGCACGGTCGTCCCCAATTTCATCCCTGCTGGGAATGATGCAGATATCGTCCTGGGCGCTAAAGTGAACGGAATTGACGAAACAAACGAAGGAACCTTCTTGGTCCGAATCTAGTTTCATAAAAACGATGTTAGCAGCTTCCCAAAGTCTTGGGTAATCGCATTTGGTAACCAGGCCTCACATTCACACTCATCGTATTCATCAGACCAGTTTGAGTCATAGGTTCCTGTTTCAGAATCTCCACTAGCATCGTCCTCATACTCGTCCTCGTCCATATCAGAATCAGCATCATACCCCATGCTGTCTTCCAAGTTGAATTCCATTAGTTCCAAGCCCTGTGGACTTTGTGGTTCTGTGGGTTTTTTTAGAATTGATTTTAGGTTTGTAACTGGCGCTTGCGATGAACATGATGATGATAACGAAGTATCAATATCATCTATTTCCGACGGAGGGGAGGATGCGATCGGACTTTCAGAGCATGTAGAGGCCTTGTAAGTCAAGGGTTCAGCGTGAACGGGAAGTTTACCGTCCAGATTGACGGGAAGTAACGCCTTAACATCAACTGTATCAAGTATATGAGGGCCTCCATAGACCTTCTGTTTCGTTTCGTGGGTTGCGCAAGAGATTATCCAATCCGTGGATTGGAAAGCGATTTCAGATGTGCATTGAATGACAGTTGCGGGAGAGCTCAGGGCAGTCATAGTTTCAATGGATGCATGTCTGTCTGCTCGAAGAGTAGCCATATCTGATAACATTGAATCGACAGATGGATTTCGATAGGCCGCTCGATAACTTTCGTGTTGAACAAGGAATGCCTGAGTTGAAACTCGCGTCTAGTTTCTCCCCTGTAAAATAAAATGTTTAAATGGCGACTTGCGATAGGGGCCAGGAAGAGCGACAGAAACGAATGGATGGATGGCACAGCAAGGATATACAATGCCAAACGGCTATAGAAATATGAGGCTGATTCTATGCAAAACAACACAGAGATAACAGACAGATGAGGGGTGTCTTGAGAAAAACCGTGCGGCTGGGAGAGGTGAGGTACAAGCGATCTCAGGAAATTGAAGAAGGTGAATGATGCCGGTGGGGACTTCCCCCAACCTGTTGAGAGGACATCTTTTCGGAGTGAGAACTCCGCAACATTCACAGCAGGGCAACTGGGCCAGAGAAGGCCAAGTTGCAGTACATATTCATTCGCATTATTTAACTTGGTATCTTTTAGTTGTTTAAATAAGGTTGTTGGGCTCGCGAATGCTGATATTTAGGTGTGAATGTCTCGAACGAATGCTGAATGCTGATGGTAAGAGAACGAACCGGTTCTGGCTCCTGACTTCCCGGGGGGCGGGGGGGGGGAATGTATTTATATTCCTTCTCTTTCAACCACCTGCAAAGTATTTTCAGTCTGGTGTCACAACGGTCGTGGTAGGTAGCTTCGTTCCGGTTCTCTCCCTGGAATGAAAGTGCGATATCGTAGCGTCGTCTAGGTTGTCTGTCTCTGCGAAGATGCGAGCAGTCGCCATTCACTATGTCTTTAAAACACGGTGCGTCACAGAGTTTACGCTGCGAGGAAGCAGATCGTTCGGGCTCCCAAACTTCGGATTCTTCTCGGTAGCTGGGCTAAGTTCCGGCCGGATGGGCGCGACGGGAATATCCAAATTGCGGCTCGGTCAGTCTCAGCGTGCGAGACGATTGCAGGTTGGGATAGGTAGATGAGCTTTATGGCAGCAGCGTCGACAGCGTAAAACGCATCGTTTTGTGGGGAGGAGCAGGGTGTTATTTGGCCATGAGTTCAAACTCCGGTTGCTTGCGATATTGACCCGACGTTGATTGATGATTGTTGCTGAGATTCGGCTTGGGCGCCAAAGTCACAAATAAATCGCTATTACGGACGCCGTACCAATTGTCCAATACGGAATACGTTACATCAATGAGGATTGGCTCAGCGGATTTTGCCCGGTGTTAGGGCTTGGCACGAGAATCTCTGCGTAATGACCGCGTATTTTAAGCAACGCGGGTTGTGCCTGATTTGAAATCTATTCCTCTGTGCTACGTCATTGCTCCCTCTTTTTTTTCCCTGGATTTTCATATATGATGAACTGAATTGACAACATATATGATGGAAGTGGGATCTATTTTTACTTTTGTTCTAAAAAAGTTGGCTAGGTAACTACGTATTTGGCGCATGTCATATTGAGCACGAAAATCCAAGGCAATCGGAATAGCGTGCTGCTGCTATGTATCTTACCTCGAGATTGAGACTTCTCTACGGAGTAGTGCAGAATCAAAACCTGATCAAAATTCTAATACTGCTTTTTGCTTCCTGGCAATTCCTTTGATATAAAATGTGCCAGTGCGCCGCTTGATATGAAATCAGGGGAAACCGAACACATATGAATAAATTTAACAATTCTGGGTATAATCTCAAAATACTAAAAATTTAGCATTTAATCAATAATTAGCAGATGTATGTCCATGGAGTCTCTCGGCTGGGAGCAGTATTGTTTCGCGGGACTCCTATTCGTGCCGTGTTCTTCCTGGCTATATACAACACTGCCAATTCTCACATGGTGTTTAACTGATGCTGTGATTTAATGGCCCATGTACGAGGTATTATCGACTTATTTTAAATTTAAAATAAGTTATTGTTATGCTGTTTGAGCTCTGCTCTGTAGTAATGTCCGAGTGCAATATACATATATATATATATATATATATATATATATACGCACATATAGAGGCCATTTTATTTGGTATTGAAGGTTTTGTGGATCCATCCTGCGTTTGTTTCTGCGGCCTAGAAAAATAAGTAGGTATTGAATATTAGCTATTTTCTAGAGGTAAAGCACACAGAAGAAACTGCAGGGAATAATTTCTTCCCCTTCTGTTGCATTTGATAAAGTTGAATCCGACTGGTTGGCTCTGGCGCACTGCGTCTGTATTGCCAACGATGCAACAGTGCCTTAAATGGAAACTCGAACTTGTCTAAGATCACTCGGGTTTGCGCAGGAGAGGGGCAAGGCATGCAACTTTGCAGCACGTCCATATACCATATATAGCGGCGGAATGAATGCGCAATGCACAATGTGCCTGTACATGCCGAGGAGACGGACAGGGAGACCGCCGGAATTGGATGTGTCTGAGCCTAAAAATGGCGGGGGCGGGGACAAGCGTTAGGTTAGGCTCTGGATTATGTAAGCACCAGAACAAAGAGGAAGCCTCCAACCTCAAAAAAGCTTTCATCTTTCACAAAGACCACACCCCAAAACGCTATTGCTATAGTTCCTATCCTTACCGCCTGTCTTCGAATCCGTACTATTATCGCCAGATCGCAGCTGACATCATAATCAGGTTTCTCTTTACCGGCAATGTGGTACCATTGTTGGCTGAGAAGGCTGCATCCCGGTCATGGCTGGCTCATCGGGGATATGTCCCCTCTTCCAATATCAAGCCCAACGACGTCCCTGCATGGTTTTTTTCCTTTTTTTTTTTTCAAAAAAAGGCCTGGTCAGTGTGGCTTGTGCTTCTGAGCTTGAATGGTCTATTCATGGGCATCGTTGCCAAGTACATACGATATATAAGTACTATGTACTCAAAATTTTATTTTCCGCCCTGGAAAAGATCGTCTACGCCCCGCTCGTCCCCTGGTCATTGAGACAAAGGATCGACGTAGCGGCGAATCCTGACAGTCTTTGTTAATTGTTGAACTGGATAGCAACCTCATTACCCCGTAAAATGAATGGCGCCTGTGCCAAAAACGTGGAATTGTTCCAAGTCATGGGCTTCAAGTGCATCCTTCGACCACGAGTCTGTAGCCGTGGGTTCCAGAAAACGTGCTCTCATCCTCCATGCAGCGCTTCTAGCCGCGCGAACGTGGACGGCGTGTACAGTGTGAATGCCGAACTGTCGCCTTATGCTTACATCTACCCAACGTCTGCGGATGAGGATCCTATGGGGTCGCTGTTTTTGGGCCGGAAGATTTCAAGTGAAAATCCCCCCGGAATCAACTCCCGCATAGGTACGATTGATCAGGCACCATTAGCCTGGGATTTACCCATATTTTCACGCTTTCCCTGTGGAGAAGAGAGAGGACATTTGGGCGTTTTTATTACGCATCATAATAATCCCCTCCGCAAATCACATCGATGACCAGGCGAGTTTACTGGAAGTTTATCTCGAACTCCCCCCCTCTGTCCTCGTCGTAACCACACTTTAGTACCTATCAACAATTACCTCATATTGGTCCAATTACCTTTGCATTGCAGGCGCGATTTACCTACCTGCGGTGTATAAGCCAGCGGCCGTTGGATATATCTCAGTTTCAACCAAAGACATGCTAGTTCTGGAACATGTCGAGGAATTTCAAACCTGCGTAAGGCTTCTATTATTTCTGCATGGACCCCATCCTGTGCAACTGTGGTAGTTCCTTTTCCATGCTGTATCTGCATTTTTCTTACGTTTGATGGGCATTCTTACCCATGAGATCAGGAGATCTCATTTAGAGTTTTTTAGGGGGCTTAGTTTTTTTTTCTTTTCTTTTCTACTAATCTGTTATTTTAGTCCTACTAGACTCCATTTCCTTTGTCTTCACTGCTTCAAACCCTAACGGCTTTTTCTATCCACGGTAGTGGTCTTGCTTCGGGGTCTTGATTTTACTGCAAGTGTTATCTAGCATGCCCACAACTATTTCACTCATGGCCTGAGCAAAATGCTGGGTCCACGGCGGTGCCACAGCGACGGTGGATGACTGACCATCTTTGAATTATTCTGATCGTAAATCATTTCTGGCAATTCTTAACTTCTTTTTTCTTAATTAGCCTGGATCATAAAAAGCGCACCCCCCTTTCTCTCTCGCAGGCTTCCTTTTATTTTTAGTTTTATTTTTTATTGTTTTCCCTACTTTTTTCTTTTTCTCCCGGAAAACGAGATTCAGCTGCCCCTCGAATGAAGCATATTGTCATACTGAGGGGGACCCTTTTGAATATTTTATCTGGAGCCTGATTTGACTTTTCCAAACACTCGTCGTTGGCGCGTTGCCTTGGTGCTTTGTTTGTTTTACTCTCTGCTATATGAGCGTTATTCTCCCACAGTTATCAATTACCTGGGGGGATCCTTTGTCAAAGCCAGTAGGTCCAGTTGCGGGGGAAAATCCCTGAGTCCTTATTGCTGAGCGTATGATTCCCCCCCCCTCCCCCCCCCCCCCCCAATCCTCTTCTTTAAATTATAAAGGTGCCTTCTCTGCCCCTCCTCCATAGCTAATTATCACGTCAAGCAGGTGGAAAAAATCTGATGAAAACGGTCGACAAAGCCCCCGCCAATTATTTCTCCAAACAGCACTCGCTCCGTGCTATGTTTACTCAGCACATTAATATGCAACCATTGCATGATGTTACCGACAAAGAGGCACAAGATGCACCCTTTTCCAGTGATGTCAACACCCTCTTTGATGCAGGAACACCCTGTAAGGAGTTGCAGGCTCGTAATCTGCGCAATGGCCTGTTATCCTTTCATTCTGACCAACCGTTGGAAATGCATGATAAACATAATTTTGGCTCCAGTCATAGCTATTCAGAATTTGGAGACCCTGGCCCTGGTTTGGAGGCTATGTTTCATGATCACAAGGATCCCAGTCTATATACATCCTCACCACCTTCGCCTCCCCAGCATATATACAAGAACAACCCCTCATCACCAAGTGGAACTCGCCATCATGAATTAAATAACTTCAGAGAATCGATCCGCAGACACACCTCACACTTGGACTTGACGCACTCCTCAGGGCACGCGAGCCTTGCAATGGCATACCACACATCATGGCCAAACCGTTTCCAGGGCTTCGGCATACACGCTCATGATTACCGCACCCCGCTCCCTCCAACATCATCACCGAGACCAGGGCAACCCGAAAACATATCACGTTTGGCTGGGCAAGATAGTGGATTGCAACACGACTACGTCGCAAAGCCTGCTTACCTACTTACCATGAGTAACGAACCGCAAAGTACACCAATCCCAGGCCCTTGTACGGATCAAGACATGAGGCATATTTATGTCAACCAACAGAGACCAGCAACATCTACTAGCCCGAGTCACTCTCCTCCTAGCCATCATATTTTACGTTCCCAACCATCCGAGCCGTCGTCTATGTCATGGAATAGCGAGTCCATTGATGCACCTTCCTTCCATTACTCGACGCCGGACCTTCAAACACCTGATAACCAAAATTGGTGGCAGCCATCAGACATCAATTCTTACTCTCAGAGTACCTACCAACCCATAGTCATGGCACCAACCCCTCAAAGGCCACGAACCCACCAGACGCGAGTACTGCAAGGTACCAACATGATGCACCTAGGGCAATCTCCAGATATGGGATCAGTGGGAGAACCTCCTCTTTCCGCCTCTGCAATATCTTGTCCAGAAGATATGGCTCGTACACCTTATACGCCTCTTGCACTGACACGAGATAATATCTCCCGGACTTCACCATTAGGGGCCCCGAACCAACGACAATATGCACCGCCTCGTAATAGCCAACCCGTTTCTCCAGCCCTAGCCAACATCAAATCCCCAGGCTTACCTCTTCGATCAACATCCACCAACCTAACCAACCGGCTGCCAAAGCCAAAGCCAGAAATACGTCCTCACGACCAACAACATCAACGCAGGACTCATATCCGCAAAGCCTCTAATCTTCCCACGAATTCGCAGAGGGGTATTAAAGGAGCACATATAACTCCAAACAGCAATTCAAACCCAACCGCCAAACGCCCAATGAGTGTTTCTTTTGTGAATTTTACCCCTGAGGATAGCCAAAAGCTTCTAACAGGCGTGGCGCCAAGCGGAAGCTCCAAGACCAAGGCAAGAAGAGAGCAGGAAGCACGCGAAAAACAACGCAAACTCAGCGAGGCGGCGATGCTGGCAATTAAAAGAGCTGGCGGCGATGTTGAGGCGCTTGAAGCAGTTTTCTGTTGAAGACAAGGGAAGAACATCAAACTGCCGCCAACCATACCTTACAACGTATAATGATTATCTGCACATGAAAGCTAAGATGGAAACGAAGCTAGTTACATAATAGAGGGATCATAAAAATTTATTTGAATTCTTTTTGCTCTGCTTATTTTTTTCTATTTGTGATTGACAAGTGTTTTCTCCCTCCTGCATACCTGGGTCACTTCGAGTACCTAGATTGATCTCTGTTTTGGTTACACTTTGCTCCTTGTTGAAGAATTACATTCTGTATTGCAGATACAAGGACCTCCTACGCTGCTATATCCCTTGATTGATTCCCCCACCGCTCCTACAATTGCTATTTTGCCTTGATTTTTCTTAGCGACAAAGGTATTCTTATTCCACGGCTCTCACCAGCGCCGCTCTGATACCTCTAGCCTCCAACAGCACAATTAATACGAATGCCAACGTTCAAATAAGATACAAAGGCCAAGTAAACCAACAACCAACTTACAATCAATGGTTATTATCCATTGGTTGTCTTTCTTTCTTTCTTCCACCTTTGCCCCCTGTCTTTCCCATTCTCCTAATGCTGCATAACCCCGTGCACTTGAAACAAGCAACGGTTGTTGTAACCATATATATATATATATATATATCACGACCTAATGTTAGGTGGGAAACACTTCCGACTCGAGGTTTGCAAGACATACCTGATAAATATTCCGATGCATATAGCCGACCTCGCCTCCTTTCTCTCCCCTTCTCCCAAGGCGTACTACGATTTTGCGCAGGTGCGGAGTACAGGACGTTATGTTGTGTAGATTGTATATCATGCCGTGGCATCTGGTTCGAGCGGTCGGTGCCCAACCCACACTTGTTGGAAAATGTACCTATGGACACATTCGATGTATGTTGGCGCTAAGGTGTTATGTGTATTTTGTTATTAGTATTTGCTTATCCGAATGCTTTATAGAACTGAAAAGATACCTAGTAGAAAATTATGAGTGAAACAAAAATCATATAGAATTTTGTTTAAATATAATAAAAAAGTGAAACTTTAATTTTAGTGATTTATAAGTGTGGATGTATGATTCACTCTCCTTTGTAAAGCATGATAATTTTATAAGCACATATATATCTGTCACTCTAGGCAACTGTATGTAAGACAGAATGGCTCGGATGTATTGTTGAAACATTTGCAATAACCACTCCTGCAAGAGAGCATTGAAGAGTAAATTATTTATAACTTCATTAATATGAGTATCAATAATGTACAGGATAATGAGCATTTCTTATTCAATACTCTTAGTGAAAGGGGAGATAAATCTCTTAGACCTGACGCCACAGATTTCATGCCAGTCAAGTCAAATTATCAGAGTAGCAGCAACCATGTCGCATGTTGGGTGCGAATTTGACCCATTCCTTTTGGCATCCTACCTCTATTACCTTTCAGCCTATTTATTTTACATATGTATTCCGAAAATCGCCACCAGTGTATTGTACAAGAATTCGGTTGTAGGGTGTGTGAGTGCCTGACGGGATTGGTGTCGAATTTTATCCAACGATAACTTTAGGCATCCACAAGTTTTGTCCGGAAAGCAGAGGGACCCAATGTTCGTTCTGTCGTGCGCAATGGAGAGGGTCGTTTTTTTTTTTTTTTTTTTTTTTTTTTTTTTTTTTTTTTTTGAAATATGTCTTCTCCAGCCCAACCGTTGGCGAAATCCCATGTTAGTTTGATATCCCAACCATCAGATGTTCAAATTTATCTGCCTTTTGGAGTTGGATTCCACGATTCAGGTTGCCATTTCTCACTTGGTCCGCCGGTTTCTCGAGCCCAGGGGGATTTATTTTTGTTACCTTGACCATTGGGTACTGGCTGTTTCTCGATGGTGTTTTGTACCCCTGCCGGTTGGTCAGGTTGGGCGGCGGAGTGATGGGGTTCGTGGGAGGGTTTCGTTGTGGGACCGGACTGCTGTCCCTGTGGCCTGTCCAGGAACGAGGGCTTGCTAGCCCATCGCTCATCTGCGAGTTTGGCGAGATGTTTCATGCGCTCTTGCCGGAGAAGGTCGTTTTGCTGTTCTTGTATGGTTGGGGGCTCCTGGCGAGTGTACCGAAGCCACTGATGCCATTGCGCTACGGATGCCAGTACTGTTAGCAGCATATCTGTAGAAGATAGATGGACTATGGATTTGTAATGATTAACTGCAGGTTTGAGACGATGGGATAGTTATGGCGGATGACTCACGGGAAACCTTCACATCCGCAAGGTGGGTTTTCGGGTTGTACTTCACGATGCGCCGGAGTCGCTTGGAATTGAGAGCGTCCTTAAATTCCCAGAAAGTATTTCCATTCAGGTCCTTTCCTGTGAATTATTAGAAGAGCTCTTTATATTATTCCAATAAAGCAGTCACCAAGCTAGAGGGAGCATCTATGACGGAGTTTCGTCTGTGAACTTACCGGCGAGAAAGGTTCTGCGCCAGGGAAGCTTCAGGCTCTTCCACTTGAACCACAAGCTATTTATCGGGCTCATATTTATGGTCTGGGTAGAACATATGTATTCTAGCCCTAGAACACCCCAATACACCCCTGCACTGTTATCGTAGCATGGCCGTGAGAGAAATGGTTGATTTTCAGAGAGCGTTTGCGAGTGTTCGCCGCAAACAAATTTAGCGCGTGCTGACTATTTATGTCAACCATACCATACCATACCCGCTTGTCGTCATCCATCCTTCGCCTTCACTCCTCAACCCCTCGACCACCCGCCAACTCCCCATCAATGGGCAACACACCTAGCGCGCAAAACTATAGCCAGTTTTATATGCTTTATGGGCCTATTCTCCTTTGATTCATTTGAGATAATCGTGCAGAGCGCGAGTTCCTACCGCCTGGATGCCTGTGCGCTAGCAACCGTTTACACTTCTCCTGAGTTCCGAATACCGCATTGATTCCTGATCAATATCCATCCGATTCCCGTCTCGACGTCCTATCACGCAACGGAAAATCCCCAGCTTTCATCATGGCATCGGTTTCGTCGTTAGACAGAGACCTTCGCAGTCTGCGGCTGTCACGATATACACCGGAGGCAGCCAATGAAATCCGGGAGTGGATAGAGGAGGTACTGCATGAGAAATTACCTAGGGGAGATTTATTAGAATTGTTGAAGAGTGGAGTAATTCTTTGTCGGTAAGTTGACTATGCATATTTGAATTTTGTTTGATTTGCGTAGGACTTTCTATTAACGTAACTATGCAAGGCTTGTTAATCTCGCCGTTTCTCCGGGCGTAAAATACAGAGACTCAACCATGCCTTTCGTTCAAATGGAAAACATATCGCATTTCCTCCGCGCATGCCAAGTCGCGCCTCTGAGCCTCCAGCCGCACGACGTATTTCTTACCGTCGATCTCTACGAATACAAAGATCCCGCGCAGGTGCTACAATGCATCCGATCCTTTAGCAGGCGAGCCAATGCACTTCAACCGGGGAAGTTTCCGCGAGCGATTGGCATCAAGAATAAGGGCGACGCCATGAGTCCTCAACTTACTGGGTCTAGCCAAGGTGCTGGTCTTGGCCGGCCGTCTTACACTCGGGGCAGAGGTGCTAGTAACGCTAGTGAATCGCGTTCGGCCACTTTTAACCCCATTGGAAAGACTTCAACTTCTGGACAAAACAGCCCTTCCAAACCCTCCTCTAATACCACATCACCAAAGCATGCTGTTAGTGCTTGGTCCAATAAAGAAGAGGAAAGCACGACCATACCAGCTTGGAATATACACCAATATGGATACATGGGAGGGGCAAATCAGGGCAACCTTGGAATATCATTTGGTGCCAGAAGGCAAATTACAAGTGCCGCGCCACATGTGCCTAGCCTAGCGGATAAAGAGAGGAGGAGGCGAGAAAGAGAAGCGGAAGAAGAAAAGCTAAGGTTGCAACGAGAAGACGAAGAGCGCCAACGACGAGCAGCGCTTGAAGAAGAAGAAATCCGAGCCAAGGCCGAAGAGGAACGCTTGTGGCAGGAGAAAACCCTGCAGATGAGGGAGAAAGAACGGAGGGAAGCAGAAGAAGAGAAGAGCCGATGGGCAGAGCAGCAACGCAAGTGGGAGGAAGAAGAGCGTCGTCGAAGCCTGGAGGAGAAAGAGACGGAAGAACGCCTGGAAAAGGAACGACTACGGAAAAAAGAGCTCAGTAATTCCCGACTGAACGGCCAATTTCTCAGCCAGTATCAAGCCTCTCAGGCCAAAACGCCCACGGCTGCATCTGGTGAAAGTGAACGCATAAAAGAACTCGAGCGGCAACTTGAGCTTGCCAAGGAAAGAGAGCGTCAGTACGAGCGCGAGCGCGAGGAACTCGCTCGGTCTCGCGGGATCAATCAAGGAGTCGTGGAGTCGCGGAAGAACCAATCTCGTAGCCGTAGCCACCCCCGCCCTACCCCGGTGAAGCCTAGCTACGATGCATCTTCCCTAGCGGAAGAGCGCAAGCTACTTAGATCCGAGTGGCAAGCTTCCCAGGATAGCGCTCCTGCTGACGAGCCTACCCCACCCTCTCTACCTCCGCGGTCACTCCCTAAGCCACCGGTAGTACTACCTAAAAATACGAATCTACCATCGCCATCCCGCCCTCTACCAGACCCCGCGAACTACACTAATAAAAGTCGCACAGACCGTTTCTTAGATAAAAATCAAGCCCCCGAACCCGCGCACCCGACTTCTCATAGGCCTCCTGAATTTTCATCAACTTTAGAAGTTGACGAGGAGAATGCCAGGCGTGCCGCTTCAACTCAGAAAACTCGAGCTGGAGGCTGGGCCTCCAAATCGCTACTTGAGCGCGAAATGGAACGGGAACGCGAACGTCAGCGCGAATGGGAAGAGAACCAGAAGCAAACAAAGGAAGCCGTGAAACGAGGGGTTAGTACAGCGGGCACGGCGCCGGGTGAGGGCGCGTGGGACGTGAACCAATATGGTTATATGGGCGGAGATAACCAGAATAGAGGTGGTCCCGGGCTGTTTGATGGTGCCAGGAGACAAATCATTGGACCACGCCCACCACCTTAATGTCTAAATCCCAAACGTTATGTTTTATATTGATTGCTATACGATTTCGATGCCCCCGGCAATATATACAGCGTTGTTTCACCTCTATTAAACTCTTCTTTTTGCAAATATTGACTAACTATCCCACCTGCCCAGTTGTTTCTTCTCTCTTCCCTTTTCCTTGAACGTTTTCACAGATTTTGACTCTATGTAAATGTTTCTTTCTATTTACCTTCAGTCCAACCTCATTTGCTTGGGTACATTTCTAACTAGCATTTTTTATAATGCTAGCTGGATAGAAAATGTACCTTCGATATTTACGTGCGCCAGTTCTTTGACTTCAAAATTAAAAACGCCATCCCTTCATGTATTTACGTTCCCTTATCTCGCGATCTACCTCGATGATGGGAGCCAATGACATTTGTAGCAGGCGACGATGGTTGGGTGTGTGTGTACGTATTTAACAAAATAAACAAGAAATAATGAGCAAAATAACGGATTTTCCATATGTCAAGGCCATACATAGCGGAGTTGTAATAGGCTCAGACATAGGAACATATCACTCGTCAATCCATCGCGGCGTCGTATTCCCCCGATCACACAATCATGCTCAAAAAGGTATGACATGGCACAATATGCAAGTATCCCGGTTTCATTTTAGATTCACGAGGTACAACGTCCTAGTTTCGTGGATCAAGGGTGAAAACTTGCAGCAAGGTTGGACGCGAAATAAAAAAGGCAATGATGAACGGTTTTACTCCCTTGGGCACAGGCGATACAATGATGAATGGACAGCTGACACTGTTGTTTCTCTTTGACTGGATGTGACAATATCATACCTACACACCGCTTGCTCCGTTATCGATGTAGGTCAATAATATAGTTTTTTGTCTGTGATGAGCAACGATTGTTTCAAGTTTACATGTTTAAATTGGATTATAGACTTTATAATGTTTACTACAAGCTTGGCCGAGATTATTAGTCTATCTAAAATTCGAAGGGAAAGAAGAGTTGATACCTGGCCACTTATGTTCTGCTACCTGCTACCAATCGGTTAATAATATTCACGGCTCAACGGGTAAAATAGTCATTCTTGTTGGAAGTTAACTTAATAATAAGTCTCCAATAACCACATGTTTGGTGCTACCGACAGGTAAATTCTTCTTATCGGATGAACCATCACATTTAGTAGTGCAATATTTACCATACCAACGATGGTTTGTTTTCTCGGCTTTTAAAAGCGATACTTACCTGGCTTGATGAAAGATCGGGATATTAGGATACAGGAACCATCACGATGAGATTCCAAGTCACCTTATGTTTCTTTAACAGGGGGACGACTAGCATAAATCATTCTGGAGTCACGGCCGTAACAATCCGAATCGCCGTACTCCATAATTTCTACGAACTTGCCCGCTGGTGATGAATCTCTTATTGGGAGCGTATTGGAATTGTAGAGGCTAGTGGAAAATTGAGGAAGTACTTGTGATAGGCCGGGCTTGACATACATTATCCACAGATGATGATGGCCTCTGATATTGGACCAACGGCTCTGCACCAATTGTTGTTGCATGAAGGTGACAACACCCTTGCAGATGGAGCCAACCCTGAAACCCTGTTATCCGCGTGGAAAACAAGAGGATACATTTTGAGCCTTTTGCGAACGGAAGATTATAATTACTGCTTTGCAACAGTTTGCATCAGATTCAGTTGGAATGATTGTATGTGTTTTCAGAGGAACTTGATTTCAAAGTATGGTGAGGTTGGGTTTAGCTATTGATCTAGTTAATTAATCTAAACTAGGCTAGCGTCTTGAGTTGGAAACGAGCCTCAACCTCTCGAGTTCAGCCAAACACTGAACAAAGGTGTGTAATTCTTTAACCCCTACACCTCCTATTTCCACGGCCTCTATGAACTACGCCTGATGAACTCATTCATAGTCAAAAGGTTTTTACATGGATACAGCTGAACAGAAGTTGCTTGTTGGTTTTATTAACCATCATGGTCGAATGAACGAACCCATTTACTGCTCCACCTATTCTAGTGCCATTTGTCGGGAATCCCACTCCAGCAACGGCGCTACTGATTGCGATAAAGGGCTTTATCTTGACGCAGCTCTATCATGCGAGCCGATACTCATACATGTCGGCTTTCCTGTCCCTGAACGTGACTCAAAATTTCACAGCAATACTCTGGCCCTCACTACCATATACTCCACTCCCGCTCACTCTGCTGGCACTCAGTTAGCACTCCAATGGAACTTTGCAACTTCAGACGATCGCTGAGGCACAGCATGTACTGATACGTCCTTTCGAGCTCGCAACCCGGAAGAAATGTACCCGCTTGTGAAGGCCCAAGCAGGTGTTTTCGGCATGGCAGGCAGTTTCATTGGGAGAATCTGGCCTTACGCACAATGGAAGATTACTACCGCCGACCGCTACGCAGGACATTTCAAGGCCAAAAACAAAATTTCCCAATTCTGTTTATCAACGGGAAATATGACACCTGTACGCCATTTAGCTCCGCGCAGTCTGCCAGCGAATGCTGCTCACCCGTGCTGGACATGGCATAAATTCTTCCGTCATCCTAGTACCTGTACGGCGAAGGCCGTAAGGTCAGATTTTGTCGACGGGAAGTTGCCCAAGAAGAGGACGGTTTATAGAGCTGATCTAGGGGCGTTTGAAGTTTTAGGGTTTGGCGGTGTGGGCGCAGGTAGCCATTTGGAAGACGAGTTATGAGCTAGGGTGATAGAAGATGAGAACGATAGAAGTTTATTGACACGGATTCTGGAATACAGCGCCTTGGATAATTGAAGGAGAATTGAATGAGGGCGTATTGACAAGACACCCCTTCGCAAACTGCCTTCCTACCCGACCTGTCCTACTTGCATTTCTTTGAGCTATTATAGAATGGATTATGGAGTTTCTATCGCCTTGTCGCCAACAGGCTGTGCTGGCGTCCTCGATGAAATTGTACAGGGAATGGGTATTTGATTGAGAAGAGAGCTGAGTTGGATTGTATTCTACCTAACTACTGTACTCCGGTTACATAAAACAAAATCACGTGGTATAGGCGGTGCACAATTTGATGGGCCATCGATCCACACCTCACTCAGCCGCCAACAGGAGAAAGAAAGTTGAGCGTTTACCATAAGTGTACTACTCCCTTCACGAGATCAAAGTTCTATTCTACCGTTGTGCAATCCTCCGGTGACAGGTATGTCTGCCCCTGTGGTGTATGAAGCCCCTTCGCTCAACAGGTATGCGACTGCCATGGTGAGATCGTCCCGCTGGCCAATTCGTCCCATCGGCGGGATCCGGTTGACAATTTGCTCAAGTTCTGTGAGGCCTTCTGTCATTTCAGTCGCAATGTACCCTGGAGAGAGGGTATTGACCCTGATGTTGTGTGGTGCCATTTCTACCCCTAGGGACTTTCCTAGCAACTTGATTGCTGCTTTCGATGCACCATACATGGAAACCCTCTGCGACGGTATGGCGCAGTGGCCTGCCATGGATGAGATCATTACGATCGAGCCACCAGTGCCTTGTTGCATCATTTGGCGTGCTGCCAGTTGAGCAGAAAAGAAGGAACCAATAACCTGTGGCGGTTAGCTCCCTGCTTCCAGGCTGCCGTTTATCGAAGAGATAAACGGGATATCAGCATGCAGAGACTCACATTGATATCAAGAATGCGCCTGGATTCCTCCCACCCGTATTCTAAGAAGGGTTTGTCCAATGCAAGCCCCGCAGCGGTCACGCTATATCACAAAGCAGTCAGCCAAATGCACATGGTTCGAGACCGACTGGGCATATTTACCAATTATCGATGTGGCCAAATTCTTTCGCTGCCGCTGAAAACGCGTTTTCTAGACTTCCCTTTTGCGTCACATCGGCTCTACCCCAAGCTCAATTGTTAGTATCTATTCGGGGGCTAATGAAACAGTATGGGTTCTAACGGACTTAAAGTATTTTATTCTCGTCCCAAACTGGCTCTGCAGCTTGTTTATGTCCACCTGAGGCTCCATAATATCAAGAAGGGCCACTTCGCTACCGAGGCCAGCCGTTGTTTCAGCAAGCGCCAACCCAACTCCCCTGGTCCCTCCTACAAGAAAGTTAATGATTTTCGAATGGATTCTATGAGGATGTCTCCACTGATGCTTACCTGTGATGACCGTGACCTTTCCGTCAAGGGACAGTTTTGAAGCGATGGATGCACTGAGGTTTACAGGCTGCTTTGTCGATGTCGAAGCCTCCCGTTTACTACCTAAGCCTTTATCGCCAAATGGCGTTGTTGACCTCCCAAGACATCCTGGAAATCGCGATACTGCACTTTGCGGTGCCATTCTATAAGTGGTCTGGAGCGGGATTGTACCCCATCTCATTTTTGCAAGGGAGGCCATATCGGAATAGAGAACTCGTTTTGTTCGTTGCGCTGATTGCTTTATGTTTATTTGAGCCCTGGAGTCGATGTTTGTTTTCTTCTACTACAATGGATGCGAAACTGACTTCTTAAGGGCCCGCCGTATGCTAGGAAATGCGGGGATAGATCCCATGAGCTTCCCCGCAAATACAAGGGGTTTGAGGGGCAAGTGGTATGCCGATTGAACCGTCCTGGGCATCTCCAAATCGCTCCAAAGTGGGCTACCACTAGGAGATATATTCCGGAACCTGCATTCAATTTCAACCCAGGCACTTATCCAAAAGCTATTGGACCAAGGTGCGCCGATTGTAATGTTTGTCTGTGTTATGCAGTATAGTTTTGCAGCAAGGGATTTATAAATACGGGGCACTTTCCCATTGCTGGATGCAACAGAAGATGGTCACCATTTTTCTCATTTTGGGGGTTTCTCTAACAGTTATACGGGCAAGTACGTGGCTCTTGCAGGAACTCAATCGAAAGAAATACTGTGCTTCGCTGCCTGCAATAGGGACTATTCATAGATGGGCTAGTTGCTAACAGCCGTCAACAGAAGGCATCGATAAGCGGGTTGTGATTCGTAGATGATAAACGAGATACCTAATTGGCATCATGCACCCCCAAGATCCAGAGATGTCACAGAGCTTCTTCGATTGGTTCTGGATATCTCTTCAAAGAAAGTGGTACCTACTGTATGGACAGGTAGAAATGTCATACCCGCTTGATCTGAGTTGGCGTGTTACATGTGGTCTGGCTACTTGCCGTCCATTCCGGGATAAGATGTTGCTTCTTTTGGCATTTGAATATTTGGATTCCCGCAAAACGCTACAGGGTGGATTCCATACATATTCCATTGCTCTGCCAGATGAAGGTTGGTTGTGACACATATTATGATCTAGGAAACTGATATTACAATTTACAAAAACGGAGGGAGCGCCTTTTCCGCACAAAATACAAAATTGGCATTCCTCCCAAAGTCGAAGATCAACTAAACCACGTTCAGGCGCTAAAATCGAGAACTTGAGGAGACTAAAAGCTGCGCTGCGTAAGTGCCCGAATGGTGGTGGTGGGGTGGGATAGTTAGCTTGTGGAAAATCTCCGGACCGGCAGATTCTCAATATAACTACCAACCAGCGTAAGGGTAAGTAACTACAGAGTATAAGGTGGGTTGGAGATATGTTTCAACAAGACCTCGGACTCTTGATCCAAGTCAGATGACCAGGGGAAGAAGGTCTCTCTCTCCGCTAGTTACATCATGAGCATACATTGCGCGTCTCATGAGATACACCTTACAATATACGGGGTACTCATTTCCATGCTGTCCACCTTAGTGTGAAAATTGTCATGTTCACAATATCCCGCCTCCGGTTTCTCTCATCCTACCCTACCATGATGGGTTCATGATCCTGTTGCTGAAAACGCTCCTTGTATAAGTTAGCGGCAACGCCTAGCCCTACCTAGCGGCTGTCGCTCTTTGGAGGAGGAAAAGGAGGGTGCTTTAAAATAGGTCGAAAGAGATGCACATAACATGAACTTACAGTAATACTTCTTCTCTATTTCCTTCTGTCGCCTTTTTTTTCGTTTCTAGAGTATACGCTCCCTTACTACCAACATATAACCTCCTACAACTATATTGATTTCTCCATATCTCTACTATACAATCACTAATACTCGACGTAACTTCTTAACCAGCCGGGAATGACAGTGAGTGCTGCGACAGATATGAACCACGTGGCGCGAGAACCCTCAAGGAGTTGCTGACCCCAATTCCAACGACAGCAGACGTGTGTATGCACCAGCAGCGAGCGACCTGGTGGCTCTTCTTAGGCGGGCGGATGTCAACCACTACTCAAGGAGCAGCTTGATTTATCTATTATTCAAGAGATCCAATCCTGCAACACTGCATCCGGGAGCTCCATTAGTGGGTTTGGCTCGTTTCTTCTAGCAAGAAGGGGCCACGATTTTTCTAGAGTAAATTCCACGTGGTTATATACTCTTAACTACCCTTGAAAGCCCTATGGATTCCTATTTAAAGCTCCCTTCCCCTTCACATCCGCAAAAAGGATTATATGCCTGCTGCTCAGCATTGGAAAATTGAAGAGGACGGCAGCTTATTTGTTAGAGGATAAATCTGCTTTGAAATCAAGATGGGTGGCCCCACCCCAAGGATTAATCCTTCCGGTGCAAGCGGTGAAAGCGCACCCCATGCTCTATTTGTTTGCCACGAGTGCCAGATTTCACGTAACGTTGTTCAAAGTTTCGACGTTGATCATTACTCTACCCTGGTGGGTGAAATCTGAACCACTTCTCTACTCTTCTACGCAGAACATATATGCATCAGCGGTAAAATCGGCGAAACAGGCTCCTGACATTCTTTCGCTCTCGGTCAATCCAAAATATGGAGAATATACAAAGTCCACTCCAGATCGGCAATATTACTTTGCAACATCGTATCGTTCTGGCGCCATTAACTAGATTTCGCGCGGATGACAATCATGTCCCTCTTTCATTCGTTAAGGAGTATTACGCAGACCGCGCTTCGGTTCCAGGAACGTTGCTAATCACGGAAGGCACTTTTATTTCGCCCCGCGCGGGAGGTTTCGACAATGTGCCTGGGATATATAACGATGAGCAAATTAGAGCATGGAAAGAGATCACCGATGTAGTCCATGCCAAAAGCAGTTTTATCTTCTGTCAATTGTGGGCTTTGGGAAGGGCGGCAGACTCGCGAGTCTTGACTGAAGATGGCCATCCAGTGGTCTCTAGCAGTGACATCCCCATTTCTAAGGAAAGCGCTGTTCCTACGCCACTAGATGAAAACGGAATCCAAGAGTTCATCGGAGACTATGTTCAAGCGGCAAAGAATGCCATGGAAGCTGGCTTTGACGGAGTGGAGATTCACGGAGCCAATGGATACCTTTGCGATCAGTTCTTGCAGGATACATGTAACAACCGCAATGACCGTTGGGGTGGAAGCATCGAGAATCGATCAAGATTCGGCATCGAAGTGGCTAAGGCAGTTTCAGAAGCCATTGGATGTGAGAAAACTGCATATCGAATCAGTCCATGGAGCCCGTTCCAGGCCATGGGAATGGCAGATCCGAAGCCACAGTTTACCCACCTTGTTCAAAACCTAGCAAAGATCAAATTGGCGTATTTGCACGTGGTGGAGAGCCGGGTCAGCGGTCCGGAATCGTGTGAAGGAGCTTATCAGAGCACGGATTTTGTCGTCGACGCATACGCGAATTCCGGGCCAGTAATCCTCGCTGGAGGGTTCCGCCCCGAGACTGCTAATCGAAGAATTGAAAATCTCAAGGGTCAACGCATCGCCATCGCATTCGGCCGATTTTATACATCGAACCCAGACCTGCCCTTCCGTGCTTTCAATCACATACCTTTCACGCCGTACAACCGAAGAACGCTTTATACGCCAAAATCCCCAGTTGGATATATCGACTTCCTTAACAGCTCACAGTATGAAGCTTGGGCTAGCACAAAATCCGAGGCGTCGCCGACGCTAAACTAGCGAGTAGCCAGTCGTTAGGATTATTCTGAGGATTGGTAATCTTTGCCATTGATCGCATTGCCTGTCGTGTCGCGCATCGTATTGTATCCGTTATGATCAACTTCTTGCAATTACTAGTACATGTATGTACATAGATCGATAGAAGCTCGTATATAATTAAACTTTGAATGCACCCCCCAGGTTAAGATGTCAACTATGCTTGCGATGTTGGTACCGTACCCAACCAATATTATTAATTGCTCAGGCAGAAGTCCCAATTTTATTACAGAGTAAAACATCCAAGCACTACGGAGTATTCCTGACGAGAAATAACCAAATTCCTCAACTGGATCGACGCCATACATACATACTCTGTATTGGGCAATATTAAATGCATAAGTCACAGTCACATCGGAGACTTTGTCCACACCCCACCCAACGCCAACGGCCAATCCGCTGTTACATCGGATTAGATAACGCTGCGGCGGGGTTCAAGCCAATGTTGACGAATAATAATAAGAAGCCTTGCAAGCGGGCAGTGAAAATCGGGACGTGATCGGGTGTGGTGGCGTGAAGGAGTATAAATAAATCCCTGTCCCCATGGCGGTAAGAACTCGAGATAGCCTCGTATGTGATGATTCTCCGCTTTGCAATGGCTGCCATAGATCCGTTAGATCCGAATGAAGAATGAACATTATAAAGCCTATGGAAGTCATGTTGCCGGTAACGTCGCATTTACGATTACCAACAGAACGCGCCACTGATGGCACGCGCTCGAGTTGGCTCCAGAATTGGGAATTCTGTTCGTGTATGTGCCCTTGGGGCCCGAAAGCAATACCTTTTGCACCGTGGTTTTTCGAAGGGTTAATTTTCGCCTGTAGGGAGAGTAGTTAATCGCTTTATGGGATTCGAATGCGAATGACATGCGCTGGGAAGTGACGTTTGATGGGCTAGGAGCAAACCAGACTGCATGTTGGGTATGTATCGTATTGGATTTATCAATAGATCTATCTTACCAACCACATCTTTCGATTATCCTCTGGACCTGCACTAGCTGGAATAAGGCTAAGTAGCATGCGTTAGCCGCCGTTCATATGGCCCGGCCTTGGTCGCAGGAGGGTAAGTGCACGGTAATGGTGGCATCAGATGCAGATCTTGACCTGTCAGTTGCAGGATCTGCGGAGATCCCGTGTTGATATCGTATTGTATTGAGATTCCTTATCAAAATCGCAAAGCCGCCGATCGCTGGGTGAGGGGCTCGAATGATGATTCCCTTGGCTGTTGCCTTGGGGTTTTCTAGATGGATTCTCTCTGGCTGCAGTCCGGCGGTTCGAACGTCTATGTCGATACCTGATTTAAGATTTTAGCCAGAGTTTGCCTCAGGACATGGTAAATTGTTCCGGAAAAAATGTATTTACTATGCCCAGGCGCAACATCTCGATGGGTAATAGCGGTCTCCGATTTGATTCAAGCGGCTAAATTGCATCAAAAGCGATCTCTAGCTCATCCTCTAAGCTTTGAAGGTCGTTGTCCCGTCGCTAAGGCTGAGCGCTGAGCTTGTGGCTAGAATAGTTACCGGATTTCACCGGGCTCATGGAGCATGCGCAAAATCTATCGTTGCCTTCATTGCTGCACTTGTAGACATAGAAGAAGCTGCTCTTATCTGTATTGCTCGTCCTCTTGTCTTGTGACTAGCACGTTTTCTTTCTGTCCGCGTACTTTCATTCGCGGATGCAGTGGGAATGCCTCTTGACCTCGTTTCCTTCAAATCGTTACTGCATATTCGATGCGATGGGTGTTCTGTCAGCATCATGCCAGAGTCATCGCATATTGAATGAATCGATGTTTCAAAGACGACTTTCGGATGAACAGTCAAACTGTTTTCTCAAGTTGTGGACGAAGAGGCGGCGGGGGAAAAAAGCCCCTCGCCGTATATTTCGTGAATTCGGTCAATGGACCTGATCCGCATGGTCGCAAAAGGATGGCCAAGTCATCCGGGAGCAGCTTTCTTAAACCAACGAGTCAGTAACATGCGGATAACTTTCTACTTGCGGAATATGATGAGCTGTCGCTGCTGAAATGCTTACTGGTTAAGGATTTCAAGAAATTCAGACAAGGAAAATTCTTTCGAGTTCATCAATTTATTCATGACCTTTCTTTGTAAACAAAAAGGATCGCTTCGATTACTACCGTTTTTCTTGTTGACAGATTTATGAAGGCTGCATGGTTTCTTTAACCTGAACCTTGCTAGCCAAGCATGAAACTCAACTGAAGAGCGGAGGAGTAATCTTCGGAAATTGGTTAATTATCTAAATATTCCAGACCAAATCTTAACAGAAAGAATAGTTCAGTTAGTGGGATCTGGTCAGCTCTTCATGTTAATCACCAAGGATGTTCGGCTTTTTGACGTTCCTATCAGTTATCCAAGGTGTTCTTGGAGGGAACTCCCAGCTTTAAAAACTCTTTCTTCGCGAAATATGAAGTAGATGCTTCATTGACCGTATCCCGGCCCCCAAGCTTGATCGCAGTTCACACCAATTGGAGTAAAAGACAGGTCCCTTTGTCGAACTGACGGGTCCTCTTGTATAAGAGAGTGCTTATTATGTTGGCCAACTCATTCTTGCTTCAACCAACTAGGCGTTGGAAGGTAAGTAAAGAACATTCGCACCGGGGACTTTTTCTTTGTTTTAACCAATGGGGCCTGGCATTGTACTGTCCTGGCTGGGAAGAAGAGAAACAAGTAGGACGGCTCAAATACATCGATAAGCACTGTAGTCTCCCTTTGAATAATGTACTATGTATATGCGAGTATTATTTATATGCGAGTGGAAGTCCTCAATTTGAAATACATCGCCAGGTACTTTTATATCAACGTATATTAAGACTTGCAATATCCTTTACTTTCCACCGTATACCTGGTATGTTCTTCCTGCATTCCAGAAGGGATTGTTTCTCAGGATTTTTCCGTCCAACAACTAACGATCTCAGTGGTAACAACACAAGATCTCTCCGCGATCCCTGACATTATATTCGGTTATTAAGGCACAAATTTAATTACCGACAAGGTCTCTGACTGGCGCCCGCAGTTGAAACCGTTTGCTGCTTGCTCATCTCTAAGGGAACGTATTGTCATTGTCGAAAGTCGCGTAAAAATGCCAATGTTTGGCAATATCGAACAACTAAGAGCGTCTCGGAGGCGCGAAGCACAGCTGACGAATAGGGAGCTCCAAGATGAGGTGGCAGCTAATTGTCGCCTCAGCAGGCTGCCAGCCGACATAAAAATCCATATCCTCGCATTCGCGGACATTTCAGGCATTAGGACTTTGCTGCGATACCTCCCTCTCTCCGCAACAAGCTTCCAACGATTGTTCGATGAGCGCAAACGAGCAATTCTAGCAGCCATAGTTCAGGAGAAACTGTCGTGGGAATGGAGCATCATAGCTGGTAGCGACCCGTATGTCCCATTAGCATCGCTTAAACCTAGATACTTCAACCAAATCGCACTGGTGGTCTGCGCGCATTTCGACCACACCAGGTTCGGAGAAATGAAGCCAGGAACCGGCTTTAGATGGCTTCCGACTGGACAAGATTTCCCTAATACCCTGCAAGATCTGCGGATGAAGATATATAAAAACGCCACACGTAACGCATTCGACCTGCTTGAATTGCTTGAGGAGGTACAGAAAGAGATGAAGGCCAGAGAGAAGGTCACCCTGGAGCACTGGAAGAAAACCTCCGGAGATCAACGACGAGAAAGTTGGATTGTTTCTTGGGGTAGGAACAACCTGTATAGGGCCTTACTCATCGAGTGGAAGCTGCAACTCCCCGACATCTCAAAGCCGGCTGATGTTACGCATGCTCCAGACACTCGCGGAATTAAACTAAATAGTCCGGCGAGCCAAGCAGTACGTTCCCGATTGACATACGAGGAATGGACGACTCTGGTGGATCTCATGGAAGCCAGAGCCTCGCATCGCAGCCGGAAAATAGAAACTGTCAAGCCTGAGAAGCCATCGGCGCCGAGGGAAGAAATGTGGGGAATTTTCCTTGCTCAGTTGGAAGAAGCTCAATCGAATCTTATTTCTAGTTTGGAAAAAGGGATATCAGCTCTTCCTTGCTTTCTGGATATCTCACCCGAGGAACGCATATATTTGGATAAAAAGTTTCCATAGCCGCGATGAACCACCCAGGAGAAAAATGTACCTTTGTTCATGGAGTTAGGAGGCGGAGGTATAGTTTGCCTACTTAAGATATGTAGTTTAAATATTTGACCCAAGCCTGAAGGTTATGGCCATAGATAGAATTGAAAATGACGTAGTTTATTCAGTATCGGTCTGCCCTTCCATCTCTGACGATAATAGCTTGTCCACCAGATAGGTGATTCGTTCGCCGCTTTCAATCAGCCAAGCCCAACCAATTTCGTCTAATTTCCTTTTATCTTGGCTCTTTTTGGCGTCACTCTGCGCTTTATCAGCTCTTGCAATAATTCCCTTTTGGATTGCGGCTCTCAAGGATGGCTGGACTTGTAACATGTCATTAGAGGCTAATAGCAGTAGTAAGGTCTCGAGAAGTATCGATACTTTCGCATTTTCAATGGCATCGTTCGTGTTAGCGGCAAATGGCAGATAATATTTCTCTAGTGTAGATTGGTTGATGTACGTCTGTTCTGAATTAGGGTGTTGGTGAAGTAAAAGTGAAAGAATCGTCTTGCACAAAGTAGTTCGCGCGTTATCGGCAAAATTAGACAACATCGGACATGATACCAGGAGCTGAAATGTGGGGAGGGACAGTGGACGGACAAACTCCCCAAAGAGCTGATACAAGTCTTCGACTGTCATATAATCCTCCGGGAGAGCATCTGAAACTCGGGACAAAATCTGCATAAGGCGCTGCCGAAGACCAATAGCCGATACGTCACCCAGCAGTGTTTCCTGGCCCGAATGTGTGATACTTGATGACTTGTACGACGGATGCATATCGAGATTCTCGGCCGACCTCGAAAATGGAGTTGGTGCTGTAGTTCTCGATCGTTTCGGACGCGATGGCCTGGTATCCCCCGTGTAAACGGCGTCATTTTCTTCGTCAACGTCATCTTCGTCTCTTGCAAGGTAGTCCCCAAATATACCTTCGTCAACGTTCACATCCGCTTCACGCCGCTTCAGATGATCCTTGTCCTTTTCTGGTTCCTTTAGTTCGTTGCGGAATATCATCTTAAATTCGTTCAGCGACGCCTGATTCCCGTCCGCGAAAATAGCTCGAACGATTCTTCGATGCTGGCTGGACACTCCCGACGTACCCGAGATATACTTAAAAATTAAGCTCTGGCGGAGAGTATCATCAGAAGATAGTGCTCCTACCCCATTTTTCGAGCTATCGATCAACTTTTCTCTCTCTGCCCAGTCGTCTTCCAACACGTCACACATAAACTCCAGCCAGACCCTCCATCTAGACCAGCGCTTGGGATAAAGAACGGCACAATTAAAGGCCCATCCAACAGCAGACCAGAAATCTTCAGATTGAAACCAGATAGACCCACGACGAGCAATATCCATGTTAATAAGGCCCGGGTACGAATCCATACCTGGAGCGCCGGCTCCCTCGCTCCCATCGTTTTTGCGACGCGACCCCCTATGGCGCGAGGAAGCATAACGCGTAAAAGCAAATGCACTCCCGAATTGTGCAGCCAAAGGTCCCACTAGCTTATTGGTAAGGCGCAAAAGTTGCAAAGCAGTAGTAGACGCGTGCGCAGCTTCCCGCGACTTTGCGAGAGTTGTGGTGGAGGGATGAACGACTAGAGTTGCCGCAACCGCAAGCTGCTGGGTGGTTGGTACGAACGCAGGGCCTGACGCGATAGTACCTGATGAGAGAAGGCTTAGGAGAAGATGGAGAGCTTGATGGTCTACAAGACACGGATATTATATCAGTTACTTGCTATTATTGGGATCTCTTGCAAAGGAGGGACAGGGGAAGCTTACACAGTTTTTCTTCGAAGTAAATGTTGCAGTGTCGGCTCAATTCGAAGGGGAGAGGCTTTGCGCGCCGGTATTTCGGGGCCACAGAGTCCTCCAGCACCTCCTCTTGGGGTTCCATGGCCTGGATAGCTGAGTGGTATTTATATATTTCTTACGTCTCCATGGACACGCGTGATGAAAAAGAATAAGCGGGGATAGTCTAGTCAATCGTTGTGGGCTTTTGTAGGTGATGAACTACTGCTGGGTATTAAGGTTTGGACAGAGCCGCGGAACTCCCTAGTTAATCTTATCAATCAATCAGCCAGTAACTACAAGTACGACTCACGATCCCCGCCAATTCGCCGAAATATTTAATCCCAGATCTCATCGTCTTCAATCAGCATTATTCCCTACGTCTAAAAGGCGAAGTTATCCGCTTTCTTTCTTCGACCCATGCTCCTTCCACGCGCCATGTCCGTGGCAGTCAGCTCATCCCTGCGTATCTGGCGGTTTGCCCCGCTTCATCCTGACGCAAGTAAAGACAATAACAAGTTGAAGTTGAAAGGCGTTGTGTTTGACGTTGATGGGACATTATGGTACTCGAATTCTTTCGTGAAGGAGCTCCCTACGGTTATATACCGCCAAAGCTAATTATTATTACCAGTCTACCGCAGAACTATATGTTCCAAGAGATGCGGTATGTCCATCCTATCCTCTTTCTCAAAGATACAAAGAATGACAATATCACAATCTCTCCGACTAACAAATGGCAAATTCCAGCTCCGTACTTGGGATTGATAAGTCTATCGATATCATCACGCACATCCGCAGCTTGCCAACGCTAGAGGACCGCACCACAGCTATCAAGAAAGTCAGAGATATCGAACGGAAAGCTATGGTAAAGCAAGAGCCTCAACCCGGTCTTCTAAAATTGATGGATTATCTGCAATCAAAGGGATTAAAGCGAGCGTTATGCACACGGAATTTCGAGTACGTTTATTGATCCCCAGGCGCGCCGCCGCCAACATCTTCAGCATCAAATACCTCCTTTTCACTAAATCAATCATGTTTCTGTGATATTTGCTAATAGCCCTTCTTATAGAACCCCTGTAAACCACCTTCTAACAACTCACCTCCCAACGCATGAATTCCTCCCAATCATAACCCGCGACACTCCAGACATACTCCCAAAGCCAGATCCGGCAGGGATTTTACATATAGCTAAAGAATGGGGCATAAAATCAGAAGAGCTGATCATGGTACGTAAACTATACAAGCTTAATTTTTCCAATAATGGTGGATTTTATTCCTCCCTTGAAACATATCCCAGCTATATAGCGTCATCGGCATCTGAATTCAATTATACAAGAAATACACAAAACTTAAAATGCGACAATTATACATATATAGGTCGGCGATAGTCTTGACGACATGACAGCTGGTCACCTAGCAGGGGCTGCTACGATCCTCCTACTAAATGACCACAATCAAGCCGTGAAGGAGCATGAGCATACGCACTTCTGCGTTGAGCGCCTAGATGACATAATTTCCATCTTGGAGGATGGGGTTGCGGATTCTGTGGAGAATCTCTAGGATTATGCAGACATGGGTACGGTGATGTATATTTCCGACATTACAGATAGAAGACCGTGGAGAGACCTTGGTGTTCAGTCCCATGGTATTTAGGGTAAAGGAAGTGGTATGTCCGTTTGGTTGTCAGTGCCCTGGAGAATATCTACGACGATGTTGAAATTATCCAATTAGAGTCTGATAGTCGCCATTGTTTTGGCATCATTTTGTCATATGTGATAATATCACTGAAAACCAGGAGATAAATATAGCATAGTATCAAAACATAAATCTGCATGATTGTTACCAGATAGGTATCTCAACAGAAGAAGCAGAATGGCATCTAATATATGCAGAAACGCCAAGATGCAGTCAGCTAAACGTCCATGCAGTATTTCAATTCTTCCATGTCATTTCAGAGTCTATGTTGGTCCCATGCTTTCTGAGCCGCGCTGGGCATAGGTCGATATGTTTCCCTATTTGAACCCCTTTTGACCCCTCTTCCACGACCTCGAGATCCACCTCCACCACCATTACCACCACCTCTAGCCCTAGGTTGCCAACTGCTTGCCCCGTTGCCTTGACGGGTTGAAGGTCGGATAGGCGACAGAGAGCGTTGACGCGTATTGTTACCGAAATATTGGTCTCGTTCTCTATAATCACGGCGATAATCATTAGGGTTTTGCGGCCCCTTCCCGGAGCCTTGGGGCCGACGTGTATCATCATCAAGATTCCTGCCACGCCCAATTCCATTGCTGAAGCGTATGCGTCCACGTGGAGGTGAACGGTGTGTTGTTGGGTTCCAACTATCTGGTTGTCCGAAAGCTCCATCGCTCTCGGGAGATGGTGAACGGCCTCTCGCGCGGCCTCTGATCTTGTATCCAGAATTTCTCTGGCTACTAGTTCCCTTGCCAGAAATGGTAACAGGGAAGGTGTTTAGGTTGGAGAACACTGAGGGGTCAAAATGTTTAAGACTGAAGGAAGAAGAGTTCATTGGAAAGTTGCGAGTAGGGCAATCTCCGACCAGATGGCGATTACTCGTGCAGTGACAGCAGGATATGGAAATAAATATGCGGCCTGAGGTTGGGTTTCGCTTGGGGAGCTTCCATATCAAGTCACATTCGCACTCGGTATGGTCGCCGGAACCACAAAAGTCACAGGGTTCTTCCGCGGCTGAGCCTTTCAAAAGAGAAGAGCACGCTTCTGCGTCGTGACCCCGTTCTCTGCAACGTTGGCATCTTCGCCGGGAAGGACAAAATCGACTTTCATGAACAGACCATGCTCCGCAATGTTCACACTACGTACGATGTCAGAAATTTAACTAGAGCTGCTTTCGTGGTGCACAGAAACGGAATCACAACTGCGCCCGATAAAAATGAGACGTCTAGATAACATACCTCCTTATTGGGACAGATATCCGCCAGATGACCTTCCTTCATACAATCAATACATGTTATGGGCAGGCTGAGGTCAAGATCTTCTGGCTCCAAATCGAGAAATATATACCTAGCCTGAGTCTCCAAATCAACACGAGTGAGATCAGCAAGGGTAGTGGGATCTGAAGGGTACTTTGCGCGAAACAAACGAATCGCCTCGGCCTTTGGGCCTCCAGACAAGGCGTTTCCTCTATTACCATCACAATAAATCTCGTCTTCTGGTAGTTTGTTTTCAGTTTGCACAGAGAGGTTCGAGCCATGTGGTTCGCTGAGAATCTCCCCATTAAGTTTTTGAACGCCTGGCACGTCGCTACCTTGGTGGGCCATTTCACGGCCAGGACCATGTAGCTCCCCAGTGGCCTCAATCCTCTCATCTGTTTTAGGCAAACCACTCAGGTTAAGAACGATGTCATTATTGCCATCCGTGTCATCTCCAGAATCCATATCAGAGAACTCTGCAGTGAAAGTCTTTTGGCCTACATTCGTTCCGACATGAGCCTTACTCCGACAAGCATCTGTTTCGGAGTCGCTTTGGCCTTGTCCGTGCATTCGGCGATGATGCTCACCATCGCCACTTCCGGCAGACGAAGCAGACGCACTCCGACTGCGCCAGTATTTCCCATTGACAGCCTCAAATGAATTTGCTGCAGATGAATTAGGCGTGTCCGCTTGGCGTCGCCCACGAAGAACGGTCCTTACAGTGCCTTTACTGAGTTTGTTCCAATTCATTGCGGGTGCCATTCCTCGAGATGCGGGCGGCGAAACGGATGATGGCGCGAGGTCCGTGGTGGTGTCATCACTGCTTTTATTCTCCATGGCCGTATTATTCTCCATGGCCGTATCGGGACTCGAGCTAGATGAGCTATCAACTTCTAGCAGTGTAGAGGTAAATGATGTGCCTTTGGGGACAAAGTCTTGAATGTCGCGACGACCTAACGTGAGATTCTTTCCTGACCGGCGTTTCTCAGATGTCCCTATAGAGGATATTTTCTTAGATTCAGAGAAGGCGTGCTTTTTTCGGGTCCTCAGCAAACCAACAGAGGCTGTACGCGAGTCGCAATCATCCTCATACATGTTCCGCCGGGTAGACCTGCGGGAGGAGTGCAAGCTTTATATTGTTGGAATTAGGCGTAGGCCAGCATGCGTAGCTAGTTATATATGTCGCAGCTGTGACACCCCGGACTGTCGTACAGTGAAGAAGGGAAACCTGAAGTTGGACTGAGGGGGCACGGATCGTGTATGGTGATTTGAGAAGCTGTTTTTAATTAAAGAGTTGCCAACGCAAAGCCCAACCAGGAAGCTAAATCCTAACTTAAATCTTCCAGGTTGGAACGAATCCAGGTCACATGACCCTCAATAACGTCCACGGGTTATTTTATTAATCGCGACGTTGTCTTGGCCCATGTGGCGATTCTTGGCATGTCTCGGGGGCTTCGGTGGAATATTTTTCCGCAAATCAGATGACGAAGCTTCCTGCTCTGGGCCGTGTTCGGTGTCCTTCAACCTTTGGATGCTCGCCAGTGGAAGTTCAAACAACGCCCAAAACACTTCCTTCAATGTTCGCTGTCTTTTTCTCGCCGGTTTGCAGCACCCCTCTTCTTCGATAATGCCTTCCTGAGTTTCCCTTAGTGCTGTGCTGTGTTATTCAACTCCTTTGCCCGCTGGTGCAGCTAAACTCCGAAGTTCTCCGCAGTTCCGGACAACTTTTACATTCCTCCCCCTCTCCTCCTCCTCCTCCTCCTCCTCCCACCGGTTCACAGCTCCCGCCTCACTCGTTCCTCTAGATACTCTTAATTAGCTGTGCATTCACCGGTATACGGAGCTCTTCGTTGCGACCCTCGGCTCAGACTGCATAAACGCCATATTGTTACGCGAAAACTTTCGATCCGTCCTTATATATATCCCCAGGCGACAACACCAGAGAGACAGCTATCCTTTTGCTCGTATATTTCCCTCCTGTCTTCGCATGCATTCTTCACCCATATTTTAGCAAGCGACCCTATACAATACCGCCAAGCTGTCTTCCCTTCTGGTTCCCAGGACTGTCTCCTTTGCTCCCGATCTCGACTCCGGCCCCAAACCTGATTCCACAATGAGCGAGACCAAAACAGGACGGAGGAGACGGTCGAGCAGCATTATCTACCAGGAGCCTCCGGAGTCGATTGAGCATACAAGTGATCAGGCTGCCCTGCCTAACCTAAACGCCAATTGGGTTAACGCAAAAGGTAAGGATCCGCATACTTCCTTCCTTCTTGACAACCGGGATTTCGGAATTTGTGGAGCTAAGAAGCCGGAGAGGGACAATCAACGACTTGAGGAGGACATGTGCCATATACTGTGTTACTATGAAACGCAAGCTGACTCAAATTTTGATTTCCAGGTGCATGGACTATCCATTTCGTTCTAATCGTCGCTCTTAAGATTTTCTACGACATCATCCCTGGTGTATCGCAAGAGACTTCATGGACCCTCACTAATATCAGCTATATGTTTGGCTCGTTTCTCATGTTTCACTGGGTTCGAGGAGTACCGTTCGAATTCAATGCCGGAGCATATGACAACCTTAACATGTGGGAGCAAATCGACAATGGAGACCAATATACACCTGCCAAAAAGTTCCTTCTCAGCGTTCCGATTATTCTCTTCCTACTCAGTACTCACTACACCCACTACGACTTGACCTACTTCATAATAAACTTCTTGGCAGTCCTAGGAGTGGTCATTCCGAAGTTACCGATCGTAAGTTACTGAAGCTGACAAACGTACCCAAAAATGGAACTCTAGGCTAACCTTTCCCCTCCTCCAGTCTCACCGAATGCGAATAGGCCTATTTTCAGAGCGTCGTGATGATCCTTGATAAAATTATGGGCGTCTTAAGAGAAAGGCGGCAAAAAGAAAACAAAAAAGAAAGAAAGAAAAGAAAAGAAGAAAATTCTCAACTTTGGCTTGATTTAGATTGACAACTTTTCCCTTTCCTTTTTGCTACTCCCGCCCGCCCGCCTATATATTTTTCTTTTCTTTTTTAATATCATCCGTTACTGGATTGGGCGCTGCGTTCCATCTTAGTAGATTCGCAATGGAACAATTGTTTTTTTTTTTTTTTTTTTTTTTTTTTTTTTTTGATAGCTTGCTCTCTCTCTGTGGATTTCTAGTGTTTTGCCGGAAACAACTATTTTATTTACTTGCTTTGCCTCTCTTTTTCTCCTTATTAGCGCCTCTGATCATTCCTTAGGAAGTTCTACTTTGAGAAGTAGAGGGGGAAACAAAAATTAAGGCGACTGCGCTTGTGTTGGAAAACGACACCGGAACAAAATACCCATATTTCTTTTGTCATTGTCCTGTACCTACTTCGCGAGATATTTGGAGCTTTTGGGCGTCGGATTCTGAGCTATTTCGTTTTGCTCACTTTCTCTCTCTCTCTTCTTTTTGAAAAGGGGGAAATGTCAAGGAGGATTCAAATGAGGAAGCCAAAAAATGGTTGTATATAATATAGTCTCCTGTTTTCTAGGTATCTCGGGCATGGTACCACGCTACCAACCATCTATTGCCTTTCCTACATTTTCATCCCTCCAGCTTCTTCTATGGTTATTCAATAGGTGATACGATATATGGCTAATTTGCATACCTTACGCGTACTGGGAGCTGTTGGCGTTGCATAATTGGGCGATCCTCCGTTGCATGGCGACTCAAGTGTTACGAGGTACTGTGCAATCCAGGAGGTTTTAGCTCTTCCAAGGTTCATCCTATCACCCCTAAGGTGGGCTGGCTGGCTGGCTACTTGCCTGTCTACCTGTGTGAAACACGCCGGCCAGCATGACATGGCTATAGCCTGATTGTTTACCTGGAAGACAAGAACACCACGGATACATGTTTAGTTTCCGCCCGCTTGGACTTCGTGCGTATATTGCATACATAGAACCCATTCTCTCAGCACAGATTGAGGACATCAGCGTCAGTTTTTCCCATTTTATGTTCCTGCTTTTTTAATATTAAAACTTCAGTTTGGTTGTTAATATTATATTGAGTTTGGGCGGGAGGAGCCAGAGGATTTGATTTATCTCGTATCATTTCTCTTTCCTGGCTGAGATCGTAGGTAATTGGCGAGCAAATGGCAGCAGCCGGGGCATGAAGGCTTTGGAGCAAGAACGAAAAATAAATGGATAGTAACGGAAATCATTTTAACATTTGGGTTCCGCACATATGATAGACAAAGAGGTATGTCAAGGGGAGGGATCTGCCAGCCGAAAAGAAGTAGGAAAAAAGGTAGAAAAAAGGTAGAAAAAATAATATCGAGACAATAAGCAAGTAATGTTTGGAAGAAAGTCGCACAATATCAGCATGAATTAAAAAGGGAATAAAAAAAGGCAAGTTACATGGCCAAGTATAACAGGAGTAAAAAAACGTAGAAAAGGCAAAAGCTTCAAAGCTGGGTCATTTCCGTATCATCATTCATATCAAACACAACGACAACATAAATGAAATGAAAGAGCCGGAAAAAACTCCACATGGAAACCCTTCGTCGCTATAAAACACTGAGATACAAAAACAACCCAGAGAAAAAAAGCAATAACCCATGCATGCCCCAGGAAAGGCCACGCCCTTTTAGACATCAATGTGAAAACGAGAAAAGCAAATAGGTGGGTGGGATAGAACATTGAGGAAATAGAATCCAATATCCATCATTTTAATAGTCGTCGTCATCAACTTGTTGTGGGCTCCCTCTATACTGCCGTCGTCTAGGGTATCCAGAGCTAGTGATAGGGCGCGGACCTGTGGGTTTTCGCTGGGGAGTGTTGCTCTTAGGCGAAGACCTAATTGGAGATCCACCGGCCTATATATCAAAAAAACTCGCGGTTAGCTGCTTCATGCTTCACAAATCAAATCGTGGGGGGGGGGGGAATCAATAGTATTGAGTCGTACAGGATCGTAATTTGAGTGGCGAGAGCCACGCGTAGCCATGCGTTCTGCATAAGTGAGCTGTCCATCCCCCTTTCCCTGAGGCGGTCGTTGGGGAACCAACGGACCTTCATCTCTGATTTTTGGCGGGCGCGGAGGCGCGTTTCGTCTCCCAGAAGCTGACGACCTATCGGAATATCCGCCGTCCGAACCGGGAGCTTTTGGGTTAGGGGTCATCCGTCCCAGGCTAGCATTGGATGCCCAAGCATCCGAGTTAAGAGCTACTGGAGTTACAAAGGTTTGAGCTTGCGATTCCAGTTGGGATTGATAACGATCTGTGGGTCCCTGGCGCGGTTGAGGATGTTGTAGATTCAAGCTATCCCTATGTGCCTGATACTTCGGATACTCCGAAAGCTGCGAGGGTACTAGAGGGGACGGGGGGCGGTTCTCCTGCCGTTGATCTAAGCTCGTGTTTGATCGTAGTCTGTCATCCCCGCGATGATCGTAATAGTCACCAGTATTGTATCCGTCCTGTCCTAGGTCCGAGCCTGATCGGGATAGCTCTGAGGAGTGTCGATCCTTGCGACCGGTTTGGATGCTATTCCGGATGTTCTCACCCATGGAGGAAGCTGTCGTTTTCGACCACCGCGAAATTTTTGGGAAAAACGACGAGCTACTTGATTTGTGTTTTCGAGACTTTTCGTTGGACGTTTTAGGGGTTGTATCTGTGCTCAGTGCCCCGGACACAAGAGGGACTCGCGGAGGAGTGCCCAATGGGGCAGAACCACCCCGTTTATGGCAGCCCATGAGCTGGGCGTCAGTGGCTACTTGCTGGTCAAGCAAATCCTGCTCATCCGGTGTTAATGGTTCTAAATCTTCGTCATCCTCCATAACAGGGCTAATTCGGTGGTCCGATCCACGCCGGATACTTGCAGCTTTCATATCTCCAGCCATACGAGGGGAATTCGAATAGCCGGACCTATCACCTCCTCCTGTTGATGAAGTATCAGCTTGATCTTCAGGCTCATAGCCATCTTGACCAGGGTCATATAAATTTTCTTTCGAGTTAGCGCCTCCAGTCCCCGGTGCTCGGCCCTCTTGAGCAGCTCTTAAAGCCTCAACTTCTAGAAGGAGATGAACGAGCATGTCCTCGACCCTGGAAAGATCGTTAGATCCTTTGAGACTCAAGCCCTTCAACGCCCGTTTGAAGACATTTTTCCTCTTTGATCGCTCATCGTCATCGTCGGCAGTTGTGTGCCGAGGGGTTCGTGAAATACCGAGCGGTTGAGGTCGAGGTCCTCCAACGAGCTTCTGGGTCCGATCATGTTGTTTATCACTCGCATCCATAAGCATTTCATCTTGCTGCGCAATGAACTTTTTCATGTTCTCGAAGGAATTACGCATTTCCGCGGCACTTCGCACAAGAGTCACAAGGATTTCGGTATCTCGAGCATTTCGTTGTGCATCACGAACGGTGAGCTAAGTAAAACGTCAGCATTAGAACTATTAAAGACACGTAAAAAAAGAAAAAAAGAATTAACAAGTATACTCACATGGTCCATAAGTGCAACAATGTCCTTCGATTGAATCCGATCAATTCCGTGACCAGTGGAACTATCGTAAAGTGGGGAGGGCATGCCATGGGAATAACCACTCAAATGTCGTTTATGTGTTTCAGTGAACGGATCGTCGCGGCCTGATGAAATAGTAAGTCCCAGTATTCTATTATCAAATAATTCAAATGGCTCACCTCTTGGCTCAGGAGTAGCGAGACTTGGCGAACGGGGATTTGCCCCTGATATGTAGCCTTCATCCTTTACTCCTGGCGGAGTTAATAAATGGTCTGGATAGGAATCTCTTGTTTGCCCCTGGTCAATTTTGTTTCCAGAAGGGTATCCATCTCCATATCCATTCCCATAAAATGGTTCGTTAAAATTGGTGTTGGTATAAGGGGGCCGGTGGCCTGTGTCAGGATTAGGGCTCTCATGATCCGCGAGGGGGGCTTGGGGCTCTATTTCATCAGCGTTCGGTTCCATGTGCATGGCATTTCCCTTCGGTCGCGGGGGTGTTGGGTTGTAGGGCCAATGGTCTGTATTTTCATGAGGGATCCCGCCGATAGGACCTTGGATAATCGAAGGATTTGTGTTTATTTCTGACTCTTCAGAATCAGGGAAATGACCGATTTCTGGGATCGGGCTTCCAGCTCCGGGCAATGCTGTTGCTCCTAAGTGCGGCTGGTCGTCGGAAGAATCTTCGACGCTTTGAGGTGGTGATGTAGCACCCATCCGCTTTTGGAATGATGTCTCTTCAGGACTTGATGCATCTTGTCGTTGTTTTAATGGGCTTCCAAGGTTAACTTCTGCAAAACCTCGCTGCGCTCCTGTGTATGATCCCGGGCTTCCACTCTGATATCTACTCGGTGATCCAGAGGCGGAGTTCCTACCAGATTGGAGAGAGCCCATGTCAACCACCGATGGGTCAAGGAGGGAGGCAACGGCTGACTCAACCGCAACAGGTGTGTGGACATATTCCGCATTGGCTGCAGCGCCCTGTGCAACTTGTTGGCCGGGAGTAAAAGGATCTTCTAAACTGTCTTCCGTAGAGTTCGTCAGACGGCGGGTATCAACTCGATCGTCACTCAAACTATCCTGCTCTAGCGAATGTCTATATTCATCACTTTCATCGAGATGACTGTCGGCCCAGTAGTCATGTTTGGACGTTCGTGGGGTTGGTTCGTACCCAAGGTCTACGCCAGACTCGTCTTTTTGAGCTAGGAATGCCTTTCTCTTTTCTTCGTAGTCAGCGGGACGTGTAGATCTAGCCAAATTCGTGCTTGGGGCAGACGACAGAGAATCGATGGATAGCCTGTGACCTGGTTCGGGAAAGTCCCTACTTACTGATCCAGAACTATCAGCTTGTTTTCCCGTTTCCTCTCCAATATCTGAGTCATCATCCCGGTAGCTTGCGACGCTCTGGATCGGGCTGAGAGCATGACCGGTGTAGTCGTTGGGGTGTTCGTCAAAGTGATCTATATATGTTTGGTCTGCAGGGTGGGTTCCTGCCTTGGTTGGGGTGATATTCTCATCATCAAAGGTTGGGCTTCTGGGCTGACTTTGGGCACTCAGGCCTTTCGCCGACAAACCATCACTAGATTTAGGCTCGTTCGCTAATCCACGGGGAGTTTGAGTTGGTGTTCGGGAAATAGGTGACTCAACTTCGTGCGGTGACCGGCGTGCCACCTCACCATGACGAGGAGTTTCCGTACCAGTGGTCCGTTGGGACAAGAGCGATTCTCTTGTCAATTCTGAATCAATTTCACTGCGTAGGGGCATTGGGGGCACTCCATGCTTCTGGAACATCAATTCAGTTTCATTGATGCTTCCACTTCGACTTCGGCTCTTGCTGCGCTTCTTCCTCCGCTCCCGCTTATCTAGGCTTGACTTGGAATCGTGATGTTTAAGAGCAGCAGATGTCAGAGCCGTGCCGACAATTGCTGCAGCTTCAGCATCGCGAAGTCCTTTGGACTTTTTCCTCTGTATGGGTTCATCCGAGGGGTAAGAATCTTCGGAAAACCTTCGCGTATACGATTTAACGTATTGTGACTCCCGTGGTTTCTCCCGTCTGGATTCCCTGGGTCTCCCCGAATATCCGTCAGAAATGACTAATGGATCTTTGCTGCCACTACTGACGATCACACGCGGTTTGGTGACATCTGGAGCACTTGCGTGTTTAGACAGGCGCCGCCCCAGCTCATCCCTAGAGCCAATACTCCCCGAACCGAGAGAACCGTTCGTATCGCGCTCAAATTGGGTTCGATTCGCGTGTACTTTTTGATCTTTCTTCAATTCTTTGAGTTCTGGCAGGATGAGTCGTCGAATAGCATCCTCAACAGTTTCCAGCAACCTTGGGTTGTTTATTGACGATTTGGATGTCCCTGAACGGAAAGAATATTGATCTCCAGATTTGAGTTGGGGGGAGAGAGAATTGCTTAACAGACTCGATTCTGCGCTGGTCAAGTCCTTCTCTCGGTGTTTGCCTGAACGTCGACGCGAGGATTTCCCTTCAGGTTGTAGGAATTCTTTGCTTACACTTCGACTTCGGCTCTTTTCGCTACGTCTGTGTTTCGAGCGAGTGGCATCCCGCGGGACAGCACCAAGTTTCTCTGCCGCCTTATACGCAATCCTTTCTCTGCTTAAACTTCGACTTCTCCTTCTGGAAGGAGTTTTCAACATACCCGGAGAGCGGGGTTGCTCATGACCGTCGCCACTACTTAAGCTATGGCTTCGTTGGCGGCGAACGTGAGACATAGAGCTCGAACCTTCCAACATGCTGTCCTGGGGCATGGAGGATATATCAGATGTTGGCTGAATATACCTGGCCGACACCTCACTGTCCCTAGAAAACTCTATCTCCAATGGTGAACGGCGAGTAGCACCGGCTTCGTCCGCCAGAGATCCAATTGAGCTGATACTTAGATCATCTGCTGCACCTTCAGTAATTTCCCTAGTTCGAGTTGGCGTTCCTAAAGAAATGCGCCTCGTATATGTAGGCTTTCTTCCCCCTCCAGATTCACTAATCTGGATGTGGTCGTTTTGGTCTCTGAGCTTGCGAGCAGCAGATGGCGTTACTTTTACTCTAACGCTAGGTCGAGAATTAAGGCCCCCGCCCTTCTTTCCCCCCTCAAAATATTCGATTAAAAGAGAAGTTTGCGACTGGTGAGAGGTTCTGGAGAGTTTGGAGTCTTCTCGATTTTGAGATCGACGGCGGGTAGAGATAGTAATGGGGCTGCCGTCATCCGGGATGGAGTACGACGTCTTATCGGTACGTCGAGAAAGATCAGTTGCGAGGTCTGTCCCTGTCGCACCGCCTCCTGTTGTATCAAGGAACGAGGAGTCGGTAGGAGCTGGAAGCGTCGGTTTGCGGGTGTTAACACCCATCATGAGACGGCTAGCCGAGCAATGGCATACTCAAAAAGGGGAAAGAAAAAAGGGAGATGCGGGATATCAGGGGTATAAAAAATGTGAGGAAACAAAACGTTTAGTGTAGCTATAAGTGTAAACTCCGGAGTCGAACAAAGGGCTATTATTGGAAAAAGCTGGCACAAATGGTCGCCTCCTTGTCCCTAGCAACAATCTAACTGTAGTCAAAGAGGTGGAGCCATCTAAGTAAGAGGACGACAGCCCTTGAAGATAGCCACGGATCGGTAGCGATGGCAGTAGCTGGCTGGTGGTAGTTGGTCGATACAGCTCTCAGAAGGCGGGTGGGGTGGTTGAAGGAGGTTGGTTGAGGTGAGGTGAGGATAGTGTTGTTGGTCTTGCTCACCTTGGGACAGCTTGAAGGAGCCTCACTCAACACACAAACACCTCTTGTTTGTTTGCCAGGATACGAGAATGGCCAAAAGACAACTCGCAGAGTCACCGAACCCCTATATTGCGAAAAGCTAAGAATCAAGGTTATTATTATAGCAGAAGAAGAAAAATGAAAGTGGTTGATGAGGAGTGAAGTTCAAGATTTGACAGACTGGAGGGTGAAAGGTGACAACAACAGCCAAACCCTGGCTGGGGGGGGCGCGGAAAAAGAAGAGGCTGACAATCCCCTAGCGTGGGCTGTTGCTGCTGCAGAGCACAACACCTACACCTCCCTCCCTCACGCCAAAGCCCATCTCCCTCTTCCCAGCCTTTTACTACGTACACATCGCCAAACATGCCGGTCCTTTAACGTCTATAATTGGACAGCCGGTAGTTCTGTTTACTACTTGTTCGAGAAAAAACACACCCGACAATTCTCACCCAGGCGCTGATTTTCTCCAACTCAGGAGCCAACGGGCCAAGTGGAGCATGCCAAATCTACAGCACATAACGGCGCAGCCAGTATCCAGACGGGAACCCATTGGGCCATGGCCCATGGAACGCTTTTCCACTACTCTGTACGGTTGAATGATTCCCTGGGCCGAAATATACCTCCCGAAACTCTCGCGGAAACCCAATTTCACAAACTTCCAAACCCACCAAAACCCTGTTGAAAATACCCCGTAGTCCGTAACAAGTTGGACAGATAAGATATACCAAGTTTCGCAGCTCTGATTTGATCACGTTATCATTCCTCCCGGGCATTCTCTCTTCTTTTGACACCTGTCTGGCGCCTGGCACTTGTAAAGCAGGGCTCTTCGTGGATCCAGATTGTGTACCCAGCATCAGGGAAACCTCCTGGAATGCTTGCTTCCAACGTCACCCAAAACAACTTGCACAGGGTCCCTCGCCTGTTCCAGCAGGCGGCGCAGGGCCTTTGAGGATATCACACCACACCGTCTATGATTGAAGTTTGTGCAGGATGGCCAGACAACAAGAAGAAGAGACATCTCTCTCATTTGGTTAATTTCAACTTCTCATCATCGATCGACAAATGCTACGGGCTCCTGTCGTCCACGGGTTGTATGAAAAGCGCTCTTTTTGTTCATTTCTTTTTGCGCCCATCCCATCGCATCGGCGATGCTCCACTCTTCTTTCCCAGCCACAGTCACCATGCCTCTCGAAGCCTCGACAGCTAAAGTGTAGCGGGCTTGCTGGTCTCCCTAGCGACAAGGCCCAATTCCACAAGCCAATTGGCTACTACTCCTACCCTTGTTCTGATTTCAGTTTTTTCGCGCTTGCCAACACATCACCCCACACCACCACATCCTTGAGCAATGGCTGCCTTCAATCCAAACCGCCACAGACCTTCCGTCATCGCTGTTCCTGTTGCCCCTCGTCCAAGAGCCGTGGACGAACAAGAGGTAAATGGAGGGTAAACATGGCAAAGCGAATGTTCATTGTTCAGTTGCCCGAGCAAATCATTACCGTCCAAGAAGCGTCCAACTCAATGGGCAAACGCCCAGCCATCCCGCTTGTGTCTCAAGGTGCGCGATGTTGTGAACCCCGATCATTCCCAACCTCCGTGATTCTCTCCTATCAATAAGTTAAGATATGTTGATCATGGAAATTGTGCCCAGCCACTTGGGCAACTCCTCGAAGCCCTCCTAACTGTGTATGCATTCCACGTGACACTAAGGGGACTTACCTACGGAGTACATAGGAAAATTTCAGGATTTAGAAACCAGCCATGAATTGAGCACTTGAAGATATCCATTCTCCTTTCACGACTGGTATTTACAGAAGAGGGAATGATCCTGCATATTTTGCTATTGGGAGGGTGCCGCAGCAGCCGTCAAATTTCGCTCGCAAAATCATGGAATTTGGCTAATCGATGATCAATGAGTGTGGTACTAAATCAAGGGGCTCAAGCAAAGTGCTATCAAATCTAATTGAAATCAAAAGGTCGACGGATCGTACATACATTTATCAGTCAAGGTTCTTTTGACGCAACATGGAATTCTGTGAAGCTCCTTGGAAAATTTTGTCTAATTGAACTGGAAGCCCTCTTGATCTCCTGGTCAAATTGGGAGTGGACGGAGAATCTCGCTAAGATGATTATTCAATAAACAGCGAATAGGGATACACAAAGCCATGGCACTAATACCTAACAGTCAAACAAAAGGAGAAAGACTACATGGATAAGTTTGGCCAAGCGCATTCTATCACCGCGATAATCAAGGCCACACCTCCCTTCCCCTTCCAACCATACTTCAGGCTCGGGAAAATAGAATTACATCTGCCTTTACTCGGTTCTCTTATGCTGTAACTCGGTCTTGAACCCGTTGTTTATGCTAACACTGACGGGGACAACCCCTCCGCAACTCAGCCTCCTGGCCCATCACATATGCCCTCGTACCTCGACTTGCTGTCAACATTTCCATTTGGATCTCTCCCACTAGAATGTATTATCTCGTGCCTTGTAGGTCGATGTGATAATGATTCTATGGGAAGTTTGAGGTAAGTGGGATGTCTGATCTTATTAAAAATTCTTTGTTTCGATTCACTAAACTTGCCGTAGGATTTACTTTTGATATTCAGCTTCCTCCCAATTTTCTTCGATTAGTATCGCAACATCACTATTCCCACGCAAGATTTGGCCTTAAACAACGCATTCCTATCTTACCATTCCTGAAACTCTCATTGAGAGCTAAAGGTATCGTATCGAGCATTTGCGTCCGAAATTGGTGAGAGAAAATCCCGAGGCCGAGCAAGTGAGCCCTCTCACCGATATGTCCGCGTGCTCTCCAACAATATGGCAAGTGAAATAAAATGGAATAAATATGCTTGATTTGCTTGAAGAGCGACATAGCTCCAGGGGAAGAAAAGAGGAGAAAGTTTGACAGCTTTGAAACGGGCGAAAGAGGTTCAGTCATATAGTGTCCTGTCACTACCGCTAAGTCCTTCGATACTTTCTATGCCCCTTATGACCGCCCTTTGACAATAGTCGGGTCTGCGTTGCCTCCAAAATATTCGCCTGGTCTTACAGACTTTATGGCGAAGTTGAAAATTACTCGCCAAAGGAGTCTTTTGCGAGTTTAAACTAGCGGAGGAGTGGCGGAAAAATATCCAGCAAAAGATCCTTGGTTATATCAAGCGAACTTATACTCCACCTTACACAGCACGCAGCGTAAACCACCCTGCGAAAGAAATAAAAGCCCAATGAAATAGGATATACACGCTTTCCAATTATCAAAGCCAACACCCGCCCGGTTGGACGACTACTATTGGCGAAAGGCCGGAACGCTAGGTATCTCAACTAACAATAAAGAAAACGCATACAATGCAATTAACGTCCATAAAATATATGTAACCAGACAGGAATACAATATGTTAGGGCGGCTGATACCCTTGAACAAAGCGGATTCGCACGAAAGGCGGCCAAACTAGGACGAACTCGGACACTTCCACCGGACAACCTGTCTCCGTAAGATGGTTGGCTAGAAAAGATTATCTTCGGGGTATCCGACTCTAATATCGATCGCGTCATGTTACACTCCATTTGAAAACTAATAAAACGACAATTTGGCTAGAGACCAGGGCCATTTGCGTTGAGACCTTAACCCCACGGCGTGGAAGATATCACTAACGAGGAAAACTGGCAAATTTCACGTCAGTTCTTCAAGGTTCTGGAGGGTTTTCGGTCCAATTATATAGTCATATCATCTTCTCCCACATTCCGCACTGGCTGTGGGTCCACGTGGGACAAAGGAAAGGGATCAGATTCAGTGAGCTTCTTGAGAAGTATGCATCACTACTAGTGCAGATCTCTTCTCAGAGCCGCGCGATAGAGTATTGTCTTGATACATAGGTGAGTACTGACCGGGTTGTCAATAGCTCAAGTATAGTAGGTAGATCGAAGGCGATGAATCGAAGCACCCCGCATAATAATGATTTATTGGTTTAACGTTATTCATTGGATACACATTCGGTTTAGCCGGTGAGGTGGGTAGCGCATTTCTCGGTATAAAACAACAATAGCTCGATGTTAGTATCTCTATCGTAACTAATTTTCTGTATTTTTTTTTATTCTTTTATATCTTGTATAGGACTTCTACTCACTCTATCAGCAGGCTCATCGCATTCATAACGCATACCAGCGATATCTCGGTCGTTGTACCAACGACCTAGGCACAGCTGCGGAGCTTTCCATCTTCATCATTTAGCACGCCCGTTTCCGTTCCCGTTGGGACGAATCCAGCTCATACCCAATCGCCAAGTGCGAAGAGATAACATCGCAGTGTTACAGTTGTCCACGGCTTCTAGCTAGCTTGGAAATGGATGTACACGTTACACTAGCACCTCCCGTGAGGTTGAGCTCTGTGGCCATGGCATGCCGGGTTGCTGGAAGGCATAGCACGTTCAGCACCCGCCATGCCGAGAGGACTCTCAACACAGCCATATATCTCAATGTTATGGCATTCGGCACCGAGACCGAGAAGATTGCTTTCCGTAACTTCGTCACAACCACACTTAAACCCGTCAACGACAATAAGACCAACCAGAGCTATGACGCCATGGATCCCCAGCTGCAGCTTTGGATCGCTGTAGTTGCTTATGTGACCATGATAGAAAAATACGAGACCATCGTTGGCCCATTCTCCGAAGAAGAGCGTGATCAAGTCTACCAACAATTCTCTATATTCCCCCACCGCCCTTCAAGTCCCACCATCCATGTGGCCGGAAAACGGCTCAGCTTTCAAACAGTACTGGAATAGAGAGCTTGCAAAGAATCCGTTCACCCAAAGAAGCCGTTCGCATTGCTCAGGGCCTCTTTCAACCCAAATATACCAGCCTTTCATGCGCTCTCGCCGTAATCGCGTTCTTTAGACACTCACTCGACATGGCAATAGCGACGGAAGAACTGCCCGCCGATGCTACGGACTCAAGAGCACGTGGTGGTTAAGAGCTCGGTACGCGATTCTCATTGTGTTCTATAGATTGATGTATCCTCTTTACCCGAAACTGGTCAGGACATGGCAGAGGGGTTGTCACCTCTGGCTGATGAGGCAGAGGTTCTTGAAGAGCGGGCTGGCGCAAAATGGAAAGCTGTCTCTGGAAGCTTTAGCGGGAAAAAAGACAAAAAGAACGTGAAAATAGAGTCGTGAACGTCAGTCTAAAATTGTGCGTTGAGTTACGGATTGAATTGTCCTACTTTAAACAAAACGGAATCCCCATTGCTGTTGACATCACGGTTAAGGAGTCAGGAGGGCTCACATTATGCTATTTCACTTTCCTCTCCTTTTCGTTCTCATTTTCATTTTCCTTTTGCCTTCCGTACATTACAAGGAAAGGAAATATGGGGAAGCGCGGCCGGGTTTGATTGGTGTTGGATCGTGAGCGACAAACAAGAAGAATGAAAATGCGAATTGCTAGGCTTGCCCCACTCTTAACTAAATGTGCCCTGGTATACTTTGTAGTTTGAAGCGTATCATCTTCCATGGAATTTTAACAAATGGAAAGGAAATTAAACAACCGTTCAATAGATGCTGATGGGCCTAAAGCACTGAATATTTATTTTCTAGTAACGTAAATGTAGGAAAATGCTCCAACGCCTAACTAATCTAGTGCCCTGTTGTCCACAGGCGTATCAAGAAGTAAAACCCAATAACTAATAAAATACACTAGGGGATATTTTGGAATAATTTTAGTATAGGGAGGCAGGTAGGTATACATAAACCTTTATGCCACGACCCTCTTTCTATACCAATTTCAACTTTAACTTCTTCAATCACCTTCCGATCGATGATCCCTACACATACAGAACTAATCCCCTAATCCTCCACCTTTCGTTTAAACTTTGGCGCATGTTTAGGTTGGCTGCCATAATTCCGTCGGCCCTGTTGCTTCTTATCCCGGCTCATGCTGGCTGCTAGGGTAATGTCGACGCGCGGCGGGGTTGGGAAGCCAAAGCTCTTGGCTACTTTAACGAGATCAAGCTTGTGGACGTCAAACACGGAGCGGAGGGAATGGGAGGCGTAAGCTTGCAAGTATGATCTGTACCCGTCTTTGGCGGACTGATTTTTTCAAGCATATGGTTAGCGAGTGGCTAGTTAAAGGCAAATCGCTCGGAGAACTGTATATAAGCATACCTTATTTAAGTAATAATTCTGTCCAATAAGTTTCTCCAACTGAGATTGAACATTGACAATCTTTTTAGCTGGGAAATCGAACTCGACTACAGGAACTCGAGCCTCCTTCAGGTGCTTGAGGAAGCCCACTTCGGACGGCTGCAGGAACATCAAGCTTCGTCCCTTGCCATTTGCGCCACGGGCTGTTCGGCCAACACGGTGGATGTAGTCTCGAGGATCATCTGGAGGATCAAACTGAACGATCCAATCAACAGCGGGGATCTAGACGTGAGTACATGTTAGATTTAGATCCTTCTGCTGTCTAATCCCCTGAACTTTTATTAAAAAATATCGTGGCCATAGAAAAACTTACATCTAAGCCTCTCGCAGCAACATCCGTGCAAATCAATGTTCCTTGAGTAGCATTGCAAAACTCGAAGAACGTATTCGTGCGCTTCTGTTGCTTCTGTTTGCCATGGAGGTCAAGGACGGGGAGATCGATATAGTTGAGTAACTCCGCATGGTACTTGACGCAGTTGCAGCTAGAGAAGAAAACAATAATCTTCTTCTTCAAATTCCGCTTCAGGAATGAGAATAGTAGAAGGAATCGCTTATCGGAATCGCAGATGACGTAGCCCTGTTCCAGGCCCTCGACTGTGCTGTGTTCCTTGCGGTGGTCGACATTGATATACAGCGGTCCCTGCCGGAGGGAAATCCGGGCCAGGTCTTCCACTTTTGTTGTCTGGGTGGCTGAGAATAGCATCGTCTGCCTATCTTCAGAAGGCAGGATCTTAACAATCTGGCGCATCTCGTCCTCGAAGCCGACTTCCAGAATCCGGTCTGCCTCATCGATTACGAGAGCTTTGAGATTTTTAAACACGAACCCTGGCGTGTCTCGAAGGTGATCAAGCAGACGGCCGGGGGTTGCGATTAGTAGATTGACACCTTTTACAAGCTTCTCTGCCTCAGCCCTCCTGTTGGCTCCTCCAATAACGATACCGTATGTCTGTGAGTGGTGAGCCATGAGCTCCCGCGCGACACCAAAGATCTGCAGCGCAAGTTCTCGAGTTGGGGAGATAACGATAACACCAGTTCCTAAATCAAACCCGGTCATGATCGTTAACGAAAATCTTTCCGAAAAAATTAACAAAACATAGACGGAAGAGGAACCACGGTGCGACAATACCATTCCTAGGCTTAAACCTCAATGCACTCAACATCTCCACAGCGGGTATTAAGAATGCCAAGGTCTTCCCCGACCCCGTCTTCGCCGCACCCAAAACATCCCTCCCGGCCAAGAGCGGTGGTATACCCCTACGCTGAATCTCCGTCATTGTCTCGAACTTCATATCTGCAATCGCCTTCATGGTCTTGTCGGAGAGGTCCAACTCTGAAAACTTCTGCGGCTCAGACTCTGTTTGTGGCAGCGACACGGCATTTACAGAGGGAAGTTCCAGCTGGTCTCCGTTCGACTGTCCGTTTGTTTGCTTTTCTTCGTCCTCATCCTCTTCTACTTCTTCTTCTTCTTCTTCTTCGTCCGCATTGCCGTCTTCTTCCCCGGCAGAACTCTGCGACAACTCTGCCTGCTCATCCTCCTTCTCAACATCATCCGCATCCTTCATCTTGGCCATCTCCTCAAGATCCCCGTCCTCCTCCTGCTTCTTCTTCTTCTTTTCTCCATTACTGACAGCGACGTGTCCTGTCTTACGTTTCTTCGACCTTATCGCCTTCCTCGACTCTGTGGGGGGAGCAGCGTTTGGTGAATCGGCTTCTAGTGGAGTCGCAGACTTGTCTTTTTTCCGAATGCCTTCGCCGGAACTGGCATGCTTTCTCTTCCTCTTTTTAGAGGATTCCTTGGCCGTTTCCATTGCCATTGGCATATTCTTTACCTTTTTTATTCCTTTTCTTTTCCCTTTGGTTTTCCTCTTTGCACTTCGATATTGAATTTGTCGAGTTGAAATAAATTAAGATGATTTTTCTGCTGCTGTTTCGCTTAGCGTTGAACTCGAACAAAAAACTTTAGAGTTCATAGGTCACGTGGTGATAATAGCACTGCTGGAAATCTGTTGGTGCAGCTTCAAAAACATCCCAGAAAATGCGATGCAGGTGAAATTCAATAATAATGTATATACATGTAATAATCCCTCGGAAGCTTTTGTAAAAACTATGTCCATGACAGAAAAATGAATGGGAGTTCATCTTAGTTCTGCAGGCTCGCATTTTTTAATAGATTTTGGTAAGTTAGATCACGTGATATTGCCAAGGCATTTTCTCGCCGGTGAAGCAAAAGATTGATCGGGGCAGAAAAACCTTAGCTATTTTATTCTTTATTCCACCTCCGCCGATATCTATGTCACCGACGACAACGACAAGTTGGCCTCCCTCTCACGTACATTCTCTTGCTCGGGCCCCCTTTCGCCGGTCCTTTTATTGCCGCGATTTAGCAGAGTCCGGAATATTGTCCAACATTGATTTTACTATCCTTTCGAGGCTGGAAGCTTGAAGTGTTCGCTGAGTTGAAACGGATAGCCGCAGACTGGACGAAGGACGGGACGGACAGATACTTCGCTTTATTTTTCGTTCCAATAGCTGCTTTTTCGGGCTCACTTTTTCCTCCGAATCGACCTCCTTGGGCTAATCGTCGGATATATTATCGTCGATAGCTGTGTGAAGATTTTCCATCAGCCCTCGCCAAAGCTATCCGTCACGATGGATCACACAAGAGATCCCTGCCCCTGGGTCGCGCTGAGTGATTTCGGTGGAGCGTTTAGTATGGGTGTACGTTATTTCTTGCTCCCTTCTTCAGACCCGTGGCTGTCCCGTTTTGCTGAGCCTAGTTTGTTTTCTGCTTTTGCTGTAGGCCATCGGAGGTGCAGTCTGGCACGGCGTGAAAGGGTTCCGAAACAGCCCTTATGGTGAACGGCGGATAGGTGCTCTGACTGCAATCAAGGCTCGGGCGCCGGTTGTCGGTGGAAATTTCGGTGTATGGGGTGGCATGTTCTCAACATTTGACTGTGCGGTTAAGGGGATAAGAAAGAAGGAGGATCCGTATAATGCCAGTATGTGCAGAGCCTCCATTTTCTCTGAGTTCCCGGCCCCTTTGTGCATCATCTCCCAAGAGCGGGAGATAAGCCCATGAGGATGAGAGTTCGGAAGTGTTTTGGGGAAAGCATTGTCGTCTTGGAGAATGACTCTTTTTTTTTGGATATCTGACAGTTTTACTCTAGTTATTGCGGGCTTTTTTACGGGAGGTGCACTCGCTATTCGCGGTGGTATGAGAGCTGCCAGAAACTCAGCCATCATGTGCGGCTGCTTCTTGGCTGTGATTGAGGGCGTCGGAATCGGGTTCCAAAGAATGATGGCGGAAAATACAAGATTAGACGTACGTCAAGAATTCATCCCCCCTTTTATTAACCAAAAATTTCCCATGTTTCTAATGTACGTCCTGCTCTTATTAGGTACCACCACCGCCCCCTCCAGCAACAGACAAATCATCATCAGCCCCAATGCTAGCCTAACCGTCGGGTATACATTATTTTGCCCTCTTTATTGCTATGCTAAGAATCAAATCCTATCCTCTTAATCTCTCCTCTTCTCTGCGGGAGTTCGGTCGTGGGCTCATATCATTTGTCTCTGGAGGCGTGGGCATAGATGATTTTCTTCTGTCACATCTGTCTGTCTATGACTATTGTCCCCTTTTTACCTTCTGATTTGTTCTTTTTTTCTTCATGTAATTTTTCACTTTACGTTCCTCTTTTCTATGTTTCTGCTTTTTCTCCTGCCCTCCTTTTTTTAATGTTGCATCTCCCTTATCTGTTCTATGCGGAATAGGCCCTCGCCCGAATCACTGCTCATCTCTCCCGGTGAATTTCCCCCTTACGCATGCTCTGTGTTTATTAGGGCGGTGATTTCTGGTTTACTGTTTTTTACTACTGCTTCTGGCGATATTTTGGACTGGGTCAGTGAAAGAGCGGTAACATTACCTACCGCTTTTGTGTACAGTATCTTGGCATTAACAAAAAGAAACAGCATATATATATGAAGTTCATTTTTCGCAGATATTGGAGCTTGCCTGGGAACAATTGGGTGCTGACTGAACAGCAGATCTCCCCTCGGCCACTTTGGAACCTTTTGAAGCAGATGACCGACACGTGACTTGCACCATGCCCAGGACTATAACCTACGACCCCAGCTTGAACAGAGATATTAACGCCGACCCATCCACAGTCGGGAGCAGCTAATATTTGATCTAGGGCCTGTTCTTCAGAGACCACTCAACATACCCTCACCTCCATATACGCTTGCACCCAGCAAGTAAATAATGTCACCTCCAATCCCCCAACCACGCCAACGGACTCGCAGCCAGCCCCTCTTCAAGCCAGCTGTGATCCTCCATGGTGGTGCAGGGAACATCCAACACTCACGTCTCCCTCCAGAGCTATATAAGCAATACCGCACATCACTCCTCACCTACCTCCGTTCCACCACCGCCCTGCTAAATGCGGATATAGAAGAGGAGGAACCATCTATTAATGCCAAGAATGATGCTGTCGATGACAACATGCGCATCTCTCCTGCAAGCGCGCTAAATGCTGCAGTGCACGCCGTTTCACTCATGGAAGACAACGAGCTCTTCAACTGCGGCCGCGGTAGCGTGTTTACGTCTGCGGGCACGATTGAGATGGAGGCTTCCGTTATGGTTGCATCATTGCTCAACGATGAGGACAGTGTTGATGATTTTAATAATAGTGAGGTCAATTGCTTAGCATCGGAGAAAACACCAGGATCTATAAAGCGCGGGGCCGGCGTGATGCTTGTTCGCAATGTGAGGCATCCGATTCAGTTGGCAAAAGAAGTGTTGCTTAGGACAGGCTATGCGAATGATGGTGATGGTGATGGAGGTAACATGCACTCGCAGCTTAGTGGAGAGTATGTTGAAGGTTTGGCGAGAGATTGGGGGATGGAGTTTTGTCCGGATGATTGGTTTTGGACGAAGAAGAGGTGGGATGAGCATCGACGGGGGTTGAAGAAGGGGAAGACAAGAGGAAGGATGACTGATGGTAGGAATATGGGAGCTGACGTAGAGGTGAGAGGCGAGGGGGAAGCTGATGATGGCGATGGGCTGTATCTGAGCCAGGGAACAGTTGGGTGTGTCTGTCTCGATCGTTGGGGTAATATTGCTGTCGCAACTAGTACGGGTGGTTTGACGAATAAATGCCCTGGTCGGATTGGGGATACTCCAACATTGGGAGCGGGATTCTGGGCGGAGGCGTGGGATGTTGAAGGGGTGGAGGGGCTATCAAATATGAGTGACAGCTCTAATAGTGTGTGCGCTAGTGGCAGGGATAGGTCGAAAGGCTGTATCCAACTGAAAAGGGACACGATGAATTATCAAACCCAAGATGGGCGTGACAATCTGCTTGCATATCAAGCTAGCTCTTCTACCACTACCACCACTTCTTCGTATCGGATGGGATCCCAATGGCGATCTGATTTCGATTCAAATAGCGCCTTCACTTTAATCCGCGACTGTTTCTCTTCTTCCCCACCCCCACCAGGATATGCCGCTTTAGAACCATCTAAGTATCCTGTTGAAAAGTTTCCACTGGGAAAATCCACTTCCAGCCCGCACACAGACTCCAACCCTCATCGCTACAGTCAACCTCAACGCCGACGAATCCTTGCCCTTTCAGGTACAGGGAACGGTGACTCTTTCCTTCGCACAGCTGCCACACGCACTGCAGCTGCGATGGTCCGCTTTGGATCTGCTCAAAACTCTATCTCGCTGGCACAGGCAGTCACTGCTGTCGCAGGGCCCGGTGGGGAGCTCCAGCGTTCGGCGGGGAGGCGGTGGGGGAAGACTGGAGAGGGGGAGGGAGGAATTATTGGGATTGAAGCAGAGGTGGAAACCGATGAGCAGACATTGGGCGAAGGAAAGTTGCGGAGGGGAAAAGTCGTGTTTGATTTTAATTCAACGGGGATGTTTCGGGCTTGGATGGAGGAGAAGGATGGGAAAGACGTGGAGAGGATGATGGTGTTTCGGGATGACTATGAGTGATTTTATGACTGGATGGGTGTGTGCATGCATGAGGAGCAATATGGAATATACTTGTCCTTCGTGGTCCATCATATTGGATTCATGAAACGAGAAATGCCCGCCATGTTCTGCTAATCGCTACATCCACGACGCTTGAACTATTAAGAAGGAAAAAGAAATTCACATTCTTCTTCCTCGATCTCGATCTCCGCCACTATGGGTTTATGAACGCAAAAAATTCATTCGGAACTGAACTTCTGCTAAACGGCATTGCCGTGTTATCTCTGCTGTCGGTGGGTCGCAACACAGGCGTATCGTCTTGAAAATAAATGGCAATGGGGATATAAAGGAAGCGCAGAAGCCAAGGAATTTTTCACTTTATCAACTGCCCCAACTACATACATGAGATGGCTCCAAAACCGGTCCAGCATCCCTTGCGAACAGGTTTTCCCTCCTGACAGGGCTGCTGAAAGCATCAGTTTGGTTTCCACTCCGTACAGCCATCCCATTCTAGCAGATATTGACTCTACTTGAAGTGCTTTGCATAGTGGCCATTCATCCTCGACTTCTTCTCGGTGTGGTTGGCCCGCCAAATTCCATGTCCCATCTCGTTGTGGGCGGACTAAACAGTAGTGTCGGATATATTGGAAATTGTCATGGATGAGGCGGCTCTGTCGGCTCTGCTACCTTGTATGTACCAGAGTTAGGGAGGGACATGATGCAGCCTCAAGTCTTAAACGCACCTTGCGGAAGTCGACAACGGGCGAACTATCCTTAGCGATGGCATTAACTCACCCCGCGTAAAGCCATGCTGACCATCCATATCTCTCCTCTGAGGTAACCTGACGTCCTATGCATATCAGGGATATAAACCAATATCAATATCACTAACGAAGGTGTGGAGCCGCAAGTCTGCTGCTCAGTTTCCTATCAGGTCTTCAGAGTGAAGTGCCACGTCCCCATAAGGCTTTATCGTATGCCTTTGAGCTCGTCCAGTTCTAGCAGATTGGGCGATTCATTGGGCGATGGCGATGTTTTTGGGCGTCTCGGATGGAGGTTGAGGCAATGTGGAATGCATACTAACATGTAACATGTACATTTTGTGCGCTATCGCGCATATAACCAGACAGAATGTCCAAGCCTACAATTCTGCCGCCTTCGCCACGGCCCGAAGTGAGATAAATTCAAATCAACGTTGAAGGATTGGAAATTACGCTCGGTAAACCTGACTTTTTGCACACGACCAAGAGTCCACCTTTTGTCTTAAAGATTGAGAGTGTACGCTATGATACATACAACATAACCGTCACATCAGAGTAACTCAATTCCTTTACAGAATATTAAGAGGGAAATTTCACACCGCCTATCCGTACGGGTAGTCAGGTATTTAAAGTCTTATTTAAAATTATACGCTATAGCAGCCGCCAGCTGATTGTTGAAATGCTACGGCTCAAATTTCTAATGCTCAGATACTCAGTGATATAGATCTAGAGAACTCTGAAATACATGTAGTAGATCTCTGCCGTACGATCCCGAATTCACAACTACCCCATCCTCTGGCACTCCGAGAGGCCCATGCTTGATCCTAAGCTCCTTTCCTGGATCCAACAACTCCATTTCAAATCTCCAAACCGTAACCGCCACCAAACAGGCCAACTCTGCCTGTCCAAATGCTGCTCCGATACAGCTCCGCGGTCCATGAAAAAGTGTAACAAATACATAGTTGCTAGTTGCACCGCCTGAATTGGCATTTCCAGGGCCCATCCAGCGCTCTGGATTAAATATTCCCGCATCTGGTCCCCACAGTTCGGGATCGTGGTCCGTGACTGCAGGTGAAATAGAAATGATGGGTCACTTTGGAATGAAAGTGTCAACACCGTGTCTCTGACCGCCTCACGTTGTAAATAGGGAGAGGGGGGTAGAAGAGGAGTGTTTCATTGCAAACAGCATGTATTTAGGGGAGGGAGTCAATGAGGGAGGCGGAAATAGGTGCTGGGGAGTCAAGTGAAATCGATGGCAGGGAGGACCGAACTTCTTCTCGAAGGCGAGTTTGGATTGCAGGATACTTGCAGAGGGCATAAATAACAGGTTGAAAAGTAGCAGATGTTGACTGATGCCCGGCAGCAAGAAACGTCATGATTTGGTGGATAAATTCCCCACTTTCCATCGCAACAGAAATTATATCTATGTATCCAGCTTCTTTATTCTCTATCTTCTGCTGCTTATCGTGGAGAAGGCGTTCGCAGAAGTTTCAGACGTATCGACCACCTTCTTGAACATCGCGGTTGTGTTTTATTGGTAAGCGGGTGAAAAGTCTTGGGCTAATACGAGAGAAAAAAAACTGGGCAAACAATGTGAAAGTTGATACCAGTGGGAAAATCTTTCCACATTCGATACTAAGCCTGCTTGTCGGGTTCTGGATGGAGCTGAAATCATAGCCCATTCCAGCAAGTCCGATAACACTCGGAGTAGTAGTACGTTGCGCCAAATCAGCGATCCTAATTGCTTTTGGGTTCTTTCGGGATGTTTCGAAATCATTTTCCATTGCTTTGGTCATTTCGACCCCCTTGCTCTAAAAGATCTAATAAAGACCCTTAACATGGCGGAATGAGAAGGCTGGTCTAAAAACTTTTCGTTGATGCTTTCGTCAGGATGTCCATGTTAATTCGACATGCCTGATTGTTTTAATTCTACTCGGAGACAGAGAGTCTAAGAAACTTACTCTATGGCGGTCGCCTTCTGCGAGGATAAGACCTTGTCCTATTTTCTTCTCCATCACATCTTTCATTTGAGTTTGTCTTTCATTTGAGTTTGTCTTTCATTTGAGTTTGTCTTTCATAGTCATCGCATTTTGACACCAAAACTTCGGCTGTGGCTTTTGGGCTCTATACCATAATTCGTTTAGTATTTCTTGTAAGGTAAAATCGCAGGAGGTTGCTATTCGGGACTTCTAGCATCCATCGTCGAGCCGCAAGCCCCTCGGGTTCGTTTGCGAACTGGGCGAATTGCCCGTTCCATATACTCCTGCCCTATATGTACGACGTAACGTTAGTCTAAAAAAGGATGCACAGTTATAATTGAAATGATATGGAGTTGGTCGAGGTTCGCTGTCTACTTACAGGTGGCGTTGGAATGTGTGCCCAGACTCTCGATGCCAATTCAGCTTCATTTGTGTGACCAGTCTCCCATATGAGTAAGTTATCAGCATAGATAAGAACGAGACGAGACCACACATCATCAACTGTCTGGGTCAGGGCAGATCACCCTTTTTCTTTTGGCTAGCTAGGGCTCAAGGCACGACGGATGAATCTCAGCGCTGATTTTGCGAAGCTGCAATTGGAATGCCTTCTGCAGCTGGGATCTATTGAAATCAGCCCTGTCAAAGACAAAAAGGCTCCTGGGTAGGGCACAAAGAGTTAGTTACCAGGCGTAACAATAAAGTCGTGGGTTTCTAACTTACATAGTGGTTACGGTGTGCTTTTCCTGTCCTAAACATTACGTATAAAGGAAGATATATAGTTACCTCAATCTATTAGTAAGCAAGACACATCACCAAGTGTGGCTTGAGAATGAGGGACGAACGTACTCCGTAGATTGTTGATGATGAAGAAAGCTAGTTAAGTTAGTGGGAGATAGGCAGGCATACATGCATGTGGGTCAGGTGGGCGACGACAAGTGTGGGATATCCAACTCCCACTTGGTGGTTTGCAGGTGGCATACTCAGCTCCGTAGGAGGCGAGTTTTGATGATACAATATAAGGTCATCATTATAAACAATAGCAAAGGTGAAAACCTTGCAGATAGTCTGCCCATATAGCCGCTGCAAGGAAAAGCACAGCGTAGTTCATGCACCCCTTTAAAGGAGTGACATAATGGTAGGTGAGAACTAGGCTCGCTAAGAAAAGATGTAGTTTAAGTCCAGATATTAGGCAATGCCGGTAATGATATTCAACATCGTTATTAGCTTTAGCCAATAGCAAATTATATACAGATGTGGGGATAGTTACCAAAAGCAAATGCGCACATACTTCTCCAGCTGGACTTAAAAAATGACTGGATGAGAGCGCAAGTATGTCGCCATCAAAAAGCACAAAGCGGCTAACCTAAAAGTCATCAGTTTTCAACTCCAAAAATTGGGGAAGGTAGAGAGGAATATGTGTGACAGGCCATGACAACAGAATCTGAAAGAAGTTCCCAAAAAAAAGAGAAAGAAGAAGAAGAAGAAAAAACCAATAAAACACAGCTGAAGAACCTGAGAAAGCTGTCGTTGTACGGGGAGATATATGTTCTTCCTTCACTAGAGACTGAAAGTCCGAAATATGGTCCAAGAAATATATTACAAAAGTAAAATATAAATGGGATTAGAGGGGATAAATATCCAAATAAGAAATATATTCACCCAACATCAGGAATTTAACGTCTTAACCATCATCCACTCGTTCGTCCCAACCCCTAAATTCAACCCATTCCGCGCCCACCACCGTCGTACACGTTGCTCGGCCCCGGAAACTGCGTCCTCCAGCGCCTCTTCAATATCGCACGTTTTGAACTCAACGGGCAAACCACTCCGTTTCCACCACTCAAGCACTTCGACATGACCATTCTTCGTCGCGCCAACAAGAACTTGATTATCGAAAATGAGCTTCTCTCGTTTCCGCCGGTGCCAAAAGTCCAGCACAGGAACGTGGCCATGGTTGCTGGCGATACGGGTAACAGATTCAGCATGGCTAAACGGGATATCAGATTTGTCCCACCAAGCAAGTGAATCAGTGCGTCCAGATTGTGCGGCGAGGAGTACGGATTTTCCGACTTTTAGCGGGATAGGGTCGCTAGGTGGTGCACTCTTAGAAACGTTTTTCCACCAATCGAGGATCGCGATCTGACCTTCCGCGGAAGCTGACTCAAGGGACCTCTCGGTGTAGCGAAATGGGCGGCCGGATTGGCGCCACCATTCGAGCACATTAACGAAGCCTGCACGTGATGCTGCATCGATAGCTTCAGGGAGGTAGTCTTTTATCGGGAGCGCAGGTAGGGTAGAGCAATTTTGCCACCAAGTAAGGATGGATGTGCTACCAAACCTGGACGATGCCGATAAAGGTAGATTTCTGAGCTGAGGCGTCGCTAAGTAGAGATCCATTCGTGATTTGCAGATAGTGTCGAGGATATCCGTGCGAGAAAATTTAAGGATTAGGTCGGTGACAATTCTGGACAGCGGTTTGCGGGGTGGAATGGCAGACAGCTGCTGTTCAATCTCTTTTATCGAACCTCGAAGCACAATATACTCGAATGTAGCAGGTGACCCGGGGCTAGGGATACACGGTCTCCATTTTTCGGGAACAGGAATTTTAGCATATACTCCAACTGACATTGCTGTTTCCCAATCATCAAGCATCTCGAAAATCATCGTCAATAATTCCGGGGGAAGAATGGGTTTCTCCTTGCGGATGGCGCTGGTGAGAACTTTGTTGATTCCATTCTGATACGTCTCGTTATTCGTTACCTGCTCTCTCTTTTCGTGTAGATTATTTGATATAGCCAGGGGTGTTGATACTATCCCGCTGGCAACATCGTTGGCTAACTTATCGTCCTCCTGCATGGTGCTGGAAAGAAACGAGGGTGCAAGGCATTTTCCAATTTCGCGCCTAAATGCAGTCCAGCCATCCCAGGGAATCTCCACGAGTCCAATAGGAATTTCAAATTTTGATAAAGTTGGTGGAAGTACTTTTACCCATGGCCAAAAAGTAGCCAGGTCACTAAGCTGCCGTTTAGTTATCGGGGATTGCCACTCTGATGTGGTCATTCTGGGCACCAGTAGCACCGTTTTTGTAATATCCCAACCACGCAGAACTGTCAATGTGAGGCTTGTGGTGAGGCCTGCAACCATTGCCCCGAGAGTTCCCGCATCAATAGGGTTGACAATTAGCACATCAGCCCACTCGATCAGCTCAGTTGCTGTTGAATCCAGCCAAGGAAGTGAACTCAACTTCGAACCAGGTTGTGCGGAGATTGGTGTATTTAAATAGCATGTACCCTGGGCAAAGTCCAGGACGTCTTCTGATATCACCCGAATTTCAACATCCGAGATTTTCTTAAGGAAAGGGATTGCAATTTCTGCAAACGAAGCATTCGTCGAAATTAAGACATTCTGCCGTGGATTCTTGTTACAGGAGAGGTTCGAGGCAGACAACCAGTTGTTTCTGTCTAATTCCACCCCATGCTCGCCCACCACAGTCCCCTTTTTGTTTCCATACACATGTGAATGGCTCCTAATTTCCGTGCCAGTGCCTCTGTTGACAAGTGCCACGCCCGGAATTGCTGTCACCTTATCGCGAGGCACTTGGGCCTTAGAGCCTTGAGGAGAGAGGGTATGTGGCGGCGTAAAATCGACGGCCATGTGATGGGTTTACAAGCCTGTGAGACGGTCTGGTAATAGCTTTTGTGCACTCTTCTAATCCTCAACCCCTTTTAGCGTACCCTAGCTTGCTATATCTTCGTAATAATAGTAATCAGAATTCTTTTCAGTTTTTGGTTCCATAGGTCAATAGTTCATTGCTTGTGTGGGCTGTTAACGAAGACAAACGGCAATTCCCGCGGCAATCACTTCTCGATGGGCCACAGTCGTCCCCGTACTGCAAGAAAGGGGCAAGCACAATAACGATAATGGATTTTATCCTGTGTTTCCTCCTATCCTTTCTTCTCTTTCCACTGCGTTCCAAAATTCAAATTTGGTGCTTCTATGGACGCCAAAGCATCCGATTAGTTGATTCGCGTGGTCCGTAATTTCGGCTTTCAACGATAAAGAATTCGGATAAAACAGCGAAAAGTTGCGTTTCAAAAGGAGCTAGGCTATCTATATGTTCGCCAGCTAGCTGTCTAGTATTGGAGGAGCCAGCGTCCGGTTGTAGAAGTTACCCTACCTTGATGTAGTTTAGCAGATTGAACCACAGTTGATAAAAATGAAGGAAACGCAGATCGGAAACATACCAGCTTAGCGACAAATATATTTCTGTTTCCCCCACCACCCACCTGGGATGCTTTCTAGGCAAGTCTTCAAAGGCCAGGATAGGCTTAAAACGGAGGGATCTAAATCGGATCTTGCAGGATGAAGAGGGTGGGCGGCAAGTGCACAGTTGAATCTAGCAACTGATAAACGTTCCAAAATGGATTGTCCGGTCGAATGCGACAAAGCCTTCGTCGGTGTAGGTATACGGAGATGGGGATGGCAAGGGAGTTAGGACGAGGAGCTGTGTCGAGACTTGAGAGAGATAGATATATATGGATTGTGGTCCGACTGCTGGCGCTAAAGGGAGGCCACCGCCCACTATTGCCACCACTTTAACCAGCCATCTTTCCTAGCTAATAGTAATACCACAAGAAGTTTATCTTGAACTAGCGTCCTGCATATTTCTTGCTATTTTATTTCTATTTATTATTATTACCTTCGGTTCGATACGTGAGCTAGGCACTGGGATCCGCTCGTTTCCATGAGAAAGCGTGGATAATGAAATTGACGTCAGAAATCGAAGCAAAGTTAGAGTTCGGCACGGAAAGTTCCCGAATCGCATAGTTGATTCAAGGGCTGCAGCAATAGAGCATACAGTATCCACCATATAGAAAAGGTTGTGAGTGTATTCGCCTTGGTTCTGAACATATTATTGTGTGCGTATTGAAAAAAAATCGAAACTATATGATAAATTATATTCTCTCCTCTTTAAGGTGTAGCATGTAAAATTCCGAAAAATGCGCATGCTCAAAATTACAAGAAAATGACAAGAAAATCAGAGTGTATCTCACTCGAGGTGCTCGTCTAACATCTTATTTCCTCGCAAGGTTCATATGTAGTTTGTGCTCCTTCATGAAAACGCAAGCCAGAACACCCAGCACTGCTAGTCCCAGCATTGCCCCAAACACACCCTTTAGGGCATCCATATATGCATCCAGCACACCGGGACGCCAGTCTGCTGGTATTTTATCGATCGCATCAAGACTGTCGCGGACCTTCTTAATTATCTTCGCTGCGTCTTCCCGGTCACCGAACCTTGACCACAGGCCAGATCTGAGCAAGTTCTGAAAAACGGCAGAGGCAGTAGTGACACCTATCGAGCTCCCCGTACTCCGGAAAGCATACGAGGCCGATGTGACCACCGCCTGGTGCTTGTGTTCAACGGCAGCGATCAGCGCAACCAGCGTCACCGTAAGCATGCTGCCATAACCTAGACCAAAGATGAAGATGTGAACAAAGGGTTGCCATGGAGGTGTTGTGAGGGTGTAGGTGGTCATCAAAGCGGAAGATAGAACAATAAGGCCAGTGGCAGCATAGTTGAAGTAGAGATAACGACCAGTGACACGCATTAGAATCCCCGAACCCAGGGATCCCATAGCTGTGCCTACAGCCTGTGGAGCCAACCTTAGTCCGGCCATCGTGGCAGAATATCCTTGGACCTGGAAGTAAAAGGGTGCATAAAACAGGACAGCAAAGACTGCCATGGTGGAGAACCAATTGGTTAGACAGGCTGAAAGAACCGTGGGGTCTAGAAGGAGCCGAACAGGTATAACCGGCTCAGTAGCAACCTTCTCTTCCACGTAGATAAACAAAACGAGAAACACCCCAGATAACGGGAGTGTAGTCCAAATCAATGGATGATTCCAGGGGACTTGGTTGCCTCCACAGTTCAATGCCACAAGTAGCAGAACAAGGGCGGTAACGAGCGTCCCTGCACCGAGAAAATCAATTCGCTTTAGCCGTGATTTATCCGACACTTTCACGGGAATGTTGACGTTCCACACAGCCAGGATTGTGGCGAGCGCTATACAGGGTACCTGGATAAGAAATGCCCAGCGCCAACCCCAGTTATCGTTCATCCAGCCTCCAAAAACACCTCCCAAGGCACTCCCTAGACCATAGCAGAGATTCCCAATACCCTGCCACACTCCCCGTTTCCGCAGCGGTACAAGGTCGGAGCTGATAAAGGTGGAGATAGCCGTGATACCGCCGCCGCCCATTCCAGCCACTGTGCGCCCAAATATCATCACCCATTCATCCTTTGCAAGGCCGCAGATGAGGTTCCCGACGCCAAAGAGTATGTTCGAGACTATTAGTCCCGTGCGCCGGGAGAATATGTCGGTTAATTTTCCGCTAAGCGGCTGGCATGCTGCGTTCGCTGCGAGATAGGCGGTTGCGAGCCACGACAGAAGGGAGAGCGAATTGAACGATGAAGATATAGGGGCGGCAATTGTGCCGACGATGGTGCCATCTACGGATCTCGGGTGTGGTTAGCAAAAAGGGGTGCTACTGGATTTTGGCTTCTGGAGAAGAGGAGACTCCAAGTTACAAAGGCGGGTGTTCGATAGCATACCTAGTGCAGCGAAGAACGACCCAACCCAGACGCTGGATAATACCATGAGCAACTGTTTCGTTGTAAGTTCATCTGCCAATGGGACGTCCGAGTCATCAGGGCGGTTTGAGTCTTGAGTGCCAGCATCGCCGCTACCATTCTCGATTGCCGCCTCGTTCCTCAGCAAAGGAGTCCTCTCCGAATGAGCGAGTGAAGCATCAGCAGACATGGCTCTCCCGGGCCAGGGATTTGGCGCTTGATCGTTGTTTTGTTTGGCAACTGTTCAGGGAAACAAAGGAGCTGACGAGGCTGTTCCAAAGCGCGGGGCTGGAAAGAAACTAATTGGTTTAGTTTCTCAGCATTCCGAAGATCTCGGATCTGCAGTGCTAACAGCTTGGCCTCTAGTAAAAAAATAATGCTAATAAAAAATAAATCAAGAGTGAGCAAGAAGATTGGTTCAACCCTTCGGAAGTCAAGTTCACATGACTTCCCGAAGCCGATCCCGATCCCCCAACTATGACATCATCATGGCTTTATTTGGGGTAGCAGGAATTTCCCAAACGTTATTTCAGCCTCACTCCAAACTGTAAATTATATCCTCCACAAAAGCCTTCTGCATGTCCCATATAAGAACCCCACTACACCCGTCTAAGATGCCTTTGTTGTCCTAGCATACTTGTCTCTTTAGTGACAACTGACGTCCCCAACAGTTTGCTGTATCTAAAGGTAGAACTTGTCCTGCATGTTTTACAATCTTGCATGAATCAATCCTGAAGGTAAGAAGCTTTGATATCTTATGCAGTAGACGTAGCCAGGTATAGCTATCTAAATACTACTTAGCTTGGTAGATACTAAGATAGTTAAGTTGCAGTACTTATTACATGGATAGGTATGCAGCCTGACTGCACAGCGATTTGTTTGGTGCTTGAAGTTTTGAAGGGTCTACAGTACAAATATACTAGACCAGGATGGAATGAAAACTTGTTCAAAACCACAGGCTATCTTATCAATTTTATACATGAGTCCACCAACTTTTCCAGCTTTTCACACAGAGATATAAATAACTCTACTAGTTCATTGAGGGATTGGTGATGTTCCTAACCCCTGGACTGGCTGGTGGGGGGTAAGTTGGTTGGTTGATTGCTTCCGCTTCGTATTTAGCTAGTCAAACCCCGCCCACCTACATAGTCCTAGAACAGCTTCTTCTGTTGCTGGGTGGATGTCCAGGTATGGATCATCTACGTAAAGAGAAACAACAAACACGCCGGGCTATCACGGACTGCAACTCCGGCTTTACATCAGCAGCTGCTTCAAGTTAGATTGGCGGGGATTGTAATTCTTTTTAACATCCGTGAGGGGCAGGATAAAATGTCTCAAATAGAATATTGAAAGATAAATCAGACCATAAAACTACTATATATATATATCATCAACAACCGCCTCTCATGAGGATTTCTTGAATTGATCATTCTTCAAAGAAAATCATACTGGTCGCTATTCTGTAGCCTTCCATTATACTTGTTTTCTTCCCGATGCTTGATAATTTCTAGATTTTAAAAATATCACCCAGCCGCTCCTGATTAAAATCCTGTGTGATCACATTAAACCACCCGGCAAATAACCTTTTTAACCACCGCACGCGATCACTGAGCTGTCAAATTTCCGTCGGAAATCAAAACCAAATATACAGTCAACGGCAACCATGAAATCGTCCATTCTCTCTACCGCCGCCCTCCTCCTCTCTCTCTCTAAGTTGACACTCTCTCAGCGAGTGATGACCGTCGCATACGACGAAGTCTATGATAATGCAAACATGGATTTGTTAACGACGGCTTGCTCGGACGGATCCAATGGCCTTGTAACTAAAGGCTTTAGCGTCGCGGGTGATCTTCCCATCTTCCCCAGAGTCGGCGCTGCGTTCTCTGTTGGGGGTTGGAATAGTCCCAGCTGCGGAAAATGTTACAAATTGACGTTTGAGGAGACCGGTGTGGAGATCCCTGTGATTGCAATTGATCATGCTGGGAGTGGGTTCAATTTAGCGAAGGAAGCCATGGACGAGTTGACAGGAGGACGAGCAGCAGAGTTGGGAAGGGTTGATATGTCTGTTACAGAGGCTGCACCAGGGGATTGTGGGATGTGAGGAAAGTGAGTAGGAATGTCGGAGACCGCACAGAGCTAGGGGGGTGAAGCAAAGCCTGAAGTGGAGGGTCTGTCATCGTGGTTAGTTGACGCTTGAATGATAATGCCGTTTTTCAATCATGTATTTAGCAGGAGTAACTACCTCCCTCTATATTTAATGGCAAGTTCATAAAGGATTTCCTTGACCACCCACCAATGGCTCCATTCCTGATATGGCATGGGTACTAAGCCATCCGTTAAGTATGAATCGCGTTCTTGATGAAAATGATGGGAGTTTGCTGCGGGATCAGCTCAGCCTGGAGGATCCAGGGTCTACTAGGACAAACATATCTTCGATTTGCAAATGTACTGCACCACTAAGCGTACACGCACACTAGACAAGAATGAAGTTCCTGGTAGTATGCGTGCAGATTCAACTCCCACTGAGTTCATAGGGAGATGGATATATTTTAGACCCCAGCGAGCTGCAAGCAATGATAGGAATTCCACTAGTGGATCCGCTTTATGCCCCATGATTGGAGACAACCTATGCCTTAGAAAAGTAGTGGGCACGCGGAGGCCTTCCCAGAAAGCTCCCTTGTCAAATGAGAGTTCTAACATGCTGAGAGTCCCTCAAGTTGTGTGTGGCAAAGCTGATTCTGCGTGACCACGGATGGGTACTCAGAGTAGAAAATCAACATTGCATTCTCCTGAGCCATGGAAGCGCTCAGTAGGCTGTTTCAAGACCCTGGTAGGTTGTCGCTAAGAAAGTGTGCTAGTGTCAGGGGCGATTGCTCACCGTGGGAATTTGGCTCCCCAAGCGATGAGGCCGTGGGCTTGGGTTCCGATTTTGCGGCCTTTTCAAACCATGAAGCATTTCATGCTGTTCACGTAACGATAATCACCGGTGTTGCACACTTATAAATATATGCGCGAGTCGTGTGATTATTATTATTGAAGCAGGCCATGGCATGTCCGCATGTCCAGTCAATACCCCAGAGCCATAGACGACAATAACCAAGTTGGTGGGCCCATTCGCATGGCAGTGTCAGCTAACAAGCAGGCAGATCAGAGGAACATGGTTGCAATGCATGGATGGGGGCAGGCGCGTCTAATAAGGGAAATATGGTGATGGAATCGTAATTATAGTTAGCGGTTCCTGGTTAGCGGTCGGATCACGTGGGTTTAGGACTCGTGCGCGAGCGCCATCCTCAACCTCACCGCATTCTGTCCTTTTCGCACTTCGTCTGCCGGCTATCACTACTCCTCCCGATCATTCTGCTACTCAATAGGTCTATAGTTTAGCGGTGGTGGAATATTGCGTTTGGCTTGCGAGATCCATATTCTTAATATTGTCACCCCTCCTGATCTCTCCTTCCTTACTCTTCCCGACCTTCTCTCCTGAACCCTCTTCATAATGCCTGGTGTTCGTAAGTCGTACTACCATTTACAGCCTGTGTTTCTGTTTGGGGGTTCTAGATATCTGCTCTGCCTTGTGTATGAACTTAATTTTACAGCCTGACACTCAAATAGCTCCAGATGCGCTGGACCAGCTGAAGAGAGGGTTCAAAAAGTTCTTCAGGGGTCGCAAGAATCGAATGTCAACTGCCCAAGCTGCTCCTTCAGCAGACACTCCGGAAGCCACCACCACAGCACCCGCACCAGATGCAAAGCCAATGAAGGCTACACCATCGGAGACTACTCCGGCCGCCCACCCAGCAGCCCCAGAAACAACTACAGCAGATGCGACTTCTCCCCCAGCTCCTGCGCCCGGCGCAGCACCAGAAACAGCACCGACGTCTACTCCAGCCACTGATGCAACAGCTCCCCCAGCCCCAACTCCCGGTGCAGCACCAGATGCCTCCCCAGAAACTGCCCCAGCCGCTGCCGCAACGGTTCCCCCCGCAATAACTGAGCCGCCTGCAGCTGCTGACCCTGCTCCTACAAGCGAATCCACGTCTGCAGCAGTTGATGCCCCTGCGGCCGCCACCCCTACCCCTGAGCCACCGAAGGAAACAGTTCCAGCAGCTACAGATGCTACTCCAACTCCAGCTCCAGCTGCTGACGGTACGCTCACCAGCATATATTTATTATTCTGCAACCATTACAGAAAGCTAATCATAGTTAATTGTGGTTTAGATGTTGCTCCTACTCCTGCGGCCATTCCTGCAACGGTCCCCGAGGCTACCGCTGCTACTCCCACTGCTGCTACTGCTGAAGTCTCAAAGACAGCGGACCCAGCGCCAGAACCAACCCCCGCCCCTGAATCGAAACCCGCTGAAACCCAGTCTGCTGAGATTAAGCCGGCTGAAGTCACAGAAGCAGCGAAAACGGAAGCCGAACCGACTCCAGATGCCAAGACGGCTGCTGCTCCAGCACCTGCTCCTGCTTCGTGAGCAATTTTTTCCTCTCCCCTGAATAACCCTTAGTAACATCATGACGATTTTTCCACACTCATCTTCTATGCTCATTATGCTGCAACAAACGCAACCATGGAATGTTGTTTTGCCTTTATACATGACATGAACTAAAATATCAAATCTGGGTTGGATATTGGTGGATTAATATCTTGTTGTATCGTTGGATATTTCAGTACTCCTACTGATTTATGTTGGTTGCCGCTTGTATTATGCGCTATATTTTCCTTTTCTTTATTGTGTCAACTGAGCACGATTCCCCGTAGTGCACTCTCGGCCTCTGTGTACTGTGTACTTTTTGTTTGTCCACGTCCGACTGGCTTGCATAATACCCGTTTTTTTTCTATATTTTTCTTTCTTTTTTTGTTTTCTTATTTTCTTTTCCTGTTACACCAGTGCCACTTTGCAAAAATAATTATATCACACAGCTGTTTTTGTCTTGTATACACAGCTGTTTTTGTCTTGCATACTCTTCGGTTACTCCCAATGTGCCTCGGAATTTGGGCAGCAATTTCTCCCCAACGTGCTATGCAAGAGTGATTTTGAGCCTGGTGGGGATTAATTAATAAATACTTACATTTGATGTTGTGTGAAAGATACTTTTATACTTTTGTAAGTAACCTTCCGAGTGAAGTGTAATGATAGACACTTTTACATTGAGGTGCATCGCTAACACCCGCTATAGACAGGATTGGGAAATGATGGCCATGAGATTCTAGCCTTGCTCAGTAGGAAATGAAATGCTAGCCTTGATCCTGAGTTGCCTTGTAGTGATGTTCTTGTGCGATGTATGCAAGATCTGGTTTATTCCGCGGTCTTCTTTCATTCAACTCATCCATACGGTCATAGACTCCTGTAGCTCCCCAGGATTATCCCAAGGCGATATTCGAACTAGTTTCCCCCTTTTCTCCTATCTGTTTCCCTGCTGTTTACTTAGCGGTATGTACGCTAATAAGTGGTGTTTGTGGATATAAATCACGTGCTGTCTGCCAACTGCCCCTTCCAATATTTCAAGGTTTCCTTGTCTCTTCTCGTATCGTATCAGATGCTTGTCAGGGTTAAGTCTAGTGTTGATTCAGTGGAGAGAGATATCTACTTGTACATGTACATGTACATAGGTCACTTTCTTTGTGAATGAGAAACGGAGTTATTTTAAGGTGGAAATTGATATCCAAATACCTGATCTACTTAAGTAGTAATGAAACTGTATGAAGATCGATTAGACACCACAAGTAAATCAGCCTGTTTCCCGGAATAGAGAAGTGCTAAATGTGAGAAATGTCTTTATACATCTTTTAGATAATCTCTGCAAGATATTTTAGGCGTTCCACCCAGCTCCATGAAAAAACGCTGTAACTATTACCAAAGATTGTGTTTGAGCGGCTTGTGGGTCCTCCTCCGGGTATACATACAGTTGGTCGTGGTACTAACTCATGCCAAAAAAACAGCTCGGCGCGGTTCCAACCCAATTCCAACTTGGACCCAACCCATGGCAGTTACCCCCATTAAAAGTACTTACACTAGACATATCCAGCACAATCACCTCTATCTCCTCATAATATTGGTTTTTTATATTTCTCAGGAATCTAACGCTTTCTAGCCTTTTCTAATTCTAATTCTAATCATCTCTAAGTCTCTACACTAAGAAACTGGATGTTGAGAGGAAGAGTAACAATAGAATGTAGTAGATATTGTATTTAGTCCATACTGTGTACTCCGTAGTTACTCCGTATTTATCTCAGCAAGCTCAGACGCTTCTCCAGATATTCATTGCTGTTTTAACACTGGATTGATGATTATGTCATGAGCTAACCTCAAATAAGCAATAAGCTAACCCAAATAGTAAAATCAGGTCATGTGAGTGATGATATCTTGCGAAGTGTCTGAGAAGAAACAGTTCCTGATTGTTAGCAACATGGGAAGGATTTGCTCAGTACCCTGAGTATGGAAGAGAATTCCAACTCAACTTCATAGATTCATCATTTCTGTATCACCTTGGAACCTTAGAATAACAATGTTCTCGCGATGTATCTGATTTTTATATTCATATCTCAAGTTCTTAGGATAGAAGTATCACCTCAAAGTTGACCAGTGTGTTTTTGAACACAGGAATTTTGATCCAATTCCTCATATAAAAAAAAGCTCTTAGAAATTCTGAGATCAAAAAATATGATCATTTTCAAGAGTATACATCTATCTTAAATATAGATTTTTTTGAAATATTAAAGAAATATTTCTATTCTTCTTCTCTTTAGCTATAAGCTAAGGTGATTTTCAAATCTCAAAGATATATGAATATATAGTAATAGAAAGTCAAAGTTGAAGAATCTGAAAAATCCTTGTAAATCTCAGGAATCTTCATTGAAGATGGAACCATTTCTTCTCAGACCCTCTGGCGAGGATTGCTCTGAGCACATGACTTGTATCAAAAGTAGGTTAGTGTCATGCCGGATTAACTAGTTAATAATAATGCTGCAACCCGTTCAAACCGAGCCAGAGGGTCTGAGCCCGCTGAGATAACTCCGTATAGCGTATGTGTATTATTAGGGAGGGCTGGCCACCTCCCACGTGAAAAAACCTTATCGACGACTACCAAGCGGCGGCAAGTTCCGCGATTGGTGACATGGGACGAGGAGGTCGCAGCTTGTATATTAAAAATATTGCTGGTAGTTCTATCAAAGTCCTCCACATTAGCGTCCAAAACAGCGTTTTGAAACTATGTTACGAGATTTCCCTTTTCGCGCCTCTTACCTCATGCCCCACTTCTCGCAATTTACCGCTTTGACATCGGAAGCTTCCGTGACATGAGTGGCGTGGAGAAATGTTCTTAAGCTGTCCTATATTCCATATTTAAATTTCTACAATATGGAAGCAAGCCGCCAACATCAAGCAGGTGTCTCTGGTTCTGGTTTATTTCATCTTGCCCTCCTCTTTTCTTGCTTCCCTTCTTTCTCTTTCATCCTCACGTTTATCTCTCCATTTTCTTACGTACATCTAATCTACTCTTATCACTATTTTTTATTTATGTACATGTACTTATTTTTGACGCTGTGAGAAGCGAGTAGGCCGAAACTATTTTCCCGAGCATAGATCAAAGGTATTATGGGTACACGGTGGCATATGTTGCTCCATGCACCTCAGGGAAACAGAACTCCAGCACCTCCCTCCCGGCTTCCCGTTCGCGGCGAATTGCCCTTCCCAATGTCACAGACGCCGTCTTTTCTTTGGTCATATGCGTTCATTTGTGCGCGCCTATCCAGCCTGCCAGAGGTTCACCAGCATGCGTTCGGTTGAGTTCTGTCCGGTTAATCGTCTCTATCATTATTCATCATCTCACGACCTGCACTTCCCTCTTGCTCACCTCTACCATCACGGAGGGTAGCTTTCTTTTCCTTTTCCTTCAACCTCTTTTTAATCTTCTTCTCTCGGTTTCTCCTCATTCGCTTTTCTCTTTCAGCCGCTTCCGCAGTTCGAGTGGCAGCAAGACGACGGCGCAGTACGATACGTCGCTTCTTGCCGGGTTTTTTTCGGGATTTGGGCGCTTTCGTGGTTAATGGGTTTAAAAGCGTGACACCTTTTGTCTGTGAAGAGTCTGACGGAACTTTCGATTTAGTTTTGGATGGTGTTGTTTGGAGATGGATGACTCGCCATGGAAGATGGCAGCCAGGCTAGTTTTCGAAGTATTATTAGCTAGCAACATCTACAAGCTTCTTAAAGGTTATTTTATTTCCTTATATATCCGCTTTCTATGTTTCTTTCCTTTTGTTTTTTTCCCTACGTAAAGTCTCCCAAAGGAGGAGGTGGAGAGTCAAGAGTTCGGCACTTACCCATGCGCACTTCTTTGCCCCTTCAAGTATTGTTTCCCCACTAACTGCAGCATCAACAAATATTTGCTTCTGCCGTGTATCCAAATCGACAGTCCGGGCCTCTATTCTATCCCCCGCCATTTTCCGCTTAGCCCACTCAGGGTCCGAGAAATAATACTCCCAACCCCGAAACGGGACGACAAATCCACCCACCCCATCATTAGCGGTAGGCGTAGGTGATCGCAATTTGATCCTGAATTTCTGAATCCCAGCATCTTTCACATCAATTTGCTGTGGTCCATTGTTATGGTCACCTTCGCTTTCATCCCTAGATTTCACCCCTCGGGTGGGTTCCGATACACACTTTCCGGCACGCGCTGGTGGGACGTGAAATAGTCTGAACTCGAACTCCTGCTCCTCCTCTTCATCCTGGATATGTTCCAAGTCTGGCTCGGGGTGTGTTGCTTTTGGGGTAGGGGGAGTATATGTTTCTACCGACGAGAATATGTTTCGTAGGGCGTTTGCGGCGTATGTGGCTGCGGTGCTATCTGGAGGGGATGGCGAACGGGAGGAGCGACGGGACCGTAGATCTTCACGACGGACGCTATAAAAGAGAGAGAGAGAGAGAGAGTTAGCAATAACAGGTATTTTTATTTGCGGCCGGAGATTGTTGTAGGGCGTCAACTGTTTGATCGCCGACAGGCGGGTAAAGCCTGAGAGTGACATACCGTTTTGCGCCGGGAAACTCAAACATTGTGTGTGCTTGTATAAAGTGATTGCTACGATATGCAGAGTAGAAAAATTACTATGCTTCCTTTCTAGAAGTAGGTATTAGAAAAACATGCTCGATGGACGAGTAAGTGGATGGGATGGTCAACTAACCCACTGGGAGCTTTGAGGCGGAAAGTGAAGGTTTAGGCGCGCCAAGGCTTCGTTCCACCCCCTTCCTACAATGACATGGTAACTTTTATAATCAAGATGCACTGTCGTCCATTCTAATTATCAAGATTCGCTGTTCTATGACATTTTTTTTTTTTTTTATTTACCTGTTTATAATTCAATTCATCCTATTAATGTAACATTGTCGCATACTACAAACTCCTAGAATATATGAGACTAAAATGTCAAGTGCCTACTTTAGCAGTATAGTAGTGCGTGTGGAGAGGCTTCAATACAACGCTTCCTAACTGAAATTTGCTAGTATTTACCGAACTACTCTAATGCCGACAAGGACAGTTTCTGACTCTTGAATAGCCACATTTAGATTTTGCTAAACATAATGACAGAAGAATATGGAACATGTTTTAAATAACAACCACTGCCAAATACCCTTCGCAAGCAATACTTGAGAGGAAGCCGAAGGGTGGAACAAAGGAGTGCGAAAGACCAGAAATTTTGATATATCCTCCATTTGAAGTTACATATAGGAGCCAAGCAACACTTAGGAGGTTGTTCTCCGCAACCGTGCGCAGTAAGGGCCTTTCAGTGGTCGCAGCATTTGTAATTGTTGCCTCCGGGACAGAAGCCTGCAAGGAGGTGTCAGGAAGCCTTGTACCAAGGGGAGTTTTCTCCGTATGAAAATAGGGTGGAGAAGGGGAGAAAAAAGATGTAATCAAACGCACCAGATCTAAACCTTCCACTGCAATGGCGACTAGTCCATCCGCAGTAGCTCGTGCGGTCTTCACAACGGGCAACTGTGCAGCATTTGACGTCGGCCGGGTCATTAGGGCAGCGGTTGCTCACGTATGTCCCGCCATAAGACCTGCAGGTGGATGTCGAAACGCAGATTCCGTAGTAGCCTCGCGTATCGCTGGTACCGCTACACGGGCCATTCAAAGCTGCTAGAGCCGGTGCTCCAAGGATGGAGAGCGACGTGAGGATGCCGAGAAACTTCATTGCCAAAACCTCGTCTGTCAAAAAGATATGGTAGGATTTTTCTTTTTTTTATAAGGGCGGAGATATGCGTGGATAGACTTGATAATTTAGGAAAGATCAGAGTCATGAAATCTCGTACGAGAGTGGCAATGCTTCTTATATTATCACTTTCAGGCTCTTGGTTGAAGGCAACGAGAGCCTGTCAAGAGGGGTACATAAACAAATACATGGATAGGACGCCACACCATGGGGATACCGGAATAAATTGAGTAGATAAAACACCCAGGGGATTGATTGGATTTGAGCTTGAGGACGTTATCGGCTAATACTTTCTTCCGCGGGGGTTGAACACAGTGGGCAGGCTTGGAGCATCTTCGCAGGATGCACAGGTTGGTTTACCAAGGTATATATGTGAGACAATCCCACGGTCACACTCACACTTATATGAGAGGGCGACATCAAGGATGCGCTAACGGATCAGGAGAAGATGAAAAGGACGAATCTCAGCAAGAGGCCATCTTCAGCAAAGCCACTGATTGACAGGGGCCGGCTGGGAACCATGAGCGGCTAGGTAGGCTTGACGTGCAGAATTATCAACCCAAGGACCTGGGGTTGACTACAGCGTAGGGATTCACGGACCTTGACACCAGATCAAGGCAAGGGCTTCAGGCCGCTTTGATTTCCATTGATCGTAGCAGGCCGGGGTTGAGGTTGCAAAGCGCAAGGTCCATAGGAAACCCGGTCACTCGATGTCAAAAGAAAAGTCAACGTGGGGCTTGATACGAGCTAAGAAATGGGCGAGAGCAGACCCAAATGGCATGCCAAATGTTTATGAGCTTCAGCTGCATGGACGTGGGGTCCGTTAATGGATTGAATCACTGATTGAACGGGTAATATGGCCAGAGAATATATATGTTGGAACGGAAAAAAGAAAAAAAAAAGAAAGAAAGAAAGAAAGAAAGAAAGCAAGAAAGAAAAGAAAAGAAAAAGAACTGTTTGAAGCGAGAACAACCAGTCCGTCCGGCACACTGATTCATTTGCTCATTTTATCTAGGCCTGTTTTATCGTATTGCGGCAGGGTAGCGTCGCACGAACGGGAAATAAAAACGACCGCGCGAGTAAACGTGTGGAGAAAAGCAAATTAAATGGAACGCCTGGTCAAGTCGAATTAAGCACTGACACGGCATGATCTGTAGTAGTAGGTTGAGAGTTGTTGTTCGAACGGTCTGTCCCCGCATTTGTCACAGGAAACTCTCGGTCGTATAGTTATAAATATATTAAAAATCTCTGCCGCTCATATCGCTGCCCTAAGAGCATGTTTTGTGGGGCTGGGCTCAGATCTCCCGTGCAGCTTAAATATAAAAATCAGACACTGTCCAGGGCTTTACTCCGTACTGTGGTAGTTATAAGAAGATAATAATAATAATAGTACCCATTTATCCTCAAAATTGACAGTGTATATCTGCTAGAGGTGTCTGGATTCAAAGTCTCTCTGCCTTTATCTAACGTATTTCACCACGAAATTGATCACACCACAACCTGGATCACTTTCTGTCTCTACACTCATGAGAGAGTACGCCTAAGACCAATGAATACCAAATGTATTTTCTCAAATCGATCTAGGTAGTGGTGTGGTGAAATCAATTTCGTGGTGAATATGTCAATTGTTAGTTAATTTTCATCTCACAGTAATGAATGATAACTGACTCTTTACCGTAGAACCTATTCGTAGACTCAACCTGGTATGTATAGACTCTACGGGCAAGCCATTATTGTCCCCTTAGAGCCTGTTCGGTGCGTTCGTACTCTTTTTGTACGGAGTGGGTAGTTATAGATGCTCCTATTTTGGTCAGAATCTTGACAGACAAATGGACAATTCTTTTTGAAGCAGATATTCTTTACCTCATTTAGTTAGACGGCTCCACTTTTCACCTCTGATTGACACTAAAAACACTAGAAAAGTCAAATCTTGATTACTCATTCATTTTCAAAAATATCATCTGTATTTTTGCTTGTAATGATCAAAACAAGGGTATTTTTGCTGAATAAGTGTATTTTTGACTGAAATCTGTGACTGTGTACAAAAAGAACGAGTAGACTGCTCACAGCGTTAATCCATGGAGTTCGTACCAGACTGAGGCGTAGTAATACGCTCTGTGCTCGGGAGGTAGAATACCAATACCAGATCAAACAAAGCTCTGGAAGCAGCCCATGAAGGCAAAGAAGGTTCGAGGCTGGAATCCAGGCTGGTGATTGGCCACAAGACTGGCTTGGCAGGCTTGGCAGCATGCTGGTTTGTGTCGCTGCCAATTCATCAATTTCCAGCCTTCAACTTTCGCATCTTACAGTACAACCTCATCACAACTATCCGGGTCTTCTACTCCCGCCGCCATATGCAGATGCCGCACATTCTGACGGCTCGATGACTTTACGTTCAGGCTTCTCGCCTGCCTAGCACCCCTATTATTACCATATAACCTACCAATTCTCACGTCTATCTACCCCTCGATTGCTCGATTGCGAGGTCGAGTATCAAATACACATCCACGTTGTTGAGTCGCAAACTAGATCGCAATACATGGGCATTTGCGCGTCTTGCCTGAGTCGGGGTGGCCGGGACAGCCACGACGTAAGCAGTCCTTTCTCCTTTTTTTGTCTCGTTTTTGCCTTGTGATGGCTGGCAGCGAAGAAGCCTCCTGTGTCGAGTTCACCCTCCATTTAATTTTACTGACATGTTTTGTAGTCTGAATCATCACGGTTGCTTGACGATGACCTGTACCACTCAGGCTATGGGTACGGCGCTGTTGGATCTGCCCATCGCCAGGGACCCGACCCAGAATCCTTGAAACGCGAACGAGAAGCCCTAGAGGCAATATGCCAACGCACATCGGAGTAAGTTTGCGCCCTTAAGTAACTCAGATATATATAATTTCGCCCTCTTTGGCAACGCAAATCAATGCCACCATACCAGCACATGAACTCTTCAGCTAATCATCATTACCATTACCCACTAGTTCCGTGATTGATATCTGGGCCTTGCAAAGCCCCCACCCGCCCAGACCTGCGCCTTCGTCGATACATACGACCACCGCATCTTCATCGCGAGCAGCGAGCCACCAGACCGCAACATCATCAACAACGGAAGAGCCTCAATCTCCAGCACAAGAGCAGAAAACTGAAAGCCAAGCAGATAGCATTAGACGAGCTGCGTCACCAGCTCCGGGAGAATTTGGGAAACTGCGCTATGCGCCACTACCACCAACAAATGACGTCAACCTCTCAAATGTACCGAAACAATGGGGAGAAGTTGTTATGACGGCGAGGAGGGGTAAAAAGACCAGGCTTGGTATAAATACTGAGAACGGAAAAGACGAATCCAAGGATATATTTGCGGTTTTGGTTATCGATTGAACAGCCAGCTGAAAGGCGAAATCCATGTACGGACAAACAAGGAGCTGGATGGAGCTAACAGGCGGATACTATATTCATCGATTGAAACATCATCACCCATCAAGCAAAAGCCCGCTCAGAACCTCCCCTTACTCGGTCCATGAAAGCGTGCTCGGACTCGATTGCCGGATCTCCGTCACTAACGACAGCACGCTCTGCTCGAATATCCTGGGAACCAATTTTATGTTCTTTCAAGAAGAAAATCCCTCTATGGTTGATATACAAATGTTCCGACATAACTCCTAACTGGACCTGAAACCGATATCCGCTCGAAGCTTATTCTTGTCTTCCCCTCTAGAACGCGAGCGTCACATTTTTTCCCCTGCCTACTACACATTCCGTGTCCCAAAGGCTATTTGAATTGCACCGCATCTTCTTGGCTGGCCAAAGCCTTCATTTTATCCCCATTTCCTTTTTTAAATTCTTTTTCCGGGTGATATTCCCATTCGTTTTGTCTTATTAAGCTGTCAACATTTCAGTCACGCACATATATCCGTTCGCATTGTACTCCATGTGACAACCAAATATCCTTATACAACCACATCAGCTTCCTTTCTTTGCATCCTATTTACACAAAATCCACCGCTTGTGAGTGGTAGTACTTCATTAAAAGGGATGGGGAAGAACCCCCCCCCTCCCTTTTTTTTTTTTTTTTTTTTTTTTTTTTTTTTTTTTTTTTTTTCATTTTTCCCTCTATTAAATATTTTTTTCCCTTTATTGTGGCTTGTTGTTGATTGAACTCCAGTCTAAAAGAATAGGGCTAGACAAAAAGGAGCCAAGGCTAAGTATACTGAGAAAAAGACAGGAGTGGCAGTGTTTGGTTCGGCTATATTTATATCCTTTATCTCTTCTTTCCCTTCTTATATTTTCTTTTCTGTTCAAAATCTCTGTGGGCTGTCTCCCGATCTCATATCTTAATCATATATCTTCTCATTTCCTTAATCTCCTTACATTGTTGCATTCTATTGTATATTTACGAGTTCAAATATTTTAAAAGCAGAATAAAATATGGGGCGATATATCAGACAAGTCATGCTCCATTCAATATTTTGTTCTGACTCTGGATATCACAACACCTTGTCATGTTATGTGTAGGATGACAGATTAAAGTAGCTAGATGAAATATTTAATGAATTAATTACGTTTGTTAAGCCTGGTAATTCTGCATCATCTGACGAACCTGGCACATCAGGCGCTGCAAACCTCGCTCTTAGGGCTGCTGGGGAATGGCACATATACCGTGCTTCCGCCGCGGTTTGATGGTGGTTGCATAAAGTGCCTGCTGCACAGTTGGTCCAATAGTTGATTGAATACTTCGAAGGGGGGTGGTGTGGTGGGGTTTGGACATTAGTATATTTCTAGCAACGGGGACTATCAGGGGCACTAGTTTATGCTTTGAAGTTTTCATTTCGTTTTTTTCGCGTGGGGTATATGGGCCTCCTTTGTTTGTTTTGTATCAAAGGGGCCTAGATGGTCAAGTGAAGGGGGGTTGACCTCAAATCTTGCACTTACGCAGAAGGCACTTACGCAGAAGGGGAAATTTGTGAGTGGTTGGTTGGTTTGGGATCTGTGGAGGTTATCTAGAATTGGGTTTCGACGGGAGGTCTGTATGAATGATGCTGTGAAATAATTATTTGTCTGCTTTCGCCATATCCAGACTGTCCGTTTTTGTTGGTGCTGAGGTTGGATTTCATGTCGGACACAGTTTTTGGTTGCTGTGGCAGCATGGAAGAGTCTGGTCACCTAATATGAAGATAACCGGATATTTCAGGTTTCGCAGGGAGTGGTCAAAAGAAAAGTAGAGCAAGCTGTATGTAAACATGTTGGGAAGAGCGGAGAGAGATATAGACAGCTATCATATGCTAGCTAAGTCGGAAAAAAAAGGCACACTGTGAAACCAAATCATGAGAGGAACCAGACAACACAGGTAAAACGAATTTATTCAGAAAAATAAAAATAAAAATGGGGAGGTCCAGAGAAACAACGCCTTGTGGAGAAAAAGAATAAGACGATAGAAACACACAAACAAAAACAAAGAAGAATATGAATATGCTGCTTAGAGTACCAGGCCCCGTCCTGCTAGAAATATTGAAAAACGGCGCCCCGGGAACAACTCGTCGAAGTAAATGTTGAACATAATGTTGTCTGTACCCTGCACTTGATATCCCCGTTCATTTAAAATATAATATTATTTCCCAGCCATGATGAAGAAGGTGGGTTAAATCAATCCGCTGTTTGAGTCGAACTCCTGAATTAACGCCGGGTAGCAGCCCTAGTCGGGGGCAAAACTACGAAATCGAGATATACCCTGTGTCTTCCATGTCCAAGAGCTCCAAACACACATATGCAAAAGCTCGGTCCGGCGTTTTAGAGAAGAAGGTATGGCCATCATACGTCGTCCATTTCTCCAGCGGGCTCCTCATTCCCGGACATGTAACTGCCAACCGAGCTCAGTTCGTCATCTGATTCCGAGTCCTCGCCAGCTTCATCCGCTGCATCTTTGCTCGCGTACTTGGCGACATATTCTACCCCACAAAAAGGAGATTTTTATTAGCTTCCGCAACTTTTGGATGAGACTAGCGATTAACTTCCTATCATACCTCGCACCCTAGCCTCATATTTCTTTGGATCTCGCATCAACACGGCGGCAGCATCCCCGTTTAGGGGATCTGATGGGTTAGGATATCGGAGGAGCTGTGGGAGGAAGACTTCGAATATATTGATCATGTCGTACATGGGTGACCATGTTTGGTTGATTACATCCAGACATACTGAACCAGACCTAACCGTCCAATTAGATGGTGCTAAAAGGTGATTTTTGAGTGGGTGTAAAGTCTCACAGCTCATCAATATTAGGATGGTAAATTCGGTTCACGAAGCCGATGCTCGGACTCTTGTATGGGTACTGATCGGGTAGTTCCACATGGATTTTCCAGAGCCCGCCCTCGAATGGTGCTGAAAGGTTGTTAGTCCGGTAACGCCATATATCCAATCGAGGCTAATACGCACTCTCTTCCGGTCCCTTGAATCGTACGTAGAACTCTTGCCTAAATTCGGTAGCTGAGTCAATCTTGCCCGGGGTACCGCCAACGATTCAACAACGAGCGATGGGTTAGGGGATACGAAGGTTATATTACATACACTATAACAGAAATGTTAAGTTACGTTAGCAACATATGATCTTCATATACTAAGATAAATGACTAGTTGCACTCACTGTTGTCGTTAACAAGTGTGACCTCATAGTCACTCATCAACCTGGGCTATTTGTTAGCACCCCCGAAACTACTACTCTAGATATCATCTTCGGATATCAAGAGAAACTATCTCGCAGATATAAAGCTTGTAATCATAGTCACGGGAATAGCATACATCCTGTAACCTTGGTTAGTTCCTGTTTCACAAGCAGCATGGGATATAAGGCAGCATACTTCATCACCTGTAGGAACAAAGAAAAACACCCAGGTAGTCAGTCACAATATCTCCAAGGAGGACATAATACTTATCACACCATATCTCTCCAAATCTGGACTTACATCTGTCTCGATCCTCCGCTTTGGACTACTCATCTCGACGAACTGCTGGATATTTGATGGCTGGAACCGCTTCTGGAGAACTTGGCCTCGCGGCTCCGCAGGGTAGATTTAACCGTAAGGATTAACTAATCTATCTCGTTTGCAGTGAATTTATTTGAGGGCGGGATGCAGCGTTGATAAAGCGAGGGAGTTAGGTGGTGGCGGTCTGAAGCGGTATCGGGAGAGCGGGGAACACGGGCGGGATGGGGAGGGGTATATAAAGGAAAGAGTGGCAGAGTTGGGAAGTATGTGCAGAAGAGCGTTTATGCAGGTCGGATCAGGCCGAAAGATGCGTTGTTTCGGCGAAGACGGGCGGAATTAGCATGCAAGTGGAGGAACAGTGCAGTGTGGTCAAGCGTGATTCATGGAGAGAGATGAGATTAGATAGGACTAACTAGTTGAGGAAGATCAGCGTAGTCAGCGCTTAGGTAAGGTGATCCTGTGCCACGCTATTTTGGACTTCTTCTCGGCTCCTGCAGAGTCCAGAGTCGGCGGATCCATCCATCCATCAACGACAATCACGACGATCACGACATCACGACATCACAACATCACGACATTCACGACATCACGACATCACGACATCACGACATCACGACATCACGACATCCGCATGCCTCCTGTTTGCGACGGGAAGATTGCCATCGCAATAGTTATAATACTGGGCTGGTTATCGTCATTCATTATCTGCACATATCCTACGTGTTATTTATTGCCAAGCCCGGAAACTCTCCATGCCTCAAAAAAACCTCTTATCCATATACCTCAAATTCAATTTCTCTGTTCCAAAGTATGTGCTGCACAATGCATACTTCAAGTCAATACGTTTCCCTTTTTCCTTTCCTCTCTCACCACGAGGAAATCACCCCATCATTGCCAATACTATGATGATCAACCTCTCTCAAAACAAAACAATGTGCCTGTTCCAGAAAAGTGGTTCTTATGCGAGCATGCCAACAGTCCAATTCCCAAGCTGTTTTATACCCCTAGGCACACATTAACATGTGTCTGTCTCCGTCTCATATTATTCTGTTTAACAGGGAGAAATTGGGGAAGCGTACAGGAACACCCATCTCTCCAAAGATGTCGTAGTTAATTATAACTAGCACCCATTCGTCTCTCGAATTCTCTCCAGTTGCCCACAATATCAAACCCGTCCAGGTGGAACATGTCTTCCCTCACAGACGACGTATCTGAAACCAAACTGTCTCTTCCACTTTCCTCGCTGTACCTGTCGGTATCAGGGTCTTGGTCAGGGGCATTTTGGGTCGCATATGCGTAAGCGAAGCCATGTTCAAGCGGCATCGGGGTTGGCTGGAATGGGCCTCTGGCAGCTCGTCTCTCGCGATGCTTCAGGCAAATAAGTTGGTCAGAACTTATATATAACACCTAGGCGTGGAATCCCAATGACTGGAGAGCGAGGAATGCAAACCTTTTCCTTGATGGAGTTCACAAAGGGGATTTTGCTACTCAACGGAAGCCAGAAGTTTACTATGACCTTCTTGAGCCAGAATTCTTTCTTGGGGTTGTCACGGCGTTCTTTTGCCTTTGCCTATGTATGAGATATTGCAGAGTATCAGCTTGGAGGGACAAGAATCCTCTGGCTGCAAATTCAGATGCAAGCTGTATAAAAAATGATACTCACAATGCTCTTTCTGATTTGTCGTGCTCTTAACTCTGTGCGAAGACTGGCAGGGGTAAGAATCATCCTCCACTTCTTGATCAGAACTTCACAGGTTCTTTTTGTTTGATGCAGATGATCATTAGCTAGAGGCAATCTGTTTCAGGAACAAAAGAAAAGACATGAAACAAGAAGAGGAACAAAAATGGATGATGACTCTATATTCTAATGAAGCAGTATTAATTTTCAGATGTGAAGTTGTGTTGAAGAAAAGTAGTAGATGAGATCTCAGCAACAACACTTGAAGACAAGAATACTATCTACATGATTTGTCTACATCAAGCTGAACAGATGTGTGCACTGCTTTGTTGCTCTTCAGTGAAACATCTTTTATACTATCAATCTTATCTATAAGAATTACAATCATCAAACCATTGACTTTTCAAAACATCTGAGCAAATGCAGCAGAAATAAAAGAAAGATTCTAAAAACCTTACCGTCTCAGCTATGCAAAAGAAATGATGCTAACAAGGAATAATATCCTCCCCCGCCAGAATAGAGCAGGTAAAAGGAAGGGAGACAAAGAAAGGGAAAATATGAGAAATATCCAACCAACCAACATAAACTCCCTTCAAGTAGGATAACATTCTACCAGCATTCCTCTTTGCCCACCAAAGTTCACTTCTCTCCCTCCATTTCCTCTTGCATCGCCTCAACAGAGCTCCAATCATAATTATAAAGCCCAAGACCCTAGGCTCTCAGCACCACTCAGCTTCTCGCGCACAATATCCTCCAACATCCTGGTGATTAGGTCGGTAGTCTCTCTCAAGTCCAGAACAGCTTGGTTTGGTGGCTGTGTAGTAGTGTCCAGCTTGCTTCCATGTCGTCCATTGTTTTTTCTATCGTGGGCTTGGCAGTCGGTGCGGCCGTATTCAATGCGCTCACCACTGTTCATTGTAATTGAATGTCAATTAGTTGAAGGATCGCAATATGGAAGAAGAGGAACCTGAGGACCGGGGTATTTTATTTACTAAAAACCAGCTGAACTACAGCATAATCCATCCTGTCACCGAAATCCATTGAGAGGCTCAAAGGTCGTATTTCGTGACACTACCAGGGGAACAGGAGGCGGGGATATATGGGCTGCTTCGAAGGTAATCATGTTCGAAGGAGTAACATCTGTGCCATTTTCCAAGTCAACATGGACTATGGGATACCCAAGAGGCTTTTTCGGAAGTTCAGTTTGCGTTTGGGTCTAGTGTGAATTATTTACTTCACGGAGAAAACGAGACCTTGGCTGATCTTTTCAGGAGACCGCCTTCAATAATCTAAGTAGTGCTGAGCTGTCTTTAGGCTGCCGTTGACTTTTGTATGATGGGCTGCCGCATTGTCACGGCTTATTAAATTGACGGCCCCTTTGCGGAGGTATATGAAATCATAACCGGTTTTCCACCAGGCCCTATGATAGAGAGTTATTCGGCGTCTAGGGCATTTTTTATTTCCCTGAGAAGAAGCGGTAAATTGTCAACCTCGCTCCTTTGTTTGAGTTCGAGGTCTGTTGTATTTATGTTCGTTACCGTCGGGGTATTTCCAATCAATTACTAGTAGGAATACAAGCAGTTAGAATTTGCAAACAGATTTATCATTTTCATGTATCCACACAGCATTGAGAGAAGGAAAAAAAATTGAAGGGATATGGCAGAAAGATATCTCACCAACACCATCGAAACCATGCTGCTTTGTAACCATATCAGCTACGTTCTTCGCATACTTCTTCCTACTGCTATTGTTTTAACACCAATAGAAAATATCATGGCCATCACTCCAACTCGCACTAGCAATGAATGTTTAGTGACGTTTGAAAACCAGCCTCGAATTTCGCTGATGGGTGCGATTGTGGCATACTTCCGCGGTGCGCTTTCAATGAGGAGGCTGTTGATTGCGAAAGTCATGTTGGCACAGTCGATACCGACGGTTTGGTATCTACCTAGTAGAGCGGTGTGCTATTCCGTTGTGGCACGAATGGATGATCCAACGGTGCGCATAGGCATTCTTTGGGCAGAACCTAACAAGAGATAGTGAAGCAGTGAAATATTTATTGAATTACCCGGCATATATTCTTGATATCCAAGTGCCTGTCAGGATCTTGCCTTGCCTCGTCATCTGAGCGGTTTCCTGCAACAGTGCCATGACTTTCCTCCAGTTTGGGAGAGATACTATCCATGGAATGTTTCGTCTTCACAAGAAACCCTTATCTCGCCATATATCTCCTCTCTTGAAAATCTCTTTAGAGTGTCCAAGTTATTGAAACAGTCCTACAATGCTTGTGCGAACCAAATAGAGGCATATGCTCCCAGAGGTTGATATGACGCAAGATGAAGAGAAAGGAGAAACCAGCGAAACGGACCAAAATCCTATTCAAAGTATTGTATACTGCCAGATCGAATGGCGAGAAGACAAGAGATGTCTTTCGAGACACAACGAAACGTGCCCACCTCTATATATAGCAGTGCCTTGAGTCGAAGCATTTATACCATTGGCTAGGGGCGTGTCATATTTCTGTTCTAAATAGTGCCTTTAGTCTTTCAGAGCAATGACTCCCCTCTGATATAACTACTCTTTTATGGCAGGAGTTCGCGATTGGGCAGTGCTCAATGCCCCACGTAAGCCGCCCTTGCGGAGGGCATGTCACAAGGCTGCTGAGGCGCAAAGCCTGCATTCGCCAGCGACTGATCTAGCCACATGAGATGTTTGCTTTCAAAATTGACTGCCGGGTCTATCCAACGCTTGATCTGTTCACCCCGCAAAGTATAAGGCCCAATGATCCCTCCGGTCAGCAAATTCTTGAAGATGCAACACCAGGCATCTTGATGTAACGCAACAGAGGTTTGCGCATCCGATATGCATAATCATGCACTCAGGATATTGTTAGAAAAGCCGACTTCCCTCTATGTCGCTTGAAATCGCTGCTGCCGTGCTTGAGAATGTACGCTGCATAAATGAAGCTCCCTCACGTTGGAATTAAGCTTAAAAATTGGGTTCTTGGATGCTTGGCCTGCATAACTAACTCTGCCAAGAACTGTGCGCAAGTCCAGTCCGTTAGCTTCGGTGAACTGTTCTGCGATGAGAATCAGACAAAGCCAATATCCCTTTACCCGAGATATGCGCATTTTTTGGTATTATTGGATAAATATATATTGCGGAATTTCGGAGGTCACAGTCACAGTACCCTACTCCCAAAAAAGGACATTCGCTGTGTGGTGGATTCTCCGTGCATTAACCCTTCATCCTGTTTGTGATATTAGGTTGTGCTTGATTTTGAAGGGGCTCGTGCAAACAGTTATCGGAACATACCCGTTGTACTGTGGAATGTCCGAATTGTTGCTAAATTTATCATAGAGTCTTCGTGATGAAGCCACATTATTGGATGATGGAGGCCTTAGTTGCATGTTATGGGCCGGCACTTGCATGTACACGCAAACGAGCGGGCCTGGTGAGCCGATTCCGTAACAAGGATGCGTCGCTCTCACCAACAACAATTGCATCATATATACGAAAGTTGATTCGCCAGCCATCCTTTCATCATACGTATGCACCTGTACCACCTGTGTGACACTTTCGGGCTCCTAGGAATAGCATTAGTATTGATGTGGCAGTGAATGCATATATTCTACATTCCAGAGCTCCACGCGTGAAAGGCATAATGATGCAAAATTTGGAACAATCGTCGATGTCCTCTGTGATCTCCAATGACCGCTTTGTTTTTAACCTTCCAAAAATTTTTAACCTTCCAAAAAGATGGATGGAGAAGAACAGAAACGAACTCACCGAAAGAAGGTACCGGAGGAATTGGATCTCGAAAAGAGCGCGGGTTATGTGTTTTCAAATAACGACTCTCCGGGTACGACGACGAGCTCACAACCTTTGATCGACCATGATAAACTGGAGTCACCGCCGTTCACTCCTGATAGTCCACATAGTGGCTGTTACAAACTCGAGCGATATTATGGTCGAACGCTGGCCGGAATTCTGGTGCCGCTTGCAGTAACTGGCTTTTGGGTTGCCATTTCACTAGACCTGTTGCAAGAGCGTGATATTGTCGCATATGGGAGCGAGCACGAGATCCTGATTTACTATGCGTGGTTCACACTTGCTGTGTTTGGGCTCTGCCTTAGCCAATATGGGTTGGCAATGGCGTGGGGCATCCGTCTCAGTTACAATTGCTCCGCTGTGAAGTCGGCATCGGAGTTTAAAGTCCTCACCCGGAAACCTTCGCTAGATAGTGTGTATAGAGGATTAGCCGCAGTTGGAAAATCGTCAAGTTTCGAGGGAAATGGAACTGTTCTTGCATTGAGCCCCCCACCCCCGGCTCCCAGCAAACATATGGGGGCATGCGCGTATTGGCATAGATCTCACTAAACTGAGCATTTATAATGGCTCCGAGGTGTTAGCATTCGACGAAGAAGACTTCTAGTATGCCAATGTCCTAGAATATGCCATGAGGCAAATGCGATATGCCCCAGCCTATGCTAACCTAATTAAACATCCTCAATTTGACGACTAGCTCGAGCAGACCATAGCAGATATGTATTCAGCCATTTACGTTGGCTTCCAATGAGACGTCCCAAATTGACAAATTTTTCTTTGGCGAAGACGAGGAAGGGACTTTAAGGTCGATTCCACACCGACCCCCGATAAGCATTGCAGACCCTATCGGTGTGCGCTGTGTACTCCGTACTCCGTACAATGGATAACATCCGATCTTGGCACCGCCACACTGGACGCCCGGACCTCCACATACACTGACTCTAAGCGATCTCCCAGTCCCCCTTTTAAGGAGGCGGAAATAGAGAGCCCTGCTTCCCGCTTTGGTTACACCGCCGCGGAAATACTCAGTGAGGAGTATGTTCAAATCTTCAATGCTATCATGGCAGCTCCTCCAGAGGTTGTCTCCAACTCTGTTTATTATAAACGGTAGACCAATCCCACGACATTGGTAGATGCCATCATGCGTGCGTATGCCATGGATGCGTTGCAACTTATGTATGATGGCGTTTACAGCACTGAGGTAGGTGCTAGCTACATCGCGAAAAACCTCACCTCGTCACGACGAGGAAAAGTGCTTGGACGTAGGAGATTCAATCCAAGCATACCTGGCACCCTCTTCGTCATCTGGTCTTTTAGCAGTGCGATTCTAGGAGTAACCTATGGCTTCCGCTGTCGCTGGTCAGAGACACTAGATGGATACAGCCTGTTCCACTTTGGTGTTGACCTGGCGCATGAAGTGCGACAGGGCTCCGAGCTTTCTAGTACTGGTGGAATCGAGAAATGCACTAGGCTCTAGGAGCTGCCTGGCCTAATTGGGGATTCCCGTCCGGATAGGGATATTGGCCGTATTACCCTCGTTCCGAAGAAAAATGTGGCCAGGAAAGATAAGATGTATTGCTAGAAGTGCTGGATGGTCTCTTGATGTCATGGTTCGGTAATGTTATGGGAAATCAGTTTTTCCTCTAAATTGGCCCCTATTTTCTTTTTTGTTTCCATTTTGTTTTTGACAAGTAGTATCATTGAATGGTCGGAAGATGAGTTACCAGCTCAATATATTCTTTCCGGTAACCTGGTAATAGGTATAAATAGCCAGCAGCCAGTGACTCGGACCCAGTTGCACATGAAAACCGTCATGGTAGTTATCTGTAAGCCTAGCGGAAAGGCCACACCCGCAGCACAGATGTTTGTAACAGTGTTGATCTCGACTCCATGCTGATGCGTTTATAAAATCTTTGACCCAATCATTCTAGCAAAGCTCTATATATATACAACACGTCTCACTCATAGCAAATGTTTAATAAAAGAGGCGATACGAGTGGTTGAGCCGATAGCCGGAACAAGCGCAACAATCGCCGAGCCGAGGCATTTCTCCCTTGCCCGCACCTCAGCTACGATGCGCAGGTCACAGGTAAAATAAGTCCCAGACCGACCAAGACAAAACATAAAATAGCGCCACCCCCCATTGAAACAGCCCGGTAAATTCGGCGCTCTTTTCGTTGGTTGTTGTAAAAAGAAACATCTCATCACTTTTGCTTGCCTCCCTTGGGACCCCTCCACCCAAGCGGGACGGACCGCATTTGAATCAAGTGAGCAAACATGGCATCCAGCGCAGCAACCAGGAAGATTTCGCGGGAGGAAGTTGCAAAAAACAACACTGAGGATTCGTGCTGGTGTATTATCGACCACAAAGTCTATGACTTGACCGATTTCCTCGATGCACACCCCGGCGGCAACGTCGTCCTTACGCAGGTTGCCGGAACCGATGCCACGGCCGCTTTCTACAACCTCCACAGACACGAGGTGCTACAAAAATACGCCAATCTTTGCATCGGCACGGTCGAGAACGAAACGCCTGAAGTGGTAGATCCGCAGCCTGGTGATCTCAGCAAGGTCCCGTATGGGGAACCATTATGGCTGTCGCCGATCTACAAGAGCCCCTACTACAACGAGTCACATCGTAAATTACGAAAAGTCCTGCGGGAGTTTGTCGATGTTCATGTGTATCCGGAAGCGCAGGAGAAGGAGCTTGATGGTACATATATCTCTCAGGGGCTCGTGGACAAGATGGCGGAGACAAATTTGCTCGCCATGCGTCTAGGCCCAGGGCCCCATTTGCACGGGCGGAAGCTGTTTGGTGGTGAGGTGAAGGGAGAGGAGTTTGACTACTTCCATGACCTTATCGTTGCTCAAGAGCTGGCACGAGCAAACGCGCGAGGATTCCAGGACGGCAACATGGCTGGCATGATGATTTCCCTGACTGCAGTGCGACAGTGGCTTAAGAATAAGGAACTCCGCGAAAGGGTCACGGAAGAGTCCCTGTCTGGGAAGAAATTTATGTGTCTGGCTGTCACGGAAGCGTTTGCTGGATCCGATGTTGCGGGTATCCGCACAACGGCGACGAAGACCCCAGATGGCAAGCACTACATAATCAACGGTATGTAATTAACCAAAACGCATTATCTTTCTTTTCTTTTGGGTTCTTGCTAATATCGTGTCCTACTTCCTTCAGGCACGAAGAAATGGATCACCAACGGCATGTGGGCCGACTACTTCGTTACAGCTTGCAGGACCGAGAAGGGATTCTCCGTCATCCTAATCCCCCGCGACGAGAATGTTGAGACCAAGCGGATCAAGACATCATACTCCACTGCCGCAGCCACCACCTTTATTCAATTCGACAATGTCAAAGTCCCTGTCGAAAACTTACTGGGCGAAGAGCACAAGGGATTTATTGTGATAATGAGCAATTTCAACCACGAGCGCTGGGCCATGACCTGCAGCGTTATTCGCTGGGGCCGCACCGTCGTCGAAGAGTGTCTCAAATGGGCGAACCAGCGCATCGTCTTCGGCAAACCCCTGATCAGCCAGCCCGTAATCCGCCAGAAACTAGCCAAGATGATCTCTCTTGTCGAAGCGTCGCAGTCCTGGTTGGAAACTATCACGTATCAAATGTGCAATATGAGCTATGAGGAACAATCGAAGCACCTAGGTGGGCCTATTGGACTTCTCAAGTCTTATGCAACGCGCTGCGCACATGATATTGCGGACGATGCTGTGAATATCTTCGGCGGCCGTGGATTAACGCAGACTGGAATGGGAAGAGTTGTGGAGCAGTTCCACCGTACTTATAAGTTCGATGCGATTCTTGGTGGCACGGAGGAGATTTTGGCGGATTTGGGTGTTAGACAGGCTATGAAGCAGATGCCCAAGGCCATGTTGTAAATTAACCTTTTCCACTAGGGATATCTTGCAGCATATGGCAGTGTAAGGAGCAGGCTTATATATAGATCTTGTAACAATACGGTATCAGATTTTCGGAAATTTTCTTAAACTTTTTGGGGATATTGTCGGGCAGACTACAGGAGCTAGTAACTTGGAATTTATATACTTTTTATTTTATCTTTGCTCCCCGATATTCCTATTTAGAAGAGTGACAATAATATTGATTAAAATTTTTAAAAAGAAGTATATATACATATGTAAAATAAAAGAAAATCTGGGTATTCTCCGATGGCCTAAAGTTTCGCATGAAATTGATGTTGTACCTGAGCCAGGAACCTGTTTTCAAGAATTAAACCCTCCCTCCTAAAAATAAATCAAATGTTTTAAAACGATGTTCCCTTTTCAAAACATCATCCCACCGATGAGAGCCGGAATCACAACAGCGCAAACGGCGATTCCCAACTTCGTCGGTCCCGACTGTACAAACACCGGCATATTCAGGGCAGCTGCCGCACTGGGACTTTCGGTCGAGGTAGGCGTGCCAGTGCCTGTGCTCGTTTGTGTAGGAGATTTACCCGTAGCCGTAGCGTTCTGGGGCTTATTACACCACACGCCGTTATAAGGCACTCCAGCTTCAAATAAGCAGCTTGTGAGATTTTGGACGGTTTGGGCCTCCGCGTGACAGTAAAGGGCACAGCCGTCGTTGTATAAAGTGACGGCTGCTTTTTTGCAGCAGTCGTCCATGAAATCTTTGTTTTCGTTCTTGTTGGATACTGCGCAGGCGGCATCTAGGGTCGGGATGTCGTATTGGGCTGGGGTGCCGCAGATGGCGCTGCCGGTTGGAGCTATAGCGGACGAGGTCGTGGAAGCCATGGTGAGTAAGGTGGATGAGCACGGTCGTGTAAAGCCCGCAATTGGGAGGAGTATCGGCAATTTTGTCGAGGGAGGAGCTGATGGATTCGTTTTCCGATATTGTCATTTGCAAAGGATTTTCTCTCCTTTTTCTTTTCTTTGCAGTATCAGAGATGTTGGAGCGTAGACATGCAAGTTTTTGGGCTCTCAATTACATAACTGATTAAATTTTTGGGGTTTTCCCAGCAAACCCTAGTATCTCTCCACTCTTGAACTGAAACATGCTACGTCTTCTCGCTGTGCCGACATTCCCTGAATCCCTGGAGCTCAATGAGTGGCTGGGAAACATTCCAGTTTTCAGGCCGTCAAATAACAGGGCAGAAACGGCTTTCGGGGCAATGTCAATCTTGCCATTTGTTTCATTTCTCAGCAATGATCATGATCATCCGTTTCCACCTTCCTTGTTGAAGTCATTTGATTTGATGGGCGATCAATAGCGCCAAACTATTCCGTAATTCTTGAGTGGCTCTTTTCTCAAATATACCACACCGGTGCCCGTACGGCTGTAACTATCCATAGTTCACGCCATGAACGGAGTTCACCAATGCAATTCGAAGTGATAGTCCGTTTTTCCGGAAATTGGGGTCATTTCGGCGTGGGTATGTTGCCTATGGATACGGGCCCGTAACATGAGACACAGCTCTGACCAAGCCACCAACATTCCTGGCAACAGGCGTGGTTATCTTTGGGTTACCACAATTCCAAGTTTCTGCGGGGATGAGCTGTTGTCGTGTTTGGGTTGTCGATCACGACAGAAGGCTGAATGGATAGCCATTTTTAGCGCCCATTAGCTAGTTGTTAGTACAGACGGAGTGGGAGAAAGTTGGCACACACACAAATCGACTACATGCATTTCATGCGAGGGAGCGAGGGAGAGAACATCTGTTTTGCTATATATACCTCATGCTGCATCTCTACCGTCCACTATCACAAGGCTGAGGTCGGAATGTGGAATGGCGAGTTTTTTGAGCTGGATGTTGATGTTGAGGCTCCAAACAAAGCTTTATGAGGCTAACAACCTTAGCGCCCTATCATGCTAGATCGGGGATAGATCTGCGTTGAGCTGTCATTGTGAGGCATCCATGGATGCATCCAATGTAAGTACGGAGTATGTATGTATGTACTATGTACTTTTTTTTTTTTTTTGATCTCCATTTGCTCGCCGTTCTCTAGAAATTTAGAAAATGGAGTGACCCTCCAATAAGGGCAATTGCATATTCTGTCAATCAGCCACCTGTAACATAATTTCCGGGAAGCAGAGTTGGTTGCTTTTCTTTTTTTTCTTCTTTGTATGTATGATAAGTAGTATACGCTGCGGATGTCTGGTACATGCAGTTCTACCCATAAGACAACCAGTGAATTCAAATCATAAAAGACAATTCCATTCCCATTTTAAAGAGTACTAGTACATCTAATCTCCTTCGTGCAGTTTGACTGGCGTTAAATCCTGTCCTTTAGGCATATTCTATGTCAAACTGATAAAGGTAATAATAACTCCATCAATCTGATACCATCCTGGCATCAACTCCTCCACACCACCCTCCAATACCTCCGCATGCTACTCCAGATGAAGCTTCCACTGTTGGCAGTAGCCTCCTGCCACTTCTCTCGCGTGTTGGCACAAACTTACACAGAGTGCGATCCTCTCCAGAAGTGTAAGTTGGACTGTCCTCCAATGTCACGCGCTAGACAACTATCCGGATGGGAAAAGATGAATTGTTAAGTGAAACTGTTCAGCTTGCCCGCCGAATCCCGCCCTTGGGAAGTCCATCGAGATTGACTTAGCCAAGGGTCTCCCAGATGACTGGGAGGCGTCGAAGGATATCAAATATGGCAGTGATGGGGGCAGCTTCACGATCGAAAAGGATGGAATGAAGGCTGAGATCCACTCAAACTTCTACATCATGTTTGGCAAGGTGGATGTCACTCTCAAATCTTCGCCAGGCAAAGGCATTGTGAGCAGCGTTGTCCTGCAATCCGAATGCGGCGACGAGGTTGACCTGGAGTGGATTGGAGGAGATAATATGCAGGTCCAGACGAACTATTACGCGAAAAGGAATCTGGATCACACAAGAGGGGGATTCCATCCTAGCCCAGATAACCAGAACACTTTCAGAACGTACAGCATTGATTGGGATAGTGAGCGGATTATTTGGAAGATTGATGGGAACACCGTTCGCGTCGCTGAGTCGGCAGCTGGGAATTACCCACAAACCCCATCTTATATCAAAATAGGAAACTGGGCAGGGGGTGACCCTGCGCAGAACGCAAAGGGCACAGTTGGTAAGTTTCCTTTCGTGTGCATGTATCTAGGCCCCATATTGTGAGCTCTAAAATACCTAATACTGGATGCTCTAGAATGGGCTGGAGGTCCGGTTGACTACTCTCTTGCCCCTTTCACCATGCAAGTCAAATCCATAAAGATCGCCGATTATTCCACTGGGAAGGAGTATGTATATACAGACAAAACTGGGTCCTGGCAGTCTATCAAAGCTGTGGATGGAAAGGTGAACGGCCATGACCGAAATGACGGAACAAAGCCTTCGCCTGCCACTACCGCCTCCACTTTCGTTTCCACAACTGCGACGTCCTCACAGAGGAGTTGTGGCTCGAAAGGTACGTATTGATAACCACAAGCATAGGCACGGGAGGTGGTACCATATCAATGCCTTAATGCTCCTCTGATTTATGATCCCGTCGAGTCCTTTGGTATTGCAGGGGAAGGATCCTCGGTTCGGTTAGCCGTATATTGTGCCTTGCATGTCTAGAAGATATGAATTTCGCCCTATTAACCTTTGAACAGTACAAACATGCTAATTTCACCCTGAAATTCTGCAGGGTCTCCAGACGCTGCATGCGGTACCGGGCCATCAAGGAGCACGGAACCAACACCACCAAAAGGTACCGATCCGAACAATGGAGGCGATCGAACGAACGGCACCCCCAATGGTACAAATACTGGTACAAGTACTGGCACAAGTACTGGCACAAGCACGACGGACCCTAACAACCCTGAAGCACCCAGTAGCGCCAGTGGCCAGGGTCGGCTGCAGATCTTTGTGGGGATCGGCTGTGCTTTATTCGGTGCTCTCATGGCCGTCCTTTAAATCTTAAAGTCTGGTTAGAGTCATCACCATGGACGGATGCATAGGTATTTGGTGGCGGTTGTGGGAAATATCGTGGCCTGTCAGGGGCATATATGACTTCTCGCTTTAATTATTAATCATGTAAGATGCAGCTGTAATCTTAATAGGAAAAGTGTGTCTAATGATGTTCCGAACTTGCTTCCGATCCTAAAGTAACTAGTTAATTAGTTATAAGACTCGTCTCTCCTAACCATCTCGATCTTTCGATTGAATCCGTGAGGCCTTAAATATATTGACAGCAAGTAGCCTCTAGAGAGGAAATGTCCTCTTGAGCTCCATATGTCAGTAACCATGAGGTTCTGGCTATTTCCATTACCTGCATGTTTCTTATCTGAGTAGAGTCATCTCATAATCTTGAATCTCTTGTTCACCATATCTAGTTGTGCAGGCTGGCTCATGATGAGGTTTTAGGTCACAATAAATTACTATCTTTGGAAATTTTCACGCTTATTTAAGTAAAACGTAATGATTTTTGCTAACACTCAAATAATATTTGAAGTCATCTAAACCAATTTTTTTAAAAAAATAAAATAAAAAAATAAAATAAAAAAAATAAATAAAAAATAAATAAAAAATAAAAATAAAAATTGAATATTATTATTAGACTATTATGAATACTGGTCTCATTTGATGAATGTGATCATGACTAGGTAGTAGTCTCACTGAAACTATATGGGATCACTATCTTCAGCATGTACTGTACATGTACATGTACATACAATCAATGGGACCCCGTATTTAGTTCCAGTCCCAGAATCAAGCTTCTTCTCTATTACTCTCTGACACCATAGCATATGCACCTTGTGATAGCTGGTGACATGTCCGGATAATAGTACTAGCACAGCAGGCCAGTCAAACTTTCCTGTATAAAATATCTCCCCCAAGGATCAGACTGTCACCCAAGTTCAAAAGCCAATGAACCCTAGCTTTGATGAACAAGCAATCATCTTGGCCGGTACCTAGTGAGCATATGAGCATATTATTCCTACTGCAATGGTAATATAATTCGAAATTCAACCGCAACATTCAAAGGAAATTAGGAGCTACTCACGATCTTATCTGTCCGTCGTTCGTATCACTTGCACAATACGTTTCAGTTCTTTGATGTCTGCCACGACCAGGACGCTATCACCTTAGGGAATCTAGGCACCTCTGAACAAGAAACTGCTGGGTAAATGGGCCTGCAATTTTCTACTGGTTCGGCTCGTTGGCTGTAGGAACGAACACCAGGCAGGATTCCGTGAGGAGCTCAATGCTCATGCCATCCTTGAGTCCGCTCTGGCAGTCTCTAATTGTGCAACTTTCAACTAATAAAGTAAATAGCTGCATTTTTCAGTCATGAAATAGCTTTCAGGAGGCGTGTCCAGTGATTGAAATAATCTCCCAAGAAGCATCAGTTGTCAGTTGCCACGAGAAAGTTTTTTCGACCTAGAATTGGCCGAACCGATGTATCCCGCGCGCCCTCTGTTGCTATCCATGATATTATTAGTGTGACACGAAAGATAAACGATTCTGGAGCTGGACTAGCTGTTTGAATATAATGTCATGGATGTTGTTGGATGGGATGGTGCATGGAGAAGGTTTGTAGGACTCAACGAACGAACATCAAATATTTATTTAAATATTTAAACCAAAAACCCTTTCCTTCACATCCAACACCAACGCCTCTCATATATCCCCACATCCCACACTCCAGACACAGCAACGGCATCAATAACTGTGGCTTAACTATACAAACCAGCTCCAGATATAATATAAACAAATCAACTATGGCATCAACACCACCTCTCTCTCCATCGCCTGATCCGTCCAAGCCCGCCTCTCCACGGGTCGCAAACCGCGGCCTTGGGTTGGCAAGCAGACAAGGCAGCCGGTCTTCACGAAATAACAATGATAATGGCAGCAAAGGAGCAGCAACCACGCCAATTCCAGATGAAGACTACAGTGCCGATCTTCCATTGACGATGTCAGCGTCCATCGTGCTTACTGGCCTTCCGAAGGACTCCCATCAAGCGCTGGCTGATGTCGATGCCATTGATTCAGGCAAAGGTACGCATTATTACTTAGAGTATGAGACATTTTCACTCTCGTTTTGGCGGCCTGAAATGGATATTTAATTAAAATATCCGTTTTTGGTCGCCTTTCGACACCTTATAGAACGTTTTTTATCAAAGTTCACTACCGCAGGCAACGTTCTCAGGCGTATGGATCCTCTTCCTGCTCCTTGGCCCTGCCTTCTCTTGAGTTTTTAATTTAAAAATCCGGAGCTCTATCCCGTTCCTTCTTGCTATGTCTATGCTGCTTCATTGAAAAGAAGAAGCTTCTTTTGCCAGATCTTGTTATTGTTTAACTGTCTTTCATTGTCTGAAGGATGATGTGCGGATAACCCAAACCGCTTTACACGTTGCTCCCTCCGCATCTGTATGCTATCCCCAACATCACCCGAGAGGAGCACTGAAAGCTGACCCTTATCTTACATTTATTTTTTGATCTTAGTAACTGTCCGTTTCCAGCCTCTCCCATCCGCACCGATTCTGAGAAATCGTGTATTCAAAATCAGTGCTTCCCAGAAGTTTGAGACTGTGGTCAAATTCTTGCGCAAGAAACTTGATTGTAAAGATACCGACTCCGTGTTTTGCTACGTAAATAGTGTCTTCGCTCCCGGGCTCGATGAAGGAGTAGGGGGCCTTTGGAGGGTAGGTTTTCCATGATTTTCAATATGATGTGGTGTCTCTGTTGCGAGTTATAAAGGATTTAATGAGCCCGAGGAGGTAAATTTCTAATGATGGTTGATTCATTTAGTGCTTCAAGACGGACGACCAACTTATTGTGGCGTATTCGATGACGCCAGCTTTTGGATAATGAGATATCGCCTTGGCTTTAAATCGCTGCTGCCCAGCGATTGATGCCGAGTTGCAGCCCCAAAACTACCCGCTATACCTCAACAGCGAGAGGGATTCAAGGAATCACTTAAAATCACTAACTAATTTATTCCCTGATAACTCTTGACACCGAGACGGGACGAAAGACGGGACGAAAGACGGGACGTGATGTCCGCCATAACAAAAATCGAGTGCAAACACACCCGTAAAATCAGCGCTCGACAAAACCAGTCGGGGTAATCGGTGCAACACAAAATCAACATATATATGTATATATCCATTGAGAAATGTAAAGGTATCTTAATTTCTATTCGCTAGTTTTTCAAACTCCTCAACATCCTCCTTCGATATAGGGTATGTGTATTCTAGGGAAGGATATTCACCACTTTTGACCTCGTCTCTATATTTCTCAATCGCCCTCAAGCTTTCCCCCCATACATCGCCGTACTTCTTCACAAACTTCGGGAGATACCGACCAGGCGGGAAGTTGCCGGTCATGTCGACTTGGACCAACACTTGGCCCGAACATCCAGCACCAGCGCCGATTCCGATGGTTGGGATTTTCAGTCTGTCGGTGATGATACGTGCAATCTCTGACGGGACAGCTTCAAGAACAACCATAAATGCGCCAGCCTCTTGAACTGCAAGAGCGTCGTTTAAGACCCTCAGGGCACCGGCAGTTGATTTACCCTGGACACGAAAACCTCCTAGCGCATGTTGGCGTTGAGGGGTTAGACCAACATGGGCCACAACTGGTATCCCGGCCGTGGTGATTGCCTTGATAGTTGGCACCATCTCCTCACCCCCTTCTAGTTTGACACTTTGGACTCGTCCTTCTTTAATGAGGCGAATGGCGGACGCAACACCCTGCTTTGGAGATATCTCATACGAACCCATGGGCAAGTCGCCAACCTAATACAAGGGACCAATTAGCCATTGCCATGGGAGTAACGCATGTAAACGAGGCATAAAATGTATAGCAACCTACAGTGAAGGCAGATCCAACCGCACGGGATACACTCCGGCAATGGAGTATCATTTCGTCTAGGCACACCTCACTAGTGTCGTCCATGCCAAGGGCAACCATTGCTAAACTGTCGCCCACGAGGACCATATCCATACCAGCTGCTTCTGCGACATGCCCACTTGGGAAGTCATGTGCCGTTAACATAGTGATAGGTTCCTTCTTCTTGTGCAACGCTTGCAATGATTTGATAGTGATTTTCTTGCGAGTGATGGGTTTGCCCATTGGGGAATGGGAGCTATGACGGACTTGGCAGGGCCATAGAGTCGACTTCGTAATAGCGGGCAGGAATACAACGGGTGAGCAGCGAAATCGAGACAGAGCAACAGGAGGGGCTGTCAACCTGACGAGCCCAATGGAAGACTGGAGGGCCATGGTGGCGGGGGAAGAGGGGAGAGCTGGCCGATTCAGTCGGGATTTTGGGACAACAGGCACGGAACAAGATTTGGTAGATACCGCAGCAAATGCTTAGGGAATTTAAAATTCATGTTTCTCGAATAGCTGACAACCGCAACTGTTGGTATATATACAGTTTGATACGTGCTGGTTTATGCAGCGTAGACAGGAGAATCTCTGGAGAAATTCATTCGAACTAGTTCTACTAATTGCCTTTTTCTTGTTTATCCGTTCCGTCGGGCGAACCGAGGTAACCCGGTCATGCATGGATGATTCAGCAAGCGGTGGGTTGGGTCCGCTTACGTTATCTATTGCCCAGCCTTGGCACTTTCCTTGGCACTCCGCCAACCTCGCCATTTTTTCAGGACTTCAGGACTTCAAACTCAACAATGCAGACCATGCACGATGTATTCATTGGTTCCCAGTGATATCTACAGGATAGAGCACTGTAGTTACAGGACTTTGTGTCTTTCAAATTACCCTACGCCGACCGGAATGCATGTCATTTGAGCATGGCCACCACTGCACTTCGTACCACATCGGTACCCAGTTTCGGCCAATAATTCGACCAAACAGCCTAACTACATGACATGCCCTCTGCTCAGAAGCTAAGCTTCCCACCTAGAATTCAGCGTGCGACCGACATATTAGTACGCACATTCTATGTCGTCCTGGATGAAAGTTGCGTTCCTAGGCCTGCTGCTCTGCCGATAATGATCATGGCATTCTGCATTCGACCCTCTCCGCCGCATCTATGCCCTTGATCACGCGAAATTACTGTGATGTATGTATGTACATGTACATGACGATAACGCGATCAGTCTGCAAAAGTAACATCCAAATTGATTGCAAAATTTTGAAATGGAGCTCCCTCCCTCCTGGGTAAGGGAGGGACCGGGCGCCATTCACCCCGTGCTACTTTCGGTCGGTCAAATTATCCTGGTTGAGAGATCGGCCCGCACAGGCCGCTGTAGTATCACCAGCGAAACTTTCTTTGGCTTCGGTACTGTAGCAGGGCCAAAACTATTGGACAGCTTCAGGGCTGGAATTATCGACAACATCTTACGGCATAAGTATGCAAAAAGGAAAGATCTTGCACCCAGCGGTTTGAGCTCCTCGTTGTTTTCTCTCTGCAGCCACGGCAATAATATATTCGATTGATATTGCTTCAGGATAATAAATCGAGGCGGAAACCTATGCC